AAAGAGGAGTACAAGTTACATTATTATATAACATCAATCCGAATCAAAGGTAAAAAATAAACAAAAACAAAGCAAACCCAGATGTAAAAAACACGCAGCTTCAACAAACAACAGGCAATCAAACAGTGAATCGAGATCAAAGCAGCCAGCACATATATCAAAAGCAAAAATGAAAAGCTAAAGCACCTTAGGATTAATGGTATCAACAGTGAGAGGAGCCATGGGTGAAGAAGAAGAAGAAGAAGTAGAAGGGGAATCAACAACAGAAGTATTAGACAGGAAACGTGAATGAGAAGAGGCGAGAGGACGCAGCTGCAACAAGCCTTGATCTTTAGGATGATATTGATAGGAACGGTGGAGAAGGCTTTTAGCTCTACCAATCACGAATCTCCGCATCCTTTATACCTGTATACCACAGATGTCGATTGCACACGCGGGAGAGAGAAAGAGAAGATTTTGACGTCCGTTGCTTCCTTTTGTTAATTATATTTGTTGGTTTTTCCAATGAGAAATTAAAGAAAAGCCACGCTTTTTCCGAAACTGCCTGTTTAAGAGAAGACCGGGGTGATTTCTTTCTTGTTTCTTGCCTTTGTTTGATTGTTTCCCTTTCTAGAGATTTGCTTCTGCCCACAGACTCTGCTTCTTCAAAGTTCAAAACTTCAAATTAGGTGGGCTCGGTGGCTTTTTAGGTTAATCTTATGAGATTGGACTTAAATATCATTTTTTTTAAATTAAGTTTAGCTTAACCTAAACCCATAGGATATTCGTTAGGACACTTTTTTTTTTTCTTTTTTGAAATTTCATTGCGACACTTTTTTTTTTTTAAATGTTATTTTTACTAATTTTTATTAGTTTTTGTTGGGATTAATTTTATTTTATTAGCCAGTGATAAGTGATAGTGTAAAAGTTGAGTCATGAGTAGACATTAATTCTTGTAAAGTTATCATTAATTTGTCTGTGTTAAAAATTTGTTTGTTTCTTAAATAAAATCATAATAAAATATATAATAAAAAAAGGGTATTGCTCAATTTGTCTCTTAAATATATTTTCCGTATATAATTTATTTAAAATTAAATTTTAAATCAATATCCATTAATTATATTTTTAAAAAATTAAGAAAAAATACAAAATAATTTTAATTCAGCAAACCAATGTTCTAACAGTCCTAATTTAATATTTTTACATAGACAGATATAATAGATAAAGAAAGAAGCAATTGTACATCAAAACTGTGAACAAAGAAAAGTGAAATTTGTTCTTACATTATTTAAACAGACAGACGCAAAATTAAAAGCAATAAACAAATGGCAAGCTGGTCGGTGACCGGAGGAAAGGGCCATCTCCTTTTCATTCTCCAAAGAGAAACTCCATGCATTTGTTAACGTGCAGGCGCAGGAATCTTATGAAATTTTTTGGAAACCGTAGTGCTGTCTATCTGCTTTTTAAGCTCGAGATGTTTCACTGATCGTATAAATGAAAAGAGCAATCCAATCTGCCTATCTTGGATAAAGCAATTTTTAAAAATTAACAAATAAAATGAAGAGAAAGAATAACAAACAGATTAGCTGCAGGTTTTTCTGATCATTATTTATCTTCACCGTACAAATTTGTGATGGTTTCTAAAGAAGTGAGAGGAGGCCACATAAAAATTATGCAACACATATACCAGTAGTAAAAGAAAGAAAAGGATAAAAAAATTGTGTGAACACTAGAAACAAATTCATCTTCTAATGCCTATAATCAAAGAGAAAAACGTCGGAAAAAACATCCTCTTCTAGTTATAGAAAATCGTAAGCAATTCTATAGCTTCCCAATCTTCACTCAATATAGCATTTGATGCAATTTCTGATCATAAAGTGGAATCAAATGTCACAGTTGCTGGCAGCCACTCAGGTCCTTGGATAAATGATCCTACCGTAAATCTGCTTGCCTCATCTTCTGTAAGACTAGGCTTATACCCAGCCCATGTAACTCTTTTCTCCACATTGGCTCCAGACCCTGTGTTCATGTACTCTCCATAAAATATCGTACTGGGCGGGTCAACGCCGCTGACCCATGGCATCCAGCCCGCTGGACTTACCAGTCTGTCAATATCAGTCTGCATAATAACTGTAGTTGAAAAATTTTTCCAGGGCCTACCAAGATATGTAGTGGCTGTAAGAGTGGCACCAAAAGCATAAATCTTGCAGTTCTGAACTGAAATGCCTGTGTTTTGGTTAGGGTCTTTCTTGCCCTGAGCTGTTATGGTGTTGAATTGGTTTGGTAAGGGCTGCCTGGGCTGGATATTGCATTTCTGGAAAACAACCGCAGCGTTGCCAAAAATGAAGTCAATAGTGCCAGTAACGTCACACTCACGGTAGAATTGTCGATTGGAGTGAGCATAGAGTGTGTCCTGATATGCATCGAATGCACATTGGTAATAAACAGACATGTCTGAACCAGACCTGAAGGCCACTGCTTGGTGCTTTGCTGCCCCTGCTGTGTTGATGAACTTTATGTCTCTCGCCATGAAACCCTTGCCCGTGACAGCTGCCCAGATCATCATATTCATATAGTTAGTAATCCCTCTAGTTTGTGGGGATGCAGACACACATGACTCCTTCATTAAACAGAATAATGTGAACATAACCTAACACTAACATCATTCTAGAGACAGCAAATTAGAAAAATAGCTTGCATTTGAAAGTCTGTTCTTTGTGGGGGGCCCCGTTTTGGCCAAAATAGAAGCAGAAAGTAGGAGATGCATGTTCTAGTGCAAATGTTGCGGGCCATCAAAACCACTACAAACATGTAACATGCGTACCTGTCAGTGAAGTTTCTTTAAGAACAGTAAACTTCGAATCCCCATAATGTAAGTGATACCAAACTTAACTAGGAAGTTGCTGCAATAGTTTTGCCACCCAGGCACAAACTCAAGTGGTTGAACATGAAAATTCATTAACATGAAACTTCAAATCCATGTTCATGAACCGGTCAATATATCTAAAACAGAGAATCCAACTAGCAATTAAATTTTCCCAGGATTTGTAATTAAGTTGCAGGTGTCTTGTTGAAAGTACAATTCCACACCAAAATTAGAGAGCTTAACAGATCAAATGTGTAGTTTGACACCCATGATAGACCAGGTCAAGGGGAGTAATTTAGGCCCTTCTAGAATGCAACTAATAGAAATACCAAGAAAAAAAATGTGCCTAGTCATAAACTCTTTTGATCACTTGGACGCCTCAACTTGGATTATGGGAGTAATTGGGCCACCAGAAAAAAAATTTGTAATGTAGCAATTAGACAAGCACATGGTGGGCACCAACTTCCATTCTGAAATTTATATTGTCACAGCATGATTTATGTGGTTTAACAGATTTTTAGGTAAGAGTTACAGATCCATTTCACATGGAATACTCAAAGTCCATGTGCTTTCCTTAATCCAGTCATAAGAAGACCAATCTGCTATCTTTCTTAGCAGACGAATCCATATGGCACATGAATTTGATTCAAAAATTGTATCTTTCGAAGTTTCAGAAATTTGAATCAATAATTTTTTTTCAAAAAAAAAAATTAGAATCAATAATTAAAACTACCCATCAATATCTATAGCCTCCAATCATCGAAATTCCACAACTTTCCAGGTAAAATCTCGTTAAAGAGTTATATAAAGCAGTTCAATTTCTAGATTTTAATGAAACTAAACATAAATTTAATTTAGAAATGCATATATGATTGAATGGACAAATGAAAAAAGATTAAGAACTTACCAAAAGTGGCTGTAGAGAAGGTAGGAGTTCCGTCCACAAAATTCTTGCTACCAGAAATTATAGTCTTGTCTTTCCCATCTCCATAAATCATCACATTCCACTTATGTTTATCCAATAGAATATTTTCCACATAAGTACCTTCCTTGACATAAATAATGAATCTTGATAAACTCTTCTTTGGAATTGCTCCCACCGCTGCTCCGATGGTAGTGTAATCCCCACTGCCGTCCTTAGCCACCGTAACATTAGGGGTAGGCTTTGATTCTTGGAGTAGCCTCCTATCTCCCAAACTAACCCAACCTGGAAACCCTGAATTGGATCTTTCAGAACCCAACAACTTTCGATGAATTGGGATGTTGATATCTGATAACAAACCCAAAATTTTGGCAACAATTGCTAAACTATTACTTGCAAACTCAGTTGAATTCACCATTGTTTTCCTTACATCTTCAAGAAGCGTACTATTAAAATGCTTTGTACTGTTCAATTCTTGCAAAGCATCTAAACATGTTTCTTGGTCAGTAATGACAGCACTGAGCCAAGTTTTCATGTCATTGATTTTAGCAGTGGATAAAATCTTTTCACCATCCCCGACAGCCATTGAAGAAACAGAGTCATTTAACCGATCTACAGCATCATCAAAAACGGAATCACAAACACTCAAAGCAGCTTTAAGCGTAGCATCATTAGCAGTTTGAATAAGCTTAGAAGGATAATCTTTAAGCCTAGAGAGCTCATTCATAGCGACACGTAAAGAAAGCTTAAAAAGAATTTCAGGGTCAGTGGTATTAGCAGTTTCAAGAGCAGAGATGCTAGAGAAACAAGAAGCTGGGTACTGGGTTACTCTGCAAACAGCTTTGAGTGAAGCAGCCGGAGTCAACTCAGTTGGCGCGACAGAGTCTGTTGATGATTCATTGTTTCTTTTGTGTAATACAGTTCCTACAACAGCACCAATGATAACAGCAACAAGAACGACAGAGGCGACAATGAGAATTATGAGACGCTTACGTGTCTTTCGCTTGAAGGCTTGTTCTTCGGGCTCATCTACTTTACCATAGCCCTTGAAGGAGTTGATAGAATCCATGGTTTCAATTTCTGTTTTTTGAGTTCAAGATGATGTATAGGAGGCTCTGTCTTGGGTGTCCTTATATATAAAACAGAGGCAGAGATTCTTATTTCTTACTATTTACTTCGACGCTTCTTTTTTAAGATTAGTAAAATCAATTAGTACGGAAACATCATTACTGTCGCTTAATCAAAGGGATTCTTTCTTCTGGGTTTCATTTCCTTTTTTTTTTTTTTTTTTTTTACTTCGAAAGCTTCTTTTGTTAAGATTAGTAAAATCGAATTAGTACGGAAACATCATTACTGTCGCTTAATCAATAGGGATTCTTTCTTCTGGTTTTCAGTTTCCTTTTTTTTTTTTTTTTTTTTTTTTTTTTTGGTAATAAATAAATAAATATAAGATTATGATTATAGTAATGGAGTTGAAATGACAAGTTTATCCCTATATTTGTCATTTTTGTTTTGTATTAATGTGGCCGGTTGCTATTATATTTTTGTTTTGACTATCCATAATAGTAAAATTCATATGGAAATACACTTTATTTCTATCTTTTAATAGTACGGATTTGTAAATAAAATTTTCCAAGAAATGCACTATTCTTCAATTGATCCCAACGATCTTTTTTTTATTGATCCAACCGCATGGTAGTAACTAATATCTGTAGTTAATCTTAGGAAAATCTTAATCCACTTAATATATAATATATATATATATTATATATATTATATTTATATAATGATATTTACTTACTGATCGTATACATTATTTTAAAAATATTATTATTTTTTTAATATACCATCAGAAATATTCTCGCGCCCCAACTGTTAATCAATTATATTCCTATATTACCATGTTAGCAAATAGAACGGTTTAATATACATTTATATCCTGAATTTTAGAGTTTATAGCACTTACACTTTAATTTGAACTTTGTGATAATTACATCCTAAAATAAAAAGTTGAGAGTATTTACACCCCACAATTAAATTAAGAGTTGGTTTACAATAAAAAAATATTTTTATGGGATCTATAACTGAGTTTGGGTTAATTTACCTAGAATTTAAAATCAAACTCGAAACATCAGTGCTGAAGAAGAAAAAAAAATTTTAATTTAAAATAGTTCTCATCTATCACTTGAGTACATCGTTGATTATTACAAAATTTTACTTTCACAAAAGCGATTGATTCATAGAAAGCACTTCGAGCTCAGACAATGGTTTCAAAATTGGTATGTTAATTTCTTTAATTTAGTTCATATATGTTTATATATGGTAATAAACACATGTGGAATTGTGTATTAATTTATATATTTATTGTACATGAGAAAGTATAGTTGAAAATAAATTTTAAAAAACAAAAATTTTAACAATTTGATAATCCTAGAATTTGATGAATTTAGAATAATTTATGCATATTTAGAATTTATGCTATAATTAACATTAGCTCATCTACTTCATTATCTTCGGAATATACATATATCAAAATTATTTAAACCGAAAGATCCATTGAATTAGTTTAGCTTTATATATAATTTGAATCAATCAGCAACATCGAAAGGTAATGATGTTAATAATGATATTTACACTATTCACAAATAGAAAATGGATTTTTCATTAGGTCTAATGTTTTTTTTATTGCAAAAAATGGATTTATTCCATTAAGGTCTACATGTTTTTTTGTATTGCAAATCAAATCGTTATGTTAATTTAGGAGTATTTAATTTGCCGCACAAAAGTTGTCAAATTAGGATATAGTGTAATAAACTTTCAAGTGGAGGGTATTGACGCGTAAATTAAGCCCAATAGGAACACGATTCCGAGTGCTTATAATTCTGGTTGAGCCAGCTGCTCGACGTTGCAGTTCATACTATTACTATTATTTGAAAAGGTCTAATGTTTTTTTTATTGCAAATCAATCGTTAATTTAATTTAGGAGTATAATTGCCGCAAAGTTCAAATTAGGATATAAGTGTAATAAACTTTCAAGTTGAGGGTATACGCGTAAATTAAGCCCAAATAGAACACGATTCCGAGTGCTATAATTCTGGTTGAGCCAGCTGTCGACGTGCAGTCATACTATACTATTATTGAAACTTAAAATTGTGCAGAAAAGGAAGAAAGTGGTAGAGCAATATCGCTGACGTGGTCAATACGATGCAAATTACAAAACCACCGAATGTCAACCATTCTGTTAGCATTTTTGGCCGCGGATTTAATCATTTCATTTATACTACAGCCAAACTTACCAATTCTGCAGTGGAAACTGCATCTGTCACCACCCTGGATATAAAATTAATCTGTCCTTTTCATTGTTTAGTTGTTCATCATTCAATTTCATATTTTCAAGACTTAATTAATTTTAAGGTTCTAAAGTGGTAAGATGGGTCCTTTTTGCCACTCAAAGCCGTGTTGAAAGATCAAATTTTTATAAAAAAGCAAAAAAAAAGAAAATTTCATATCCAATAGAAATGATCTTTAGAATAGAAAATTCCATTTTTAAAGAAACAATAATTAAATTAGCATTCCCTTTCATGATTTTGGGTGACAAATGATGAAATTGATGTCTGTAGTATGTTCCCTCATGAAACAGAAACAAAGAACCTTCAACGGATTGATGGAGTCAAACCTAAAATTTAATAAACAATTTAAGAGCTCTTTCATTCTTTTTTTTTTTTTTTTTAACTTAAGATTTCTCGTTCTTTGAATCAATGAAAAGACCAATAAAATTATACTTGATTGACAATAAATTTTATTCTTTGATTTAACATATTATATTATTTTTAATTTTGATCATAAAAAATTATTCATAAAATTATAAGCGAGTTTTAAATGTGTCCACTTTCTATTTCCACCGAAGCCGTTTTGACTTTGTCCTATGAACTAGTCAATATATTTTCTACAAATGCTTCAACCTCGCGATACACACTCCTCATTTATACTATCAATTTACATTTTAATGAGTTGAAATAATATTACAGACTATACAACTCTTATGGTAAAAAAAAATTCGACCTCAGAACTTCTCATTTTCGATATTAATGACAAATCAATCATACCATATTATATAATTTATACCAATACAAAGTGTCACAAGTAATAAGTTAATCTTTGAAAATTTACTGAAAAATCAAATTCAAAACGAAATTATTCGTCTCATATCTTAGCACTTAAACATAAAAATGAAATTAGTTTCATATTCGAAATGGTCAGAGGAATATTCATGGAAAAAGAAATTATATAAAAAAAATTAATTTATTAGGTGGATCAAGTGGTTAATATAAAAAAGATACGATATTTTTTGGGGAGATATCAGTTGAATTCCAAGTGTTTTCACTTGTTTCTTATAAGCTTCTCCAGCCATGTGATGTTGGTGACATCTCACTAGCCGATGATTGCGCCACTGTTTCTTTTTTCCCTTTTTTAAAATTTTTTTTATTTCTTAATTTCATTTTCATGATGGTTCTCTTTTTAAAAAAATAAAAATTGATAATATATATATATTTTTTTAAAATTTTGGTTTTTTTTTCGCCGTTTTATCCTTTTAATTCCTTAATAATTACCATCCTCTTAAAAAACGAAAAACCTGCTTAATTTCGTTCGTTTACAGGAATAGCCAGATTGTCACCAACACTTCACAGGAATAGCCAGATTGTCACCAACACGTTTTCAACGTTATGCCGTTTAAAATCATTTACGTCGTTTGTTGGCAAGATAATGGTTTGAAGGTGCGTACCTTGCAGGCTTGCACACCAGAAATCTAAGCCCACTTGGATGAGTTCTGGGCTTGTGGGCCTAGAAGGTAAACTAGGCTCGGAAAAAGGAAGGAATCAGAAGCTCTACCAAATCAAGAATTTAGAATTGAAATTTCACCTGATTGCTTTGTAACTGTATAAAATTCAATTTGAATGACAGGCATGGTTTCTAGAAAAAGAATTAAAATTTGGAAATTGAATTATGAATTCCCACGCTTACAGCAAAATCCCAAAAAGATTAGGGTTAGTGCTTCAAGAATTACATCTAAGGATTTGAAATCCTTACAGGTATGTCCATTAAACCTCTTACGTTCTCACAATTTTCTTCCTCCACATCTCTGAAAATAATATTAACTACGGAAGCAAAAAACAATCAGAAATCTTTGCATGCTCTTATTGATTAATAATCAAGAAAACATACAAATATGGCCGCAAGGAACACTCAAATATATCAAACACTTGCTAGCTAGAATTATTAATTACCCAACCTAAGAAAACATTTATAGACCAAGAGAGAAAGGGAAAGTAGTGCCACGCAACCAATTACTTCCAGCAATGAAATTTCCAGGAGTAAATGCTTGAGCTTCACTTGCACTTGTAATTACCTTATATCCTTTCCAAGTAACCCTGTTAGATGTTCCAGCACCAGCACCAGAATTCTGATACTCTCTGTAAGTCAATGTATTAAGAGCAAAATCTCCAGTCCACAAATGCCAACCAGCAGGATGTATCACATCAGAAATTGTTGATTGCATTATAACAGTTCTTGAATATTCTTTCCATGGCCTGCCAAGATAAGTTGGGAAACTACTCTGCACAGGTTTTAGATCAGAAGTGGCACCAATTCTACTCTTTTGAATAACAATTCCTGTGTTTTGATTTGGGTCAGTCCTGCCTTGGGCTGTCACCATATTTTTTTGGCCTGAATTAGGTTTTCGAGCATGGATATCACAATCTTGGAGAACAGCAGCTGCGTTGCCAAAAATGAAATCAACTGTGCCTGCAACTAGGCAGTTTATGAAAAATTGACGATTGGAGTGGACATAGAGAGTGTCTTGATAGGCTAGCATATCGCATTGGTAGAAAGCTGAAAGATCTGAACCAACTCTAAGTGCTACTGCTTGGTGCTTTGATGGTCCAGCCGTATTTTCGAATGTAATGTCCTTTGCTAAAAATCCTTGTCCCACAGCAGCTGCAATCACATGCAAGCTTTCATGTCAGTAACTACTAATTCAGGGTTGAACAGGACATAATTAAATTAGTTAATTAGGTCTAAATTAGTTAATTATGTACTGCAAAGAGCAATAATTGAAGTGAACATGAAGGGAAGGAACGACAAAGAAGCATCAAGGAAGCGTCCTACTAGAATAAATGCAGATCCACCATATGCTATTAAAGTACCCTCAACTAGAACTTGTCACTCTGTTGGCTGTAACCCACTCATTCATAGAAAAAAACACTTCCCATAAAAACTTGTTTTGAAATTCTGAAGTGAACGTAACTAACTTTTCTTGAAAAAGAAAACAAATTCTTGAAAATGAGGACAAAGACAGAGAATAAAGAAGTGATTGTAACCATTTGATTCTGACTTGATTGATTTACGTATTCTTCTAAAATTTATATTTGGGGTAGACAATTTTTTGTGTTAGCCAAACTTAAAGATTTTTATATTTTAAAATAAATTATCTATTATAATGTATGTGTATATATCCATTTGAAATAGACATCTTTTGGCTCCTACCTTGAAGAATTTTTGCTTAGTCATATTGGTGGTCCATGCAAACAGAAATCGTGGCTTCCATCATACAACCATTTCAAATAATCAATAGCATATGTCATGTACCAATCACAATTAAATAAAATTCAATAAATTAAAATTACTTAAACCGAAATTAAAAGCTCACTTATAGAACAAATCAATCAAAATATAGATTTTTTTTTTTAAATGTTCATACTTTATCTTTTTTCTATAGTCATAATTACTTTTTTTTCAACAAAATTAATTTGATTTACGGGTGGACTCATAAATCACATTTAGACAGGTAAATCTCTCCGATTATATGCAATAAAAGAATTTGCATATAATTATCAGTTTTGGATCCCATATGTTTATGTATCCTAATAAGCTAGCTCAAAAAATGGACAACATTATATAAACTATATTATCACTAAGCCAAAAGAGCAGATGGTCTTACCAACTGTGGCAGAGTTGAAGGTGGTGCTGCCATCAGCAACATTTCTACTTGCTGTAATAATTGTTGTTTTTCTTCCATCTCCCAGAAACATTATATTGGTCTTACTCTTTGGGACTTCCACATTTTCCCTATAAACGCCTGCTTTTATTCTAATAATGTACCTTTTACTACTTTTTGAAGGAGCAGCGTTAACTGCATCTTGAATTTTCTTATATTTCCCACTTCCATCAGCTGCCACCACCACATCAGGAGTCACCGACGACGACTGCAACAATCTCCGGTCACCTGCCGACAACCACTCCGGCCAGCCGCTTTCTTGATTTTTTCCCTCCTCCTTAAGCTTCCTGTTTGTAGTTGCAGCTAATTTAAGCTCATCAGCAATATCAGTATCGGTCATGTTCTTTATCATTGCCAAAGCATTGCTACACATTTTCTCGACATGAACTTGACCATCTAATAAAGCTTCTCTTATACGCTTATCAGCTTCGTCATGAGAGAAACCGTCTAAGCAAGTTTCTTGATTAGTTATAGCAGAACTCAGTAGGGTTTTAAGATCATCTGCATGTTGCGACAGTGATTTCTTGTTAGGGTATTCTTCAAGATCCTCGGCAGCTTTATGTAACTCGTCAAGAGTCTCGTCTATCGTTTCCAAACAATCATGGAGAGCTGTTTTTTCTCTTTTGGTAAGCTTTCTTGTGGCTATTAGTTTTTCAACAGTGAAGAAATTGTGTTGAACAGCTGTTGTAGTAAGGTTTATGGATAATTCAATGACATCTTTTTGGCTAGCCAAGTTAGCCGTGGCTCCAGGAACAGAGGCCACAGCTGAGAAGCACAACTCAGGGAATCTTGTGCTACTACAGGAGGATTTGAGTATGGCATGAGATTGTGAAGTGTTATCTTTCTTGTTTGAGTTTACGCCGGTGACAATGGCAATTATAGTGGCAACTATGAGCAGAGACGCAAAGAGAGAAAGGAAAAGCTTCTTGCGTTTCATGGAGATGGAACGCTTGCTGGTTTCTTGCATACCAGTCAAGTTTTCCTTATCCTGGTTCATTTTGGGAGGTGTTTCTAGCAAGAAAACTAGAAAAGAGAAGAGAAGATAACACTGAAATGTTTGCGCTATGGTTTGAGAAAGGAAATCATGTGTTTATAAAAGATGAGTACAGAGACCACCAATTAGCTTTTGGCGTTTTTCTCGTAATAATAAAGTAATATCCAAAAAATAAAAATTTAGTAAGAGTTGTTTGGAATTAATTTCGTTACATAATCTTTCTGGTTTTCATGTGACCATCCATTTTTCTAATTTAAAATAATAAAAAAAATAACAAAAATATCAAACAGTAAGTCGTTGGTTTGTCGTTTTTTATTTTTTCCAGTAATTTAATTTTATTGTCAATTGTATTTGAATTAATATAAAGTCCATTAATTGTCCCCACCATATTGGGCTGTCGTTTACAATATTTAATGTAATTATAATTTTTTTTTTTTTTTGGATAGAGTTTTATATTATTACAACATCTGCCAAAATTTTATTTATTAATTTTGACAGATACTAAATAACCGTTCTTCCCTTACACTTTCACTTTCAGACATCGCATATGACACTCTTCAGCTTGACCTTTAGAATATTACACAAAAGTTAATTTGATACCTAAAACGAGGTATAACGTTTGCCTTTTGCTTGCAAGTAGCATTTTTCTATTTACTCTACTTTTAACACGTGTCCTTTACTTTATATCCACTGTCCAATTCCAACATAATGTGGCTAATTATTCTTATTTTTTCCTTTTTTTTGGAAATTTGTTCATATAGAAGTTTGTAAATTAACCATAAACGAGGCAAAACGTTTGCCTTCTATTTTCAAGTTGAAATTTTATATTTTTTTTCCATTATTATTTTCCCACTATTAGTAATTAAATATTGTAAATTTTCCCGTTATACATTTGATTGCAAATCCTCGTTATTTTACATAAACGTGGTCATGGGTTTATTTATTTATTTATGTATTTTGTGTAGTTAATTATTCCTCAAAATTTCTTCAGATCAAAATTAATTAAATCTCTTTTTTTTTTTTAAAAAAAAAAAAAAAAAAATTTTATAATTTTTTTCCATATTATTTTCCCCACTATTAGTAATTAATAATTTGGTAAATTTCCCGTTTATACATTTTTGGTTGCAAATCCGTTCGTTATTTACATTAAACGTGGTTATGGGTTTATATTTATTTATGGTATTTTGTGTAGTTAATTATTCCTTCAAATTCTTTCAGATCAAAATTAATAAAATCTCTTTTTTTATTTTTAAAAAAAAAAAAAAAAAAGATCCATTCACACCGTTGTATTCTTTTTTTTTTTAAAAAAAAAAAAAAAAAGATCCATTCACACGTTGTATCAGTTAGCAAAGACAACGTAAGAGTATTGATTAAAGCAAAATTAGACATGTTTGATATGGTGGGTCGTCAAAATTGTTTTATTTGTTTTTTCTATATCATTTGATTTAGACTTCTGTAAAGTGTCCAACAATATAAATAAATTCATTTCCTTATTAATTTATTTGATTTTGTGAGAGAATATTAATAATATTTGTAAATGCATTGGATTAATGTGAAAAAATACACATTTAATTAATTAACTGTTAGCTTTTCTTTTTTTTTAATTAAAGCATAAGTTAGAATAAAGGCATACTCACTTTACAGTTAATTGATGTATTTAATTATACACATAGGCACATTATTTTTCCTAAACAAAAAATTAAAAAAAATAAAAAAATCCTAGCCGAATGATACCAAACATTACAATTTAGGCATGGAATAAAACTGTACCATATTAATAATATTTAATTAAGACAATAAATAATTTTAAAGAGTCAAGTGTGGTTACTAATGCATAATTTTTAAATGTTTTTATGCAATTATTATCTTTTGTTTTAAATAAAGCAAAAGAGAATAAATAGACATGAGAATCCAACTATTATCACCAATATAAATTGATTTCCTCTTTACATGTTTTGTCACAATCAAAGAACAACTTTAAAACTTCAATTTAAAATATATATACACATACCAAAAAGAAAAGCTTAATATTTAATTAAACATTTTCAAATATTAGAAGTAACTCGGTTAGTAAATATTAATTTCTGAATCCTCCACTGCCTTCAAGCAGCCCTACTCGCAAGATCTTGGAAGCAGCTACAGCTTGGTTTGGACAGAAAACGATAGGAAAGAATTGACAGTTCCCACTGAAATGACACTTGTTATAATGCAGACAGCATGGCACCAATTTCGGTAACTCCTGTCTTTAGGTTTGATTATAACTTTAAGTCATAAATGTCAGGATTTATTAATTGGTAGGCTACCGCTAATTATGGTTACGATTTTCAGTTCTGGCCAGGCCAGCTAATATTTAATAAACAATTGTCACGTTCCTGCTTTGCTTTGCTTTGCTTTTTTAAGCCAACCATTGGTTAAAAAATTAAATAAAATATATTTTTGTCGCATCCTAATATTATTTCACAAAATTATATACAGTAAATAAATGTACTAATTTATAGATAAATACAACGGTTGAATCAGTAAAAATAAATTAATTTATAAAAATTAAAAATTTATAATCCAAAAGGGCTTTATTGCTTCTATTGTTCTGAATTTGAAATCAATTGACTTCATAGACTTAAAAATAAAAATGGAAAGAGGTTTTGTAATGTTCCCACGGATTGGAACTTTTAGCTTTTTTTTTTTTTTTTTTTTTTTTTTTTTTTTTTTTTTTTTTTTTTTTTTTTTTTTTTTTTTTAAAACTTATTAACAAAAAGCAAAGGAAGCAGGAGGGAAGAAACTTTTGTTTTCCTTTTCTTTTATTTAATCTAATTTATTTTAACTTTTTTTTTTTTTTTTTTTTTTTTTTTTTTTTTTTTAAACTTTTACAAAAGCAAAGGAAGCAGGGAGGAAGAACTTTGTTTTCTTTTCTTTTATTTAATCTAATTTATTTTAACTTTTTAATTGTGAAGAAGAAAAGTGAAGAAAGAGGAGCAAAAGAAAAAAGAAGGTGAAGGAAAAGAAAGAGAAGAAGAATGAAGAAAAAAATAAAAAGAAGTAGAAAAATAAAAAGAGGGAAAAAAAAAAGTATAAAAAGGAAGAAAAAGGATAACATAAGGAAAGAAAAATAAAAACACAGAAAAAAGGGAAGAAGAATAAGAAGTAAGAAAAAAAGAAGTATAGTATTAATTATTTCATTCCAACTTTACCCTTTACATATTTCAACTAAACCTTATTTTATCTTAATTATTAGTAAGAATCAATGAAAAAGATAATTAAATCAATTACCTTTTTGAAAAAATTTAGATGATTTAATCTTTTTTTTTTATTTTTTATTTTGATTCAATTATTTTCTTAATTCTTATAAAAAGTTAAAAAATCTCAAATTTAATGAAATGAAGAAAGAATTTACACCTTTAACAAATTAAGATAAATAACCCACTATTCAATTCATCCATAGAGGAACCTATTTATATATTATTATATAAATACAATCCAAGAACATGTTAATCTCTTTTTTAATTAAAAAAAAAGAAAAATGCAATATATTAATTTTTAAACAGAACCATTATATATGATAACTGACATTTGAAAACTTTTACATTTTATTTTTAAAATATTTGATTATATTTTTATTATAATTTAAAATATTTTAAATTATTATAATTAAAGGTTTTCGTTTTATAAGTACTTGACAATTCACAGGTAATGTGCAAGGTAACTACAACATGGCTGAACTTCCCAAGCAATACCCTCAATTTGGAGAACTTTAATAAATGTGGAAGCGGAGTCTCAATTATAGGACCCGTTTGATAGCCCATCAAAGAAAGGAAGCCCAAAGTGGAAGATAATAGGCCCAATATCTTATTTCTTCTTTAAACATTAAACCCTTCTCTCCATCTCTGTCTACGCGCTCTTACCAGTTAGGGTTTAAGGTGTGTTTCTGTTACTCTATTGATTTCAGTCAATTGCTTTGTTTTATGTACTCTTTCTTCATTGAAAATTTTGTGTGAAATTAAATTGCACCAGGGTTGGTGGTTGGGAACTGTTGCCGCTAGTTTGCTTATGGTATCTGTTGGTTCAAAAGCTTTAATATTTAGAAGGCCCAGAAGTGGTAATTTAGGGGAAAATTGCATAATGGGTGAGGAGGATAATTCATATAAGCAAGGTAGAAAGAAAAAGGGAATGGGCAGGAAGGCCAGGAAAGAAAGTTTTAGTTTTGATGGGGATAATTCTAACAAAAATGTGTCTGGACCTGGAACTTTCAGACCCAAAAAGTCCTCCAAGCATCAAAATACATTAGAACCGCAGCCATTGGTTATCAGGTAAAATAACTTGTGAAGATAAGTTAAATTGAGGATTTCATTGGTTTTAATTTGCATACTTTTTGTTCAAGTTTCTCATTCTGTTTCCCATTTTTAAGCTATGGTAATCTACTATTGTGGCCACTTAAGCATGTTCGTGACTGGATTAATACTTGTAGGAAACAGGTTGATCCCGAAACTGTAAAATACTTCTCAGAGATTGCGAATCTTCTTGAAAGTAATGGGGTTGATTTCGAGGAGCGATCAGTTATTTGTGGTAATGCTCTTGAAGAAGCTAAAGGGAAGGAATTTGAATTGGCAACTGATTATATCATAAGCCATACTTTTCAAACTCTCCTCGAGGGCTGTGATATTGAACACCTTTGTGGTTTCCTCCAAAGCTGTGCAAATATCTTCCCTTTAATTGCAATGGACCGGTCTGGTTCTCATGTCGCTGAGACAGCACTTAAGTCTTTAGCGACACAGCTTCAGGACAATGAGGCATTTTCTGCTATTGAAGAGACTCTAACTACGATATGCAAGGTATAAATTAGGTGATTTTTCATTTAATTCTTATAACGAGGCCTTTTGTTTCCTGTATGTAGCAAAATTGCCTGTATTTTTTTGTTTCCAAGTTTGTCATGTGTAAGAAGAATATGGTTTCACGTTGTATTTATTACATTGTTTGAACCCTCGTAGGTGATTGTTGCTAATCCTGTTGATATGATGTGTAACTGTTATGGATCTCATGTTCTTCGAAGTCTTCTTTGTCTTTGTGGTGGAGTGGCGATAGATTCCCCTGTTTTTCATGGAGCAAAACCATCAACAATTTTGGCAGAGCGGCTGAACCTCAACGATACTCGGCCATTTGGTAATGACTCGGTATATTGTCAACAAGGATTTCCCAGTTTGTTGAAGTTTCTTGTATCAGAAATGTTGAAGTGCACCAGTGAAGACATTAAAATCCTACAAGTTGATCAATACAGCAGTTTGGTTTTGCAGGCACGTATGCACTTTCCCTCTTGTTGCATCTGTTTTTTCATTTTGCCGTTTACTAGCATGGGCAGGTAAGCTTGACTATGTTTTTTTCAGAATATGACCATTAAGTTACTTTGTGCCATTCTAGAAGTTTAAACTAGGATATATAACCTCAAGATTTGTCTGGCTCATTGAAATTTCTTACCATTTCTCTACAATTTTTAAGCTTATATATTGTTCTGCTCTCATTTCTTATTTTTGGCAAATTTACCTTTGCATGAAAAGCATCTGTTTTTCTGTTTGGACACAGGCTCCTTCTACTTCATTTTTTACTTTATGTTTAGCTGTGCTACGTATTCTTAGTGGGGGATATTAGTCCACATGCCAAATTCCCTAAAGGCAGTTGCTTCCATTTCTAGGTGTTTTTTTTCGTGTGCATCTTTGTTGAGTTACAAGAATATTCCAAGATGATTCTTCATTGATTTGTCATGATTCATATGAATTTCCTATTTTGTTAATCAAGGTCATGTAATGTGTTAACATTATACTCTTGGCAGACAGCTTTGAAGTTATTAGCTGGGCAAGGTCAAGAGTTAACGCAAATAATTCTTATTTTACTTGGATGCAAAGAAGAAAACTCAAAACAAGAAAGCTTCATTGAAACGACAGCAGTTGGTGAAATTGTAGGGTTAATGAAAGAAACTGCCTACAGCCACTTAATGGAGGTGAGGAACAAAAAATTGCAATTAATGAGATATTCCAAAAAATGGCTACTGAAAGGTCATTGATTTGGAGGCTTACTCATTGCTACTTACTGCATATGTTGTAATTATGCTGAGTTTATTCAATATGCTATTGGTTTCCAGATGGTAACTATTCATAGTTTTGATTATTTGAATTTTTTTAAAATCTGCAGGTGATAGTGGGAGTGAGTCCTGAAAGCTTGTATGATGAGATGTTCACTAAAGTTTTTAAGAATTCGTTATTTAAGCTTTCATCCCATCATTGTGGCAACTTTGTAATTCAAGCATTAGTTTCTCAGGCAAGGAGTCAGGAACAAGTATGTGGTATAACTTTTTGTGCTTGAAAAATCTAAAATGATCTCTTTACCTTTTGCAATGCTTGATGATAAGTGGTTCAGTTAAAATTATTGGATAGAATTCATAATATCTTGTTATTATAAAAATGTACATGGATACAACAATGAATATTTCCAGTGTGGTGTGTTTTGTTGAATGATGGTATCTTGGATTTATAATGGAACCTCTTGTTTTTGCTGTCTATTCTCACTTTGACTACTAGATGGAGCTGATTTGGGAGGAACTTGGTCCAAGATTTACAGATCTTCTTGAAATGGGGAGGTCGGGAGTTGTTGCTTCTCTGATTGCTGCAAGTAAAAGGCTTCATACCCATGAACACAAGGTTTATCACTTCAATGCAATTGCCCTTTGCTATTCTCTATTTGAATTCTAATAATGAAATAGAATATAAAGCTATTTTATCAAAGTGTTGAAATACATAGCATGAAGATTTGTTTATACAAAAGTATACATCATCATTCCACCAATGGTTGTGATCTTTTCATTACTTGTTTTGCAGTGCTGTCAGGCCCTTGTTGCAGCTGTATGTTCACCAAATGAGTCTCCAAGATGCATTGTTCCTAGGATACTATTTCTTGAAAATTACCTTGCCTTTGAGGACAGGTCCAATTGGGACTGGCCAAGTGGTATGAAGATGCATGTCATGGGTTCTCTTATTCTCCAAGCAATTTTCAGATTTCAAAGTGTATGTTGCCTTTCTTGTATATTTGTTTATTTCCTTTTCTTCTTATCATTTATATCTGTAGTAGCCCAATTTTATCACCATAATGCAAACATATGCTATAAACCTTTATATTTGTTTTATGTGATTTTGCACCTGATAACTAAATATAAATATTTGTTTGGTCCAGAGAACTGTCATCATCATTCGTTTTTGAGGCTTAAGCTGCTCTTTTCATTTTGTGCCATCTTGAGTTCTGTAGTATTTAACAATTTGTAAGGTTGAAATTGCTCTTTCACGTTGGCATTCATATTAGTAACATCTAGAACTTCACCCTTCGAGGCAACAGTATATGCTACTCTAGTGGCTGTTTCCGAGTTTCAGAAAAAAATATTTGTAATCATTGATATCCAATATAGAATACAATAACATGTTGAGTTAATTTTTTCTTTAATCTAATCTCATATAGGTAAAAGATCAGATTATTTGGATCATCATGATATTTTGAATATAGGCATTGTAGTTTCTCTTCATGGATTTATAACGAGTCTTATTATTTACGAGTTCCTGAACCCGAAGAGGATATAACCCAATGTAAAAAAAATAATGATCTGGCTATGTGGAAGTGAGATACTGCAGTTGCTATCAGAGTTTATCTTAATGTATGATGGCATCTAAGATATTTATTATATACACTTCAGTTTTCTAATTACTTATGGACATGATCTGTTTCTGTTTGACAGGAACTCATTCAGCCTTTTATTAACAGTCTTATATCCATGGAAATTGACCATGTCCTTCAAACTGCCAAAGATGCTGGGGGAGCGCGAGTTATTGAAGCCTTTCTTGGTTCCAATGCTTCTGGAAAGCAGAAACACAGATTAATCATGAAGTACGTCACACTACATTGTTTGATACTTCATTTTTGTGAAGTTCTGATCTTTATTCAAGTTTATATTTTCTGTTTTCCGACATAGCTATAATATGATTATACTATGGAACTGGTGAAAATTTTTGACCATTATGAACAATGTAGTTAGTTTCCCACTCTATCTTGTAAGAGTGGGTATCACAAATGAGGTCAAATTGAGGATGACTGAAATAGCCCTTCTCTTCCACTTAACAGCCAAGTCAATCATTAAATGACTATTTTTGCTTCTGAAAACCAATCCAAAGATCTCTGTTTGTCTAATGCATGCTCTTAAGGGTGTGGAGATCAACTTTTCCTTCTTCAATTTAGCATGGAAATTTCACCTGGAAACAGTTTTGAATACCTTGGGTTTTAAATTCACAGTTCAATTCAAATATTTTTTTCTGATTGTTGTTGATTACTCTCAACTTCTGAAGGCTACGAGGACATTTTGGAGAGCTGGCAATGCATTCTTCCGGTCCATTTACCATTGAGAAGTGTTTCACTGCCAGTAATATATCCCTAAGGGAGGCCATAGCATCGGACTTGTTAGCAGTGCAGACTGAACTATCCAAGACAAAGCATGGCCCCTATCTCTTGAGGAAGATAGATATTGACAGGTAAGCTGCTGTTCTTTTATTCTTTAGGGTATTGTGGACCATTGCATTCGGTTTTTGTTTGAAATATTTTTTTCGTCTTCTTCTTGATCCCGTTTTGTTTTGGGGGGTGGGGGAGAAGGAGGGAGAGAGAGAGAGTATATACTCGTCCACTGGCCTTTCCAGGTCCCAATTTTCAGTTAGCTAAGAACTACTACCACAACTTATAGTACATACACTTGCTAAGAGTTGGATTTTAGCTGTTCACCATTGTGTCTGAACTTTGCATGTCGTTCGCTTTACTGAAACAGATTTGCTAACCGGCCTGATCAATGGAGGTCCAGGCAAACATCCAAACAATCAACTTACGAAGAATTTTCCACTGCATTTGGGTCTGGTGAGAAAAACAAGCCTTCAAAAAGTGACTCCTTCCTTGTTGATGCTTCCAAGAATACTTCACACCCAAAAGATTTAAAGAAAATGAGGGAAGAGATTGATCATCATCTATCATCTGAGAAAAATGCCAAAAATTACATGGCTAATGATATCAAGAAGGCGAAATACAAAAAGAGTCATGCTGCTCCTGAGATGGTTGGAACATCTAAAAAAGCAGTGGAATCCATACAGCAGATACCATTCCTATCTGATGATGGGAAGGGAAAGAAACGACAGAGAAAAGATAAGCCCTCGAAAGCTTCAAAAAAGAAGTTAAAAGTATGATGATGTGATTTTCATTTAGCTTTGTAATAATACCAATACTAAACTTGAGCTTTTCCAGAGCATATGTTACAGGAATGAAAATTTTGTTACAAATATTCTTGATTAGAACAGCAGATACCTTTTATTGCTTTATAGTACTTTCTTCCTGCTCTTTTTTTTTTTTTTTTTTTTTTTTTCTATGGTCTAATTGGATATCAAGTAACGAATGACAAAAAGAGTCATGCTGCTCCTGGAGATGGTTGGATACACTATTAAAAAGCAGTGAGGATAATCCATTACAGCAGTATATCCGATTCCTATCTGATGAGGGAATGTGGAAAGAAACAGACGAGAAAAAATTATAGCCCTCGAATAAGCTTCAAAAAACGAAGCTTAAGTAAGTATGAATGATGTGTGATTTTCATTTAGCTTTGTATATAATGTACCAGAACTTAAACTTTGAGCTTTTCCAGAGACATAAAGATGTTACAGAATGGATAAATTTTTGTTACAGAATATATTTTTGATTTAAGAACAGCAGATACCTTTTATTGCTTTAAATAGTACATTCTTCCTTGCTCTTTTTTTTTTTTTTTTTTTTTCCTTTTTTTGGTTAGTAATATTTCAGGAATGTTTATGGACGCATCATATTCCTTTCAAATTTCTACACCATGGAAATACATGATAAGGATCGCACTTTTCATGATTCATGTTCCATATTTGAAAAATTTGAGTAAATGACATTAAATGAAGAACGTGCTGTTGCGACCTTACAAGTGCTACTTTTCTCGACCTTGAAATCTAAAACTCACTGACAGACCTACTTAGCTGTTTAGTGAACTAGACAGTCAGCAAGACGACGTAATATGCTGAGAAGAGACAAAAGTGTAAATGAGAACGCGAATGAAGGGAACAAGAACAGTGAAAAAGACAGCAGAGGTGATGTTTGGCAAAAACCTGAAAGCTACTACAGTATTTTTTTATTACTCTTCGAGGAGCCATCATAATGGAAGTGGTGTGCACGCTGGTACATGGCAGGAAACACAAGATGTGATAAGTCAACTTAAAAGAAAAGCCTACAATGGGCGTAAAGTCACTTGAAAACTGTTTTGGCCTACACAGAGGTTCTTTACCGAGTATATGTTCGTGTAGGATCTGGAAGTGCCTTGTCGGAGGTAATTTCTATCCTGAAAGCTAGAATCAACTTTCTTTTTGAACGCGATTCTTTTTTTGCTGATCGAATTATGATGGGTTTCTTTTCTATTTTCTAAATTGCTTCTTCCGTCACACTGGTATAGAGTGCCTTATACTATCCTGGGGCCTCTTTGCATCTCGCATGGCTTGTGGCTGAGGGAGTGTTCAGGTTAAGCTATCCTCTAAAATCCTGATTGTTACTAATAGGATTCAAAACGCAAATGCCGTCAATAGCGCCTGCATTTAGATGATCGAAAACGCCCCTCTGCTCAGTCGACAACTATGTACATCCAAGCTTTTTTTTTTTTTTTTTTTCTTTTTTTGGTTAGGATTGGAGTTTATGGACCATATATCCTTTCAAATACACATGGAGAACATGATAAGCTTTATACATTTCAAATTGAAAAATTTGTAAATGCATTATGAACTGCTGTTACATTACAAGTCTACTTTTCCCTTGAAGTAAAACACTACACTACACTAGCAAAGAGTATACTAAAGAACAAATTAAAGAACGAAAAGGGAAAACTGAAAAAAAGAAGGTGATGTTGCAAAAACTCTGAATCTACTTCCTTCGGCCATCTAATGGAGGTGTGCACCTGGTACAGAAACACAGAGTGTAGTCAATTAAAGAAAACCTACAATGGCGGAAAGTCTTGAAAACTGTTGTTGGCACAAGAGGTTTACTTATTCTGTGTAGGATTGGAAGTGCTTGGAGGTATTCTTCTGAAGCTGGAATCAACTTTCTTGAACGGATTCTTTTTGCTATCTTGCATTCTAAAAGCTTGTGTAGTTGCAGCCATGGCTGGTGCTGAGGAGGGTGGTCCTAAAGGCGCTAGACGAGCCTCTGCTTGAATCCTATGTAACCAACCAGATAGAGTAACTGAAAGCAGAATAATAAGAGCAGCCATGGTTATAGAGTGTACCTTCATTTTGTTAATGTGGTAACTTGAAGTTTCTTGAATTGCTTTAAGCAAGTGAGAGAGTATAGTGAAGACTGGTACAGTATGGTGAAGAGAATATGGAAGAAGAAGAAAGATTGTACAAGCAGTTGTGATTTATATTATACCTAACCTGTCCTCCTAAAGCAAAAAAAATCTAAATTGGGATCTGATGTCAAGTGGGATCATGTGCTCTACTTTGACTGTTACAAGTTTATGTCTGTCTCTGACTGATTTAGATAAGTGATGACTGATGACATATTATTAGAGAGGGTCATGTGATTTATCACGTGATATTAGTATTAATTCTTTTTGGGGAATAGAGTTTTGAGAAGAAAGGATTCAGTTTTATATTCAGTTAAGTTAGTTTTCCAAGGACAGTCTTTGGATACCTTAATTCACTCCACAACATGTTTACTATTAACAGCTGTTTTGAGGCAGATGTTGGTTCAGCTACAAATTGTTTTCTTCAATAACACGTTTGGAAATTTGAAATGGTAAATTTCTCACTTTAATTTAAATTTTTATGAGAGATTATATTTTTAAAATATACTTTTACGGTTTTATAAAAATTGTACTTACTTTTCGTTTCGGTCTTTCCTAAATTGTGAATTTTTTTTATTATATTTAGATTATTATATTAGCTATCAACAGATTATTATGTTATTATTTAATGGCACAAAATTGACATTTATGCAATGGTCGTGTGGTCACATCTGAAGGTTGATGATGTTTTGTTCACATCATGAACCAAAAAAGAGGGCTTTTAATTTTAAATGTAAAGTTGATTAGGCAAGTGCTAACCTTTGTTTATTTATTTTTTTATTTTTTGGCTTTTTGCAGTTCTAAAAGTCAAAAAGATAGTGACTTTAGACCTGTTGGGCTTGGACAGAAGAGGTTTTCTTGTACATGGCCCAGACCAACAACAAGACAGCCCAGACTTAATATTTAGATTGACCCGGCCCAATAGCAAAGTTTATATGATTTGAATATAAAACGGTACGTTTCATTTTCAACCACTGAATCCAACGAATCGTGTTAACGTTTTTTTATATTATGTCACCAATGACAGTCCAATTACAGCACCCTTGACTTCCACCCCTACCCTCTATCTGTCCATCTATTACCGAATTAATTTAATTAATTCTATTTAATAGACAGGTAAGTTACAAAATCCATCTCTTTCCGTTACAACTTCTCATTGTTCATCCTATCTTCTTCGATTCTTAATGCAGCTTTTCTCTTCTAGTTCTCGGCTTGTTCACATATAATTATCGCGGTAATGGCTTCTTAATCGTATTGCCTTTCGTTAATTTCATTTATATTATTTTTTTCTCAATATTTTTGAACATTTTGATGCTTTTTTTTTCTGAGATCGATCTGTATTTGTGTTTGTTATCTACTTAATTGGTGGATTCTTTGTTCTTTTCATTCACTTTGTTTATGCTAACTGGTTAATTCTCAATTGATTGTTTTAGGTCGATTCTAAGTGAATATTTCCTGACTTTGCATTGATCTCCTTTTTTTTTTTTTTTTTTTTTTTACAAACACGTCACTCTAATGGTTCTTTCTTTTTTATTTTCTTATATCTCCTACACTTAGCGCTCGTATATTTGCGGGTAATTGTTGAAATGGGTTCCTTTGAATACGATTCAATCGAGCAATTATGATAGATGAGATAATAATTTAGAGAACGTTAATCGCTATTTAATCTTGCAATGCTGATTTTTGAGCGCATTCCTCATCTTTTTACTGCTTTGTACAGGTGAGATTCTTGTACATATGGGCTCTTTGCAATGTTTGTGAATTTGAACGGATTATACTAGGTATTGTTAGATCAGCATCTTCCCCTCTATCAATTTTGAAAAAAGAGAGAAAAATAAGGAAAAATTGAAAATAATATATGTTATATGTTTATATAGGACCGGCGACGGTCCCCAAAAGAACGTGGAGAAAGTTGGTAAATTACAAAACATAACTAACATCGCCATTTAATAGTACATTTGTCACCTTGGCATTTTACCTTAGGTTGATGTAAAAATAATTGTGTGTTGACTATTAAGGATGTTACCTTTATATATTGTCCAGTTTGAAGAATGGCGAGGTCGAGACATTATATTTATGTAACTCTGATCTTCGCCGTTTTTGCGTCTTCTATATATTAAGGAGCTAAAAGTTTCATGCATTTTCTCTAGATTACTACTATGAGTAAATTGTTTTATCTCTCCTTTTTCCTGTCTAATTCGACGACCCAAATAACATCTTAGCTTGGTTTGGATGAGTTTCGCAATTCTCAAATCTATATGAGAGATTTTTTTTCGTATAGCACTCAGATTGTCTGAGTAGACACACATCAATATTATATAGCGAGATTATCAGCTACCTGCTGGGATGGTCACGGATGTAAGATCTTTTTTTTTTTTTTTTTTTTTTACATTAGGGTTTTTGGGTTAATTTTGATGTCCTTAAAGAATTGATTATATATGAATATTTATGGTCCGTTAATCGCTATTAATCTTTAATTGTGATTTGACCTCCATTTTTATTGCTGATATTTTAATTCTTGTAATAGGCTTCTGTTTGTTGGTTGTATTAGGTGTTACCAGGTTTCCATATGCGTGGAAATTGTATTACACTATGCAGTTAATCATATGATTTGCTTGGCATTTCCTTAGGTTATTGTTGTAATAATGTTTTGATATTGGATGTTATCTTTTTATGCATTTTGTTGAATGCAGCAGACTTATATTTATGTTAGTTCTTCGCTTTTTTCTTTCTTTATATTAGTATTAAATTTCAATTCTTTTTAGATTATTTTATCTGAGTAATTGTTTTCTCCTTTTTCCTGTATCAGCCAACATATTGTGGTTTGGGAGTTTGAATCAACTAGATAAGTTTTTGCTGTTTGTGCTGAAACTAATTTAAAGTTACAGTTGTGGGATGGCCGAGAAATCATGTGTTAAGCGACTTCAGAAGGAATACAGAGCACTATGTAAAGTACGTTCTGTTGTTAATCCAAATTGCACATTCTGTAATCTGTTTATGTTATCTGCACGTGTGGCTATAGCTTAGTGTAGCATCTTCTAGGGGTCTGTTATTGTAACAATTGTAACAAATACTACATTGTTTCAACACAGTAGTACATTTTCTGTCCCATAGCAGATGACAAGTTTTTGTTTTCTATGCTATTTGCATCTGTATTTTTGAGGAATTCTCCCTTTCCTAACTTATTTGTTGTGGCGGTGCATCTTCTAATTACTCATAGTTCTGTGTTACAGTTTTTTAGTAATAAATCAAAGAGAAGGAAACAAAGAATTTCTCTCATTGTTTAGCACTTACCAGACCAGATAGCTTCACAGCTTCGTTAAAATAATTCAAAGTGGTTTAAGACAATGCATTCTTGTCAGTATGTTGGAATTTTGTTTGAATTGCTATTTTACTTGATATTTTTGAATTTGTAGGAGCCAGTTCCCCATGTTGTTGCCCGTCCTTCCCCAAGTGACATCCTCGAGTGGCGTAAGTTCATCATAATATTTGTTTTCTTCTCAAATATTACTCTTTAATGTTAATGGAATAAATTTCTTTAGTGGATTCAATCTCTGTGATAGAACATAGGCCTAGGCTAAACTTGCTTTGCATTGTTGCTTAAACTAATGCATCGAATTCTACCAGGTTTTACTTCCATTTAATCTTAATTATCCTTATTCTTATAGAGGAGAGGAAATGGAGTGTGCATAATATCTGAGCTGATTTATAACAATTTCCCATACTTTTCGATTGCATTGTTTATGAGGTTGAAGAATCATTTCATTGTAAATATTGACTCTGAGACCATACCTATTCAGTCTGAGGGGTGTTAACAAACTGAACCTAACTGAGTTCTCTGAGTCAAGCTTGCTTAAGTCATCCCTGTGCCATGCCCATGATCTTTTGTCACTCTTGTTCAACATAGGCTCAGCAAGCTCTAACTGCTCCTGGGCTTCTCTCATTGAGCTAGACAAGCCAAGAGGCAAGAGAAAATATTAACTAAGTATCTAACGTGTTTATACTTGTGTGAATTATCATAGTGAGTATTGTAACTTATGTTATCTAAGTGAATTCACTTGTGTCCATATTTGATAAAACAACCTTAAAATTTTTATTCAAATTTGATTAGTTAACTTTATAAATATGCACAAATGAGCTCTTACCTAGCTGAGTCGTGTGTTGTTGATTGTGTGCACTGGGTTGCTTACACCCCCCCAAAAATCAGTATTCTGGTTGTTGGTCAAAATTTGACCACTCGTTATCACTATGTTTTTTTTGTGTATTTTTCTTCTTATTGTTATTAATTTAATTTTTGGTTCTTTAATACTGATGGTATGGTACTTTGACAATGCAGATTATGTGCTAGAGGGAAGTGAAGGAACTCCTTTTGCAGGTCTGTTAATTTTGTTCTTGATGTGGTGTTTATTGTTGAACCTATGTGATCCTCTATTGTTTCATGATTTTGATTGTCTAGCTCAATTGAGAATTTAATATTATCACTTCTTGGTTGATAAAATGTGAATTTCTGATCATTCTGGTGATAAGGTGGATATTATTATGGAAAGATCAAGTTTCCTCCAGAGTATCCCTACAAGCCTCCTGGAATCACGTAATCTGTCCTATTTCTACTTATCTTTCTTCAGAATTTTAGCAGCTTTTCCTTAAAAAGGCAATAAACTTTTTGTTAATTCTCTTAATTTTTAAAAACTGTGTAGTATGATAACTCCCAGTGGACGCTTCTTGACTCAAAAGAAAATCTGCCTGTCTATGAGCGATTGTAAGTTCTTTAGAATTTTTTTACTTGTGGAGAATCAAAATTGTCATCTCCAGTGACCGATTGTTTTATCACCTTGATTTTGTTGCTTTGCAGTTCATCCAGAGAGTTGGAACCCAATGTGGTCTGCATCAAGGTAAAACTTACACTAGTTTTGGAGTGTCTATCTTGATATTAGAGTATCTTTATTGTTTATATTTTCTGCCTCTCGGCAAATTAGTATTAGCAAAGTAGCAGTTAGTATAGATCCTTCCTCTTACTTTCTTATTTCCATCAATGCAGCATACTTACAGGGCTTCTTTCCTTCATGGTAAGTTCATTATAGCTATTAACTTTATCAGTCGATTTCAAGTGTGGTGGTATCTCGATTCAGAATCTCTCCTGTTGTGTGTGTCTTTGTTTTCTTTTTTGTTTTGAGGAGGGGACAGTGGGGTGTGGTATCTCTCTTAATTTTTACTTAACTATGTGTAATTATTTTTTGAGGAACCCTGTGCCCTGATGCTGATCAAGTGACATCCTCATATTTTGAATGTTTGAAGTGTACCTGAAATTTTTTTTTTTTTTCAGAATTCCTTAAGAGTTGTTTTTTTACCAGGAATTAATTTGTGTTATGCAGATGGACAACAGTCCTACCACGGGCAGTGTGAACAGTACTGTTGCTGAGAAGCAGCGCCTGGCAAAGGCTTCTCTTGCTTTCAATTGTAAGAAGTAAGTTGATAGTGCTACATCTTATGCTTTCACTTTTTCTTTCTTCTTCCATATTTCTGCAAATGCACATTTCCTTTTATTTTGCCATTGAGCATATTTCATCTGGGCGGCCAGCCAATTGAAGAATGTAAACCCTTTTTGTTTTTGCTTTTATTGTTGGTTATCATGTGCATATATATTGGTATTCTGGAGAGTTTGATTCTTGTCTTGGTCATTGCCCTCTTACTTTTTTGAATCCATATTTCTTTATGCTTTTTGTTATTTAAGATGGAACTGCAATATCTAGCCTTGTCCAACTCTTTTTCACCTCTTTTTAATTGGCAAATCTTTTCTGAGCAGTCCAACATTTAGGAAGTTGTTCCCTGAATATGTGGAGAAGTACAACCAGCAGCAGCAATCTGAGCAAATTATCACAGAGCAGGCATCAACAGAGGCATCACAGGAGGAGAAATCCAGACCTAAATTGGAAAAACTCGATAATTTTTCGGGAGAAGATGTGAAAAGAGTAGATACACTGAAAGGCCCGAGAGGAAACAGGAAGCAGACTTTCCCAACATGGGTGATGTTATTGCTGGTTTCGATCTTTGGCATTGTAATGGCATTGCCTCTGCTCCAACTTTGATATGCAGACTGCGAAATGGAAATTTTAGTATGGTTAGCAGACTTATGAGCTTTTGCCAGTTGAACTTTTTCCCATAATAGTCCTTAGGTTTGCCCTGTATTTAGCAGAACTTGTATAGAGGTTGATGCTCAAAGAGAGGCTCTGTTGGGTCTTTTTATGTTATTGTTGGCAGTTGGTTAGTTAATGCCTAAAAAAGTTACATGTTTTGTGCCTTTATTTTCTAAATCTAGTAGAGATTAATGTGGTACTGTAGGTTGTGCTTTTCCTTCTGTTGGGCCACTGATTTATCTTGTGCCTTAAAAAGAAATGATAATGGGGGAACAATCCGTCTGCATTGACACGTTGTGTTGTCTGTTGTCTGCAAAACCACGATACGTGCCTTTGTGAATGATTTTGTTCTTGGGTAACTGTAGGATTAACAGATGGTGGGGCCAATTCTTTTCAATATTAGCTCTTTATTCTGTCATTTTATGTTTTGCTGAGATATGACTCGATCTTTGCTTTTCTTTTGCACAATTAATTTTGAAGTGACGCATCCAATTCAAGAGAATAAGGGAAAGAAAACAGGTAAGATGGATGGTTGGCACTTGGTCAATCAGAAGTCAATATTTTGTACAAAATGACTCGCAAAAAATCTGTATTCCATCAACATGAGATCCAAATAAATAGGACAGTGGTCAATGATTCCTTCCAAGACTAACCTTATCTCGGTAGAAAGTGAAGGCTTGTCTGAAGAAGTTGCTGTTTTTGTCTGATACCTCTGCAATTAATTAAGAAATAGAAATGAAAGCTCAAATGTCAAAAGGTTGTGCTTATGAAGCAGGTACCAAACTCTACAACACCTCAGTGCAGTGCAGAGCAGGCTGTTATTATTAATATTGACTTGGGTTGGCATTTGCATTTCCCTCCCAAAACTTCAAAAAATAAAGCCTCAATCAATGCGAAACATACGGCACTCTGTAGTGCAAAATTTCAAATATATATTATATATATCTCCCAATTCCCATGCAAGATAAAATTATCCTCTCTCTTTCTTTGTCACATATATAATAATTACTCCTTTAATGATTATTGATTATAAGGTCTACTTAGCTACATTTTTTTATTGAACTTTTTTTTTTCTTTCCCTGTATCTTTTCTGACACCTACAAGCTCATATGCAAGATACAGCAAATTAGAGGGGGGGTTCTTCTGGTCCTTTAAGTATGATTGCTACCAACAAACCCTAACTTGTTTGTTAATTTTTACTCTTGCCTTTTAATGAGTAGGTTTAAATTGAGAGGAAAGCTATCATTATTCCATTCCAATTACCTTCTTTTCTTAAAGTTTTGTTAGCTGTCTGATTCTTAGTATCTATGTTTGGTATAAATGGAATGTTTTCGTATGGAGAATTTTTACCATCTATTTTACCCCCATGTATAAATCCTTTTCAAAAATTAATGTTAATAAAAGGTTTACAATGCCATTTCAACCACTCAAAAGGTCCTACTTCTATAGTCTGCAATTTACTTGATTAAATATCAGTTTGGTGGTTGGCCATTGCCATTTTTACACCAGGGGATTGCATATCTGAAATGATTGTAGGATCTTCTTTTTAATTTTCTCTCTTTCTTTGTTGCCTCTTTTTACTAAAGAAACAATTGAAGGTAGACAATTGTGAACTTCACTTCTTATTTCATGCCCTCTTAACATCATCCCAACTGCCTATATTTTCATTTATCCCTCTACCCTTCTTTGCAGATAAATGTATCAATGCCATGCTTGTTCAGCTTGATGCTTCCTTTGTGATTCTTTGATTGTATTTCTGTTTTTCTCTCTCTTTAATTTTTGTTGTTGGGTTTAACAATTTTCAGGCAACAATGAAGAAATCTCCTGTTTATCCAAACTATGACACAAGTGATTATGTTGGCTATGAGTTTGATCCTCAAGTGGATTTCACACAGGTAAGCAACCTGTCTGCAGTTTATTTCTGGGTTCTCATTTTCTACCAACTTGCTTTCTTATCGATCGATCGAATAGTTCTCTATCATTGATGTGAACTTTTATTATTTTGATATTCTGACAGAGTTACAAGAATCATTTACTTTGTTAGTTTTATCTGACTGGCTTTTGATCAGTTCTTGGAAGAAGCAAGACAGCATGCAAGAGAAGTGAATCTCCAGAACTCACTACCACATGCAGAAGAAACTGTAAAAACAAGAACAGAAGAAGAGAAAAAGAGCAAAAAATCATGGAAAAACACTCTGTTCAAATGGTGGAAATCTGATAATAAAAAGGGTGAGGCTAGTAAGCAACCTGCAAATAGCTCTCACGTTTCAAATCCAAGAAAAGGTCATGTTTCTGGTCCAATATATGGGACTGGTGGAACTGTAGACATGAAGCTCCGGCGACAAACATCCGGACCTCTTGCTAACCTTTTCAATCCTATAAAGAGAACAGGAAATGAGGCACCATATATGTGTCTTGATCCGATCAACAATCCTCATGGTGTCAAAGCCTATGGACCTGTTTACTTGGTAACATAGTGTTCTTATGATGAAACTACGTAAAAGGAACTTCAATTCTAAGAATAATTTGTTCTGCCGGAGAATGGAGAATTACAGTTGGCAAGGAAGTGTACAAGATGGTATGAGTAGGCAGAAACAATATGCGTAAAGACTAGCTGTAATGTGCAAAAAATTGGATTATCTAATAGAAAGATAATCCCTCGCACTGAAGATTTATAGCTGTCTGTCTTATTCTTGTTTATTTAGCTACTTGTATGTTCAAAGTAACTGTTATCAGTAACCTATTGAAATTTCAATTCAATATCACTGGTTTGCTGGTACATCTTTTTCCAAATTTAAAATGATTATCCACAAAAAAAAAAAAAAACAACAGAGACTGAAGAAAGAATCCAAAAAATAACCGATTCTTCCCATAACCTAGCTTTAGTGAAGAACAATCAACTAGTATGGAGGAAACTACACCTCAGCCTCGACAAAGATGAATGCCCACTACTTGGAGTTATCTATTTAAGGAAGCTACATATTATATCAGGTCTCAATCAGATAAACAATTCTGACTGTTGACATAGACGCAAAGATAAACGTACACCTTGTATTTATAGAATTCTGGAACTCAGCCTTAACATTTTCCTGTTAACTTAACAGTAATGGAATTTTGAATTATAGTGGAAATTGGTATGTTATTTTCATTTTATACATTTTCTTGTTATTATACTGGGAAATATGTTTTGGAGGTTGCATTTTTGGCAGGCTTCTATTAAACAAATCTAAAATCCTGAATTCACATCTAGTTTCCCAAAAATGTTAATCCAAGGATGATCAATACAAAACTTGTCCCAGTCTGTAAAAGAAACATTGAATAAATCTAACCAAATTCTGTGTTCTTGAACCTTGATCAAATCGAAAATTGTTTAATACTTGACATGCTGTGGTTAAAAAAAATTTTAAAAATAACGCAGATAATTAAAAGCTCTCCACTAGATGAATCAATATTTGAAACATGAATGTTTCTGAAATACATCTTCTGTAGAAGAAGTTGGATTGCTCCATCTTCTTTAACAGAGAAGCTTGCCTAATATCCTACTTTCTCATCACAATATTTTCAATTCCTAATACTCTGCACCAAGATCATACAGTAACCCAGAACATCTCGTATAACAGACTTGATCATCTCTTAATATCAAGAATGACAAAACAGTGAAGCAACCAAAGCAGAGAGGCTATCTTTACCTCCAAAAAGGAACACCAATTCTTAAGAGATCATTTCATTAAAATCCAACCAAGGCAAGCAAACGCTGACGAGATAATGCAATATCTTCGGTCATCCATTCCATAGCCAATTCTCCCAAAACCTATACATATATGAGATAGCTTCTCTTCATTGGTTAGACTTAGATATCAACAGAAGAACTCGAACTGCTAAGAGCCACTTTTTTTTCCCTGCTTAAAAGCCTTTTCAATGACCTTAACCTTTGTGTAGGCACTGGAGACTTATTTGATTCTTCCTCGGCAAAGTCTTCATTTACCTGCATAGGTATATCAATAACCAACATCTCATCTTGCCTATTACGAGAAGAAGAAGAGGTGGAAGAAGAAGGTGTTCTTATAGAATTTCCTTCTTCCAGTACGCCACCACTGCCAACGCCGCCACCGGTGCTTACCTGAGTCTGGTCCCCCCAAAACAACACATTTGTTGGGAAATTTGGAGATTCTGTAGAATACCCAGAAGCCAAAATTTCCTCTGGAGACAGAATATTCTCTTCCAAATCATTATCATTGGAAACAGAGCATTCTGCTACTGGTACTACTGAGTTTCTGCAAAGAGGGCAAGTGGAGTGAGACTGAAACCACATGTCAATACAATCAACATGGAAACCATGGTTGCATTTAGGCAGCAACCTTGTTTTTTCTCCTTCTGCAACCTCGGATAAGCAAACTGCACATTCTAACCCATCTTTGAAGTCTTTGGACTGAAAAATTACAATTGGTAGGGATTTGAGGACGGAAAGTTCTAGTCCTCTCCGCACTGGGTCTTGACCAGGATTAAAAACGAAACGACGGCGGTTCCGGCGAGAGGGTGTTTGACCTGTAGGCTGTTCAATGCGCCACCAAAACCATTTTGCATATAAATGAAGAAAGAGAACAAAAACCACCACGATAAATAGAATTATTATAGCTACCACCATTATCTTCCCTGTTATTTCAACTGTTGCTGAGTTGTCTAAATCTCCCATAGCTAATTCCCAAAAAGATGTCTTCTTTTAGGCTTATGTCTATAAACCAGCGAAACCCAGATGAGAATTCCAAGAAAGATGGTGAGAAATGTAGCTTATGCTTATCCCAAATGGGTTTCTGCTTTGCTCTGATTCTTGAAAATTAGAGAGCGAAGTTAAGGAAAAACAAAAAAGATTCTTTTTTTAATGGTTATGGATAAAATGAGAATGAGGTAAAATAAATATACAAGAAGAGAAAGAGGAATTTGAATTTGTTAATTAGGAACGAAAAGAGGAGGAAGAAGATAATGACGAATTTTCGGTCTAAAACAAGGAAGGAAGAAATTGAAAGGCTTCTCCTTTGGCTTGTGAAGACTGGCTTGTTTTTACGCTGTTACTTTCTGTATTCTCCGTTCCGTTTATGGGTTTCGTTTGTGCGGTGCATTTCATACTTTTTTTTTTTTTTTTTATTTGTTAAATTAGACGAAAAGAGGGAGGAAGAAGAATATGACGAATTTTCGGTCTAAAACAAGGTAAGGAAGAAATTGAAAGGCTTCTCCTTTGGCTTGTGAAGACGGCTTGTTTTTAGCTGTTACTTTCTGTATTCCTCCCCGTCCGTTTTATGGTTTCGTTTGTGCGGTGCATTTCAAATACTTTTTTTTTTTTTTTTTTCTTCTTTTGACTCTTCCTGACTTTTTTTTTTTTTTTCTTCTTTTGACTCTTCTCGTGACGCATTTGAAAGTTGAATTGGATTTTTCACTCTTCTTTCTTTCTTTCTTCCTTTCTTTTACTTGTTTAAATTTTTAAAACCAATATTTGAAAATTGAAATCTAATCTAAAATAGATGAAATACAAAAATAAAAATTAATAAAAAAAATTAGACAATTTATGTGAAATTAAGAGCAAATATGACATATATCACACTAAACACACTAAAATTTGAAAAATTATGATAAATAAAATAATCACGGGTCATGAATAACAACTAAGTTGAAAAAAAGAAGCGGACAACATTTGCTTAGTATTCAAATTCAAATTGAATAATTCTGCTTTTTTTTTTATTAAAGTAATAATCAAAATAATAAACTAATATTATTAAATATAAAGTTTAATTATTGAGGGAGTTCCACTAATTAAAGAAATTATTTGTTTATTTTTCTCTTAAAATCTACTCCTTCCAAAATTGGCATAACAAAATTTACCTTTAATTATAATGCCACTCGTGTGCCATTAATTTTATCCTTTGTATTCTTTTAATTTTGAATATAAAAAAGAGGAATTTGAATAAATAATTCTTTAAAATTGCATTATAGTAAAATTGTTTAGAAGGACAAAGCATGAAATAACAATTTATCTTATGAATTTGTAATTCACATTTAATTTATCTTAAAAAGTTCAAATCCATGCGAAAATTTAGACAGATTGTTCGTAATTTACAAATTCATAAAATCAATTAAGCTAAAAGGTCGATTATATAGCATTTTATTCCGGAATTATGAGGGTAGAGAGCAAATTAAGTATTTATGCAACTTTTTCTTGTGAATTTTCAAAGAGGTATTATACTTGACAAAGCTTCGAAGACCAACTACCATAGATATTGTAGGTGAGCAGCCAAACCCATCTGCCCCTATTAGAAGGCCTTTGACTTGTACAAGATAGTAGCAATTGCATTGAAGAAGCCTCCTTTGAATGTCTGCTTTCAGAGCTCTTAGCAGACCTTGTGGTTCAACCATTTCATTTTGAACTAGTCAATTCTGCAATACACAGTGTTTGAGACAAAGAAAGAAAAAATAACTTCAAACTTTCGATACATACCTTATTTTCCATACTCCGAAAATAAGTATTAGTGCAATTTTATAAAAAATACATTTGAATCAAAGAAATACATACGAGAATATATAATCTACGAGAATATATAATCGTTCATGTATTGCAAATGATTATCTTAAAGTGAAATAAATATTAGATATTATAAGAGTTACCCATATTCGAAATAAGCGAATCCTATAAAATTTCGTTAGATTCATTTCGATCGTGAATTTGAATTATCTAAATTAAAATTTTTATGATAATTCTAAAATTATGATGTGAAATGTACCGTTGAACAAAACTTTTTTAAAACAAATCTCAAGAAATCAAACACCTAATCCCGATTATTGATCCGGAAAAGTCGCTGATCACCACCTAAATGAAAAGAGACCACACACCCATTCCCTTTTCTTTAATGGTCTTTTCTAATATGAAAGGAAGACCTTCAACTCTGAGAAATTTTTAATTCTTTCTAACAACTAATTTTTCCAATGCCTGGAGACGAGACCATTGTCAAACCTGATAGTTGAAGATAGATTTTTTTTTTTTTTTTTTTTTTAGATTTTTTTTTTTTTTTTTTTTTTTATGGTAAAGAATGTTAGAAATTTAATATAATTACCCAAAAGCTTAATGTTAGAAATGATGATTGCATTAGCATAAATTTGGGCTTCAATCAAGTCAAAAAAATATATACATAATGATAATAAGCAAGTGTGCTGAGACAAAATGATGAGTTTGGAATGATATTTCCTCTCTATAGTACTGGAAAAAGCACATACACAAACGTGGTTGAATGACTTTTTTTTTTTTTCCCTTTAATTTGCTTTCCAGGAAATTTTATTAGAAAAAGCTGAAATACCGTAAACTTCGAGATTAATACTCTTTTCGTTCTATTTTAACAGTATCATATAGTTATTTTTGTTTTATTTCAAGTGCTGATTTAGAATTTTTAAAATATGTTAGATAATTTTTTTCAATTTTACTTGTATTGATTATATATAATTTATATTTATTTGTATCTTTTTTTATTATTATTTTAATTGTAGTTAAATTAAAATTTTGACTATACATTGCTAAATTTTTTCATTATATATAGGCATGAAAAAATAAAATGGAAGTATTAGTCTCATATAGGATAAATTTAGTATTTATTTACAACTATATCACTAACCTTACAATTATTGCAATATTATAAATCTGATGAATTTAAGAACAAATATTCAGCTTGTACAGGTGTTGGGTTTTGGGGTTTTGGGCTAAGTTGGCCCAAAGACTTCTAAAAAGGATCGGCCCATTAAGCTAAAATATCTACAAGGTTAGATGGATTAACATGGTTCATGGGCTAGCAGAAGAGTAATATCGAGTGTTATCTTAACTTCTGCACTGCAACAAAGAGACACTGTTTGTGTTTGTGGCTCTCTGTTTCTCTGTCTGTCTCCTCTCATTCAAGAATCTGTATCTTGTTGCTTCTCTTTTTCATTTTAGAGCATCATACTCAGATTCTCTTTTTTTTTTTTTTTTTTTAAAAACAGATTCTCTTTTTTTTTTTTTTTTTTTTTTTTTTTTTCAAAAAGAAATACGGTATTGTCTTCATAGAAGGGAAAGAATAGGCCTGGTTTTGGAGCTGATTCTCATGCATATTTTGTGTTTATTTGAGATTTGTGTTCTGGGTTTGGCTGAATGAACTCTCATCAATGCCTTTATTAGGTGCTCTCTTCACTCTCTCTCTTTACTGTTTTTTCCTTGTTCCTTTTACTTGTTATTGAATCTTGGATGAATTTTGTGTACTTTGTTTGCAACTAGATTCATATTATGCAACAATTAAAATAATTTGCAGATAATAAATTTCATTTTTTTTGTTGCTTTTATGTGGTTGAGTTTAGCTTAGTTCCTTAAAATTTTCAGCACCTTGTATAAAGTGTCATTGATGAACTTTATTGCCCCTTTCTTGGATTTGTAGACTTCAATAGCTGTTGATGATAGCATGTAGACTTACAGTTAACTCATGGGCGTGTTTGATATTTTTGTAGATATAGCTACTGCTCAGGCTTCCTTGCAAAACCATCTAAGTCCGTTAAGGGCTAAATCCCTCATTCATTGTAAGGTTTTGTCAAGTCCATTTATTTTTGGGGATGAGAAAAGATCCATACCTGCGTGGAAACCTTTCTACTTCCCTAAAAAGTTAAATGCTTATGAAAGGAGTAAACTTCATATCAAGGCAGTTGCTACTCTTGAACCAAAGTGTTTAGTTAAAAAAGAAGATGGAAACAGGAATAATGGAAATGCGCAGCTTGATGTCAATTCAGATGCCTCGATAGTTCAGATTAAGTCCTCGGATGGAAATGCGCAGCTTGATGTCAATTCAGATGCCTCGATAGTTCAGATTAAGTCCTCGGATGCAGACTCAATAGAGTTGGATGAAAAAGAGAGGTTGAGGCGGATGAGGATTTCTAAAGCAAATAGAGGAAGTACACCATGGAACAAAGGCAGGAAGCACAGTCCTGGTAGGTTTTGGCTATATATTTGTTCAGCATGATGTCTAAATTCATCTATATGTTTTCATTGTTGTTGTGTGGTAATGATACCATAATGCATCCATCCATATGCAGAAACCATTCAACGGATTAGAGAGAGAACGAAGCTTGCAATGCAGAATCCTAAGGTGATGTCATGTAAGAATAATTTTTAAGTGATCTTTCTCATGACCTGGAGCGACTCAAACAAAATGTAATTTTTAGCCAGAGCCAGTATTACTGTGAAGAAAAAAAAATGATGTAAACTTAGATATATGAGTCAATGTGAAGTTTCTAGGTCAGTCATTCAGTGGTAAATAAAAGCAACTGCCTTCATCACTTTGTCTATGTGACAGCTTGATTACTGTATTGGTTCTCAACCTTATGAAATTCCATCTAAATTGTAATTGCTGGTTTCCATCTTAAAAGTGCATCAAAGTGTTTTTTCATTAATCCTTCAATGGATAAAGCTCAGCTTGACAGCTGTGAATTGGTCGGTATAAGTGGTGTATGCTCTTAAATGAAACTAATGCAGTCAACTAAAGGAATCACCACATCAATCAGGCGACTAAATGATGTTGCTTCCCTTTCATGAGGCAGGGATGCTGGTAGCCCCATCGGCAACCGTATGAACCAGATTTCTTGGGTTCACTGTCGGAGCAACTGACATACCAGTGGTTGACATTTTTGCTTGGTTTCTAAACTTTTGTTGATTGTAATTAATAAACTGTTAGAAAAGCTACTTGGGGAAACTTGGTCATTTTGGCTCCTTTTTGATTTGTCACTTGGACTCAACAAGATTATTTAGATCATCCAAAAGGCCTTTTACTTTTCTAGATACTCTCACTCAGTGAAATTCTTGGCTCCTTTGTCTTAAATCTTAATATATCACTTTATAAAGTTTTCATTAGCGAGCAGATCATGCAGATGAACATGAATGAAAGATCAGTAATTTCCTTTATTTCATTTCTAATTTCGGTGATTACTTCAACATGAATTTATTCATTTACAATGGAAAATTTGGCTATGCAGATCAAGATGAAGTTGGCCAGCCTTGGACATGCTCAAAGGTGGGCAATGCACCTTTTTATTTCAACCGTACCTGTATAAGACTATATCAAAACTAGTTGGACTTTACATTTTACATCATTGTTAGGAGTTTGTTTTGAAATACTATCTGTTAGGAATTTGTTTTGAAATACTATCTTAAATTCCTGTGTTGTTTTCTACTCCGGTGATTAAAGATTATGGTACAAGTTCTGAATTCTTTTAGAAGACTTTCCACTCTTTAATTGGGCCAAATAACAAGAATATTTGCAAAATTCACTATCTTCTTGCAGTGAAGAGACAAGGAAGAAAATTGCAGTTGGCGTACGAACACGGTGGAAAAAGCGTCATGAGAAAATGGCTGTTCAGGAAACTTGTTACTTTGAGTGGCAGAACTTGATTGCAGAAGCTTCTAGAACAGGCTTTGTTGGGGAGGAAGAACTGCAGTGGGATTCCTACAATATCTTGAGTAAAAAGCTTGAGGCTGAATGGGTAGAGACTGTTGAACAAAGAAGAACAATGCCTAGGCCAAAGGGTAGCAAAAGAGCACCAAAGTCCCCTGAGCAAAGAAGAAAAATTGCAGAAGCCATTGCTGCCAAATGGGCTGATCCTGTAAGTTTCTATTGATGTTTATCTTGATTTGTGCTTTCTGCATTTAATGTCAATTCTGAAATCGGAGCACAAGCTCTGTCTGTTGAATGATCCACGGATAAAAGCGAAATTCAGGAGGAAAGAAAATTCATCTCGGAATGAGGGGAAAAAAAAGGAATAGGATTTCCGTGGACCAAGAAAGACATCATAATATTGTATAATTTAATCCTAAATATCTAGTACTGAAATGATTTTTTTGCATTTAGCTTTTCTGCATACTGTCAAATTGTCTGCATGAATATGGCATGACCTCTCTTTAATTACCACTTGCATGTTTCCTCATTAACAGTCTAGCACGTGAGTCAAGTTCATTTCTTGAGATTCATAGAGATTTAACTGATACAGCTCTGCTCCTGGACACTTATGCATGCTTATATTTCCTTTAATTTATTTATGGTCACACCAGGAATACCGGGAACGAGTTTGCTCTGCACTTGCAAAATATCATGGCATTAATGATGGGGCTGAGAGGAAACCAAGGCGGAGACCAAGTATACAATCAAGAAAACAAGCCCCAACAAAGATAAGAACTAGTGTCATGAACAATTTCTCTGGAAGTGACACTGTAAGAACAATTCAGCGACCAAAGCGGACACGTGAGACACCATTATACAAGGATCCTTTGGCAAGTTCAAAGTTGGAGATGATAAAGAACATCAGAGCACAAAGAGCTGCTGCAGAAACTAAGAAAACTGAAGCCGTCAAACGAGCAAGGTTAGTCTAACATGAGAAGAAATTTTGACTTGAATATGAATACAAACTGCAAATAATTTCACTGATATCTAGTCACCATTTTTCCAGTCTATCTGATTAAATTCCCTTTGAAGTTTAAGCTTTTAAATCCTTACTATAAATTGTCTCTCAAAAAGGAAATTTTTCGAGATGGTGGATGGTGGAAGAACCCATATGGATAGTTTGAGTTTTTGATAATCACTGTTTTTTTCAGCAATATAAATACCTCATATATGTATCACTCTTCTCAGTCAGGAAGAAACCATGTTTACCTTATTTGATATTCTGCAGGTTACTAATTGCTGAAGCTGAAAAGGCTGCTAAGGCCCTTGAGGTTGCTGCAACAAAGAGCCCTCTTGCTCGAGCTTCCCTCATGGAAACCAGAAACCTTATAGCTGAAGCGATTCAGTCAATTGAGTCGATAGATACTGGGCATATCACATCTAGTAAGAATGAGATCGATGCTTCTCTTGCACCAGCTGAATTGGCCGGCCAGGTTGAGGAGGAAAGAGATACTGGCAATGGACGCTCCAGTCAAGCAGAGTTGAAACAAGTAAATGGGACCAAAGTCCTTGCATCAAGTAAAGATGAGGACCTTAACTTCATTAACTTGCATGATATACTGAATAGTGAAAATGAACTTCTCTCTACAAGCTCTGGTGGCTATAGTTTGCCTTCAATTAACCTGGAGAGTCTCATTGAGCAGTCAGATACGCCAAAGCAAATTTGCCGGTTGGAACCAAATGGAAATCTTAATCCTGAAATGAAACCCCTACCAAATGGATCCAAGGTTGAGCTTGCAAAAGGGAACTCATCTTTTAAATCAGTCACCAGCACTAAGAAATGGGTCCGTGGAAGGCTTATTGAAGTGACTGAGGGAGATTAGTGTTAACTCACTGGACGAAAACCTCATAGTTAATCCCAGCGCAACAAGTTTCATCTCACTTGTGATTCATCATAATTTGTGCTTTGTGATCCAAGAGCTCCTGAATCCTGCTAAACGCAAAGTTAGCCATTTCGGCTTGTCAGTCTGTATCTAGCCTATTTGGTTTTTGTTGTGTAATACTTATAGCTGATCAAAATAATTTTCTGTTAATGCTGCATACTTTTAACAATATTAATCTCGGCCATTATGTGGGCTGTTCCAAATGAGCTAGTTTATCAGATTTAAGTATAAGCATTTGCTTTTACAGTGTAACTAGATCGTGTCTAATTTTAAAATCTAATGCTGATTAATGTTTTTTATAGTCTCAACTCAAATTACGTATCATAATTTGTTAGGAAGCCCAAAAACACCAACAAGCCGATGGTTGGGTTGGCTGATAGGAAGCTACTTTATAAAGGTTCCTTCGAAGTCTTAACGTGTCAATGACCTGGTCTTCTCAAGTCTAAACGAGACGCTGTCCGAAAGAAATGAAACACGTGGTGTACAGATTTTTGCTTGCTTAATAGGAAATTTATGATGAGATCAAGCCATAGTACATTTAGCAGTAACAATAACTCCCACCACCAGACACTATAAAGTTCTTGACCAGACAGTACACTACAAAATTGTATTGTCAACTGCGATTATAAGAACAAAAATTATTCTTTAAATGTAAACCAACAACCTAAGCCAGAGAAGCAAAGTTTCAGAAACTTTGTTGCCGTGAAAATGAAAGCTCAAGCATAACTTAGTAAAGGGTTAGTCCCTAGGAAAGCATCGGCAATCCTGAAATTATTAGTCACCGGAAGTTGTGCATCCGCTTTGCTGAGCGGAGAGTATTTGACAGAAGCATAGCTATGGTCATCGGACCAACTCCTCCAGGAACTGGAGTGATAGCTGAAGCAACCTTGCAGGCCTCCTCATAACAAACATCTCCAACCAACTTGTAACCTCGAGGACTTTTTGCATCCTTTAGTACGTGCATAGATACACACAGAAACAGTTAGTAACTTTAAAAAGATGGACAGGAAAAACAGGTAAACAACTCTGCAACACCATTTGCATCCCTTGTTCCTTCATAAACAACAATACTAAACACATCAAATAACCTATCCGATTAATATTAAATGTTTCGAAGTTGAACAAAAACAAACACAAAATGATAGAGAACTTATATAGCATAAACAGTGTCAGTATAAAAACACAGACAAGAGGACAAGTATGGTTACCTCAACTGGATTAATTCCAACATCAATTACAACAGCACCAGGCTTTATCCAATCCCCCCTCACCATGTTTGGTTGTCCCACAGCAGAGATAATGATATCTGCTTCTTTGGTGATCTTCTCAGGGTTCTTTGTTCTAGAATGAACGATACTTATAGTAGCATCTTCCCTCTATCAATTTGAAAAAAAAAAAATAAGGAAAAAAGAAAAAAAGAAGATAAGGAGGAGGTTAAAAAGAGGAAGAAACATAAACCACCATTAGCATTCACTAGGGAAAAAAATGGCTAAGCTTATTTGGAGATTGTGAATTACCTGAAGCAGCAAAGCAGCTGGCATCCCTACAATATTGCTGCGACCAATCACTACTGCATTCTTCCCTTTGATTTCAACACCATATCTATGCAACAATTCAATGCACCCTTTAGGTGTACATGGAACAAACAGAGGTTCTCTTCCACGCATGGCAAGACGGCCAATGTTCAGTGGGTGGAAACCATCCACATCTTTGTCAATGCTCACAGCATTCAAGATGTTCTGCTCATTCATATGCTGGTACAAACATTTTAAACACAACGAGATAAAGCTTGACAAATACACAAATGAAACTTGCAAATTTGATTTCTATTTGGATTAATCAATAATCCTATATCTTTGTTGATTTAAACTTAGACAAGAAAAAGAATAATAAAATTGTTGAAGTTTAGAAGCATACAGAAGGTAGAGGCAACTGCACAAGGATGCCATGAACTGAAGCGTCGTCATTAAATCCAGAAATAAACTCCAGTACTTCTTCTTCTGTAGATTCTTCAGGCAAGCAAACTTCAAAAGAATTAATCCCAACAGATTCGCAAGCTTTTTTCTTGTTGCGTACATAAGTAGCAGAATCCTTTCTGTCTCCAACAAGGATAACAGCCAACCCAGGAACAGCACCAATTTCATTCTTCATCCTCGTTACTTCAACACTTATCTCCTCCCTGATTTTCTTGGCAACCAACTTTCCATCGATCACCTTGGCACCAATCTCATCATTAATTGCAGCTGTAAAAGCAACAAGTTAACAGCAGACCACATGTTTGATAAAATGCTCTTAAGAAACAAAGCACAAAACAAACCACGAAGACGTATGAAACATTAAAAAGAGTATAGAGGAACAAAAAAAAGTGCAAGCTTTGAACGCTAAAGAAAAAGATATTTTCTTTACTCTGGGTAATCAATTGGAGGCGAGGTGGGTTCTTTTGCATTACAAATACCTTCGATAACTGGTGTTGAAGAAATTGAATAAGAGCCAGCAGTTAGGTTTCTGAAAGAGCTAGTGCGAATGGAGACAGTACCCTCCAACCGGCGGAGAAAGACGACGCCATTACGGCGGCAAGTTGTTCGGGTAACTGGAAGAAGCCGAACAACGGTGGAGGAGGAACAGTCCGTGAAGGTGATAGGCGCCATTGGATTTAGATGTATCCGAAAAGAGAGAGAAAGAAACCTCTGTATTGCCAGAGCCCAATTCTTGGTTTGATAAAAGTTTTTGAAGGAATCTTGCAATTCTTTTCTTCGTCCGTCAAGTCCCAGCCTTTATAAATAAACGACGTCTAAGTAAGTAAGTAAACAACGACCCAATTAATATTTTCCCAAATCGGACGACCTGTCGTTCATGTTTACTTGGATCCAGTCTCAAGAAGGATCATTTTTCCACGACAAGCTAATTAGTTTATCTTTCAAATAAAAAAGCGGACACACGTTCGAAGAATGTACGACAAGTCGTCCGATGGCCGCCTGAACAGTCCGTCGCGCTTCACCGTGTCCGTGACACTGCTCAACTTCTCTGAATTTCTTTATAGCTGTACTTTCCTTTTTTGGAACAAACGTTTTGGACCAAAATAAGCAATATATCTATTTATAAAATTATTATTTGTTTTGTTAAAAATTTAATTTTTTATATTTAATTATAATCCCCACTTAAAATATGGAGTTGGCAGTTGCTACCAACAAAATATATAATGAAATGGTAAGCCTCGGCATTTTGGTTTGATAAAACAAATTCGATTCTGGGAAAACATAAGAATAAAAAATCTTTAGGTCTTACTGTCGGAATGGGTTAACTGCACTACAGTATCAAAGTTTGATACTTAGATATTTAATTACATAAATATGAACAATCATGTACAAAAAGAAAATGATCCATTGAAACTAGAAACACAAATTACAGACTCTTGCTAGCTATATCCTGAAATATATTAGGATTAAGGAGTACTACGAGTTAACTTAAACAAGAGTTTCAAGAGCAATTAAGATTTGTCGAGATGATTAGAATTTACAGTCTTTTCCACCTCTTCCCTCTTTTTCTCTTTTTCCTCTTTCCCTTTACTTATCTCCTTCTCTGCTTCCTCCTTCTGCAAATCAAAATCACCATTTCACACATATATAAATAAATGCTAAATTAATTTGAATTAAACAAAAAGAAACAAAAGTACGTTGATGGTTTCAGTGACAGGTCGCTTGGTTCCATGTACAGCAGCTCTGTTGGAAGCTTTTGTAGTGATGAGTCTCTTCATTAAATCATCTCTATTTTTAACCGTATGATCAGCAATGTTTTGAGTCCTCCACAGCCAACCCACCACCAGTCTTCCCTCCATTTTTATCAATCTTTATCTTGCTCTTCCAACTACGTGGGATTGAAGTTTTATTGTAGGGTTTTAATCGCAACTTGCAAACCCTGTAATATATAACTCCTTGTACCTCCTTCGAAACGGTTGTTGCACTGTAAGACATGCACCTGTGCTACGTGTCTTCAGCTTTCATTGCGTGGCAATCTTACTAGTTTTACCGTTTTTTTTTTTTTTTTTTTTTTTTTTTCCGTTTTTTTTTTTTTTTTTGAAAACGTACGAGGATTATACTTACGAAAATAAGATTTCTTTTTGCGTACATGGTTAGAAGTATTTTATGTTGGACAAAAATTTTTATTTTTATTCATTTACTAGACCCGCGCGATGTGCTCTCAACCTCAGTATTCTTACTGATGGTTATTACTTATTTGTCGCAGCATTAAAACGAGGTCGTTTTGAAACAGCCAAAACCTGGGATGAGACATGTGGACCCAACAACAATCAAGCCGGGCTACCAACTACTACTACTACTACTACCAGAATAAAGCTAAAGCTTAACAGACACGAAAGCCCGGCCCGGGAAAAATAAAGCGGGTACGGAGTCGTTTTCCTCCAACTTCTATCCATCCACACCGACAATTAGTTGAACGATATTTGTACTTCAGTCTTCTTGTCCGATACCACCTCTCCCCTCTTCAGATCTTTTTTTCACTCGCACTCTTACTCTCAAATTCATTGCATTTCCAATCAAAAGTTAATTTCTCAAAATGGACAGGGATTCATCGGACGAAGACGACGATCGCGAGACGCTAATAGAGCAAAACGACAGGAAGCACAATCACCACAACAATAACAGCAACCATAACCACCATCAACCTGTCCCCACTTCTTCTCCCCAGCGTCGATCCTCCTCTACCTTCCACATTGAGGAGCTCCAATCCATTGGAGGTTCTATACGCCGCCATTTTTCCCGTAACTTTAATAAGAGGTACTACTATTACTTGTTGGCCATTTTCCTTCCTCTCTTAATCGTCGTTGTTTATTACTCCGCCGAGTTAAGGAGTCTTTTCTCCTCTAATCTCTCCGCTTTCAGGGTCGATTCTATTTCTGACAAAATGAGAGAGGCTGAGTTGCAAGCTCTTTACTTACTTCGCCAACAGCAGCTCTCTCTCTTGTCTCTATTAAACCAATCGTTTCCTTTTCATAATAATAGCGAGAATATTTCGCTTTCCAATTCCAATTTTAGTGTTAATTCTAATTCCAGTCACAATTCCAATTCCAATTTTTTCAATAACTTAGAGGAAGAAGGTTTGAGATTCAAGATTGAAGATTTCAGATCCGCACTTCTCAATCAGCTTACTCTAAATAAACAGATTCAACAAGTTCTCTTGTCCCCTCACAATTCTGGAAATGTAAATATATCTACTTCGGATGTCGATAGCGCTGCTAGTTTTCTGGGTTCTGGTTTTGGTTACGATAGGTGCAGGAAAGTGGAGTCGAGATTCTCGGATAGGAAGACTATAGAGTGGAAACCCAGATCAGATAAGTTCTTGTTTCCCATTTGTTTATCTGGGCAGATGAGTAACCATTTGATTTGTTTGGAAAAGCATATGTTTTTTGCAGCCCTGTTGAATCGGGTTTTGGTAATACCAAGTTCTAAATTTGATTACCAGTATAGTAGAGTATTGGATATTGAACATATAAATCAGTGTTTGCGGAGAAAGGTGGTAGTCACATTCGAAGAGTTTGCGCCAATGAGGAAGAATCATGTGCATATTGATCGGTTCATATGTTACTTCTCTTTGCCTACTCCGTGTTATGTGGATGAAGACCATGTTAAGAAGTTGAAGGGATTGGGGATTTCAATGGGGAAGCTCGAGTCCCCTTGGAAGGAGGATGTTAAAAAGCCAAGTAAGAAGACAGTTCAGGATGTGCAGACTAAGTTTACTTCCAATGATGATGTCATTGCTATTGGGGATGTGTATTTTGCTGATTTGGAGCAGGAGTGGGTGATGCAGCCTGGTGGTCCTCTTGCTCACAGATGCAAAACTTTGATTGAACCAAGTAGGCTCATATTGCTTACTGCCCAGCGATTTATTCAAACTTTCTTGGGGAAGAACTTCATTGCACTCCATTTTCGACGCCATGGCTTCTTGAAGTTCTGGTATCTTTTTCTTTTCCATGCTTTTCTAATTGTTTGATTGCGATTATTGCATTGGACGCTTTTCCTTCCATTAAATTTCTCATTTTTCTGCATGTAAGCGTGCTTTTTCATATAGAATCTAGACCATATTATATTAGGAGGATGAGCAAGAAGGGATAATCTATTTGTATCCATCAACAGTCAAAAGCCACTGTGAAAACATGATGTATTGAACGATGATGGTCAGTCTTTGGAGTTAATATATGCATATTATGAACACAAGTTTAATGTCTGAAATGTTATTGCTAATTAGCTTGAATTAGTATGGTAGTAGGAATTAAAAAATCTTTCACTTCTGAACACCAATCAATTTGATTCAGGGTCAGAACACAAAGTTTAAGGTTATTGATTCAATTTTTTCTCTGGTCCTAAGTTCGCAGCCTTTGGTTCAAAGGATATTCTGGCAGATTCTTGGTGATTTTAGGCTTTTTTTTTTTTTTTTTTTTTTTTTTTCTTGGTGATTTTGGCTTTTTTTTTTTTTTTTTGGAGGGGAATTGCAATGGTTTACATTTTTTTTTTTTTTTTTTTTTTTGGAGGGGAATTGCATGGTTTACCATTTTTTTAGTGGTAAATAGTAAATTGCCCATGTAGTATGTTTTGTATACATTTCTGTATATAGATAATGTCTTATCAACTTAATTTCAACATGTTGTTCATGCGTATGAATGTCTATGCTTTGGTTCATTCAACTGTTTTCTGGAGCTAAGTTAATTTGTGCTCTCTAATCCGCTTACTTGCTAATCCTGCTTTGGTTCTGGATCTTGTGGGCTCATGGCTGAAGCAATGCTTCTTTCTTGAGCATGTTGTCTTGTTTGTTTTTCTTGTGTAGATTATTGAGAATACTTGGACTCATGATGCCATTGACAATTCTTTGATGTTTTGCCAGCAATGTCAAGAAGCCGAGTTGCTTTTATCCCATTCCTCAGGCTGCAGATTGCATTGCACGGGTGGTTGAAAGAGCCAATGCACCTGTGATATACCTCTCTACTGATGCAGCAGAAAGTGAAACTGATTTATTACAGTCACTAATTGTAGTGAATGGGAAAACTGTACCACTTGTCAAACGTCCATCCCATACTTCAGTTGAGAAATGGGATGCTTTGTTATCCAGACATGGCATTGATGGCGACCCTCAGGTAAGATTGTGTACCGTCATCTTCATTTTATTTCACGAGGTCCATTCTGTTTTGTGTTAACTTTATTGATCAAGTTTCAATTTCCAGTGATTTTCGCTTCATGTTAAAAGATCCTTGCAGTTACATGCATTATCGACTCTATCTTGCAGGTGGAAGCTATGCTTGATAAGACAATTTGTGCTATGTCAAGTGTTTTCATCGGAGCCTCTGGATCCACTTTCACTGAGGACATTTTGCGCCTGCGGAAAGATTGGGAATCAACATCTCTATGTGATGAATACCTCTGCCAAGGTGAATTGCCAAACTTTATAGCAGAAGATGAATGAAGATGTGTGGAGACTCTGAGTGATTATTTCTGCCATCCACTGTCATTCCTTGTGAAGATGCTTTAAGGCTAATTATCAGCAAGACTGGATTGTTGTCTTTTGCCTGAACAGCCATTGGTGTTGATTGTATCTTAATGTATGATAACAGCTGCTATATTTTGCACATAAGTTTCTCTTCATTGTTTTCATGGTTGAGAATTATTTTTGTAACTCACATCATAGTAGTTCTTAAAGTACAACAGCTGAAGAGACTGTTTTGTTAGTTACTCTTCTTATTCTTACTCTGTTGTTAATGATGACTTCCGATTCTTTAAATTTGCTCGTTTCTTTCAAGTTATTTGAAAATTTTTATAAACGTTAATTAGATAATCATTTATTAAATTAAATTAAATCTACAGCCAAAGAACACCTTTTTACTCAAGTTTTTTCAATCATTTTATTTTGATGATTAATAACTTTGCCCCTTTATTTAAATAGCTGGCTACTAATGAAATTACATTAAAATTTTGATTAAAAAATTTTCTTTCAAAAATTTGATTAAAAAATTTAAACTTTTCTTTTGGGTAATGTTCGAATTGGATTTATTATCAAGTCATACATACTACTGCATTAAAAATATAAATTCAAACCCAAATGCGAATTCTTGCAAGTTGGATAAAATAAATAAATTGGAATTGCTAATCTAAAAAGAAAATTTTGTATCAAAATTCTTATTTATTTATTTTTAAACAACTTAGCAAAGATCTCGAAAATGGAAAAAAAAAAAAAAAAAAAAAATATTTAATTCTTACTTTTTAAACAATTAGCAAAGATCTCGAATAATGGAAACAAAAAAAAAAAAAAAAAGAAAAGGCACGTAGGGAAGCAGGGCAAATGAGGAAAATTGTACATTGATCGGCTCGCATTTTCTTTCTCATCTTTTTACTCAATTCACTAACCAGGGAAAATCCGCCGCTGTTACTTTCTCCTCTTTCTCTCTTTCGTTTGAGGGAGTAACTCTCCTCAAAGCTACACACTTTCACGATAGGATTTTTTCTTTTCCTACAATTTTTGACTCGGGTTTTAGTGAAATGATAAAAGATTTGCCTTTCTGACATGGAATATACCACTCATCCTTTGTTGATTGATTGATGATTCATTTATGACATCCATTTTGTATTTAGAATCAAATATTGGCTTTAGAGCTTTTGACATTAAAAGACAAAGCAGAATCAAGAATCATTGAGAGCAAGAATTAGGTGGATCAATTCCACGTGAGAGGGAGAATTGGTTTTTAGCAGACTCCATGAACCCTATCCCTTGCGGAGGCTGCCTCAAAAAAAAAAAAAAAAAAAAAAGAAAAGCACGTGGGAAGCAGGCAAATGAGGAAAATTGTACATGACTCGGCCTCGCATTTTCTCTCTCTTTTTACTACTACTAACCAGGGAAAATCCCGCCGCTGCTACCTTCTCCTCCTTTCTCTCTTTCAGTTTGAGAGTACTCTCCTCAAAGCTAACACTTTCACGAAGGATTTTTTCTTTTCCTAAATTTTTGACTGGGCTTTTCTGAATGATAAAAGATTTGCCTTTTCTGACATGGAATATACACTCATCCTTGTTGATTGATTGATAGATTCATTCTGACATCCATTTGTATTTAGAATCAAATATTGGGTATAGAGCTTTTGACATATAAAAGAAAGAACAAGAATCAAGAATCATGAGAGCAAGATTGGTGGTATTCCCAGTGAGAGGGAGGAATTGGTGTTTTAGCAGATCCATGAACCCTTCCATTGCGGAGGCTGCCTCAGCCTACACTCCCTCTACTCTTAAGGAACTCTGGAAGAATATTTCATCCTCAAACTCCAACGCCCATAATGCTGAGCTTCTCATTGATTTTGTCTCCAACAAGGTTACTTTTTTCTTTCTTTTTTGTCATCCTTTTAGCTATGATCATATGCTTATGGCCCTTTTGTAATAGAGTTTATTAATGCGTTTCTCCTTTTTGTAATTTTATTTCCAAAATAGATGAATAGAGCATGGATGGGTCTGGAGAAGGCACCAGAAGGCTCTTTCAAGAATAAGATTCATGGGTATATTGTTTTCATTTTCTCGCTTTTTGCTTTTTGGCGTCTGCAATCAATAATTGTCAATATTAATTGATGCCTGTAGGTTCGGATTGAAGCTTTTGGCACGGGTTAAGCCATCTGAGATTTTCTTGAAATCTATATCCAAGGAGGTCACTGATGTTGAAATTATCTACCCCTCCAGGTTTTGTTATATTTCTTATATAGCTAAATCACATTGGGTCATCCTAACTATTTCTGCTTCAAGCAAACCTGTGGATATGATAATCATGGATTCATTATTTGTACTCTTGTAAAGTTATCTCGTTTTTTTGAGTTAGATGTGACTCTTTAATTTGAACTGCACTTACAAGAAGGCAAATTTTCTTCAAGGTAGTTCCATTTTCAATTAAAGGTCTGAATAACCAAGGTGGTTAAACTGCCTTAACATAGAATTATTGGAGGGTCCATAACTTGAATTTTAAAATTGGATTCCTAATCTTGTGATTTTAGAGAGATTATAGATATAAATATCCATTTGAAATGTTAAACAATGTCATGTAGTAATAATTTTGAAATTCAATATAGGTGCGTCAACTTTACTATTTAAGTTAGTATGCAACATCATATAGATTAGATGCAACAGAACTGATCTCCAAATCTAAATAGAAGAGAATAACTACAGATAAAAACCAAAGCCATTTCAAGCCTGTCAATCAATAATATGGTATTCAGCTTAGAAATAGAATCAAGTGCAAAGAGTATATTCGGAGAATATGTCTATCATTGTATGGAAAAAAAGTTTAGGGAAGCCTCAAGTCACAGTTGGCCACCATGCTTAGATTGTCATTTGATTAGCTTCTCCTCCTTTCCTTTTATTCTGATGATTCATTACAAAGGATATCAATCTACTTATTGTCAATTTTTTGTCTCTCTCTCTTTTTCTTTTAAGCCTTTCTTCCTTTTGCTTCCTTTTCTTGTTTAAGGTAATGGTAGAATGGAACTATATATAATGGCAGCAAGATATGTTTATTTGAAATGCAATCAAGTGGATATTAGCTATTCTATCATTATTATGCTTACATGTTCTGAATTCTGATTATTATATGCATCCTAATATGGTGGATGCTAAGGACAAGTTTAATAGTGCCAGTGGCACCCTTTTTTTTCCCTTTTATTTAACGTCATAGTATGGATATGACTGAGATTTTGCCTTTTTCTTTGCGTTCTGGTATTGCATAAAAATGTCCAACTTTAAGTGAAACTCAACCCAAAGTGCTTGGATTGCTTATCCTTCTGCTCAAATCATGTCATGTTTTAACCCAAAACTGTTAATAGACTGATTCATAATGGAAAAGGGGGATGAATATGATATTCCTCAATTCTTACTGCTATTCTAGAATCACAACTTTACTGGTTGTAACACCTAGTTCAATTCTGGTCCAGCAGAGGAAGTGGAGGTGGAGAGAGGAGGAAAGGAGTAGGGGCTTTGTATCTGGATATTGCAACAGTGGTGCTATCCATATCTGTTTTTTTTCTCCTTTGTATTTTTCATGTAAATCTTAGGAAGGAGGAGGACTTTCCATTAAAAATTGGGGACCTCTATGGTTTTCATATGATATAGGAAAGAATTGATACTTATTTGACAAGGTACCCAACTAACAGCCAAATCCAGAAGTAGTATCTTTGTTTCCTATGCACTTTGTATTATCATTTGTGTCGTGAATGGGGATGTGGATCTGAAAATAACGATTTAAAGTATTGGTATTCTTATTGTTATTAATTTTCCTTGGTGCCTTCTCAAATAATTTGTTCACAACCTTGCAGTTTAAATGCTCGACTTGTTCGCCGAAGATTACGGCATATTGCCATGAGGTAATTGCGTCCCCTAATCTTCTTTGATAAACTAGGGATTAGAAGCATTCCTTTTTGTTGCTTCTGTCACAAACACTGCCATCAGATAACCAAAAGAATGCAACATATTATTTTTATGTATGTTGTTGTGATCCAATAGTAGAGCAAGCGAACTGGAATGGTTTACTGCATCATTCTATTTGACATAAAAATGGGAATCTTAATGGAAAGTCATATTTGGCTAGAAATTCTCTTCATGAATGATTCAAAACTGCAAGAGGCTTGCATATGCAATTGCAGAAATTCTGCAATAAAGGTTCAAATCATGGTTGGCCACATAAAAATTGTTCTAGCTGCTTTAAGTTTAACTTAATGCATCAAATACAGTGATGATAAGCTTTATGCAGAAAACAGGCCCTTACTGCGTGTTCAATATTTATCCAGACTTTTGTTTTTGTTTGAGCTCAACTAGCTTATGCTTTTTATGAAACTGCTGTCCAATGATCAGGGGAGCTGCCATACACAAGAGATATTTCATTGGTTCAGTTGCTTTACTTCCATTGACAAGTGCATTTACTGTACGTATTTGCTCAATTATATGATGTCGAAAATTCATTATGATTTCATTTCTTGCTAATTCTTTAATGCTTAGAGACATCGTGAACATTTACTCGTTGCCTCTTTTATCATTATTCGATTTCATTTTGGTGTCACATTCTTTTCTCGATCTTCTTTGTAGGTTTTACCTCTGCCCAATATCCCATTTTTTTGGGTCTTATTTCGCACTTATTCTCATTGGCGAGCTCGTCAGGTGTGTGTTATGCTCTTGGCATAAATAAATAAATAAAATCGAGATTACATTTGTTTCATATATCTGACTGAGAATCACCTTTACCTTTAAAATTTTGGGTTTTGGTACATGGGAAACAGGATTCACATTGAGCATCACAAGCGTATTAGAAGCCTTTTCTTTATGCTTTTTGTACTTGTATATTCTGCATCAGTTAATGGTTTCCCTCTAATGTTCTTCACCTATTTTTGCATATAAATACTTTAGGGGAGTGAGAAGCTCCTTCAGCTGGTGTCAGATTGTCCTACTGAGAATTCAGATATTCCAAATATGAAGGAAAGTGAAAATGAGAGAGGTGATTCTGAGCACAAAATCCAAAAGTTGCGAGGTTCTATATGGGTAATTCCTTCTATGCAACTTCCAGTTTAAAATGCCTTTTGATTTGGCAAAATTCCCCTTGGTTTGAAATGTAAAGCAGGCTCTGCTCTTTATCATTTGATAGTTAGCTATTCTTGGCACTTTTTTCATGGCATCCTTGAGGTTGATCCATTCATAAAAAGTCCTTTAATATTGAGATGTAGAACACAATCTATATGCATGCTTATTGTGTTTCCCTTTTCTTATTGTGATATGTTATTAGGTGCTGCATCCATCGAAGGAGCTCGAGGAACTACTTAAATACGAAGATGACAATGATGGCCTCAAGAAATGTGTTATTTCAAATATCTGCAAGACCTTTAATTTGAACACAAACGATGTAATGAAGTTTAGGCATATGATGTAGTTTTAACTTGCTTTGTGCATTTTTCCATTGGGAATGTAATATAAGTAGAGGTGACAATACATTCTAATGGATAAAAAGTCCATTCCATTTTTTCCAAGTTGTTCTATACTCCTATGTCGTCATATTAGAAGAAAGTTTGGAATAAATCTTTGTAAAAGTTTAGCAATAATGATCTTAATGAATTTGCCTAATATTTACTTATTTAGGCAAACCACAAGTCTCCATGTATGAGAAAGCTCAGTCTCAGTCTCACAAAGACTTGATCTATGAAACATATGAAAGGGTGATATACATGCATCCTACATAATAACTAACTAGTGAGGGATAAATAAGCTCAAAAGGCCACTCTTAAATCTTCAACTTTTACATATGTAGCAGATAGCGAAAGTAGTACAGTTTTCCATATTAGAAAAACCTTTATAATCCAAATTTACAGGTAGCAAACAGCTCGTTTGCAACGTGGTGATTTCATTGATCTCAATCTGGCCATTTTATCTTGAAGAAGAGATTAGAAGACAAAAAACAAAATTTAAATTTCATTTTCCTTCCAGAGAATAGCTGTGGATAAAAACTTCCATTCCATTAAAAACTAATGTCACTAACTTACATGCAAAAATATATCTTTCAGGACTCCTACTTCAATGTCCAAAGGACATAATGGATAGAAAATTAACCTTAGAAGCTACCATTAGCTAATGGCTCCAATGCCAGGTCAGGAAACTGCCTACTTGTTCAAACACAAGACACATACAAAGAAAAGAAAATAATCCCAGCACATCTATCTGAACCTGGAGCGCTTGGCCATGCTGCTACTAGGAGGGGCACGAGACTTGCCCTTCATTTTCCTTCTATTTCTCTCCTCTTCACTATCCGACTCATTCCCTTTCTCCTTGTCTGCGTTGCTTGCTTCCCTCTCCAACTCTTCCCATGTCTTGCCTTTTTCTTCCTCAGAGTCTTCCTCTGTATCATCCTCCTCCTCCTCATCCTCAGACTCCACCAGGGACTCGCTATCAGAGTCATCATCATCTGATTCAGATTCAGGTTCCGCATCTGATGGCTCATAACCCTTGTCTGAATCCTCTGTATTGTCAGAATCTGAATCACTAGCTTCCAAATTCAAAAACTCCCAGCCTCCATCATCTATAAAACTCTGAGGATCATCAGTTATTGTCTTCAGTATCTGTCGCCAATTCAGATTCAACTTGCTCTCATAATACTTAATGTCTGTTGTGTCGAGCCATTCCTTGATGCCATCCAGTGATGTTGATGGAATGGAATCAATCCTGAGGACATCACGCTTGAAATCCTTAAACACAATGGTCATATCAAAGTTTTTCTGACCAAGACCTACTCTCTCCAAGTTCACAATCTCAATCTCACTGAGGGTAACCACAAGGAAAGGAGTCTCAATTAGTTCAACCAAGCAGCTTGAAGTCGGGACAATGAAAGATGAGGTTTTGTAGGGAACCCCATGGAAGCCAAGCTCTCTTAAAGGCTGATCAAACTCAAGATCAAGTCCATTAAACTGAGGTTGGCTCCAAAGATCATTAACCCGATTTACAAAGCTTTGAAAATCCATGTTGATCTTATTCTTCCTGTCCCTTTCCCTTTGTTCTTCTTCAATTTCATCAGGGTCATACGCAGACCTCTTTCCACCTCCCAGAGTCTGGACTGTTTCCATCACCTCAACATAAAACTGCACATCCTTGGTCTTCTTGTTTCCCACCATGATGTGGTTGTGGAGATGAAAGTGGAGAAGAGTAATCATCTCCCTTTCTGCAGGCTGGAAAAATGCATGCTTGATGTTTGCAAACATAATATCCACACGCTCATCAGGTCTACTTGTTGAAAAGCGAAACCCATTTACATGAGCTTCCAGAGCACCCGGAAGCTTTCTCCCACGGCCACCAAATGGTGGACGGATCCAAAGGTCAGACAACCTTATTGGCTTGAATCTGTTCCCAGCAAGCTGAAGTTTCTCCTGAGTAACCAAAGTTGCCCTCTCAGCCCTCTCAGACTCCCTGGCCACAACATGCCGTCTAAGTGTCTTAATCAACTGAACCACTTCACTAATGTGCCTAGTGTCTTTGGAGCGAAATGAAACCTCCTTCAGATAAATTGCACCTGGGTGCTTCATTGAATTCGCATCATGTGGATTAAAAGGGGTTCCTGGAACATTAAATATAATGCGAATGTAATTATTTCTATTGGTGTCCGTCTGGCTGTTAACTGTCCTTATTGTAGCAACATGGAAAGGCACCATACTCCCATAAATAGGCAGAAGGACAGCCTCATTCTTCTGGTCTATCTGAATCATTAAATCTCTTGCAGGAGGAATATCATTGACATTCTTGTAGGCTACCAAATCAGTTGAAGCCTTTGCAACAGCCCGGTTATCTCCTGCTGCACCTTCTCCACCAGCAAGTCGCCGAGCAGTTTCTTCATTTTTCTGACGGGCAAGTTCTGCCTGGTGCTGCCTTCGAATCTCCTCTTTAGAAATCTCTCCAGTATCAGATCGCAGTGTTGTCTTGGATGGTAATACCATTGTGCCATTAACCCGTTTAGGTTCTGGTTTTACCTCTTCCTCTTCTTCATTGAATGAGTAAGCCACATCCTTAACAGCTTTGGAGCACTTAGAAGTTACCACATCGGGATTCACACCTACAATAACTGTATCAGAAACTAATAGAGAAAATTTCTGGGTTTTCGGGTTATTTGTTTGGTTCTGTAAGTTCTGAAAACCAAGTGATACATTAAAAACCATATTTGGTTCCAAGACTCTATCATTCTTCGCATTAAGATTCAAACCAGACTCACGGAACTCGAGGCCAATCCCTGTCCCTGCAGATTTTGTCAGATTTGGAACTAATTCAGGAGCCTCTTTCTCGACCACAGAAAGAGCTGCTTGATATACAGCCCTGATTTTATTTCCAGGTTTCAGTGCACCAATTGCTGCTTCGTGGGCTTTGAGCAGAACCTCATAAGCCTTACTCTGCTTCTGATTGGCATCAATTAAGAATGTCCTGGCAAGATTGGAGCAGTAATTGTTATAACGGGCTCCAATTGAAACTATAATGATACTGGCAGGATCATAGTAGAGATATTCGTCATTGCTGGCAGCACTAGGCCTGAGATCAAACTCTCCTCCACTCTGAAATATGGGAGGGTAACATATATCACAATTCTCTGCCCTTAACTTTGCCTTAGCTTTGGCAGGATCCATGATTGCCTTCTCTGCTATATCCATCAAAGAAGAATGGGTGACTTTCTTCTCCTCATCAATGACATTCTCTAGATTGGGGACAACAACATTGGTCAAAACATTAACAGTCAAGTAAGCTGCTTTCTTCACATTCAAGATCTCATCAGCATCCTTCATGGCAAGTAGGTCAGAAAACCCATTTGATACGTCTGATATCTTCTGGAAACCTGCAGTCTTCAGTTTCTCTGCCCAAGTCTCCAAAAGAGTACCCTCAGGTTCCTCTTTGGCTATGTATCCAATAACATTAGCATTTGCCTGAGTACGAAAAGCTCGAAATATAGCTTCCATTAACCCAGTCCCGTCATTACCCTTTGGCTTCACATGGATAACAACATCTATTCCTCCTGCAACCTCCTGGGCAGGCTTCTTAACAACTTCAAGCAAAGAAGCCTTCTTTTGGCTACACAAAAAATGAATTTGCTTCTTCATAAAAACCATTATGGTCTCCGGGAACTCATAGCCGAGTAACCAAACGTTCATGGCCGATGATTTCAAGTACCGCAAATCATCAGAAGGAGGCGGCGTAGCTATTGCAATCGCATCAGCCGAAGCCCACAGTTCATCTTTATGTTCGTTCCAATGTGAATACAAGGCCTGAAGCCTCACTTTGAACTTATCTGTGTTAATTGTATAAGCATTTTGGCCTCCGCTAGGGTTTCGCTGGTCAGCCATTTTGATTCTTTAGCCTTTCAATAACCAATCTTCAATTCAAAAATGCCAATAATTGGCAACAAATTCAGTGCTAGAGTAGTCGGTGCCGGTAGCGGCGCACCGTCTTAGGTAAAGAGAAAGAAAAACTAGGGTTAGGATTAGGGTTTTGGACCCAATAAAAACACAATGAGACCATAAAGAAACATACAAATAGAATTCAAACACACGTGAAAAAGAAAAACAAACACAAAAACAAAAGAATACATAATATGAAGATCTAAGAGAAGAAAGTAACTTACTTGAAGCGAAGAACGGAGTTTGAAGATGTGAAGAGCGAGAGAGAAATGAGAGGGAAAGAAGAGGAGCAGAGAGTGAGGGAAATTTTTTTTTTTTTTTTAATTTTAATATTTATGAGTTCCGTTTGGGGTTCAAGAAGCTCCTTTTTATATCTTTGTTTACCCGGTTATTAAGAGAGGATTTTTATTTTTTATTTAAAATTAAAATCGTTTTTCATTTTTGGATTTCTGGAAGTTTCTTTAAAGTGGATGGATAGATTTAGACGTCATGTTGGCGCTCCATAGCTTTTGTAATTCCCGCTTTACGGTTGGGCTTCAAAAAATAAATAAATGAAATTTTGGCCCAATTAATAATTATCAAATTTTGGAGGGCAAATGTTAAAAAAAAAATTATTGTTGCACTATTTAGAAAATGATAAATATTTCCTTTATGAAGTAGTGCTAATTTTATTAGTAGTTTTTTCAGTAAACTTTTTTTAGAAAATATTTACATATTTAAATCATTATTTCTAGTTAGAATTTTTTCTAATATATTCTCATAATTATTTTTTAACATAAAAATGTAGAAAATTTATATTCTAAATTAGTTTTCCATTTCAATATTTTGATTAATAATAATAATAATATAATTAGTGATATTGATACACAAAAAACACAAATAAAATATTTCTATAATTTAAAATAAATTTATGAGGAATACGAGTCTATTTGTATAAGATAGAAAAAAATATATAAATTTCAACGAATAATTATGATTAGATGCTAAATTATCCTTAATTATAAATAAAATAAATAAATTTATTTTAGAAAATAATTGCAAAAATGAAAATATTAATTAAAAATAATTTGGAAAATTATTATTTTCATTTATTAAAAGATCAATGAATTTATTAGTTATTTCAGTAAATTTTATAAAAAAATAGGTCTTATCCCCTGTAATTATTTATAATGCTTGAGGATTTTTTTTAGGGACATAATATTTGAGGATTTGATTTTACTAACTAACTTGTATTTAAGAAAAAGTGAAAAAAAAAATAAATATTAGATTTATTTTTTATGTAATTTCCAAAATATCTTTTCTTAAGGAGCAAGTCCAATGGGCTGGTAAGGTAAGTGGGCTGACAATGACGGTTAGACTATTTGGACTCTCCTTGAGAGGCGCCTCTCTGTTTCATTGGTCTATAAAGAAACAAAGACCGGCGAACAAGCTCTTGTTTCTGCTGTTTCCCTGTTTCTCCCTCTTGAAAGGAAGAGCTTCAAGGCTGGGCAGTAAATAGCTTTATCAAAGAATCAAACGGAATATTGAAATGGCACCGGAGCCCGAGGATGAGATCAAGGACGAGAAGAACCCTCGTCCTCTTGATGAAGACGACATCGCTCTTCTCAAAACTTATGTAACGTTTTTCCCTCCTAAGTCTGTTTCTCTTAACAATTTCTGCTTTTTTCAAAACCCTAATTTGACCTTATCTCTCTACCCCTTGCTTCTCCGATTCGATTGTTCAGTTAGTTTTTATTGTTGCTTTATACTGTTAGCACTGTTAGGATACTCTGAGCTCGTAATTGTTGGGCTTCAGCTGACTGGTTGCTTCCAAGTCTTATGGTTTAGTACCTTTATTATTCATTAATTGCTTCAAATTTATTTAAAAATATCTGTTTTGTCTCTCTTTGAACATAGGATGATGGCATGTAGCTGATATTTTATAGCAGTCTGCCGTATCTTATGTGTTAGATTTTATTGTTAATTACATGCTTTCTTCAAATTCATGTTAGGTGCATCCAATTTCATTCGTGATCTCTTATTCAATTTTACCATTTACTGGGTAACCTTAAAAACAAAAAATTTATTACACTTATTTTTCTGTCCCTTTTTCTTTTGTAATATATTCTTCTGAGCAGATTTAATATCTTTTGCAGGGATTAGGACCATATTCTAATAGCATTAAGAAAGCCGAGAAGGAAATAAAGGAAATGGCTAAGAAAGTAAATGATCTATGTGGTATGGTTTGTGTTTCTGCTTTCCACGTGAGCTGTTTCTAAATTACATGCAATTACTCTACTTTCATTAAAAAAGGCAAAGAACTTTCAAGTGGGGATTAACAATCGATTGAAAGAAAATCCCACAGCTTATGTATAGAAGGATGTTTTATCCCACAGCTTATGTATAGAAGGATGATGACTAAAGATGGTTGAGAGAATTTACTAGGGTGATTAGCTTGATTTTGTTGAAAGGCTAATCCATGATTCTCCAATTTTTGATGAGTTCATGCGTACATCTCACATGAGAATCAAGTGACCAGCCCTTGAAGCCACAAGGCCAAGTTAATAGACATGATTGTTCATTACCCACAATCTAATGAGAACCAAATTATCAAATTGTTTTTAGTTCTATATATTTGATTGGTCCATACTCTTCAAAATCCGGCTTATCTGAATGTTTTTGTTTGGTTAATTATATTTGAATTCTGTTAGTAATATTTCTTTTCATTGTAAAAGGTATCAAGGAGTCTGACACTGGTTTAGCTGCACCCAGCCAGTGGGATCTTGTATCTGACAAGCAAATGATGCAGGAGGAGCAGCCTCTTCAAGTATGTATTTACTAAAGGAGGTATTGTATATACTTGTATTATGTTTTCTGGAGCACTAACTTCTTCTACCAACCAGGTGGCAAGGTGCACAAAGATTATAAATCCTAACACTGAGGATGCCAAATATGTAATAAATGTGAAACAAATTGCAAAGGTATACCATTTAATCTTTGAGGCCTGTAAATTTTAGCAAAATATTACATGATTATATTGAGGGGGGAAGGGTCTTTGGAACCATCATGTTGTTTTCTTTGTTTCTTTCTTTATTTTAGTGATTAAAAGGTAAGCACACTTTTCCTCCTATGTGGAAGTGTTGGTTTTATATCTTTTTTCTTTTTTTTTTTTTTTTTTTTTTTTTTACAGAATTTTTTTTTTTTTTTTTTTTTTTGTTAGCTTTTATTACAGAAAAACTTGGCATGGATTTTGTCCCATGCAGATTGATGTTTAATTTTTTTTTTATTATTGTCTTAACTGCAGTTTGTAGTTGGGCTGGGTGACAAGGTATCGCCAACTGATATAGAAGAAGGCATGCGTGTTGGGTAGGCTTTCTTTATATTCTCTAATCAAGAATTTGACTGCACACTGCCTCTATCAGACCATAAACTATGCTATATGAGTTTTGGTTATGTGTTTTACCATTTTATGTTATTTCCTTCCCCACTTTGGCCAATGCCATTTTTCTCCTTTCTTATTTATAAATTTTGTTCTCATATCCATAAGCATTCACTGGTTTGGTGGTGAATGTATTCACTGTATATGTCTTTTCATTGCAGCGTAGATCGCAACAAGTATCAGATACAGATTCCCTTGCCTCCAAAAATTGATCCAAGTGTGACAATGATGACAGTGGAAGAGAAACCTGATGTGACATATAATGACGTTGGTGGATGTAAGGAGCAGATTGAAAAGATGCGAGAAGTATATAAAGCTCCCTCCTTATATGTTTATATTATATCATTTTTTGGGGGCTGCAAATTGCCTTTTTATATTCAATTTCTTTTTACATGTTTGATGTGTATGACTACATGTCTAAATTCATATATCTGATGCTGATATGTTTGAACCTGTCATAGGTTGTTGAACTACCCATGCTTCACCCTGAGAAATTTGTGAAGCTTGGAATTGATCCTCCTAAAGGTGTTCTCTGCTATGGTCCTCCTGGAACTGGGAAAACACTTTTAGCTAGAGCAGTGGCTAATAGAACTGATGCTTGTTTCATTAGAGTTATTGGAAGCGAGCTTGTTCAGAAATACGTTGGTGAAGGAGCAAGGATGGTTCGCGAGCTTTTTCAGGTTAAAGCTGCATGTTAACAATTTACATGTTCTTGTCATTCATTATTTATTTGCATGTTTACTCAATACTGGAACTAAAAGTTCTTATGGCAACAAACAGGTAAAATTTAATCATTCTGCGACTTCATTATGTACAACCTTTGTAATATACAGGCAATTTGAAGTCAATTTTGTTCTATAGTGCTCTTTTCTCAGTTGTCTGCCTTTATGTAACCAAGTACTAGCTTTTCTATGCTTTCTTTTTCTATCCATGGATAAAGTTCTTATGGCAACAAACAGGTAAAATTTAATCATTCTGCGACTTCATTATGTACAACCTTTGTAATATACAGGCAATTTGAAGTCAATTTTGTTCTATAGTGCTCTTTTCTCAGTTGTCTGCCTTTATGTAACCAAGTACTAGCTTTTCTATGCTTTCTTTTTCTATCCATGGATAAAGTTCTTATGGCAACAAACAGGTAAAATTTAATCATTCTGCGACTTCATTATGTACAACCTTTGTAATATACAGGCAATTTGAAGTCAATTTTGTTCTATAGTGCTCTTTTCTCAGTTGTCTGCCTTTATGTAACCAAGTACTAGCTTTTCTATGCTTTCTTTTTCTATCCATGGATAAAGTTCTTATGGCAACAAACAGGTAAAATTTAATCATTCTGCGACTTCATTATGTACAACCTTTGTAATATACAGGCAATTTGAAGTCAATTTTGTTCTATAGTGCTCTTTTCTCAGTTGTCTGCCTTTATGTAACCAAGTACTAGCTTTTCTATGCTTTCTTTTTCTATCCATGGATAAAGTTCTTATGGCAACAAACAGGTAAAATTTAATCATTCTGCGACTTCATTATGTACAACCTTTGTAATATACAGGCAATTTGAAGTCAATTTTGTTCTATAGTGCTCTTTTCTCAGTTGTCTGCCTTTATGTAACCAAGTACTAGCTTTTCTATGCTTTCTTTTTCTATCCATGGACCTGTAAGGCTTTAGTTGTTGAAGTCCAAAATTTTCATAAATAGCACTGATTATTATACCTTTAGTTCTTGATGTTGTGGGTTGAATTATTGTTTCAGGCCTGACACCCTAGATCCAGCACTATTGCGTCCTGGACGATTAGATCGTAAGGTGGAGTTTGGTCTTCCGGATTTGGAAAGTAGAACTCAGATATTTAAGATCCATACAAGAACAATGAATTGCGAAAGAGATATCCGGTTTGAGCTTTTGGCTCGGCTTTGCCCAAATTCAACCGGTAAGGATGATTCCGAGTGGATTCAACTGTATAATGCTTTCTGCCTTTTGCATTATTACACTAAATTGATAAAATGAGACACTCACGTGACTACTGCCAGTGTATTTGAGATTATTATTTTTCTGATATGGATTTCTACTTCAGGAGCTGATATTAGGAGTGTATGTACTGAAGCTGGCATGTTTGCAATTCGAGCACGGAGGAAGACAGTGACAGAGAAAGACTTCCTTGATGCAGTGAACAAAGTAATTAAAGGATACCAGAAATTCAGTGCAACCCCAAAATACATGGTGTACAACTAGATGCTGCTTATAAATCTAAACAGGCGATGAATATGATGAATGAGGGCTGTATCGTGGACTTGAATCTTTTGTTGCTTGGATTTCTAGTATTGCTTCATAGACCTCTTGATGCTTTGTTGTTTTCCAATGTATAACGCTACGTCACCATCTAAGTCAATTTTTCTGCCGCCCTATTCTATTATATTTAATGCTTTAATATGAAGTTTTATAATCATTAATCTCGTCATTCAATTATTTAGCAACTATTTAATCGATCTTATAAAATTTAAAAGGTTCAATAGAATGATTTTGTAAATTGAAGTATCAATTGAAATGCTTATTGTTAAAGTGAAAGTTGAGTCGCAATTTTTTAGGAGAAGTACGAGTGAACTTGTTCCTGCTTAGCATTCCAGTAGTGAGCCTGTAATCCTCTCCAGTGTTATACCATGCAGGAAAGGAAAGGTTAAATATTGCAACGTATAAAATACCATAGCAATCATTTGAAAAGATAAATAGTGATGTACAAACAAATAGTATACAATGGGATCATTCTTAAACCCTGGAGAAGAACCCACTGCCAAGCTTTTATTCCCAAAAAAAGCATTTTCAATTTACAAATATGAGTTGACAGCAAAAGGTGGGAAGGAAAGTAAAGGGGACCAAACTTCTGCTGATTGTGATGCTCAATCTGAATAGGAGATTTATAGAATATAACAAGAAGAAAGCTAGCTCAACCATATAAATATTTTAACAAACTGTATCAAACTCCTAATTCTATCATGTGTTCCATCCGAAAAGATTAAACTAGAAAACTATCTCCAATAAACTTGAAGAGTGAAATGATAAGATGAGAGAGAGGACTACTTGATCTGTTATATTTAACATCGGAACATGCTAACGTGAGCATTGTTGACATTTCACATGTAATCAGGCGTGTCAAGGTTGTCTGCTTGCCGCGATGCTCCCTGATCATTTCCAACCGTTCTCTTGCTCATGTTAGCTCGCTGAACTAGACGAACCAATGCCTGAACAACTTCTGACATGGGTGGTCGAAACTCTGGCTCCGACTGCCACAAGACAGGGAAAATATGCATCAAAACTTTAGTGGTGCTCAAAAATGGGAGAACACTATTTCCCCTTCTAAAACGAAACAGACATGCCTCAAACATGAAATTTACCTGGACACAGAGGGCAATAACATCAGCAAATCGGGAAAGAGATTTGACAGGGTAGAGCCCTTTGAGAGCTGGGTCAACCATTTTAGCCAGTGCATCAATATCATGGAGCTGAGGTGTGGCCCATCGAACCAATGATTGCTCGGATCTTGGCCTTGAGCTGAAAGATGTTTTGTATGGTATGATCAGAAACTAACTCAATTTATTTCTAAGTTATGATTAACATGATAATGAAAGTACTAATGGCGTGGTTCCTGTCAAACTAAGAGAGCAAAAGGGAGACAGGGTGAGATAACAACGGATCATGTTATACGATTTCAACATTTCACCTGTCAAATGGTTTTCGTCCAGTGAGAAGCTCTAACATGACAACTCCAAAACTGTAAACATCACTCTTGAGAGTATATTGACCAGACATGGCTACCTCAGGTGCACCATATCCAGATGCTGAATCATTGTTCAGTGCCTGCACATGAAAAGAAACTTAAAAATTTCAGCATATACCACAAGACATCTGTTCTTCTGTCAAACTAAAATAATGCAGAAAAGGATCAGCCATGCAGAAGTTTATCTCCCGGATAAAAAAAAAGTTAACATGTACATGCAAACTCATATTATAGGAATCAAGTAAGGTAATTATACGATACTCAAGAAAACCTACTTTTCCACATTAAATAAAGCCAGTCATTAGATTACCAACAAAATTTGGAAGATATTCAAAATCACCTGATCTGCATTTGGAAGAAAGCTTGCAAGGCCAGAGTCTGAAAGGTGAGGATTGAGCTCAGCATCCAGTAATATGTTTGCTGACTTCATATTTTTATGAATAATAGATGGTGAGCATACTTCATGCAGGTACCTGAAAACATCCCTTCTTCAGTACCAGGAAGGCCATTCATCATAGAGGGAAGCATAATTTGTAATATCTGGGTTCCTAAAATTCTAATTCCAATATCTCAGACTAATAAGAAATAAGCAGCTTCTGAATTCCAATAATGAACTTTTAACAAATATTTTGTGCAAGTGTGCTGCACTTATAAAGAATACTATGTTCACATCAACCAGAAATATTAGTACTGAAGTCACTCATTGCTTGTTATTAATAATAGTAGTAGTTGAGTGTTAGAATTAGCGAAGTACGAAATAGCTAGAAAGAACAGAATGTGTTGAGTGAGTGGGTGAGCGACGGGTCAGGGAAAGATAATATGAGAACATGTGTGTGTGTGTGTGTGTGTGTGTGTTTTGACTTACTCTAATGCACGTGCAGTCCCCAAAGCTATCTTGACACGGGAGTTCCATATCAAAGGCCTGCTGTCTTCATCTGACAAATGCAGGAAGTCATGCAGTGATCCATTTTTATGGAACTCATAGACCAGGAGGTGCTGCCCGTGCTCTGAGCAATAGCCCATGAGCTCTGTCACATTTGGATGATGTAACTCAGAGATTTTTGAAACCATTTCTATAAAATCATCAGACATGTCACTGGCAAGAGCGGATGAATTTATTTTCTTCACAGCAAGAACCTACATCATTGTCAAACAAAAGAAAAGTTTTGCCTTCAATAATACTAAATCATTCCAAAAGATATATTCATCTATGGATATATTAATCATGATAGGGAAAGGGGACTTCAGCATGAACTATGAAAAGAGGCACATAAGATAATTTTTTGTCGTATCCTTAAACTGAATTATTCAAGCGGCTTTCGCAGGTCAGAATAGTATACCTTCCCATCATCAAAATGCGCTCGATAAACTCGTCCAAAAGACCCTTCACCCAGAAGATGGTCAATACTGAAGCTACCAGTAGCTATCTGCAGATCTGCTACAGAGTATGATGTCACATTTACAGGAGCTCTTACTGGTTTCTTGACAACAATAGGCTTCTTTGAAAAGTCATCTTCATCAAATGATTTATTGCGATCAATTGGTGGAGGTCTAAGATTTATGGAGGCTGAGGTATCAAATGTCTTTGTATTAACTGTGGAGGAAGTTTGTACAGACTTCATTTCTGCAATACAATTCAGCACATGAGAAACTATAAACCTCTAGCTAGCTAAGACCAGTTTAAATTGTAATCCAGAAGTTTTCCAACTGCATGTTTAGTTCGAAGGTTTCCTTCAGTTGAACTAAGATCACAAACTCCAACAATCTAAGGCTTACCTATTCCCCATAGAAGACAAAGCTAAAGTAAGAGAACTTAAGCAATATTCAATATAGCATTTTTGCCGTGTATTTCTTTGGCATTTTTTATCCTATAGTTCGATTACTTCAGATTCTCCAGTTGCATTTTTGCAATTATTAGCAACAAAAATTAAAGTTAAAGCTAATCAATTTAACGTCTTAATAAACTCAGCATGACTACACATAATCTGTTTGCTGTTTTCCTAGATAGTAAATAGCAAACATATTTTCCTCATTTCTAACAGGAGAATAGCAGACAAATCCCATTGTCAATACAACAGGACAAGCAGCAGAATGACTAAAAGAATAGAGATGATCGAGAAATTATTTCCAACTGAATGTGAGACTCAGAAAACTTTGCTTACCTCGTACTTCACTCGAGGCAAGAGGCGCAAATGGCTGATTATCAAGCTTTTCTATATCTGAAGATGACCTCTTTGATCTTCTCTTAACAAAGAAGAATGCTATAATCCCCCCAACAACAAAGATGGATATGATTATTCCAGCTATACCACCACCCCCTATGCCTGATTTTTTGCTGCCACCACCAGCATCCCCATCAGATGGACTGTTATTGCCACCCGATTTGTGACCTGGATTTTTGTGGGCCGGAGGAGTACCAGGTGGAGGTGGGGGAGCAGGGCCTGAGTTCCAATTGTTACCATCCGTCCTATAGTGAAGATTACTCATTAAATTTGTAAGAAGTTTCTTTCTGAAACCATCATGACAACCAGAAATTTTCTGATATTGTAAAATGCTTACTGCAGATTAATGCCCTTCAACTGTTCAGGAATCCAGCCAGTAAAATGATTATTTCCAATATACCTGGAAATAAAAGTGCAAGTATAATCAGCAGCCATATAATGCCTCAACTGTAAGGAAAGACAATAAAGATGTGCCTAATAAATTTAAATGTTATGCTGGCTACCCACAGATTTTTAAGAGGAAGATCAGCGAGGACATCAATGGTGCCTGTAAATTGATTGTTTTGCAAATACCTGTGAAATCATAAGTTAGAAAAAGAGAGCAAGACAATATGGTAACCAGGAACCAGAGAATATGATCTTTAAGAAACTTACATCGAGGTCATGCTTGAAAGGTTGCTAAAACTCTCAGGTAGGTTGCCTGACAGTTGGTTGAAGGAGATATCCCTGTAATGAGAACAGAAATAATTGATGCTTCTATTCACTAAATTCTCTAAAACGATCTTCATGTTCTTACACCTTTTTTCACTCAATGAGGAAATTTGAATCACATCTTATAGGAGATAATGCAAATCCAGCAACCAATAATCATACAAAAGCACCCCTCTTTAGCAAAACATAACAAGAACAGATGTTTCGAATTTGCAAAACAATAGTAGAAACATCAAATTTTCTCCTAGCCACATCAATTATGAAGTGCTCAAGAGTGTCATTAGTAATTTTCTGAGCACATCAACAAAAATGATTAACTTCTTTCAAACGACAAAGACATGAGGAAATTGCACTTTTAACCATATGACAAAGAAACAGAGGAGGTCTCACAGTGTGGACAGGGATGAAAGCTTTCCAAACATGTCATTCAATTGATTCTGAAGCTGATTGTGAGCAATATTCCTGCTCTCCCAAAGAAAGGATGGAGAACAAAGCGGATATTAGTTTTAGAATTTGGATAAGTAGCATCAGAGAATGAACAACTGAAAGTCACTCACAGATATGTAAGCTTAGTCATCATAGATATGGAATAAGGGATATCTCCAGTAAATTGATTACTAGCAAGATTTCTGCACAAAAAAGAGCATCCGACATAAATCATCAAAATATCATAGAGGAATAAATAAATAAAATAGAGATCCTGAGCGGAGCATACAGTTGTGTCAGGTTTGGAGGAAGTCCATAAGGTATACCACCTCCAATATTGTTGTTGCTCATGTCTCTGCAGAAAAGTTAACCAGGTAAATATCTCAAGATAATACATAAATACTAAGAGTACCAATGCAATACTTTTAAGACCATTGATCTCACAGGTTTGTTAATGCTGTCAAGCTTGCAAGCTGGTAACCCATTTGTCCAGAGAGTGCAAGACCAGATAATTTACTGGCAAAAAGCAATAGAAAATATATATTTTCAGTGCTGAGTAAGCCATAATCAGTGCTTATGGCACTGTGTGAGCGTAACACGCGATAAAGAATTAAACATGAAATAGAAGATCACATTTCTGTGACTCGTGGGCCCGAGCACGTAACACCTTTCCAGGACTCTTCGCATGGATCACCACCATTTGCTTTCCATTGAGTTAGCTGGCCAGGCGAACCTAAACTGGTAAACATGCCTCTTAACGCAGACGCTGCACATCAGCAGGTAGCAAATAGAATAAATATATCATTTACTAGTGCCACAATCACCAAGCAAGTTTGCATACACACACACAGCAACTCAATACTTTGAATGGAAAAAAAAAAAAGAGTAATGGGTAATATAGCTCTTGGTACAGAAATAAATGGGAGAAAAAAAAAAGAAAAAATGGATAGTATTGCCACATACAGAATCCATTTATAGCAATCACTTCTATACATCTAAGGTAGATCAGTCCTCATTTGTCCACACTGTTTGTTGATGTTTGCTAGTCAATTAAGCTTTTAGTATCTCAAACAAAGGTCTGTCTGGATTCCAGAATTAGCATTTCAGGGATTTAATTTGTCTATAGCAACAGAATATCAACTCTTATTATGCCTAAATTTGGAGGCATAGTCACAGTAACTGCTTCTGGAAATGCCTTGCAATGGAGTAACATTCATAATAGAGTTTTCGCACTTCAGTCTTCATAAACTTTAGAGCATATAGATGCTTGCCATTTACCATGAGAAATGCAGTTAATTGACCAAGAGAACTGAGGAGCACCAGCAAGTGTATCTTTCCCTTCAGGATGAAAATGATAAATTCTATTTTATAGCATCATTAAGAAAGCTTCTTTCACCACGTTTCCAGATTTGCAAGGAAATGAATAGGACTTCTGAAAGATAAAAGCTTTCAAGTTTAAATTGAAGGCTCCATCCAAATTTTTAAACTGTGGAGATAAACAGTTTAGGCACACATATCGTCTTTCGTCTGTCTTCCCCCTTTCTTGGTATACTTTTCATGTCCCAAAGTTTTCTTCTTTTTCCCTCCTTTCCAGATAAGTTACTTTTACTTATTCAAAAATCAGAAATAAAGGGTTGAAGGATAGTTTGACATAATAATGACTAGCAGTTTAGGCCTGTGGCAAGCAAATAATCAGCATTGACATATCCTGAAGCGCATTTAGACTTGAAATTCTATGAACATTTGATTCGTTGAATATCATCAACTCTCAATTTGATCTTTAAGGTGACAATTCAACATGTAATTTAGACTAAATGAACCAAAAGCTTCTATCAAATCAGTCTCTTTGGCTTTTGAAATAAACCAGTGGCTATAATGAAGTCCCAAAAACTGCAAAACTTGATATTCAACACTCACCTACAGAAACTTGTAGCCAATACTTCATATGGATCACTCAGTCTCAAAGATCCACTAAATAATTGCTGCTTTAATCCACACATGATGCATTTATGAACCAGGAAAATTGCATAACCAATTTGAGAAGCAGGAAGAAACTATTAGGAATAGTGGGATGTGAAAATTAAAAGATGCCAAAGTGAGAAATGTTCCAAACAACCTTATGTTTCTTGGCATTATACTAACCCATGTCTGATACAGGGTAAATCAAGACCTAAGAAAGCTTTTCTCAAGCCTTTCTCTCTCTATCAAACATTAAAACACGCACATAAGTCCATCTTAAATGAGAGACATCAAGGCCAAGTGTCAGCAATTGCAGATACTAAATTTCCATCAACAATTTTTGGGTACCAAGAAAATCCGATCAGTATTTCAATCTGCCTTTCCAAAAATGAAGATTGTATAATATAAAGAGATAAAACAAAAAAGCAGTACTTCCCCAACCCATAACTGATTTTCACAGTTTCAACACCAATCTGCCTTATTAGCAGTGAAAACACTTTCTGCTCATATCCTCAAACATATAAAAAGAAAGAGAGAGAGAGAGAGAGAGAGAGAGAGAAAGAGAGAGAAATCTGCAAATGCATCAGAACAAGAGGAACCTTTTGTGGTCATAACAAGTCATAAGCAGCAGTCCAAACCAAGTAGTAATGAAGAAGCTAAATAAAAAGAACTATTAAGAAATGCAGATGAGGCAAGGATCAGTACATGCAAATCTATCTGTGAAACACAAATAAAAGAATCAAAAAGAAAGGCAGATAACAGAGAGTCAAGCAACAGAACTTACCATCATTTGGATCTGTATTGTCACCATTGATGTAACCCAGAATGCAGATTATCACTGTTACAAAAAGTTCACCCCTTCTCCAAATCTCCATTACCACCTTCTCACACTGTGTCGAGCCTTACCCACAAACCAAGACAAGGCCTTGGCCTAATGACTTGCTAGCCCTTCTTTTATATTTTCTTTTTAATTTTCCAGAAAGGATTTTTATACTTAATTAGCCATACCCTTTCCTTCCCTAGTCCAAGTGAAGCTGGCAGGCACGATTTGCCAGAAGAATCCAAAGCCACAGAATAGAGAATCCCCTCCTCTATTTTTATTATTTTATCACATTCTCACCCCCTCTCTCTCTCTCTCTCTCAGAGCACTTTTCTTTTTCTTGGATTTTCTTCTAAAATTTTCACACTTGTAAAACCAAAAAACGAGAAAAGAGGAAAAAGGATAGATTTCTGTTTTGGTAGGTGTACTGTATCTACTGTAAATATTTTTATTATATCCTTTTCTAAATTTATTTCCCTAAAGAAATGAACAGGTATAATAGTAGCAAGCAGTAGCTCTCAACAAGGATTATTTATTACAGAGAATTGAATAAACTTCTCTTGGTTTACAACTATCTTTGATAAAATTATGCTAATAATGACGCAGGAAGAAAAAGATTCTGTAATGAGATTGAATGATTGATCATATAATAAGAAGAAATTTTGAAATAGAGCTATCGTTACTAGAAATTATGATTGAAATGTCACTTTTAAGCACGTCATTTTGGCCATACTCAACGGGAGTTCACGAGACTCTTGTACAGAGACCCTTTCTTCTTTTCTCTTTGCTCTTTTTTGAGTTAGCAACATGTAAGCAAGAGGTACATTAGTATTGATCGATAAAACTCTAACTCGAAATAGTATTTAGATAAAATTTATACAATACTCTATAAAATTTTTTGACTTTACAAGTAAAATTTATATGAAAAACATGATTCCTCGATAAACCCGTGTTAAATTATAGTTTTTTAAAGTTAGACTTAGCTTCTAATTAATTAAGAAACAAAACCAAGCAAAAAGCATAATTCTGGTAACTTAGGATTATAAGAATATATGCCGGTCAATGTCAGAACGGTATGTGTTAGGTAGCTGAGCAATGTTTTCTTGTTTTTGTTGTTTTGATTTTCCATTTATATAATAATAAATAATACTATCAACAACAAATTTAACAACTTTGCTGGCACGAATGGGATAATAGCAATACCAGTAGAAATACAGAGTCAGAAACTCAGAATTGACATATTTATATTAAAAAAAATGGATTCTTGATTGATTATAAGATTTGGTGGTAGTTAAGGAATAGTAGCCATTAAAGTCGGTAAAGAATCATTTTCTTTCATTTATTTGTTATTTGTTTTGCTTCTGTTGAGAGTTAGGGTTGTTTTCTTGATTGAGGTACCTTCAATTCGTTCCCTAACCACAGAAAATTCTTGTTTATGATTTTGCAACAGTTTGGAATTTCAGATTTAAACATTAGTTGAATTTATTTGTTAAAATTATTTTTATTATATAAATAAATTAAATAATTAATTAAATTTATGAGCAATACAATCAAATATTACGATATTTAAACTCGATTTAATTTATATCAGGATTTAATTATATTTTCAAATGACAAAAAAAATATCAGGAAGGGCCAAAGTTAAAAACAACAGGGAGGTCATGGCGACTGACACGTGTATTGGGAGGCAGCCGACGTGGCAACTACCCGTTTTTCTTTCTACTTTTCTAGAATGATAAGGTCCATAAGGACACCCTCATCATTTGTTTTTTTTTTTTTTTTTTATAATTCTAAATTGTAATTTTGTTGTGATAAGTTAATTTTTTAAAAAATATAAATTAATTTGCATTATTTCAGTTCGTTTATTATTATTGTGTTACTGTGGAATATATATTGATTTTTTCCTTAAAAAATAATTTATCTTTCTAAAAAGATATTAAAAGTTTTTTTTTTTTTATGAAAATTAGTATCCCCACAAATGAGTGCGTGCCACGGCCATATGTTTTGTGTAGGGCTTTGAATATCCGGACCGGACAGGTTGTCTACCGTTGCAAAATCCACGTCTGCACTTTTTTTAATTATAATAATAATGGAATCGTGTCGGTTGTCTTGTCGGTGGCATTTTCGAATTTTTCATCCTAGTCCTTACATTACGGTACGCCCCCGACCCGTTTGGACACTAATAAGTAATAGTAACAAATTAGGAAAATTTTATTTATATTCTGTATATGAGTCAAACTGTTGACTCAATTGATGCACGCGAAGTAGCTCAATGGTAAATAATACGTATAGAGCTGACACTATAATTTAAGTTATAAATTCAATTTTTTACGATCAAAATTTCCTTCGAACCGGTTCTTTTACCGTCGAAAGAGAACGGGAATTAATCTTAAAAAACTGAATTTCAAACATTGAATAATTAATGGTTGTATTAGATGTTGAGATACCAATAAGGCAATTACCATAATAACAAGATATTAGGTTTGATTTGTAGATGGGAATACAAAATAGAATGGTTGGGTTGGGCCAAGTCTTTGCCAGCTTTTGATTTGCTGTATCTTTAAGTTTGGAAATTGGGGTTGACATTTATCTCTTGCACAATTTGCGCTTTTCTGCAACCCTTCGTACTCGTTAAGGCAATTTTTCTTTTTGCGTTGGTTGCAGAAATTCAAATCTAAATTTATTATCGACTTGTATATATCTTTATCGTTAGATTATAATTTTAATGCTAATTGAGACGAATTCAATGTATTAAAGAAAAAATATTTTAACCGTTTTCATTTTTTCTACTTCCGTCACGACCGACCATCATCATCTATAATTTCCATCTCCATGTACCTCCAAGTCAATTCTTTCCAGGACAAAGTGGATTGCTTTTCTGTTAGTATAAGCCTGGTTTACAGGTTTGGCGTTATATAAATATGGATGTTTTTTTTTTTTTTTTTTTTTTTTTTTTTTTTTTTTTTTTTTTTTTTCTGTTTTCTACATATTGCGTAGGAGGTAGCAAAAAGAAATTCAAAGTGCGTATAAAGCAAACTTCACAGATATAGCTTTTTGCAGTTGTGTTCTTAACTGAAGTGGATTTTTTTTTTTTTTTTTTTTTTTTTTTTTTTTTTTTCTGTTTTCTAATATTGCGTAGAGTAGCAAAAAGAAATTCAAGTGCGTATAAGCAAACTTCACAGATATAGCTTTTGCAGTTGTGTTTTCTTAACTGAAGTGGATAGAGAGAGTTTGCAGTTGGCAGCTTATCTACGGCTTTCGAGGTCTCCAAGATTAAAAAGGAAAATTGACAAGCCAAGCCTTCCCCTGCATGGTCAAATTATTTATTTATTTTATTTATTATTAACTTAAATGGGAAGAATACTATAAATTAACGAAGATTAGCTAAATAGGAAAAATCAAATTTGGATTAACTAGAAAATTACTATTGTATGAATAAATTAAAATTAATAGAATAATTAAACAGTAAGATTAATACCACCCCATCATAATAATATGTAATTTAATTTAGAAATTAATAAGTAAATTGCTCCATATCATAATGGGTTTGATATTCTCAGTCCAACTTTATTTGTTTGGTTTTAATTGAATATTATTTTTAATTTTTAATTCGATATGCGTATGGGAATTAAAAAAAAAAAAAAAGAAAATAATAGTTCCAGGTCAATAACAGAATCTGTGCATGCACATTATGGGTAGTGCTCCTACTGCCTACTGGACCGCTTTCAAGGCCCATAAAGAAAAGCCACAATCATACTTCTTTTGAATTGCACCCGCGTGATGTGATCTCATGCATTTCACGACAAATGGAAAAAATAATAATATTTTGAGATATCATCATATCTTGTGTCGGTTTGATCGTAAACGTAACCGCAAGAACTCCAATCCAATCTTTATCTACCTCATATCCAATCTTTGATTGCTCTTTTTACATCCTCTTCTTCAATAATCTTGAATCTTGAATTCTTTTTCTTGATAAGGAAAGAAACTAACCTTCATATTATCAAGTGACACTTATTCATGGCTATGTGTGATGACCAAAATCAAAAACTTGATGAAAAAGAGGGATTCAAGTATCTAATGGTGAAGCCAGAGAAAGGAGGTATAACGGACATATGGAGATACGTGGTCTTTTCTGACATAAAGAGTGGAGTGAGATTCTTGGAGAGTTCAGAGGAAGAGGTGATCATAAGTGATGAAGCAACTGATAACAGGTGGGTCATATTAGTATCTATAATTGTTCGTAAAATCCTTCGCTTGATTGGCAAGCCAATGGAGTACACTGGCTATGTTCTGGAGTTCTTCCTTAATTTCATGTCTGAAAATGGAGACCTCTTGGGATTACTCTGGAACTTACTCCGTGGTATGCAGTATTGTAATTATGATAATTATTTTACAGAAAAAATTAATTTGAATTATTTATAATAATGATGTATATTGGATGCACATGCAGCAAAAGTGGTGATTCCTCAGAGAGGCACAGAGACCTTTATAAGTGCAATAGGACATATGGATGGGCGAATAGACCTGTATAAAGCTGAAAACTTGGTAGAACAAATAGAAAATTCTGTTTCTGAAGATGGAGGCCTCAAAGTAGAATTGGGAAACAGAGCTCTTATGGACCTTTGCATTATGGCTTCCAAGTTAGCTTATGAGAATGCCAAAGTTGTTCATAATATTGTTGTTAATCACTGGAAGGTAAATGCAGTCAAGTAATGATGATTTTTCTTTCCGTGAGGTTTGGAAATCACTTATGATGACAAATATTATTAATTTCAGATGCATTTTGTGGATTTCTACAACTGCTGGAACGGTAAATTTTTTTTAAAAAGTGTTTTTGGGATCAGCTTTATAACATACGGTCTATTGATAATGTTTTTGGCGTTTGTTGTCAAACTGTTTGATAGATTTCCAAAACGAGAACTGTACCCAAGTTTTCATATTTTGTGACAAGCCCGCAGATGCAAATTTGATATTGATTAGCTTTAGAGGGACAGAACCTTTTGATGCTGATGATTGGTGTACTGATTTTGATTATTCATGGTATGAAATTCCCAATTTTGGAAAAGTGCATATGGGATTTTTAGAAGCATTAGGTTTGGGCAATAGAGTTAACACAACAACCTTCAAAGACCACCTTACTCAAAACAAAAACAGCATGAAATACTCCAATATTGCTGACAATAATGATCCCACAAGCTCATCAGAATCAGAATCTTCAGATGCTGATTCTGACACATTAGATCAGTCATCAGTATCTGAGAAGGGGAATATTTCACCTGAAATGGTGAAGAAGGGTGCATATTATGCTGTAAGAAGGAAACTAAGAAGATTACTTAGAAAGCACAAAAATGCTAAATTTGTAGTAACTGGACACAGCTTAGGTGGAGCACTTGCTATATTATTTCCAACAGTGCTAGTGCTACATGAGGAGATGGAGATGATGCAAAAATTACTTGGTATATACACATTTGGGCAGCCAAGAATTGGGAATATGCAATTAGTGAAGTTTATGGAACAGCGTTTGGACCATCCTGTTCCTAAATACTTTAGGGTGGTTTATTGTAATGATCTTGTTCCTAGGTTGCCTTATGATGACAAAACCTTCTTGTACAAGCATTTTGGAGTTTGCCTTTACTGTGACAGCTTCTACAATGAACAGGTACACGTTTCAGCTATTCCCTTTTATCTATATATGCTTTTTTGGCAATAGTTTATTTAGGTTTGATGGAAAAAAAAAATGTAAAAAACCGATTATTTTTGTTTGTGGTTGAAGAAAATGGATGAGGAGCCAGACCCAAATTTCTTCGGGCTGAGATATATAATTCCATTGTACTTGAATGCTATATGGGAGTTGATCAGAAGCTTTATAATGGGTTACATGTATGGGCCAGAGTACAAGGAAGGGTGGTTCTCTTTGTTATTTAGGGCAATGGGACTAGCATTCCCTGGTATTGTTGATCATTCCCCTGTAAATTATGTTAACTCTGTCAGGCTTGGAAGGGATCGTCTTCTTCAGATGTCCTCTTTCTAAATAGCTCTCCGCTCTTCTGTAACTATCATTTGGTTCTGGTATGGTTACTCGTGTAGTCATTTCATTTATACATTTCAGATCAATCATCATAAAAAAGCAACGAACTTTAGAATTTTTTTTTTCTTAGTCAGGTGAAATCACAATTTCTGCTTCTGCTGGTGATGTAAATTTGTTTTTTGTTTTGATATTTTTTTTCTCATTATCGTACCAACGATTGAATGATGAAAATAAATAGTTGAAATCTCGTTTGATTGTGATTGTTTATGTTGATTTAGCTAGATAAATACTTAAATTGATGAGTTTAACTGCACTATTCCAAATTATTAATGTTAAATATTAAAAAGTACCGAACTTAGAGAGTGTAGCTCGAACATTAGAATCTGTTCAAGATCGTTTTATTCTTAGCCCTCCTGTTAACTTCATCCTAGTCCAGAACTGAAGAGACTGGACATTTAAATTTGTATTGAGCTCAAGCTTATTTTTCGAGCGATGATTAGGTCTAATTAAATTTGATCTCAAAATTACCATGTCGAAGGAAATTTGGAGATACAAATCAAATATAGTTAGTCTTCTTACTTCTTATAATAATGTGAGGAGTACGGGACTTCAAACTTAAATTCTTAGAATTTTCATCATTTAAATGAATATGAATTTACGAGAACTACTATGGTTCATAATGTTATGTCGGTGGACAAAACTTATGAATATGAGATTGACATACATCCCAAACATTTAATTTACGGGAAAAAAAAAAACGTCCAAAGCAAAAAATGAAAAATGTTGAACGTGTTGTAAAACATTAAGAAGTGGGTTGGTGTATGCCTTGAAGTTCAAACTTTTTGCTCTGTTTTAGTAGGATTCTTTTTCCAGAGACGCACACAGCTTTTTTTTGTCTTCTCGATTCTCAATCTTTCACGCATCCCAACTCCAATTAATCTGAAGGTGAATCTCTAAGTCTCCTCATTTTTCGGAAAAATTAAATTATTTCTAAGTTTGGAATTTTCACGTGTTGTCTGCTCTTAAATGGCTCCTTTCTCTTGCAAGCATCTGGTTGGCCGGCCTGCGGTATGGGCACGTCAAGTTGGTGCAGGCGCATAGAAACTGAAGTTGACGTTTCTGCGTAGGATAAAGTAGCTCGTGCACACTGTCCATTACTACAAGGAATTTCGAATTGCAATGCATGAAATTGCATCTTCTAATTTCACAAATTTATGGCAAAAATCACGAGTTTTAAATCACAAAGTGTTATTAGAATGCTAAGCGATTTCAATCTTTTTAAAGTAAGAATACAAGTTCGATCTTCAGAAAAGCTATTTCAATCTCCTTAAAGTAAGAATACAAATTTGATCTTTAGAAAAAACACGTAGCTGGAAGCGCAAAACAACAATTCACGACAATTATGAATAAAAGTTAGAAAGCTTTGTAGTCTTTCGTTTCACTTCAACAGCATTATCTCTTCTGCGCGTGGATGGGTATAGCCGTGTGGCCATAACATCAGTCTGTGTATTCTGCACAATACAATATCAATATGGGTTCGTGCAGGCCCACATTGGCCATGTTTGCCTAATAACTTTGACAAAAAATTATTGGAATATTTTGGTAGAATCCAATGTAAGTATTAACAATTTGGATTTGCCAATGGCTAAGCTAACACTTGATTGGGTCGTATTCATATTGAGTTATTTTTAATAAATTTGAAGAGGTGAATTATGTAACCTGTAATATCATTTTAATTCAGTAATTTTAAAAGAAAATAATTCAAATTTAACAATTTTTTTTAATTGAAATATAAATATAAGTTGATTCTCCTTTATCCAAAATAATTTCAACTAAAAATTTGTACATACACTATTAAAAAAATAATACATTACACGTTTCAATGGCATGAGGTAGATTTCATAAAGTTCTTAGTTGATATAATAATGTTTATTTGTTTTTCTCATATCGAGACCACGCGGTGTAAGGGATACATTTTGTCACATGATATTCAAATATAAAATTTTTACTATTCCCTAGAAAGTTATTTGACCTAATTTTTTTTTTTTTTAAGAGAGATAAGACTTGTCTATATTTAGTGTACGAGATTATTCATGTACTAAACTAATCAAAAAATGAGGTTTTCAAAAATTATTATTAATATTTTTTTTTTCTAATGAATGATTAGAAATACATCAGTTGAATTAAAAAAACTGTTTTTAATTGGTTTTGGTGTATAGCTTTTTTTTTTTCTTCCAAGAGTACTGCCACTCTGCTATATATCTGTCCATACCAAATTAACATCCTCTCCTCTGTTACCCTATCTTGAATTTCTTGGTACACATTGTTAGGATTATTGAGAAATAAGAGTGAGAGAGACAGCATTAACATTCATGGCTACTACTGAACCAAATCTTGAACACAATAATGATGTTCATGGCAATGGTTACAGTAATGTTAATGAAAGAAAATTTGGTGGGAATAACAACAATAACAGAAACAGGTATCTGATTGTGAGCCCAAAGAAGGCAGGAAAATGGAGCTTGTTCAAGTACTTGGCGTTGGGAGACACAAAAAGTGGTAGAAAGTTCTTGGATAGTTCTGAAGAGGAAGAAAAGGATGGTGCTGTTTCCTATCACAGGATGGTTATATTAATGTCTATTATTGTGCGTAGGATCCTCGCCTTTATTGCCAAGCCATTGATGTACCTTGGCTTTGTGGTTGATTTCTTTCTCAACCTCCTTTCTGAGAATGGTGACTTCCATGGCTTACTCATCAACTTTCTCCACGGTATATAAAAATGACTTCAATCTTTTCTTTCTTCTTTTCTCAACTCACTGCTTATATATACTTCTTAAAATAATGAGAATGCAGGAAAGGTAAAGATACCACATAGAGGCTCGGAAACTTATATAAGCACCATTGGGCAATTGGATGGGCGAATAGACTTATACAAGTCTGAGAAACTGGTGAAACAAATAGATGATTCTGTTACTGTAGAGAGAAGCATCAAAGCAGAAATGGGAGATCTGTCTCTTATGGACCTTTCCATTATGGCTTCTAAGTTAGCTTATGAAAATGCCAGAGTTGTCAAAAATGTTGTTAGCAATCACTGGAAGGCAAGCACTTGCTCTTTCAAACTCTCCCTCAATTTTTAACTTAATTTTCTTACCATCTGATGTAAAATTTCCTGGAACTTTTGATGAACCCAGATGCATTTCGTGGACTTCTATGATTGCTGGAATGGTAAATTTTCTTTTTCAGGTTAACCAGGGTTATAGGAGTCCAAACTTGGATTATTTTCTTTTTCAGGTTAACCAGGGTTATAGGAGTCCAAACTTGGATTATTTTCTTTTTCAGGTTAACCAGGGTTATAGGAGTCCAAACTTGGATTATTTTCTTTTTCAGGTTAACCAGGGTTATAGGAGTCCAAACTTGGATTATTTTCTTTTTCAGGTTAACCAGGGTTATAGGAGTCCAAACTTGGATTATTTTCTTTTTCAGGTTAACCAGGGTTATAGGAGTCCAAACTTGGATTATTTTCTTACTAATTGTGTTGATTTTTTGATAGAATATCAAAAGGAAAGCAACACCCAAGTGTTCATATGTTGTGACAAGCCAAAAGATGCTAATTTGATAGTGATTAGCTTTAGAGGTACAGAACCATTTAATGCTTGTGATTGGAGTACTGACATCGATTTCTCCTGGTATGAAATACCTAAAGTGGGAAAAATCCATATTGGGTTTTTAGAAGCATTAGGTTTAGGCAACAGAGACGATGCTGATACTTTCCAATATCACCTCCAGAGACAGCAAAGAACTAATTTCAACTATTATAACGGTCAGGATGTTACTCCCATGACAAATTCTACATCAGAATCCTCAGCCAACACCGATTCGGATAAAGAACTCAGCACATGGGATAATCCTTCTGATTCTGAAGGTGCAAATAATACTACTAAAAATCGAAAAATCCAATTAGAAATGGCGAAAAAGAGTGCTTATTATGCAGTTACAGGGAAGCTGAAAAGCTTATTGAAAGAGCACAAGAATGCTAAGTTTGTAGTAAGTGGACATAGCTTAGGTGGGGCGCTTGCTATATTATATCCAACTGTTCTGATGATACAAGAAGAGATGGAATTGATGGAAAAATTGCTTGGTGTGTACACATTTGGGCAACCAAGAGTTGGAGATGTGCAATTAGGGAAATTTATGGAAGCTCATTTGAACAATCCAATTCCTAAATACTTCAGAGTGGTTTATTGTAATGATGTTGTGCCTAGAGTGCCTTTTGATGACCAAATTTTCTCTTACAAGCATTTTGGAGTGTGTCTTTACTATGATAGCTGGTTCTACATGCAGGTATGTCATCACATCATTTATTATGTACATTATTAATATTTTTTGAGCCGAATACATAATTTAACATCTGAATCTTGAAACCAACAAAGAAAATGGAGGAGCAGCCAAATCCAAATTTCTTTGGGCTGTGGTATATTATGCCCCTGCACCTGAACGCAGCATGGGAAATATTGAGAAGCATAGCAATGGGATACACTCACGGGCCAGAATACAGGGAAGGATGGTTCTCCACATTTTACAGGCTAATTGGACTTGCCCTGCCTGGCATTGCTGCACATAGCCCTAGAGATTATCTTAACTCTGTCAGGCTTGGAAAAGAGCGTTCTCTTCACTTGTCCTCTATCAAAAGCTTTTTACACAAATAATTCCTGCATTTCTTTTCTTATGGACTGGATAATTTAATCTCTTTCTGTGGACTTGGGCTATTTGTTAGCCTCCTATTAATGATTTTCTTATGTATTTTATTTTTTCATCAAATAAAATTTCCAGTATTGAAAAATTTAAAAATTGAGAGCTTATTATGAAGTAATTATAATAATTCAGGAGTTTAATAAATTAATTTTGAAATATGAAAAACATGATTGAAATGCTAACATGGGTAAGCTATTTATTTAGTTAAGGAAGAATGTAATGATTTACTTTTTTTTTGGTTAAATCGTTGAAAACATGTAGACCACCAAGCAAAACATGCATATATCAATTGCTCAAAAACCCAGCTAAATTAATTGATTATTATTTGAAAAAATTAATGTTATTATTTGTTCAGTATAAGAGACTCTACTATTTTATATTAAAGATCTTTACATTTTTTATCCTATATATTTGCATCTTGTCCCAATGTTTTGTATTAATACTATATTATATTTGAGTTCTGTGGATCATCTATGTAAAATTAGCAATTCGGTATTTAAAAAAATACTTACGGAGAGATGCCTCACTAACTCTCGAGCAGAAATAGTTTGATTTTGCAAAAGTACGAGATACTCTCGTTAATATAAAAAAAAAAAAGAAAAAGAAAAAAGAATTAATTGTTGATAGAAATTTAAAGCCCAAACAAGAAAAGCTACGTTGTTTTTTATTTTCCGACTGCATGCATGGCATTGTCGTTTCAAACGAGGATGACCATAGCTTCCACATTGAACTTGGAAAAAAGCAACTATCACAATTCCCATCTTTAACTGATAAAATTAACAAATAATTATAAGTCCTCTGTAATGCCTATAAATTTGTAAATTCATATCGCTCCTCTCATCAATCAATTTGCCTTGAACCTAGTTTTGAGTTCTTATTTGGGTAAGAAATCTAAAGACCGAAAAAAAAAGGCCATGGCTATCGATGGTCCTGTAATAAAATATCTGATAGTCAACCACGGAAAGAGAGATGTATGGAGTTTGTTACTGGCAGCAAAGACACATCTATGGAACTTCTCACTGGTAGCATTGTGGATTAAAGACAAAAAGAGTGGATTGAGCTTCTTGGATAGCTCAGATGAGGAGGTTAAGCTAAAGGCAGCAGTTGACAGCTTCTGGGTTCTAGTGTTATCATACATCTTTCAGATTTTCCTTCTGCTTATTCAAACGCCAATGAAGTACGTTGGCGATGCAGTTGATTTCGTTCTCAATTTCATTTCTCAAAATGGGGGCTTTTCCGGCATACTCAACAACATTCTTCGTGGTACGTGCTCTTAATCTTCTTCTTCTTCTTCTTTTTTGACTTTGTTTTTTTATTAATAATTAAGCAATCAAGATTATAATTAGTAACTGTTTGTTGCTATTACGTATATAATAAAAAAACATGCAGGAAAGGTAGTGATCCCAAAACGAGGAGCAGAGAACTTTCTGAGTAGCATTGGATTTTTAGATGACAGAATAGACCTGTACAAGAATTTGGCTGATAAAGCAGATGAAATACTTCCAGCAGATGGAAACTCAGACAGCAAATTGGAAAACCGAAAACTCATGGACCTTTGTATCATGGCATCCAAGCTAGCTTATGAGAATGCTAAGGTTGTCAAAAATGTCGTCACTTCCTGTTGGAAGGCAAGCAATACTACTACTACTACTACTATTTAATTCTTATTGCTTACCACTTAATTTTGATAAAAACGGAACAATTTTGTACTTGTTATAATGTATCTGATAATGAAACCTTGTTCAACTTTTGACAAAAACAGATGAATTTTGTCGGCTTCTACGACTGCTGGAATGGTATGAAAATTGAAAGAGTTTCTTTGATTAGCTGTTGAGCTTCTTTTGGTTTGACATTTTTAATTTAGTTCTCATCGTTTAGATAATTAATTAACGTTTTTGGATAATTATTGATTTGATAGAGTACCAAAAAGAAAGCAACACCCAAGTGTTCATATTTTCTGATAAGCCCAAAGATGCAAACTTGATAGTGATCAGCTTTAGAGGAACAGAACCTTTCAACGCTCAAGATTGGATAACTGATGTGGATTTCTCCTGGTATGGATTGGAAAATGTGGGGAAAATCCATGTTGGATTTTTAGAAGCCATGGGTTTAGGCGACAGATCAGATATTACAACCTTCGTAAAACATCTCCAAAAGAAGGACAAGAGTTTGTTATTTTTAGATGCAGATTCCGAAAAGGCAATGCTAGACTTGACAAAGAACGGTGCATTCTATGTTGTAGCAATCAAGCTGTGCAACTTATTGAAAGAGCATCGGAATGCAAAATTTGTAGTAACTGGACATAGTTTAGGCGGGGCACTTGCAATATTGTTTCCAACAGTGCTTGTAATCCAAGAAGAGACAGAATTATTGCAAAAAATGCTTAATATATACACATTCGGACAGCCAAGAATTGGAGACAAAGATTTAGCAACCTATATGGAAACCCAATTGAGCAAATTGACTGCCAAGTACTTTAGGGTTGTTTACTGCAATGACATGGTGCCTAGGCTGCCTTTCGATGACAAATTCTTCCATTACAAGCATTATGGAGAGTGCATTTACTATGACAGCAATTACTTTTCTCAGGTATATATGTTCTTTTTCTTTTTTTCTTTTTTCTTTTTTCTTTTTTCTTTTTTCTTTGATTGAAATTTTATGTTTTTCTTTCTGTGGTATGCATGAAATTAGGTTATGAAAGAGGAGCCACACCCAAATTTCTTTGGGCTGCAATATTTCATCCCAATGAGGAAGACAGCACTGTGGGAGCTGTTAAAAAGTTTGGCAATGGGATACATACATGGACCAGATTACAAGGAGAGCTGGGAGTCTACATTGTTCAGGGTGATGGGTCTGGTGCTTCCTGGAGTTGCTTCACATAGCCCTGTTAATTATGTCAATTCTGTCCGCCTGGGAAGGGAGCGAATTCTGAAACTTCCCTCGTTCGCTCTCATGTAATCAACTCAGAACAGACCAGACCATGCATTACTCTTCTTCTATCCAATTCCAATTTGGTTTTTTTAATTTCGTATTAATATGCTTTAATTGCATCTCTGAAAACAGAATGATTGTAATGTTTGTTCATTTTAGTTGCTCTATGTTGTCTTTCGTTGTGAACATGTATAAGCCGTCTATGGCTGTTACTGTTTTTATGTATTTCGCTTGAATAAAATTAATAAATTTTACTTGAATAAAAACTTACGTATTTATGTCTATTATGTGTTCTTTAAGGTTGCTACTTCTGATTTTATGGGTTCCTCTGACTGAAATGCTCTTAATCACCCAATAAATTTTCATGGTAAAGGAAAAATCAGTTTAGTTCGGTTTCTATTTTTTTTTTTTTAATTCTTTTCAATTAAAATTAAAAAAAATGCTTTAAAAATTAATGGATCGGATTTCAATTTTATAGGTTTGACCAATTTCTACTTTGGCAGGCCACTGATGCAGTGGCCCAGAATCCAAACTCTACTACTTTATTGGGCTTTGTTTGGGCTAAAAATCCGTAACGCATAATATAACAATTATGATGATTTTTATAATATAATAATTAATTTGCACTTAATTAAAATGTGTTTTCATGGCTATATCTATTGTTTTCTCATTTTTTCATTTATAAAAATAATATATTCACAAACAGTTGAATTAACGAAAATAAATTAAATCTCGAAATCAACTTTATTTCTAAAGTTATAAGTTTGATGTAAATGATTTACTATTTATTAACATAAATCACAATTAAGTTTATTATTACGTTACGTGGTTTTTGTTCCTTTGCTGAAAATTGATGTAGATGTTCTTTGGCTCTTTAATAAAGTATCAATAATTTTTGAATTTAATAAATCAAATATGATCTGATTGGTCTTTTCATTTATTGAGTTCGAGTTCTCTCATTATAGGAGTTTTCATCAATTTGGTAAGACAAACAAAAGTTATTGATATTGTGTAGCTCGTAATTTTATTTTAGTCATTTAACCTTCTAATCAATTAAAAAAAAATACTTTTCTATTTTAATATATAAAAAATTGATAAGATACAAAGTTTAAGAAATAAAATAATTATAGCGGCATATCATACAAAGTATCTCTACTCTTCTTAAATTGTCCTCTTTTAAAATAAAATGATTATTCCTAAAATTTAAAATCATTTATGAAATACCTCTTAAATTAATTGGATAAATATTTTAAAATACTTAAAAATGAAAATATGGACAAATATGAGAGGGAATATTATTTTTACCGATAAATAAAAAAAATAAGAAAAATCTATTTATGCAATGATTCATGAATATGAATGTTCTCAATTTAAAAATAAATAAATAAATGAATAGATAGATGTCATGAATCAACTTGCATACATAATAACAATAATAATAATAATAATAATAATAATAATAATAATTTTATTGGTAAAGTTAAAATTCAATTCCCTAAAAATGCAAAGTACAGCCAAAAGGCAACGTAATAGAACAGGTAATTGCACAGGCGGTCTCCAGCAATTGAAATTGTGAAATTTAACTATTTCGAAATAGCAATAATTCTATTATCTCATCAAACATGATCACCTCTTACAATTTCAAGGTCCATCAAATTATATGTTTTGATTCTCAATCTTTCACGCACCCCTAAGTATTTTTGCATCATTTTATTTTATTTTATTTTTTGGTTTCTCTAAATATTTTTACATTTTTATTAGTTTTGACATGTGACTAAATTTATTTATATTTTATATTATTAAAAATAGTTCTGTAACACCCGCCGCCTGATCCCGAAAGACCAGACGGTGGATGCCACATTCGGTGCCGGAGTCACCGTCCTAACTTACATATAAACCATACAATCATATTATAAATTAGAAGTGACTTAGTATTCATAAGTTTAGTAAGTAAGAATATTTTGTTTTGAAAATGATTTGGGAGAGTCCTACAGAAAAACTGCAAGAGTTTCCCCTAAAAATAGAAGTTGCCAAACATATGAAGGAAAGTTGCCCAAACATATGAATACAAAAGCACTTCCCAAATCCAAACGTCCAAACCCCCATCATAACTGCCAATAACAACACAATAGCCATTCTATCATTTCATATCCTCAATAACATTATAATTTCATCAATTCCAAATTAACAATTCATTTAAATATATCAGACTTTCTAATGTACTTAACCATTAAATAAGTCCGAGTTTATCTCCCATATATATACACCAATGCCGCTCGCAATGTTTAAATAAAATATAAAAACATACAAATAGTTAATTTTTTCCAGACAAAAAATAATATTCAACTTCCGGACCGTGTGTACTATTCCACAGAACCGATAAACTACTATTGAAACACAGAAAAAAAAAAAAAACGGGGCGTTACGAAGTTCATTATTTTTTGGATATTTTAGTTAAGATGGGTTTATATTCTATTTTTAAATTTATTAGTTGGCTGGAAGTGAGGATGGCCTGTTAAATAAAATATAAAACATAAATAGTAATTTTTCCAGACAAAAAATAATATCAACTTCCGGACCGGTGGTACTATTCACAGACCGATAAACTACTATTGAAACACAGAAAAAAAAAACGGGGCGTTACAAGTTCATTATTTTTGGATATTATAAGATGGGTATATTCTATTTTTAAATTATTAGTTGTGGAAGTGAGGATGGCCATCACTCATCATCTTCTTCGTTCAACTACAGAAAATAGTATATCAGCAGCATGGGTGAGTTGTTAAAGCTTGAACTAAATGGGACCCACTTTTCCCCTCCAGCTGGGCATTTTTTGGAAATAAATGAAATAATTCTATTTATTTTTGACTGTTTTAAGAAAAAAAAAAAGAATCTGTGGAGAAAAATTTAATGCAAGTTGCTGGGGACACAAAATCTTTGAATCCAATTTTAAAGTCAATTTATACTTTTCAAAACTTTCATGGTGCACGAGGTTGCCAGCTCGATATTCTCTCTGTCCAAAATATAAATCGTTTGAGGTTGTTACACAAACATTAAAAAAATAATTAATTCTCCTAGATTATAACACAATTAAAGGTAATTTGATCAAATTATCTTTTATCTCAAATCCAATATTTACTCGTGACGTGAAAGTATTTATTGTAATTAATCTAAATAAGAGTAACATTGAAAATATATAATTTATTATTACTTAAACTACTCAAAACGAGTTATATTTCGAGACAGAAGGAGTACCATTTACACTATATTTAATGAGCTCAAACTCATTTAATTATTTTTATTACTACCTCTGTTCCATAATATTTGTCATATTTGAAATTTCATATCTCTTAAGAAACTTATTAAATTTGTTTAAGTATGATAAATTATTGAATAAATTGACTATATTACCTTTAATTTAAGTAATAATTATTGGTCATATACAAATGATAAATATGGAAAAAAGATTTATTACTCCTTGAAACCACAAATATGATAAATATTTTGAAATAATCTATTTTGGAATAAGTTATTTTCTTAAATGCAACAAGTATTATGAAATCATAGATATGATAAGTATTTTGAAATAAGCTATTTTCTTAAATGTAACAAATATTATGAAACGAAAATTACAGCATATATATCTCGTAAACAAGATGGAGACAGTGTAATTAGAATATAGATGCTCGGTATATGAGTGGTCCTCTATATAGAGCGAATGAAGAAAAAGGTTCTTTAAAAAAAATGTTATTATTTCATTTTTTTTTTCACCACATATAGTTAGAAATACTCTCATTCAAACTAAAACACAATTTGTAATTGATTTGATTTACAAATGAACTCCATTCATGGAGTATAGATAAGTTTTTTTCTTATAATACAACATTTAAAACTCGTTTATTTTTTACACAACATTTCAATATACGAAACTAATATATAATTAATAATTAATTTGACAATAAGTTGGTGTAATAATTACTTTTGTAGTTTAGGTTAAAAAATTCAAAGCTTAACATTTTTCCGTTCTTACTAAAAAAATTAGACAGTTAAATTAGAAAAAAAAACATTTCCATTTAAATGTTAGTGTCTTAGCTCGACGACTAAATCAATGTATATCTAAAAGATAAATGGTTGAATTCGTAGAAAAATATTTATAGGAAGGGGAAACTATCGATTAAGAGAATCGTCTCAATGCCCAAAAAGGGGAAAAAAAATTTTTTCACATGTTTGTGATTCTATGATTTGCATAATACACGGTTTGACGTTCAAAAAGATGATACGCCTAAGGGCGGCCATAGCAGAAACTGGAAACTTCCTTCTGTCTTATTACTTATTATAGCATATGTTTATCGTGTCCTGTCACTGAGAGGTGCTACCCATCACACTAGTAATGCAAATATTTTACCAAGAAAATCAGACAACCCATCATAGCTCTGCTGCTTTTATGCCTATAAATAGACATTCATAATCCTCCTCTCTCACCCACTTGAGCACAGTCTTGAATTTTAGGAGAGAAAAAAAGAGTGAAGGAGGAGTTAGTGTTCACAAACCAAACCCAAACCCAAACCCAAAACCAAAACCAAAAGCAATGGCTACTCCTCCTGTAAACTTCCTGATAGTAAACCCGCAGAAGGGAAGAAAAAGAGATTTGTTTAAGTATTTGGTAACCAAAAACAAAAAGAGTGGAATGAGTTTTTTGGATAGTTCAGAGGAAAGTATTAAAGGTGGTGTAGCAAATGATCACAGGTGGATTTTATTGGTTTCTATTATCATTCGCAGGATTCTTGCCCTTATTAATACTCCATTGAAGTACCTCGGCTACGTGGTTGATTTTATTCTCAACCTTATTTCTCAAAATGGTGGCATTTCTGGCATCCTCAGTAACTCCCTGCATGGTATCTAATTGTTATACTCTCTCTCTGTCTCTCTAGATATATATGTACATATATAACACTACTATACCTTAAACCCTAAACCCCGTATATGTAGGTATAGGGAAATTTTATATATCATCTAATAATAAAATGATCTACAAATAAGATTAACTAGAAAGTGCAACTGAATATGGTCTAAACTTGCAGGGAAGCTGATAATACCTCGAAGAGGATCAGAGAATTTTGTAAGCACAATTGGTCAATTGGATGGGCGAATTGACCTATACAAGACTGTAAGTCTGGCAGAGAAAGTTGACGGTAACTTTTCCGCAGATGCAAACAACATAGAAACACATTTGGGAAATCGATATTTAATGGACCTATGCATTATGGCTGCAAAGCTTGTTTATGAGAATGAGAAAGTTGTCCAAAATGTTATTGATCGTTATTGGAAGGCAAGCATTTGTCATTCTTTAGTTAGTTTAACGTCTCTCATTCCACACACATAAGAACATTTTTCATTATAACATCTAACGAAATTCTATTTACCTTTTTGACAAAAACAGATGCATTTCGTTGCCTTCTACGACTGCTGGAATGGTAAAAGGAACACAAGTTTTTTTAGATACCCTCTTCTTATTTATAATTTATATATATTTCACTTTTTAAATAACTTTTCTTTTTAATTTGATAGAATACCAAAAAGAAAGCAACACCCAAGTGTTCATATGCTGTGACAAGCCCAAAGATGCAAACTTGATAGTGATCAGCTTTAGGGGCACAGAACCATTTAATGCACAGGATTGGAATACTGACTTTGATTTTTCATGGTATGAGATTCCCAAAGTTGGAAAAATCCATATTGGATTTTTAGAAGCATTGGGTTTAGGTACCAGAAGAGATGCTTCCACCTTCCAAAGTCACCTTCAAAGAAAGCGTGCAGGTCTCTTTCACTTAAATGGCCAATCGGAAGGGACTACGACGGAATTATCAAAAAAGAGTGCTTACTATGATGTGACATCAAAGCTCAAGCAATTATTAGAAGAGCACAAAAATGCTAAATTTGTTGTCACTGGACATAGCTTAGGCGGAGCGCTTGCCATATTGTTCCCTTCCGTTCTTGTAATACAAGAAGAGACAGAAATACTACGCAGGTTGCTTAATATATACACATTTGGACAGCCAAGAATTGGAGATGTGCAGCTGGGCAATTTCATGGAAGCTCATTTGAACTATCCAAAAACTAGATATTACAGGGTTGTTTACTGTAATGACATGGTGCCTAGAGTGCCTTTTGACGACAATGTCTTCGCCTTTAAGCATTTTGGCACCTGCCTCTACTATGATAGCCGATACTTTGGCCGAGTAAGTACTTAAATATTATATGTTCTCGCGCCTCTTTTCTTTATTTCTTTCATTCAAACTAACCCATTCTTTTATCTAAATCTGATGCATAAAGTTTATGGATGAGGAGCCTAACAAGAATTTCTTCGGATTGAAGCATATAATTCCCATGCGAGTGAATGTGTTGTGGGAGATCTTTAGAAGTTTCCTGATAAGCCACATTCATGGGCCAGAATACAAGGAGAGTTGGTTTTGCACATTGTTTAGGGTTCTGGGACTTGTGCTTCCTGGTATTTCTGCTCATAGTCCTGTAGATTATGTTAATTCTGTCAGGCTTGGAAGAGAGCGAGCAACTCCATTGTTGTCTTTGAAAAGCTTTGCTCGCAAATTATAAATCTTAGAGTCAAGAAATGGGGACAAAGATATTCACTATCAGCCAAATAATGAAGCCCTGGAAAAATCTGCACTTCCATAACTTATTTGTTACTGTTATCTGCTGCTTGGTGGGATTTTGATTTTGAGTAGTTTTGTGTTTTTTTTTGTTTGAATAAATTAAAATCAATAAAATGGAACAGTGGGGACATTTTTTTAAATTATAGAGAGAAAATCCATTGTTCATCAGTCGATGTAGTGTATTTTATTCTAAAGCATAAAGCCTTATAATAAAATTAGAATATATTATTAATTATTAATGCAATTGCTTTGTCATTTTTAATATGCTGATTGGTGGGATTTGAGTAATTTTATATCTTTTCATAGAATAAATTAAAATCACAAAATGGAGCAATGGGTAACAATTAATTAGTTCAATTTTTAAATGAGCACCTGTAATAAAAGTGAATGATGATATAATAAATTGCAGAGTATATAAATTTCAAATAATTCCCATAATAACCCATGATAATAGAAATTTATTATATAATTAAAACCGATACCAAGATGAATTAGAACATTATAACAAATATTAAAATCAATAATTAATATAATATAATCTATTAATTTTCTTGCATTGGAAAAATGTTCAGCATATACTGCTCATAAAATAGAAAAGAAAAAAAAAAATCACGTGCTTTGGCATTGCTATACGGAGATATGTTATTTTATTTTAGTGTGCAAGAAGAGTGTATGATTGCAACCGTACAAAAAACAGAAGAAATGCCAACCCATGTACAATAATTAATAAGGGGACAAATACATCTAACTAAATATTAGAACATAATTAAAGGACTCGCTCGGAGGAGCTTGCATTACGGAGGATCGAACCCATGACCTAAGCTATAGTGATCAGTCTTGCTAGTGCTCTCCGTAATTTAAAATTGACATGTTTTGATAAATAAAGATAATAATTTTATTATTACGCAATATATGAACTTATCACAAGGTGTGAAATAAAAAAAAATGATAAGATATATTTGAATTTGTTAGACCATATGTAAGATCACTGTTTCAATATATGAAACCAAGTAGATCTCATATTTAAAAATATATGAAGATATTTATTGAAAATAATTAAAAAAATTTACAAGAATAGATATAAATTAAAAAATAGAATTTTAGATGCTTAATTGATTAAATCAATTGTCTTTATCCATGGATATTAGTTTATTGCATTTTTTTATATATAGGATAAGATTCTTGTAAACACTTCATAAACAGCCAAGAAGCTGAACAGTAGGATATATCAATAATTCTGTTATCCTTTGCCAATAAATATGCATGTACATGATTTATTAATTTTATAATTTTGGATTCTAACAATTAATAAATCTTTAATGCATCCAATAATTAAAATTTTTTTTTTAAAAATTAATCTTGAATTCAATAAATTAATTCTTAAAAATGTGCACATGTTTCACCACTCACCTATATTTAGTCACTGCCTGCGTTATGTTTACGCTTGTATATATAAGAGGTTGCAATCAGTTTCGCAATCAGCCATCAAGAACAGTAGCTCTGCCAACTTTAATTTCCATATTTTATGTGCATGACGTGAATTATTTTTTTTTTTTCTATTTGAATTATGAAATGTGGTAAATAATTAAATTCCATAAATACTCTCCTGCCTCTCTATTACTGTCTGCCTTTCATCAGGAATCTGCATTCCACTAAGGCATCGTTTGGTTTAAATCATATATTTCGTACGAAGTATATTTATTGGGATGATATATATACGAGTGAACTTTCTGAGAAGTAAATTTAAAAAATAATTGAATAATTTAATAAATTTATTGCACTTATCTATTCATTTTTAATAAAGTTACTTCTCTTGTACAAAGGAAGTTAAATAATTTACTTTTTGAAATATAAAATTAAAATATATAAATCAAACACAAATATTTTATATACTTTTCGTAAAAGTTACACTTTCTTGACTTATTTACTCAGCATTTTTTTTTAACACGCCAAAAAAATATTTAGTAATGCCAATATATAATTTGGCTAAAACGACAGGTGGGCCTAACAAACGTGAAAAATATATCTTAGGTTTCGTTATTTTTAGTTTTTAGTATCATATTCATGACATTATTGTTTTAAACGAGGATGGCTATAACTTCAACCTTTACATTCAGTCGGTCATCTCGTTCATGCATTTAAATCTTAATCCCACAGGCACAGTCATGCAAAAGTGTAAACTAATGGTAAATAGATATACTATTCGTTAGTATTCAAACAAAAATTATTCAAACAAAAATTATGTAAAAAAACTTGCAATTCCTCCTTATTTTCCATGCCCTCTTTCAAAAAAAAAAAAAAAAAATTAAAAAAATAATTGAATATTTTAATAAACTTTCATATGCACTTATCATATTCATTTTGATCAATTAAATTACTTCTCTTGTAACAGAAGGAGAGCTTATAATATTATTGTTTTACTGTTTCGAAAATTAATAACAAAATAAATATATAAATTCAAAAACACAAATATGGTTTATAATGACTTTTTCGTATAAAGTTATACACTTTTCTTGACTTTAATTTACCTCAGCGTTTTTTTTTTTAAGACACGCCAAAAAATATTTTAGTAATGCCAATAGGTGATAATTCTTGGCCCTTAAAACGAGACAGGTAGGTGCCCTCCACCTCTAAAGACAAAACGTGAAATAATATCATCACCTTAAAGGCTTATCGTTATAATTTAGTTAGTATTTTCATTATTATCATGACACATTAATTGTTTATATTTGTTTTAAAACGAGGATGGCCCTTATAAACTTCAACCTTTTTACATTCAGTCGGTCAATCCTCGTTCATGGAATTTAAAATCTTTAAAGTGCCCAACAAGAGCCACAGTTCATTGCCAAAAGCAGTGTTAAAAACCTCAAATATGTAAATTTAGACTTTAATTTAACTATTCGTTTAGATAAGTCTCAAACAACAATTATTCAAACAAAAAAATTATGTAAAAAAAAAACTTGACAATTTCCACCTCCCTTATTATTCTCCGATGCACCTCATTTCTAAACAAAAAAAAAAAAAACAAATTTAAGCGTTGTCAATCCAAAATAGTCAGTGAATAGAAAGCCAAGTTTGCAATGAAATGATTTGCTAACTGAATGAAAAGAGGACCACCATGCTAACAAAAAAAAAAAAAAAAAAATACAGGTGTCATCAAAATAGTATTGAATAGAACCAGTGAATGAAATGATTGCTAATAATGAAAAGAGGACAAATGCAACAAAATTAATTAATTAATTTGTAGCACGTTTTTTGTGATTAGTAATACCATAGATAAAGATTCCCTAATGCATAAGGCCGGCCAGACGGTCTTATTAGCACGTGTTTATCACGTACGTTGAATATTAGAACCATCCCTCAAAAAAAAAAAAAACTACTAATAGTCTCTCTGTAATTAAATGGAATCTCAATTCACAAATATTATAAATAGAGGGAGAGGGTTAAGAGAAAAGCAGAAAGCATGAATTCAGCTAATTAAGTTATAATCTTTATAATTAATGCTTTTACCCATAAATACATTTGTTATTCTCCTCTCTCAACCAGTCTTGCACGTAGTCTTGAGTTCTTTGGCGAGAAAAAGGAGTGATAAAAGTACTGAGAAGCCAGAACCCATGGCTACTGCTAGTGATTTTGCTCCAAACTTCCTCGTAGTGGACCCTCATAAGGGAAGAAAAAGAGATATAGTTAAGTATTTGGTAACTAAAAACACGAAGAGTGGGATGAGCTTTTTGGATAGTTCAGATGAAGGTATTAAGGGTGGTGCAGCAATTGATCACAGGTGGATTTTACTGGTTTCTGTTATCATTCGTAGGGTTCTTGCCTTTATTAATACTCCATTGAAGTACCTTGGTTATGTGGTTGATTTTGTTCTCAACCTCATTTCACAAAACGGTGGCGTTTCTGGCATCCTCGACAACGTTCTTCATTGTATGTACAGAAGACTTCTATAAATTTTACTATTTACAATAATTCTGCTTACTTTTCTAAATAAATGATCTTAGCAGAAATTTTTTACTCCGTCATTGGAGCACTGTGTGTTTTATAGTAATAAAGTTTTGCTAGAAAATTTTGAGAATCAAAATTTATTTGATTTGAGATATATGGTTTTTTTGAACTCCACAGTAAAGCTGAAGATACCACGTAGAGGCTCGGATAATTTTATAAGCACCATTGGACAATTGGATGGCCGAATAGACCTATACAGGACTGTAATCTTGTCAGAGAAAGTTGATGATTCTATTTCTACAGTGGATGGCCGAATAGACCTATACAGGACTGTAATCTTGTCAGAGAAAGTTGATGATTCTATTTCTACAGATGTCAACAACATAAAAGCAGACTTGGGCAACCGATATCTAATGGATCTTTCTATTATGGCTTCAAAACTTGTTTATGAGAATGAGAAAGTTATCAAGCACGTTGTTGAACGTCACTGGAAGGCAAGCCACATTCTCATTGTCCCCCCCTCCCTCTCTTCTTTTTATTGTGAATTTTTTTTAGTTCTAATGGGAATTCTGTGCAATTCATTTGTGACAAACAGATGCATTTCGTTGATTTCTACAACTGCTGGAATGGTATGTAAATTTTTTAGATACCCTATTCTTATTTTCTCCTGTTTTATGTCTTTTTTTTTTTTTTTTAAATACTTCAATCTTTTGATTATTTTCTGGAATAATTGTTGATCTGATAGAATACCAAAAAGAAAGCAACACCCAAGTGTTCATATTCACCGACAAGCCTAGAGATGCAAACTTGATAATTGTTAGCTTCAGAGGCACCGAACCATTCAATGCACAAGATTGAACACCTCGAAGTATTCATAATTCACGGACAAGCCATAAGAATGATTGAGCAACTTGAATAAATTGTTTAAGCTTTGACAAGGCACCGAACCATCATATGTGCAGACAGATTGGAGTTACTAGGACTTTCGGATATACTCATGGTGAGTGATTTATGAAGAATTCCAATAAAAAGTTAGAATAATCACACATGTTATGGATTTTATTTGAAGACTATTGGTTTGAGATAAACAGAGAGGAGACTCTTCTCTCCTTCAAGAAAAACTCACTGCAGAAAAAAGAAGTTTATCTTCATTTAAAATAATGGCGAGAAATTGAGGCTATGCTGGAACTATCAAGAAGTGAGAAGTGCCTGGCCTTACTCATATGCTGTGTGCATCTGAAAGTGTTTCAAGTCATTTATTAAGAGTTGTAAACATATGGATGACGCTAAAATTTGTTCGTCATCTGGAACATTAAGGCTTAAGGGGGGGGCACTTGCTATATTGTTCCACTTTGCATTTCTCGTAGTACAGGGAAGAGGACAAGATGTAAACAGGTTGTTAAAATATAAGCACATTTGGGACAGCCAAGGAATTTGGGAGATTGTGCAGCTTGGCAATATTTCATGGAATTAATTTTGAAAACTATCGCGAAATAAGCGTATATTGATGTACAGGGTATGTTTTATCTGTCCCCAATTGACAGTTCGTGCCTAGAGTGCCTTTTGACGATAGAGATCTTCGGCCCTGTTAAGGGCTGACATGGTGCCTAGAGTGCCTTTTGACGATAAGATCTTCGCCTTTAAGCATTTCGGAACCTGCCTTTACTATGATAGCCGGTATTTTGGCCGAGTAAGTACCTAAAATTAAATGTTCAAACTGTTCTTTATTTACAATTCATAAGAAACTAACTAATTCTTTGTCTGAATTTGATGAGTATAGTTTATGGATGAGGAGCCAAACAGGAATTTCTTCGGATTGAAGCACATCATACCTATGCGAATCAATGCATTGTGGGAGATCATTAGAAGCTTTGTGATCGGTCACGCTCATGGGCCAGACTATCATGAGACTTGGTTCTGCACAGTGTTTAGAGTAATGGGGCTAGTGCTTCCTGGGGTTGCTGCTCACAGTCCTATAGATTATGTTAACTCAGTGAGGCTTGGAAAGGAACGTACGGCTCCTATGCAATCTTTAAAAAGCTTTGCTCGCAAATTATAATATTGGGTTGTGCTAGTCTTCATTATTATCAATCATCATAAGGTCGAAAGATCATTGTAATGTTAATGGAAATTAGTGTGGTGTAGCAACTCATTTATGCTTGATATGGTTGTTGGCTCAGAATAAAAAGTAATGAATCGCATGAATTTCACAACTTCTATGAATATTTGTCAATTTCTTTTTATTTATGTCGGCCAATATAAGTTACTATTTAAGATTTTTAGTACGGCTCCTATGCAATCTTTAAAAAGCTTTGCTCGCAAATTATAATATTGGGTTGTGCTAGTCTTCATTATTATCAATCATCATAAGGTCGAAAGATCATTGTAATGTTAATGGAAATTAGTGTGGTGTAGCAACTCATTTATGCTTGATATGGTTGTTGGCTCAGAATAAAAAGTAATGAATCGCATGAATTTCACAACTTCTATGAATATTTGTCAATTTCTTTTTATTTATGTCGGCCAATATAAGTTACTATTTAAGATTTTTACACCAAAATTAAGAGAATAATTAATTCTCTTAAATTATAATAAAATCAAAAACAATTTAACTAAATTATTTTTTACCTCAAAACTAAAAATAACTTGTAAAAGATACTTATTATATTTAACATAATAAAAATAACTTTAAAAAACATAATTTATTACACTTTCAAATACTTAAAATGATCATGGAGTAGAATAGTAGTCATGAATAGCCACCAAGTGAAGCAAGCGATCGCCTATAACACAAATATTATGTTCTGTCAACTTAATCAGATACTTCAAATCACGATTGTATTTTTTTAATTTTTTATATAAGTAGTTTATTATTAGACTTTTTATACATATATAAACAGATTAATTTGTATCTCATATCTATATATAAATTTCAATTAATGAAATTTCTAGTTTGATTTTTTTCAAAAAAAAGAAATACTTAAAACGACTTATATTTTTAACTGAATAGAGTAATATAAAAGTAAATGACAACTTTCTCCGTTTAAGTGCACCTGGTACAAGTAAGTGTAGAATATAAATAATTAATTTAAGAAAAAAGTAGAGATAAATTAAAATACAGGCAAGTGTAGAATATAGAAAATGCTTAATTAAATTAAATTAAACATTTATAAAAAATAGGGATGTGCAGAAAATAATCTGAACATATTTGTTACTTTCATGTTTACAATATGGAAGAGGGAGCAAATTGCAATCAGTTCCGTCAGCAGCCATCAGGAACAGTACCTGTGACAACCTTAATTTCAATATTATATTTTGTGTATGATTTGATTTAATTAATGTTGTTTTTTTTTTTTTTTCCTACCTCTCCATTATTGTCTGCGTTAATTTCAAACCGACTAATTTTTAGCTTTTCACACAGTTGAAAGTGATTTATTTTATCTTGATTCTATTAAATTTATATTTTCAATTAATTTTTTACTGTTGAAAGTCAATAAATAAAAGTAAAAAAAATATAAATATATAATAAATTTACAAAAAATGACACTTAAAATAAATTAAAAAATTTTAAAAAATTACTTTTTAACTGGAAAGGAGGAAGTATATTTTATTTCAGCTTTGAATTTCATATCATTATTGTTTTAAACGAGGATGACTATAACTTTGACCTTCAGAGGACCCAAACCCGTCACATCAATGAACCGTGTTAATTTGGTAAAATTATTAAACAAGCATGATCTTCATTGCAAAATTCATTCCAATATGAATTACTATATTTATATTTTATTTTGAATATAATATAATTTTAAACGAGGATGACTATAACTTTGACCTTCAGAGGACCCAAACCCGTCACATCAATGAACCGTGTTAATTTGGTAAAATTATTAAACAAGCATGATCTTCATTGCAAAATTCATTCCAATATGAATTACTATATTTATATTTTATTTTGAATATAATATAATTTTATAAACCTAATTGTAGTTGGGACCCGTTTTGGTTTATCCGTTCATACTAATAGATAGCTTATAATGATTGCTGGTGGCTCGTAACGGTTAGCTAACGAATATTATTATTTTGTTAAAATTTTGTTAACTGTAAGTTCCCGATGTGGAATTTTTCAACAAAAAATAATGTGAGTCATCAAAACAGTGAAGATGAAGAGAATCAATAAATGAAATGATTGCTAATAATTAAAATTGGACAAACGCCACCATTATAAAGCACGTTTTTGTGACGTTCACTAATGCAAAATCAAGGAATATGTCTACACCACCTCATGTTCATTCAATGTTAGACTCATTTTCAAAGAAATTCTTTTTCCCTCCCATAATTATTACTATCTTATTTTCTTTTTTTCATTTATTACAAAACAATTGTTTATTAGAAGTGAATAATATTTAGAGTTTATTATTTTATTATTTAATATTTGTTTATATCAATAAATATAATAGTCAAATTACTGCATTATCATTAATCAAATCGTGACATAACTAAAAATTAATATATCAATATTTATCTTCCAATAAATTTATTTAATAAATATTCGATTAGTTTTAAGAACAATTTAATATGAATAATATAATTTTTATGGATATTAATATAAGCGTATATTATGAAAAATTAAAGCAAAAATTATCGTTTAACTATATAAACTAAAATTTCTTAATGTTTGATGGACTATCTAATCATTAGCGTATATTTTAAGAACAATTTAATATGAATAATATAATTTTTATGGATATTAATATAAGCGTATATTATGAAAAATTAAAGCAAAAATTATCGTTTAACTATATAAACTAAAATTTCTTAATGTATGTGCAAGTCAAATCAAGATATAAATTATGATAAAGGAGTAAAAATTTAAGAAAATTACTCCATCCTTTTCACTTTAATAACAACAAATAGATATTTTACCTTATTCCACTTTAAGTGTTCATTTAGGATTTTGAGATTATATTAATTATATTGTTTTTTTCAATTTTACCCATATTTACGAGTGTTATTTATTTTTATATTTATATTTAAGAATGACAATATAGAAATTTTATAGTATATTTTAAGAAATCAATGAATTTCAATCATTTCTTAATCTTTGTGAAAAAAAACAAATGTTGCGATTAAAGCGAGAGAAAGGGAGTATTTAAAAAAAAAAAAAACTTCGGAATTGTAACTTTGTCTTTATATTACATAGCTCTCTCTAATTAAAAATGGAATCACAGATATTATAAATATATAGAGGAAGGTTGTGGACAGCATGAAGTGAGCTAATTAATCTAAAACCAAATTTACCTATAAATACGCTTATAGTCCTGCTCTCCTTTCTCACGGTCTCACTCAAACTTGCACCTAGTCTCAAGTTCTTTGCTGAGAAAGAAGAGTGATAAAACTACTGAGAAACCAAAAGCCATGGCTACTCCAGCTACTGCTAGTGATTTTGCTCCAAACTTCCTGGTAGTGAACCCTCATAAGGGAAGAAAAAGAGATATAGTTAAGTATTTGGTAACCAAAAACACGAAGAGTGGGATGAGCTTTTTGGATAGTTCAGATGAAGGGATTAAGGGTGGTGCAGCAATTGATCACAGGTGGATTTTACTGGTTTCTGTTATCATTCGTAGGGTTCTTGCCTTTATTAATACTCCATTGAAGTACCTTGGTTATGTGGTTGATTTTGTTCTCAACCTCATTTCACAAAACGAAGGCGTTTCTGGCATCCTCGACAACGTTCTTCATTGTATGTATAGAAGACTTCTATAAATTTTACTATTTACAATATTCTGCTTACTTTTCTAAATAAATGATCGTAGCAGAAGTTTTTTACTCCGCCATTTGTGAGCACTATGTGTTTTATAGTAATAAAGTTTTGCTAGAAAATTTTGAGAATCAAAATTTATTTGATTTGAGATATATGGTTTTTTTGAACTCCACAGTAAAGCTGAAGATACCACGTAGAGGCTCGGAGAATTTTATAAGCACCATTGGACAATTGGATGGCCGAATAGACCTATACAGGACTGTAATCTTGTCAGAGAAAGTTGATGATTCTATTTCTACAGCAGGACTGTAATCTTGTCAGAGAAAGTTGATGATTCTATTTCTACAGATGTCAACAACATAAAAGCAGACTTGGGCAACCGATATCTAATGGATCTTTCTATTATGGCTTCAAAACTTGTTTATGAGAATGAGAAAGTTATCAAGCACGTTGTTGAACGTCACTGGAAGGCAAGCCACATTCTCATTGTCCCCCCCTCCCTCTCTTCTTTTTATTGTGAATTTTTTTTAGTTCTAATGGGAATTCTGTGCAATTCATTTGTGACAAACAGATGCATTTCGTTGATTTCTACAACTGCTGGAATGGTATGTAAATTTTTTAGATACCCTATTCTTATTTTCTCCTGTTTTATGTCTTTTTTTTTTTTTTTTAAATACTTCAATCTTTTGATTATTTTCTGGAATAATTGTTGATCTGATAGAATACCAATTCAATCTTTTGATTATTTTCTGGAATAATTGTTGATCTGATAGAATACCAAAAAGAAAGCAACACCCAAGTGTTCATATTCACCGACAAGCCTAGAGATGCAAACTTGATAATTGTTAGCTTCAGAGGCACCGAACCATTCAATGCACAAGATTGGAGTACTGACTTCGATTTCTCATGGTATGAGGTTCCAAAAGTTGGAAAAATCCATATTGGATTTTTAGAAGCATTGGGTTTGGGTAACAGAGGAGACTCTTCCTCCTTCAAAACTCACCTTCAAAAAAAGCACACAGGTTTCTTTCATTTAAATGGCGAATCTGAAGGGGCTATGCTGGAACTATCAAAGAAGCGTGCTTACTATGCTGTGGCACTAAAGCTCAAGCACTTATTAAGAGAGCACAAGAACGCTAAATTTGTTGTCACTGGACATAGCTTAGGCGGAGCACTTGCTATATTGTTCCCTTGCATTCTCGTAATACAGGAAGAGACAGAGATGGTAAACAGGTTGTTAAATATATACACATTTGGACAGCCAAGAATTGGAGATGTGCAGCTTGGCAATTTCATGGAATCTCATTTGAACTATCCAAATACTAGATATTACAGGGTTGTTTACTGCAATGACATGGTGCCTAGAGTGCCTTTTGACGACAAGATCTTCGCCTTTAAGCATTTCGGAACCTGCCTTTACTATGATAGCCGGTATTTCGGCCGAGTAAGTACCTAAAATTAAATGTTCAAACTGCTCTTTACTTACAATTCATAAGAAACTAACTAATTCTTTGTCTGAATTTGATAAGTATAGTTTATGGATGAGGAGCCAAACAGGAATTTCTTCGGATTGAAGCACATCATACCTATGCGAATCAATGCATTGTGGGAGATCATTAGAAGCTTTGTGATCGGTCACGCTCATGGGCCAGACTATCATGAGACTTGGTTCTGCACAGTGTTTAGAGTAATGGGGCTAGTGCTTCCTGGGGTTGCTGCTCACAGTCCTATAGATTATGTTAACTCAGTGAGGCTTGGAAAGGAACGTACGGCTCCTATGCAATCTTTAAAAAGCTTTGCTCGCAAATTATAATATTGGGTTGTGCTAGTCTTCATTATTATCAATCATCATAAGGTCGAAAGATCATTGTAATGTTAATGGAAATTAGTGTGGTGTAGCAACTCATTTATGCTTGATATGGTTGTTGGCTCAGAATAAAAAGTAATGAATCGCATGAATTTCACAACTTCTATGAATATTTGTCAATTTCTTTTTATTTATGTCGGCCAATATAAGTTACTATTTAAGATTTTTAGTATAGTTTATGGATGAGGAGCCAAACAGGAATTTCTTCGGATTGAAGCACATCATACCTATGCGAATCAATGCATTGTGGGAGATCATTAGAAGCTTTGTGATCGGTCACGCTCATGGGCCAGACTATCATGAGACTTGGTTCTGCACAGTGTTTAGAGTAATGGGGCTAGTGCTTCCTGGGGTTGCTGCTCACAGTCCTATAGATTATGTTAACTCAGTGAGGCTTGGAAAGGAACGTACGGCTCCTATGCAATCTTTAAAAAGCTTTGCTCGCAAATTATAATATTGGGTTGTGCTAGTCTTCATTATTATCAATCATCATAAGGTCGAAAGATCATTGTAATGTTAATGGAAATTAGTGTGGTGTAGCAACTCATTTATGCTTGATATGGTTGTTGGCTCAGAATAAAAAGTAATGAATCGCATGAATTTCACAACTTCTATGAATATTTGTCAATTTCTTTTTATTTATGTCGGCCAATATAAGTTACTATTTAAGATTTTTATACCAAAATTAAGAGAATAATTAATTCTCTTAAATTATAATAAAATAAAAAACAATTTAACTAAATTATTTTTACCTCAAAACTAAAAATAATTTGTAAAGATACTTATTATATTTAATATAATAAAGATAACTTTAAAAAACATAATTTATTCTTCTTTAAAATACTTAAAACGATCATGGAGTAGAATAGTGCCCATGAATAGCCACCAAGTGGAGCAAGCGATCGCCTATAGCACAAATATTATGTTCTGTCAACTTAATTAATCAGATACTTCAAATCATGATTGTATTTTTTATTTTTCATATAAATGGTTTATTATTAGACTTTCTATACAAATAGAAACAGATTAATTTGCATCACATATCTGTATACAAATTCCAATTAATGAAATTTCTAGTTTGATTTTTCTCAAAAAAAAAAAAAAATACTTAAAACGACTTATATTTTTAAATGGATAGAGTAATATAAAAGTAAACGACTACTTTCTCTGTTCTAAAATATAAATTGTTTTAGGATCATCATAAAATTAATTATGAGTTGATCTTAATAAAAATTCTTGTTAAAAATGGATAAAATTAAAGTGCACCTGGTATAAGTAAGTGCAGAATATAATTAATTAATTTAAGAAAAAAGTAGAGATAAATTAAAATACAGGCAAGTGTAGAATATAAAAAATGCTTAATTAAATTAAATTAAAAATTTATAAAAAAATAGGTATGTGCAGAAAATAATTAAATTATTTCAGCACTAGATTTTTCCATTTTTTATTATTTACTTATAAGATAATGTTCTTGTAAATTGTAAACACTTCCATAACCAGCTAATAATCTGCACATATTTGTTACTTTCATGTTTACAATATGGAAGAGGCTGCAAATTGCAATCAGTTCCGTCAGCAGCCATCAGGAACAGTGCCTGTGACAACCTTAATTTCAATATTATATTTTGTGTATGATTTGATTTAATTAATGTTGTTTTTTTCTACCAACCTCTCCATTATTGTCTGCGTTTATTTCAAACCGACTAATTTTTAGCTTTTCACACAGTTGAAAGTGATTTATTTTATCTTGATTCTATTAAATTTATATTTTCAATTAATTTTTTACTGTTGAAAGTCAATAAATAAAAGTAAAAAAAATATAAATATATAATAAATTTACAAAAAATGACACTTAAAATAAATTAAAAAATTTTAAAAAATTACTTTTTAACTGGAAAGGAGGAAGTATATTTTATTTCAGCTTTGAATTTCATATCATTATTGTTTTAAACGAGGATGACTATAACTTTGACCTTCAGAGGACCCAAACCCGTCACATCAATGAACCGTGTTAATTTGGTAAAATTATTAAACAAGCATGATCTTCATTGCAAAATTCATTCCAATATGAATTACTATATTTATATTTTATTTTGAATATAATATAATTTAACTGGAAAGGAGGAAGTATATTTTATTTCAGCTTTGAATTTCATATCATTATTGTTTTAAACGAGGATGACTATAACTTTGACCTTCAGAGGACCCAAACCCGTCACATCAATGAACCGTGTTAATTTGGTAAAATTATTAAACAAGCATGATCTTCATTGCAAAATTCATTCCAATATGAATTACTATATTTATATTTTATTTTGAATATAATATAACTTTATAAACTTAATTGTAGTTGGGACCCGTTTTGATTTATCTGTTCATATTAATAGACAGTTTATAATGATTGCTGGTGGCTCATAACGGTTGGCTAACGAATATTGTTATTTTATTAGAATTTTGTTAACTATAGTGTATTTATATTTCTAATTTTTAGGTGAATATATTATTTTTAAATAACTATAAATAAAAAATAAATGATTGTAAAAATATTAATTTAAACAAATAATTATATTAGTAATTATTATGAGGTTGATAACATCAAATATTATATAAATATAAATCTTTTCTAATTGAGTAAATATTTTATCACTCGCTAATTGATTAAAAAGCTCACTAAACACTTATAAATATGAATTTAGGGATAAAAATATTTTTTAAAAGTTTATCTTTATATAAAAAATACTTCTTAGATTCAAGATTAAAAAAAAAAAAACTCCTAGTTTATCTTTTTCTGAAATATAAAATAATAGTAGTAGTATGTGATTATAATAGTGCTGGAAATAATCAAGTTGCCAATGTGGAATTTTTCAACAAAAAATAATGTGAGTCATCAAAACAGTGAAGATGAAGAGAATCAATAAATGAAATGATTGCTAATAATTAAAATTGGACAAACGCCACCGTTAATTAATTAATATTAGTGTTTGATTATTAATTTAAAACACGTTTTTGTGACGTTCACAAATGCAAAATCAAGGAATATGTCTACACCACCTCATGTTTATCATCATGTTCGTTCAATGTTAGAATCATTTTTATAGAAATTCTTTTTCCCTCCCATAATTATTACTATCATATTTTCTTTTTTTCATTTATTACAAAACAATTGTTTATTAGAAGTGAATAATATTTAGAGTTTATTATTTTATTATTTAATATTTTGTTGGAATTCAATATTTTTATGAGAATATCATTTTATCCACCTCCCAAATTAGGACTATCATAAATTTTTACTTTTTTATCATTTATTACCAAAACATTGAGTATTTATATAGAAGTGTAATAATATTATAGTGTTATTTATTTATATAATTTAAATATTTAATTGTATATCAATATATATTATTACTGTCAAATTAACTCGCATCCTTATCATTAATTAATTTACTCTTCCGTCGACACAGCTTGACAACTAAAATTATATTAAATTACATCAAATATTATACTCATTCAACCACAAATTAATTATAATAGAATAATATTTTTTAAGATATATCTCTCTTTATAAATATGAATAACAATTTTAATATGAATAATATAATTTTTTATGGATCACTACTTTGAATATAATGTAATATATTAGGGTAGAAAAAGTCTGCAAGAGCATTAAATATTTAAAATCCGTTTTTTAAAAACTATAAATTATTGGAAATAACATAAATTATATAAATGTTGGTGTGCAAAGTTTCTTCATTAGATCAAGATAAGTATTAAATTTACAACTTAGAAAGTTAGGAAAAAATAAGAAAAGTCTTTATGTTCTAAAGAAATATGTGTGTTGAAAATTAGGGCAGATGTAAATAGAAACTTTCAATATAGAGATAAGTTGCTTTATATATCATATATCTCTCAAATTTTAAGAACAATTTAATATGAATAATATAATTTTTATGGATATTAATATAAGCGTATATTATGAAAAATTGAAGCAAAAATTATCGTTTAACTATATAAACTAAAATTTCTTAATGTGTGTGCAAGTCAAATCAAGATATAAATTTACCGAAAAGAGGAAAAAATGAAGTCTTTGTCTAAAGAAATGTGTTGAAAAAGGGCAGATGTATAGAAACTTTCAAAGAGATAGTGCTTTTTCAAATCTCTCAAAATGGAATCTATTACAAACATATATGCCATGGTTCCTTACTTCGACAGAGTATAAATATCTAAATTTGATATTTTTAGATACCTTTTCGAACCTATTACCGATATTAAGTAGCAGTCAAAAATTTGTATCCATTTTTCATGATATTATGCACAGATATGATAGAGGAGTAAAAATTTAAGAAAATTACTCCCTCCTTTCCACTTTAATAACAACAAATAGATATTTTACATTGTTCCACTTTAAGTGCATTTTAGGATTTTGAGATTATATTAATTATATTATTTTTTCAATTTTACCCATATTTACGAGGTATTATTTATTTTTATATTTATATTTAAGAAGGACAATATAGAAATTTTATAGTGTATTTTGAGAAAAAAAAAAGCAAATGTTGCTATTAAAATGAGAGGAAGGGAGTATTTAAAAAAAAAAAAAAAACTTCGGAATTGTAACCTCTAATTAAAAATGGAATCACAGATATTATAAATATATAGAGGAAGGTTGTGGAAAGCATGAAGTGAGCTGATTAATCTAAAACCAAATTTACCTATAAATACACTTATAGTCCTCCTCTCCTTTCTCACGGTCTCACTCAAACTTGCACCTAGTCTCAAGTTCTTTGCTGAGAAAGAAGAGTGATAAAACTACTGAGAAACCAAAAGCCATGGCTACTCCAGCTACTGCTAGTGATTTCTTTCCGAACTTCCTTATAGTAGATCCTCTTAAGGGAAGAAAAAGAGATATCGTTAAGTATTTGGTAACCAAAAACACCAAGAGTGGAATGAGCTTTTTGGATAGTTCAGAGGAAGGTATTAAGGGTGGTGCAGCAAATGATCATAGGTGGATTTTACTGGTTTCTATTATCATTCGCAGGGTTCTTGCCTTTATCAATACTCCATTGGAGTACCTTGGTTATGTGGTTGATTTTTTTCTCAACCTCTTTTCGCAAAATGGTGGCGTTTGTGGTATCTTCAGTAACGTTCTTCATGGTATGTATAGAAGTTTTCTTTATATTTTACTATTTGTAATAAGTATAATGATTACTCTTAACTTTTGACTTAAAATGTAGTACAAAACCCTTAATTAATAATAACCATTCTTATCGGTAGATTTCTACTCCATTGTTAGATTACTATATCTTTCATATAACGGTTGCTAGAAAACTTTGAGAATCATCTGCAGTCACGAATGAACTATATTTGATATGTGACATAATGATGGTTTTACATTCCACAGGTAAGTTGAAGATACCACGTAGAGGCTCGGAGAATTTTATAAGTTTCATGGGACAATTGGATGGCCGAATAGATCTATACAAGACTGCAATCTTGGCAGAGAAAGTTGATGATTCTATTTCTACAGATGTCAACAACATAAAAGCAGACTTGGGCAATCGATATCTAATGGATCTTTGTATTATGGCTTCGAAACTTGCTTATGAGAATGAGAAAGTTATCAAGAACGTTGTTGAAAGTCACTGGAAGGCAAGCCACCTTCTCATTCTTTTTTTTTTCCCCTGCTTTGTCTCTTCTTTTTAATATGAATATTCATAAAGTCTAATTTGTGATGAAAAACAGATGCATTTCGTTGACTTCTACAACGGCTGGAATGGTATATAAATTTTTTAGTTACCTTATTCTTATTTCCTTTCTTTTTTGTTTGTTAAAATATTCATCTCGGGATAATTTTTGATCTAATAGAAACCCAGAAAGAATTCAACACCCAAGTGTTCATATTCTGTGACAAGCCTAAAGATGCAAACTTGATAATTGTTAGCTTCAGAGGCACAGAAACATTCAGCGCGCAAGATTGGAGTACTGACTTTGATTTCTCATGGTATGAGATTCCCAAAGTTGGAAAAGTCCATATTGGATTTTTAGAAGCATTGGGTTTGGGTAACAGAGGAGATGCTTCCACCTTCCAAACTCACCTTCAGAGAAAGCATACAGGTTTATTTAATTTAAATAGCGAATCTGAAGGCGAAATGCTGGAATTGTCAAAAAAGTGTGCTTACTATGCTGTGGAATTAAAGCTCAAGCAATTATTAAAAGAGCACAAAAACGCTAAATTCGTTGTCACTGGACATAGCTTAGGGGGAGCACTTGCCATATTGTTCCCTTCCGTTCTTGTAATACAGGAAGAGACAGAGATGCTAAACAGGTTATTAAATATATACACATTCGGGCAGCCAAGAATTGGCGATGTGCGGTTCGGTAATTTCATGGAAGCTCATTTGAACTATCCAAATACTAGATATTACAGAGTTGTTTACAGTAACGACCTGATACCTAGAGTGCCTTTTGACGACAAAATCTTCGCCTTTAAGCATTTCGGAACCTGCCTTTACTATGATAGCCGGTATTTCGGCCGAGTAAGTACTTATAGTTTTATGTTTGAACTGTTCTTTAGTTGCTAATCATAAAAAACTAACAATTCCTTGTATGAATTTGATATATATATATATGCAGTTTGTGGATGAGGAGCCAAACCGGAATTACTTCGGGTTGAAGCATTTCATACCTATGCGAATCAATGCACTATGGGAGCTCTTTAGAAGTTTTGCGATAAGTCACATTCATGGGCCAGATTATCAGGAGACTTGGCTCAGCACATTTTTGAGACTAATGGGACTTGTGGCTCCTGGTGGTGCTGCTCATAGTCCTGTTGATTATGTTAACTCAGTCAGGCTTGGAAGAGAGCGTGCGGCTCCTATGGCAACTTTAAAAAGTTTTGCTCGCAAATGATAATATCGAATTGCAGTGGTCTTCCCAGCTCTTCAATCATTTGATACTTGGATTCACTCTTTCATAAATGATCACTATTCGTCAGATTCAATAGAATTTGATCGATCCTCAGTTTTCTATATCATCAATCATCATTAGGTCAAAAGTTTAATGTAGCACAATAGTGCAAATTAGAGTTATTTAGCAAAGTTATTTATGTTAAGATATTGGTTGTTGGGTCAGAATAATAAATATGAATATCTCTTTCAATTTTCATTAATTTGATTTCAACAGAAAACAAAAAGATTTGAAATTAGCAATCTAATTAATAGTTAACCGAAATTTGACTTTCAAGATTAAGAAGTTAAACTAAATATAATTAGTGAGGATGTACTTATCTAATATTGATTTGTCTGTAATTGTTTGTTAGGTGATCCATTAAAGGAAAAATTAAATTATTGGAACACTGCTGATTTCTGCTTTCATATTCAAAATGTAATGTTCTTATTAACAAATTAGGGTAAAATAAAAAAATGATACCCTTTTCAAATGAGTTGAATTGCCACAGGAAAGCCCATCAAATAGTGTCGATATTTACAGGCCATGACGAAAGAAATGGGCCTGAGCCCATTATTGATCGCAAGTTAGCTTCCTTTTTTTTCAGCTTCTTTTCTTGCGTTTTTAATTTTTTTTCTTAGGGAGGCAATTTTAATAATTTAATTTATTTTTTTTGAGTAATTTAATGCTTTTCAATTTGGTAATAAAGAAAATAATTCAAATATATGTATATAAATATTAATAACACATTTATATTTTATTTTACATGTGCAAATAATACAATAGTGGTGTTACGGGACCAGTTATTGGGGGATTTTTTAGGACAACCAAACAATACAGCAATCATTTTCGGACATTCTTCTATAACTTTGAATTTTAGAACAATAAAAGAATTAATAATAGAATATTATCCCTTGTTAATCTTATCACATACATACAGAAGCAGAAATATCAAGTGCATCTATGAATGCAAAAACGAGGACATAAAGAAAAATCTACAGTCATTTGGAGGTTTCTATAATAGATATTTCCTTTTTTGATAATTGTATGTAGGGTTATCATTTATTTGCTTAATCGTAAGGAGAGGACCTACCTTATCTTCTCAGCTTGCAATTTTTTCTTTTTGAAATAGTGATATTTGTGGTCCTTTACTAAGGGCAAATCATAATAATTTTGATAGATAATAATTTTTTTGTCACTAAATTATATATTTATTTATAAATTCATATTGAATGATTTTTGGAAATACCGAAGTTCGATAGGTGAAAAAAAATATTTATAGAGAGGGATAAGTACGAAAATACAAACAAGATGAGTAATAATACTGAAAAATAAAGGTTATAGAGATGCTTATTAGAAAATAGAAAATAAAAAAAATTGTAATAAAAATAAAGATAAATAGAGAAAATAATGAAAAATTATGAATATGATGTATTATCTCTCAGAGCGACAGAAGTGAGAAACCAGAGCGACAGAAGTGAGAAACCAAAAGCATGGCTACTACCCCAGCTACTGCTAATGATTCTTCTCCAAACTTCCTCGTTGCAGACCCTCGTAAGGGAAGAAAAATCGATTCTTCTCCAAACTTCCTGATACTAAACCATCAAAAGGGAAGAAAAAGAGATTTGTTTAAGTATTTGGTAAGCAAAAACACTAAGAGTGGAATAGTTTTTTTGGATAGTTCGAAGGAACGTATTAAAGGTAGTGCAACAGCTGATCATAGGTCCATGGTATTGGTTTCCATTATCATTCTCAGGATTCTTGCCTTCATCAATACTCCATTGAAGTACTTTGGCTATGTGTTTGATTTTGTTCTCAACCTCATTTCGCAAAACGGTGGCATTTGTGGCATTTTCATTAACATTATTCTTGGTATATGTATAGAAGAATTCTTTCAAATTTTAATCTATCTGTAATGTATTTGGTATTTGATATAGCGATGGTTTTAAATTCCACAGGTAAGCTGCAGATACCACGTAGAGACTCGGAGAATTTTATAAGTTTTATAGGACAATTGGATGGCCGAATAGACCTGTACAGGACTGTAATCTTGGCAGAGAAAGTTGATAATTCTATTTCTACAGATGTCAACAACATAAAAGTAGACTTGGGCAATCGATATCTAATGGATCTTTCTATTATGGCTTCGAAACTTGTTTATGAGAATGAGAAAGTTATCAAGAAAGTTATCGAAACTCACTGGAAGGCAAGCCCTTTTTTTATTTTTATTTTCTTTTCTTCTCTCTCTATCTCTTCTGGTTAATATGAATATTCATAAAATCTAATGGGAATTCTATGCAATTAATTTGCGATAAAACAGATGCATTTCGTTGGCTTCTATAACTGCTGGAATGGTATGTAAATTTTTGACATACCCTATTCTTATTTCCTTTTTTTTTTATTAATATTTCGTCCTTTTCATAAATTTTTTTTGGATAATTGTTTGTTGATCCGACAGAGCGCCAAAAAGAAAGCAACACCCAAGTGTTCATACTCTGTGACAAGCCTAAAGATGCAAACTTGATAATTGTTAGCTTCAGAGGCACAGAAATATTCAATGCTCAAGATTGGAGTACTGACTTCGATTTCTCATGGTATGAGCTTCCCAAAGTTGGAAAAGTTCATATTGGATTTTTAGAAGCATTGGGTTTAGGTAACAGAAGAGATACTTCCACCTTCCAAAGTCACCTTCAGAGAAAGCTTACAGGTTTCTTGCAATTAAATGGCGAATCGGAAGGCGCTATTCTGGAATTATCAAAAAAAAGTGCTTACTATATTGTGGCATTAAAGCTCAAGCAATTATTAAAAGAGCACAAAAATGCTAAATTTGCTGTCACTGGACATAGCTTAGGTGGAGCACTTGCTATTTTGTTCCCAAGCGTTCTTGTAATACAGGAAGAGACAGAGATGCTACACAGGTTGCTTAATATATACACATTTGGACAGCCAAGAGTTGGAGATGTACAGTTCTGCAATTTCATGGAAGCTCATTTGAACTCTCCAAATACTAGATATTACAGAGTTGTTTACTGTAATGACATCGTACCTAGAGTGCCTTTTGACGACAAAGCCTTCGGCTTTAAGCATTTCGGAACCTGCCTTTACTATGATAGCTGGTATTTTGGCCAAGTAAGTATCTAAAATTATATGTTCAAGCTGATCTGTAGTTACTAATTGTTAAAAACTAACCAATTCTTTTGTTTGAATTTGATATATGTAGTTTATGGATGAGGAGCCAGACCGGAATTACTTCGGATTGAAGCATTTCATGCCTATGCGAATCAATGCACTGTGGGAGATCTTCAGAAGTTTTCTGATAAGTCGCATTTATGGGCAAGATTATCAGGATACTTGGTTCTGCACTTTGTGGAGACTAATGGGACTTGTGCTTCCTGGTGCTGCTGATCATGGTCCTGCAGATTATGTTAACTCGGTCAGGCTTGGAAGGGAGCGTACAGCTCCTATGGCAACTTTAGAAAGCTTTGTTCGGAAATTATGATATTTTTTTTTATTAAAAAGCACTGTTAAATTAGTATATATATAAACAAAAAAGAAAGTATTTTTGTTAGGAGGGGAGGGAGGAAGTATTATTAGCAATATCCATTTATAGTTTCAGATGGGACCAGTCGTGATTAAATCAGGGTATAAGGACAAGTACAAGAAATGACTATTAATTAGGTTTGACAGAGGAGACAAAAAATAAAAGCACTTAAGATCTATGTTCTACTGTTTGTGGAACACAAAGCTAATAAAAACTGCTCTGGTGTTAAAGAAGGCCCGAAACTTCCTTGGTGTGTGAGGAGTGGATGGCCTGTATATACATCGGGTTCAGGCTGGAGGGAGCGTAGGGGGCTTGGCAACTTTAGAATTGGGGATTCGGATTGATATTTTTTTTTAGACACTGTTTATTAAATAAATATATTTATATATTATATATATATAATATATATATAAGGCTGGAATTAGTAAAATAATTGGGTTTTGGCAAGCAGGGAAATATAAGGCTGGGAAATTATAATATTGGGTTGCAGCAGGGAAAGGTGCACGACCCGTCGTTTTTAGACATGAAGCAATGCTTTGGGATAATGCAAGGTAGAATCCTTTTGAGCCAAACCATCTGATTTATTAATGATTTAATAAAATCAAATAGGTGAAATTCCAATTGTGTTAAATATATTTATTAATTTTCGGAATTACCTAAATCTCACATTAAACAATAAAAATGGTCTCTCTCTAACCAAAAAAAAAAAAAAGGAAAAGAAAAAATTGCAATACATAATATGAAGCAACATGACATTATTTCTTGAAGATACCCTCTTCAGATTTTGTCCTGACTCCTGGACCTCAAAAAATGCTAATCCCAAATGATACTCTCGAATAACAAATTTCAATTCTTTTGGCTGATTATATTACAGAAATTTTTATCATCTGAGAGCAACTTGCTTCTGCCAAGTTCTTCAAAATAGAGAATTGGATGATACAATGTTTGCTTCAAACTGTATGAGCTCCTTGAATAACATTCAAATCCAAATTCTTAAGCCTTATTACTGATTCTACATGTCCTTTCAAGGTGTGAATCTCTCCTAGCCTGTACAACCAAAAGGAATTGCTTAGCAGAAGACAAATTTAAATTCAAACTAAAATCAAGCAAGAACTTTGCTCGAGATAGCACGAACCCTGAGTCTCAGGATGTTCATGGGAAAACCAGAAAAAAAAAAAAAAAGAAAAAGAAAAAGAAAAAGAAAAAAGGAATAATGTTTTAAAAGTACCTAGCTATTTCAGCTCGCCGCCTGGCCTGTTCAGCAATCAAAGAAGATCGAGATCGCTTGCCATTGAACTCTAAATCTGCAGCCATCAATCCTTGCAGACTCCTCTGAGACAAAACCCACTGAGCTGCCCTGTCTTCCTTTCCATAATCTTTCTTTGAAGTAAAAGCAGTCTATTGGAAATAAAAGAGACAAATGAGAAGCATTTCAAGCCAAGACATAATCAAGAAATGAAATTTTATATATTACAAACCTTTCTGTCGAATAAAAGATTCCATGCTTCTCCGCTCAAGGCATAACGAACTATGAACTTGATAATATCAAGTGGTATATAGAAGATTAAACTGTATAACCAAATAACACCAGCCCATCCCCATCCAATTCCGCTAATGTAAGCAAAGCTAATATGTGCATAAACCGCAATCAAAGTAGCCACCTATACATGGACAAGAAAAAAGAATCACTTCAGAGCTTTCTTGATGAATTGAGAGCCCTTTGTAGGAGCATTCCTTGAATACAACTTACCAATTGAGCCACTATAAATGCACACATCAATAGAGTTCCAGGCCTCTCCATAAATGACCAACTTTGGCTGCGAGTGACGAATATGAGAGCTTGGCTAATTATGCTGACTTGCAGATATACTGCAGAAGAGACTTCTTCAGTATTGCTTGATAGAGATCTTACATTGAAGGTGTTCTGCAATCAAATAAAACTATTAGTATTAGTAACAAATATTTGTTACAGGAAGAATAACTCCTAATTAATATATATCTGCAATGAGTTTTCATACCTCGAAGAAATCCGTGTCGATCACAACCCAGTAAAACAACACGGTAATCAACGCAAGATATGTCCCAATAACAATACCAGTTGCAAATATCTCAGGAAGTTTCCAACTGTCAGGCCTTGGAGACGGCTTAACTCGGTCTTGCGAAATAGTCATGATAGTCCCTAATCACAAGTACATAAGAAAAATCTTCAATATATATGTGAAAAAAGGTAAGCTTAAATGGATATAATGCAACAATCTGCCACTTCATGTTAGAATCATTACCATCATTAAGTATGGCTATTATCAGAACCATGAAAGGAGGGAAGTCATATTCCCATATCAAGGCAAGAAGCACAAAACCAAGCTGCAAAGGATTAAGTTTCCAAAAATCAAAGTTCTACAAAGTTGGAAGAAAAGTAAATTCAATGACAGCTTCTGTTTAAGGAAACCTAACTTACCACAATACGAATGGTAATGGAGACAGCATATATCTGCACATTTCAGACAGTATTATCAGTTCTTGTTTTTTTGTTCATTGAATGGATTCAGCTTCTCTTTTCGAAGAAAATATTGATACTTAACTGTATAGTTCTTCATTCTCTGGAATATAGCTCTGCTTGTTAAGACAGCACTAACAATCACACTTAACCCAGGCTCAGTTAAGACCAAATCAGCAGCATTTCTTGCAGCATCTGTGGAATCTGCTACCGCTATTCCAATATCTGCTTTCTTTAAAGCAGGTGCATCATTTACACCATCTCCAGTCATCCCAACTACATGCTTCTTTTCTTGCAGGATTTTCACAATTTCATATTTGTGTTCTGAAAGTTATGATGAATAGTCATAAGCACCATAGTTAATTGCATAAATAAAAATTTCACTCATATGTATAGCATTTGTGATAATTTTCTTCTATTGTAAGGAATATAATGAAGCATTAAGTTGCTCAAAATACCAGGGAATACACCGGCAAAGCCATCTGCCATCTCAATGAGCTCATCTACTGGAAGAACTTCATTTTCATCCTTATCCCGACCCAACAGCGAAGAAGATGGGTACATGTTGGTTCCCATGCCTAGTCGTCTTCCTGTTTCTTTTGCAATTGCCAGCTGATCACCTGCATTAGTGAATCTAGCACTAATGAAAAAGCATACTAAATTTCTGGTTCTGGCATTTATTTACTCCATGAAATGATTTTTAAATTATGAATCATTTTGAGATACCAGAAGAAATTTGCAGATACCTGTAATCATCTTAACACAGACACCAAGATTAAGCGCTCTGCGGATGGTCTCAGCACTATCATGCCTAGGAGGATCAAACAAGGGCAACAACCCACAAAAAGTCCAAGGACCTCCGGGACTATCCTTTCTCTTTTCAGGTACTTCCTGCAAGGATATGGTTATATGAGAAACGAAATTTAAGAAAAACAATGACATTTTTTTTTTTTTTTGGTTCTAAATCAGAGCTGAAGTCAGGCTGCATACCTGAAATGCAACTCCAAGAGATCGCAAGCCTCTTTCAGCAAATTTGTCAATGATGACATGAACTTTTTCAGCAATCTTATCTTTTTCTTGGCACATATGTAGGATCTGATATTATGGAAAATAACTAGATTAGCTTTGAAAAGCATAACGTAAAATAAAACGTTTTTGTTCTTGTAATCAGAGATACTAGGCTTTGGCATCCTATGAAATAATTAGAAATCTATGAGAAAATAGTGGAAAACCTTGGCAATGTGAGATTCTCAAGTTGAAGACTCACCTGCTCAGGAGCTCCTTTGCTGGCACGATACCAGTTACCATCAGAATCAATATATGTAATTGCAGTACGTTTGTCCACTGGATTGAAAGGCAGAAAGTGAACTTCTTTAATGTTTGCCCGTGCCTGTGTACACAAGAAGGTTAATAATTTTATACAGCATAAAAAGTTAAGATTGGATAAACTTATGCATTGTATTTACCTCCTTTGGATCGGCAAGCATGTTAACGATGGCTGCATCAATAGCGTCCTGATTCTCCAATCTTGATGCTCTGGCTGCAAGCAGGACAATCATATCTTTGTCCATTTCTTTGTTGAAAACCTGTTTTATATGAAAGTTAAATTATTATGATTATCTAGAAAATGAGGTGATGGAAGAAACAGAATCAAAATTGGAACTATAACTATGTTCATGATCATCGTTCAATTTGACTAATGAAACACCAAAAACAAGAACTCTGTTCAGAAGCAGGGCACTATTTCTGAAACAGGGGATTCTTATATATGCTATTTTTCCAATGGTAGAAATGGCTACGATATCAATGATAAGAAAAGATTAGTGAATTATTGTGTGATATTTTTTATGTACATTTAGGTTTTGTACCTCAATAAGGTTTCGGTCAACTGTGAGGCGATTCAAGGTAAGAGTTCCAGTTTTGTCACTGCAAAGGACATCCATTCCTGCCATTTCTTCAATTGCAGTCATCCTCTTTGTAATGGCACCCTTAAAAAATGAAAAAGGAAATTTATGAGCATTGGGAACATAGGCTCGATTTTTCACGCTGCCTGGATTTTAAGTAGTGAACCTGTTGAGATAGCCGGTGAGAACCAATTGCAAGTGTGACAGATAACACGGTTGGCATTGCTATAGGTATTCCTCCAATCAAGAGAACAAGAAGGTTGTTGATTCCATCCCTATACGAACGATGTTGTATTGGGAACATGACAATGATTTCAAGAACCATTCCCACAGCTATAGAGCAGATGCAGAAGTTCCCAATGGAGGTAAGGACCTGACAAACATTTTAACCAATTCATGCAGTAATCTAACTCCAAAACTTTTCTAATTAAAGAAATTTTGAAACTGCAACTATTTAAGATTAAGAAAGTACTTGATAACTTGTTTTATGTGCAGTTTAATAGGCAGCATACATGTGATAATTGTATGATTACCTGCTGGAAGTGTCCGACAACTATAGTAGAATCAACTAGATGTGCTGCTTTTCCAAAAAAGGTGTTAACACCAGTTGCTATAACCACAGCTTCAATTTCACCATGCTTGCATGTTGAACCTGAAAATACTTCATCACCTGTCCTCTTGGTGACTGCAAGTGATTCTCCGGTGAGAGCTGACTGCAAAGGAAATTCTTTAATTGATTACAGTAGCAGAAAACACTACAAATATAAAGACTTCTATTAAGTTGTAAGTAGCAGTTGCCTGATCAATTTTTAGCGGATCGCCTTCAAGTAGTCTAGCATCTGCAGGGATGATATCCCCAAGCTTAATACTAATTATATCTCCAGGTACTAAAATTGCTGCGTCTTCCTCTTTCCATCTTCCATCTCTGAGGACCTGCAGAAAGAGGTGATGAATCAGATACTACTATTCCTACTTACACATTAAACAAACTTAATAAAAAAGGTACAGACCTTTGTTTTGGGTGCCAAATGAGCCATTAGTGCAGCTGCAGCATTTCCAGCATTATTTTCCTCTATAAAACTAATTGTTGAATTGATCAGCAGCAAGCAAATAATTCCTACAAAGTCCTGCCAGTCAGGACCTTCTCCCTGCAATACCATTTCCAAGAAAATAGTTAGGAAACAGAAAGGTACATTTGAAAAGTAATGGTTCAAGAAAAATTAAGTTACTTACTCCACCATTAGCGAGCACGATAGCCATTACAGCTGCAGCTTCCATAACCCATGATAATGGATTCCACATAAAACTAAGGAACTTCAAAAACTTGTTCTCCTGGATCAACATAATGCAGAATCATTAATTAATATGCTGATTCTGATTCAAATTAGTCTTCTAAATTGCGCACCTAAAAAACTAATAAAAAGCTTACAGCATTGGATATCTCCAACTCTAGTACTTACTGGCTTCTCTTCAAGTTTGTTTGGGCCAAATATTTTCAACCTGACTTCAGCATCTTCAGATGAAAGTCCTTCTCGGGAAGTTCTCAGTTGTTCAAAAACTTCCTCTAGTGGCAAGCGTTCCTATTAGACCAAGTTTTGAAAGTTTTTCAGTGCCAGAAATGAATAACCTGTAAATGGGACTAAATTGTTTATATAACTGTTGCTTGCTTACCAAATCAATCCCTTCCCGGTTAAAGTTCTCAGGATCCAACAGTGGTTTCTCCAGCTCCTCGGCCATGATTCAAGCCTTGGAATCTGGAGCAAATTACAATAAAAGAGTTCCATTACTGTTAATAACTCCCAGTTCTTATGAGCATTGTTTAAATATAGTGCGATCAGTTTACAAATAATAATGGATTTTGTTTTTTTGGCAAGTACTAATCTGTCTTTACTGAAACAATCAAACGGTCACTTCTGATAGAAATTCTAAAAGCAGTAGACATGAAGCATCAACATCAACAAAGTTAACTAACCACATTATCATCAAAGGAAGCAACGCATCTCAAGAAAGAAAAGATAATTGAAAATCAGTAACTTAACATTGGATTTGCAAAGAACAAGAAATAGAATTGCATCATATGAATTAAGTGAGAATGTTAATTCATTTCCTGGCTTACTTTTTTAGAAGCTGGAGGGCGTGACAGGATCCACGAAAGAGAAATGAGTTGGGTGTGAGTAGCAGTGAAGTAATGGAGAAATAGAAGAGTGAAGCTTAGAATGCTTAAAAAGAGAAGTAATTAATAAATCAAGATTTTGTAGTTGACTATTGGTTGGCAGATGGGGACGAGCAGCTGATAATCCTAATCTCACATGTCTCAATATGGGTTTTGCCATTTTTTTCAATATCCACAGTAAATATGAAGTGTGTGTGTGTGTTTGTTTGTATGTTTTTAATTTTTCTTGACCTGAAAGATTAGAGATTTCTACTCTCAAAGAAACCAACCAAGACGAAAGAAAGAAAGAAAGAAGGAAAGAAAGACGACAGTTTGCTTTTAACTACCATTCAAAACTTGCCCTTCTAACCTAACGGTCACTTCCTATTTCCCTCCAAATCCCAATTATTAATAAATAATTTTTTAGTCCCTCAGGTTTGCTCACAGTATAATTTTGTTCATCTCATTTAGCAAAAATACCGATATATCCCTAAAGTTTTTTTTTTTTTTTTTTTTTTTTTTTTTTTTTTTGAAGAAACCCTACCAAGTTTAGTTTTATTAAATACTATTACGTCCCTTTGGGGCAAGAAAAAAAATATTATATTACGAATTAAATAAAACTAAATGAAATAATTCAAAATGGAGCAATCATTTAAACAATATAGTAAACTATTATATTTTAAGCTGAAAGACTAATAAGATGAATGTTTATAGTGAAATTAAATTTAAGGATTAATTTAATTAAATTTACCAAACAAAATGGATGAAATTGTAATTATGATCAAGAACCAATAAATATCATTTACGCCCTAATGGCAATTTTTGTAGCTTAATTTATACTATGTGTTTAATAACGTGAAAAGATATCGCAACACATGGATTATATTTTAAAAGGCATTGAACAGGTGGCTGCAAGAATAGCAGCACCTGTAACTATCAAACTTGGTTTGGTTCTCTTAGTTTGATGTCTAGCGTAAATTAGTGGAAGTTATTTTTATTTTCTACTCTTAGTTGCCTTATGGCAATAAATATTAGCTGATTTAAGTACGTGTTGAATTGACTATTTCTTAGAGAAAGAATTATTCAATTTTTTCCAATTCCACAATTATTTTTTATAATTATACTATATTATTGGGGTATTTCCTCTCAAAAAAAAAAAAAATATGATCACCAATAATGGATTTGTTTAAAATCAAGAATTGAAAATGGGTGGTATTAAGATTAAGGATCATGACCATTTTTTGTTGATAATTCAGCAAGAAGCCCCGTCAAAAACTCAGAATCTGATGAAAGAAACAATCAAGCCTAAATCTAACACTTAGGCAATAAATCTCACTCTCACGTATTGAGAAATAAGGTAATATCATTGGAAGGGCCCCTTGAATCGGTTCAGCAAATGCTCTTATGATATCAATCATAAATTGATCTGTAAAATAAACTGCCAATTTTTTTTTTTTTTTTTTTTTTTTGAGAAACCCTAAAGTTTAGTTTTATTAAAACTATTACGTCTTTTGGGCAAAAAAAAATATTATATTTACAATTAAATAAGAGACTAAATAATAATTCAATAATAGGAGCAATCAAATAGTAACATTATATTAAAACTGAAAGACTAAATAGATGAATGTTATAGTGAAATTAAATTTTAAGGATTAATCAATAAATTTACCAAACAAAATGGATGAAATTGTAATTATGATCAAGAACCAAATAATCATTTACCCCTATGCAATTTTTGTACTTACATTTATAATATGGTGTTTTAATAATGAATACCAACACATGGGATTATATTTAGAAAGCATTGACAGGTGGCTGCAAGAATAGCACACACTGTACCTATCAAACTTGTTGGTTCTGCTTAGTTTGATGTCTACGTATTAGTGGAAGTTATTTTTATTTTCTACTCTTAGTTTGACCTTATGCAACTAAATAGTTAGGTGATTTAAGTACGTGTTGAGAGTTGACTAGTCTTTAGAGAAAGAATTATTCAATTTTTCCAATTTCCACAATTATTTTTTATAATAACTATATTAATTGGATTTCCTCTCAAAAAAAAAAAAAATATATCAACAATAATGGATTTGTTTAAAATTCAAAATTGAAAATGGGTTGATTAAGATTAGGTCATTGACCATTTGTTGTTGATAATGGGAAATACTTATATGTGAAATGGATCAATAAATGAATGTGAATAGTATAATTTTTTGGCTTTGGGCAAGTTATGTCTTTCATTTTTCTTAATTGAATAAACAAACATTTAGTCAACTCCCACCGATGAAGAAAATATCTCTTTCGGCTAATTTTTTTCTTTCGTTCATTTTCCTTTTTTAGCTTTAATCATGTTGTCCGGCCCGTTTTGTTATTACCCATTAAATTATTTAATAAATTTAAAAATATATATATAATGAATGATAGAAAAATTATGCTATTTCACACATTATAATAAAAAATATCACAATTTTTTCATTCTTTTATTCATTTTATAAAAATATTCTCGTTTAAATAAAATAATTTTATTAAATTAACTTGGTGCATGAGTGGAACTTAAAAACCATACACATGTAAGTCACTTTCTTTATCATTAAGGGTAGTTCTTAGAGAACAGGCCTGCTAATTACTTAACAGAATGGGCTCAGGCCCATTTCTCCCTCAATGGGTTTATGGGCTTGTGCTTGGTATGATAATTAGTCATCTTCTGTAGAATCAACCAATTTCACACAATTTGAGGTCGTCTAGAGATGGCTTAGAATGTGAAAAAGCCTGCAGTCTCGACGAAGGTTCTTACCAAAATCTTAGTACTTTGATGTTATTAATCCTTGTACGAAATATGTAAGAGGCCGAAATCTTGTAACTTGTAACTTGTAATTAACTTAATTAATTAATGGCCATACATTGGACATGGATGCTTTTTGTTCTTAAACTTGCGAACCCAGCAACTTCATTTACACAGAAGAATGCATGTTCCTCGAAGATACACTAAAGCTTGAAGCCATCTTTTGAGTGTTCACTGGAGCTACCCCTGGTGAAGAACACGCCATTCCATAAAAAGTAACTTTTGTTTTTAAAATTTTAGTAGGATTAAAACAAAGCGCTATCAGGTTAAGGATAATATTCAGGTAAAATTCTATCGATAATCGATCAGAAAAGTCACTGATAGATAACCGATTAATTGAATAATGCTTAAGAGTCCGCTATGAACGAAAATGAAATAAAGACTATATACGGTTGCAAACATAAAATAATTGAAAGAAAATTTTTTAAAAATGCAATTTACTTTCGCCGATACAAATAAAGTTTAATTTTCAGATTGCGAGAAGTTGAATCTTATTAATTAATTCATTTACTTGAGAGATAGGTAAACAAGCATATCTATGGAGATAAAATTTGTCCATGAAGGGACCGAATCCATGATATCATGGATCCTTTCAATTTTCTCACATACACTTACCATATAAATTATTTTAATATTACTTGTTCAAATTAAAACATATTTAATAATTTGTCCATTCAAATCAATCTCTATGTAATGTGTGAGAGCACACGTGAGGATACATGTAGATGGTGGTGGTGAGAGTTAGAAAGAGAGATTGAGATTGAGAACATCCAACCAAAACAACTTCCTACCTCAAAACTGTGGCCAAGTTGCCGGAACTATGTTCCCAAAGGCCAAATCCTTTGCCTTGTCTTCATTAAAACACCCCTCCACTTTTCATGCCCACCTTTCCCACTTCTCTAATCTACCTTTCTATTTTTTTATTCTTCCTCCCTCGTCTCTTCCAATTATTAATTCCAAGATGAAAGAAAATGAACAAATTTTTTGTTTCACTAGATGTACAGACCTGCGTCCGGTAGAATTTGCATTCTCTCATTTTTAAAGATATAGTCCAGAAAATCAACCCTGTAAGTGCTCTTTGTCACCTAGCTACCCATTCGAGTTTTTATAATTTTTTGTTTTAATTAACATTGCATGCAATTTCAACTAAGGTGTTCTTGGTCTAACATTTTTCAACGATTTTGTAAACAAACTTAATTTGTCATCTTGTTAGAAATATATAAATGCCATTAAATTAATACTGTAAGATCCAATGTTTGTTCTAGTAAAAACAGGAAAGAAACTCTCACTGTAACTTTCCATGCAAATCCCTCAGTTTTCGAACTTACTGACCATGTTCAGCTCCCTTTGCCTTTCCTTCAAAACCCAGTTAACCCTTTCTTGGCTTTTGAGCTTTCCCTTTCCACTATAAATACTTGAACTATCTCTTACAGCACCTCTCAAGCTCTTCTTTGAGCTTTTTTTCTAGTAAACCCTAGTTTTAATTAATTCTTTAATCATATATCCACCACCACCATGGCTGGTGAGCTTAAGTTCCAAGCATACGACAAGTACTGTGAAACCACCAAACCCTCCTCTTCAAGGAGGAGAAAGGGTCGTCATGGTTTCACCACCAAGTGTGCTTCCTTGATTAAGGAGCAACGTTCTCGTATTTATATCTTACGCCGTTGCGCCACCATGCTTCTCTGCTGGTACATCCATGGCGATGACTAGCTTAATTCTCAAATATAGATAACTTCTCTCGTATACATATATATGTTATATATATATACTTTCTCCTTCTTTATTCTATGTTTTTCTTAATAAGGTCTTGAAGCGCAGATTATTGTATATGCTGGTTCGGTCCGGTTTGGTTTCATGGGCTAAGGGTGTGGTTTATCTCAGCTCAGCTATGGATTATTATTATTGTTTTCTCCTTTTGAGAGCAAAAAATCCACTTCTTTTTTACCCAATTGGGAGGAATTATCCATTAATTGGGTTTTTGGGAGCACAAGAAAGGAGAGATAATTGACAGAGCTGCACTGTATTGCTTTTTCACCAGCCGGGCATCAAGTCTATATATGCAAGAAAATATATATCTGTTCATTTGGAGCTTTGTCTTGAAATAAACATGGAGGAATAATCATCATCATCATCATAATCTGGGTGTTGTTAATTATTGTTTATCTGTCAAGGGTTTGCTTGCCTGTCGATTTAAGGGTTAATTGCAATTTGTATTTAGGTTTCTCTTGTACACTTGGCTATGGCTATTGCTGTATTTTTTTTTTTTTTTTTAATTTTTTTTTGCAATTTTGTATTAGGTTTCTCTTGTACACTTGGCTATGGCATTGCTTTAAATTTTTTTTTTTTTTTTACTGTCTTTTTTCTCCAAGCTTTATATCTTTTCCTGGGAGTAACATGGATTGTTTTACATGTTTTCCAGAAGAGAAAAGGAACAAGAAGATTTTTTTTTTTTTTTTTACTTCTTTTTTCTCCAAGCTTTATTAGTCTTTTCTGGGAGTAACATGGATTGTTTACATGTTTTCCAGAAGAGAAAAGGAAAAGAAGAGGGAGAACTTAGCAACTTGTAATTGCTTAATTATAATTGAAATAAATAGATTATTCATATTGTTTCTTTTCTTTATTTTATAGTTGAGCTAGCTACAATAATATAGTTGGATAATCATTTGGTCCTCCTTGATTAAATTCCATAGAAATTTTTAAATATAAAACATTGAAAAAAAAAAAAAAAGAGGCTTACTATACTTCATATGTTACTATAGCAAATCAATAATGAAATTTAACAAATAGGGGGTCGGGGCATGGTTTATTTTTTTATGATTTTGCCCTTTTTGTAGACTTGTCTAGCATGAATCATTATAAATCAGTCGAATCGTGAGTTTCAGATACCGGATGGTTTAAAAAAAAAAAAAGAAAAGAAAAGAGTAGGTAGCCAAACATTTAGCATATAGATTGAAACGATCAATTTTGTATGGAGAAGAAGATAAAACCAAGTTGTCCATCTTCTGACACGCATTCTGGTCCATCATTTAGAGTACTTGCGGACGGTTGTTCTGTTTCATTACAGAACAATATTTGCGGCAAGTTGCAGCCAAGCATGGCCAAGAAATATTGCGAAGGCAACTGCCAACATTGGTGAAGATGTGTAAATTATTGTGTGTCATTACAGCTAGCTGCCCATATGTCTCAATTGATATTATTAGATTTTAAACACACACAAACACATCTACATATTCTTCTGTGTGATCCAAAGCAATTCTTGTTGAGTTGGTACATATAATAAGTCTAAAATTAATTATTATGTAGAGTGTTTGAAGGTTTTGGTAATATATATATAATATTAACACATTTCTTATAGACTAAGTTGTTGAGATTCACATATGGGAATATTTAATTAACAGAGTATTAGGGTAATTAACTGATAAAAAGGCAAAATTATCCTCAATTCCCAAATGTAAAAATTGGGCATGAAAAACACAAATTATAGAACATGGGAATTAATTCCCTCCTGGGAAATTAATGGAAGAATCAAAATTATCCTTGCTTCAATGGAAGCTAGTTAGGCAATGGCATTCTTTTAGGTACCAAGAACAGAGTAAGAAGCTACATGAAGCACATAATCTTTTTAGATATGTCACTTGTCAATCCAGTCTTTGAAGAGTAACATCATGTATATAGGTAAATTTACAGCTGCAATGACTATAAGCATTCCAAAGGTCCTCACTAGTCTTTGGATAATGATCTTTGTCTTTGATTTGCTCGCTCTATGCAGTAATTTGTTCGGATCATGTCCAACATCTGCATTTATATCAACGTTCATAGAAATTTTCATCTCTTGAGAAATGTTTTTTCTTGCTGTTGGCCGCATCACAGCATTACCCCTGCAATCAAATACGAAATAATTAAAGAAAAAATGTGAAAGAAATGAGAAAATCCATATAAAGCACACAGTAATGGCCATCAAGGTGCTGCAATTTAAATTTTGTGTTAAGCATCATAGTTGTTATATTATTAAACGAGATGAGAATGCAGAGACAAACACCTTTCAACCGATGCTTTTTCAGTTTGGCGTGATACAGGAGTATCTAGTGGTTTCTTCACAAGATGCATTGTTCCTTCTGCATCCCACATCATCTCATATTCACAATTCTCATCTTCACTTTTTTCTTTTGTCCCTCCCCTAAACATGCCACCATAAAGTCTGATGCATGCTGCTAAACCACTCAAATAATGCCCAAAACTTATGCCGCTAGTTGGCCAGAACAGGAGACTAAGAATAGTCAGAATGAAGAGGGACAGATACCTGAAGTTTTCAGCAAATGTAAGTCAGTGAAGTGAATTGAAATGACTAAATATAATCCTCCCTTTTTATCGAAGAGGTCAAATGAGTAATTGAGCACTGACACAGTAACATAATATCTGGTAAAAACTAGAGCATTATCTACCGACTCCTCCCTGAAAATTTCCAAGGTAACTACTACTATTACTCATCTCGAGTGATAGTTACCATATGTAAATGTGTGTTTGCATCGGAAGAAAGCATAATTGAGAAAGTAATGCATCTTCTGGGGCGGACACATTGGCATTCGCAGAGTTACTAACAGATAATAGCATGAAAGAAGGATACAAATTCCCCTGCTGCCAGCTTACGGTTCCTACAGTGTGCTGCATATTGTTATGAGTTTTGAGTCATATCCCCAGAAAACTTGGAAATGCCAAAATATTAGAGATTACCTCCACTACAGGCCCATATTTTGACTCATGTATCACTGTACACTGGTCATGATCATGTCCTGATAAAATGAGTGCCTGCAAGAAGCCATACACATTAATGCCAATGAAAGAATCTTCCCCAAGAACTATTCATGCACACATGTTATGCACATACTTGCACATGTAGGTTTAGATATATGGACATGCATACAAGAAATCTACTCCCTCTTCTTTTTCCCCCCAGTCACCAGTTCACGAAAACTTTATTAGAGGAATCTAGTGAATTTTCATGAATGACACGCTTCCTTGAGCCTCCTCAGACGAGGCATTGTCTGAGGCATCACTCCACGCATACTTACTATCTTATAGTTTAAAATCAAGTTCACAGTCAAATGATAAATTAACATTTCACTGCCATGGGGAGGATAGAAACAGAGCATTTCAACTTTATTAAAGAAGACATTGTATGCATAAGATGATTCAAGGATATGAAAGAAATTACAGGCTTGACCAACTCCAACAATTTGTTTGAGGATTCCTCAGTAACATAATTCTGATACCTGCAGCATTGAACCAACAATCAAACCATAGAACAATAGCCATCAATCAAACTCTAGAATTTCATGCAAATCTCTTGTGCCATTTCATTAGAAGAAGGACAAGAAGCTTACATTATTTCTTGACCAACTGCAGAACGTGAAATCCGCTAAACATGGAAGAGAAATACATATTATTTCAAGAATGGAAAGGAGCATAGGGATTCTGATGAATAAAGGAGAATGGATTCGATGCTCTTGATTATGAAGAAAGGGAGCATTCTTCTTAGGTTTCACTCTGCAAAAACTGGCAAAAGAATACCTGATTGATGACTGGAGAACTACGGTGAGGGCCACAATAAGTATTATCCCGCCGATACAATGGAATATGAGTTAATAAAACCCTTGGCATTAATTGACGATCTGAAGAAATGACAAAAGGAAAAGATGTACTTAATTATTTGTAAGTTAACAAAACAAACTTACAAGCTCATCAGTAAGAAAATCAGAATTGAATATCATTACCTGCAGAGACATTTTTCACAAACTCCCAAGTCATGGAAGCTAAATTTTCTTGTGGGTGACCTGAAGATTGTAAAATAAAATACATTCAGGTTCAATCTCCAACAAATTCAAATTTTATTCATTTGTACACAATCAAACTTATTATGCTATGCACAAGCCATATAATCAATATATTCACCTTAAGCACAATAATGCAAATATAAAGTGTGGACTTAAGCTAATAATGCCTTAAAAGCATTTACAAGAGAGAGATAGGATTTTGTCCCATTTAGAAGATTAACCCAAAGCAATTCAGAAAAGTTGCCAAGCATAAAGGAAATGCAACAAATTTGGGCAAATTTACATATCAATTATGCAGATCATAATAAATTTAGCATAAGGATTTGGGATTTCATGTAACTGCTATACTTCCACCTTTTGAAAATATATGTATACGTATTATGTATAAAACAGAAAGGAAAAATTATTATAGGTGAAGAGGAGTTGACAGCTTTACCATCAAGTATTTGAGCATCAACAGCTATAAACTCCAGTTTTCCAACTGTAAACCGGAAGTTTCTAGTCCCAAATCCTTCCACATAGCGTCTAACAACCTGATAGAATATAAGAAATATAAGAGAACACTTATTATACAAACACAAACCATGATAGAATATAAGAAATATCATTAGGTTATTACAAATTGTGCCGACAATTGCAAAATAAATGATACCAAAAAAAAAAAAAAAAAAAATAGAAGAAATATCATTAGGTTATTACAATTGCCGACAATTGCAAAAAATAATGATACCAAAAAAAAAAAAAAAAAAAACAGAAAGAAAAAAAAAAAAAAAAAAAACAGAAAGAAATGAACTCAACTAAACAAAACCATTAAGCCAGTAACCATAATGAAAAATTCAGCACTACACCTTAACAACTGGTAACAAGACCAAGCATTTGTAAAGTGCAATTGAAAATCTGAAAATATATTTCGCATATGCATGCAAACATGTTGTTTTCCCGATTTCTGTATACTAATCACTAGTATTAACCAAATAGAACTTTGTCAAGCTCAAAATGATCAATATCTATTTCTGCCTCAATAATAGTTTAAGGTTAGCTATCTTGCTAAACAGTTTCTTCTGAATTCATTTCAGTGATTTCATATTTTCACAGGTCTTATTTTGCAAATTTGGAGGATATATTTTATTTTTAGTTCTTCTCTCAATTGATTCCCTTGTTTTCACAGCACAATGTTCATCAATAAAATTTTATAACAAGAGCACTGTTGACTAACCTACCAGTAAATACTAAACACAAGAAAAAAATACAATTGCTTATAATCAAGATTGTGTATCATTACTAGTAACATGCTAAAATACCTCCGGTTTATGAGAAATGATGCTTTCATAGCCAATGTCATGGTTTCCAGGAATGAAGTAAACCTGCATATCCATATATCTTCCTTCCGCATTCATACCAAATACATGCCTAAAGCGGTTTAAGGACTCCTGCCATCTTATAGTGAAAGAATATCAAGGCATTCTGAACAGAAACTAACAAGTGATATACTGGGGAAATAAGCAATGGAATAGGGAAATATTGAGCAAGAACTGGAATAGTAATACATAGAAAATGTAGCCAATACAAGTTATAGGATTAGGATTACATATCTCTAATCTATTTGTTGAGAGCCTGAATGGAGATAAGCAAAATGATCCTAGATATCAAATACCAATCACAATGTGCAAACAGATATCCAGTCTAGCAAATTTTTCTGGGAATTTTCTCATAGTTTAGTTCTGTAATAATCTAAAAAAGTAAGATTTTATGTAGAAACATCATTTAAGCAGCAAATAGCAAAGTGGATATTTTGTGGCCGCTTTAACTAACTAGGAGCAGATTGAAATCTCAAGTGGGAACAGAAATTTCGAGGCCTTACTCTTCATCTGATAAATATGGGCCCCCGTCAAAGTAATCACCCAAAAACAGAATCACGTCAGGTTTGAAAGGCAGGATAGATAAATAGAACGCCCTGCACATGTATAAATCAGTATAAAATTGAGCAGTCTCCAAAGCAAGCGATTTTGGAGGTAGACGAAGAGAGGTTCTATCCATAAGCTGTTAATCGTAGAAATCCAATATTAGTGGAAAAAGATATCAAACTGACAAAAAAAAAAAAAAAATTGATAAACTGACAAAAAAAAAAAAAAAATTTGTGCAGGCCAAAAAAAAAAAAAAAAAATTGTGCAGCAGGGAATAAAAGTTGACCTGTGGGTCTGTTAGGACAGCAACTTTTACATAATCACTTGGCGCTTTGACTCCATTTATCTGAAACATGATTTAATAGTCTATTAGCCAACATGCCTATCTCCTTATGCATGAATTTACATAAATTAGTACACATACGTGCTTATATTATATGCATCTATTAGATACATGGCTTGTTGAAGGAGCTAATTCTCATCTAAATTATAAAACTATTCTTGCTAAGGATTGCCCATAATACTAATTCTAGAAAGGCTGTAGATTTTGTAAGGTTGTAATTTTTCTTCTTCCTTTCTGATTTATCAAGAGCAGAGAAAAAAAATTGTTGTAACTTGCATTTGCAGCCCATCATGCATAACGACTAGAGATTATCAGGCACAGGTAGGCTCAAGGTTCAAGACCAAGATGATCTGCACTAAGATATTAGATTGAGAGGAGCAGCTTAAAACATTGGTCTAGCTAATGTTTCTGCGACTGTCAAGACACCTGTTGCTCAAAACCAAGGGCAAATTTAAGAGTAAAGATATAGCGAAGAAACAAACACAAAATTTATTCCAATAGAGAAAACTTTTATATGGGATACTGCATCCATGTGTACAGGGGATTAATCGAGTTAAACTAAAGAACACTAGAAATGTTTCTGAAGTGAGAATTTTAATAACAATGCTGGTAAAAAGTACAATAAAAATGGGATCTTTCTTTAATACTAATTATCTTCTAAGAACTATAAATCATTATATGCTATTAAAGAGGTACCTAAATCAGGTCAAAATGAAGCCAACAAATGACTGTAATTTACGATCTAAGCAATCTTATCTAATTTAATTAATCACTATTAATTAAGGAGAATCTTTAAGCTTGATTTCGAAGATGAGAGTAAACGAATCACCTTGGAATTCACAGATGAAAGATGAGGCCAAGAGCAAGACCAAAGAGAAGGCAGCAAAAAGGCAAACATCTCGCCATAGAGAAGTGTGGCCGCCCATGCACCGCATAGCGCCACCGTCAACTTATGATGCTGCTTCATCTTCCGCTTCACCACCCTCTCTCTCTCTCTCTCTCTCTTTTTACAAGGCAAGAAGGTTTAGTTCGAGCTTTTGATCTTGAAGTTTTCTTCTTTATTTTCGCCTTATCTAATACTATATTTCGAAACCATTCTGTATTTGAAGACGGGTACTTATTTAATCCCATGGGATCGACTGCACCGAATAAAACTTCTCCCCTTTATATATCTAACTGACTACTTGTGCTCCCCGTTCATACAAGAGCTTGTACTCCTCACTGTCCTAAACAAATAACAAGGTTAGAGCTCTCTCTCTCTCTCTCTCTCTTCTTTTTCATGAATCTCTCAAAAGGACTAACTGTAACAGGTAAGCTTTTCTCTCTGTATTGTCAACAAGATTTAGACTTTTAACTAGTGTTTGGATAAAATTGGACTTCATTTCATTATTAAGTTAATTTCATTAGAAAAATTCAGCTTGTATTCCTTTTAAATTTAAGATTTATCTGCAAATTTTATTAATTTTAGCATAATTTAGTTTAAGTATAATCAATTTTATAGAACTAAAAAATATAGAAATTTCAAATGAATTTTTATTTATAAAAAAATTGAAGTTATGAATGATTTCTACCAAATTTTTATTCAGCTTCATTTGCGTGCTGAATGCGGAAGTGATAATTTAAGGCCAAGTTCCATCAAGATTCAAACTTTATCTCATTCCATAGAGATTTCACTTATTATTCATCAGAAATTTAGAATCTCTTTCTATTTGACTTTTAAGTATGAAAGTTTTGTGTTTAATTTTTCTTTGTTTCTTATGTATAAACTGGTTTTGAGTGGAAAACTGTTGTGGATTGTTTGCTGTGCGTATTAACTGTTTGTTGTAATGCCTACAATGCAATTGATCTTTTGGTTATCATCGTAGCTTGCTTTTGTATGTCGAACGATAAGGTACTTTTTCTTCTTTTGGAGGCTTTTTTTTTTTTTTTTTTTTTTTTTTTTTTTTTTTTTTGTGCTTCGTAGTTTGGAAAGAGAACTTTTCTTTTGCTCCAAACCTTTTATTGTCTCCTTCTAATGGATTCTTTTCTCAAGTGATCTTTTTTATCTCACCATTTTTTTTTTTTTTTTTTTGTGCTTCGTAGTTTGGAAAGAGAACTTTTCTTTGCTCCAAAACCTTTTATTGTCTCCTTCTAATGGATTCTTTCTCAAGTGATCTTTTTTATCTCACCACAAGCAGTTGAAATCCCTACCTGCCCATAACTTCTGTTGTATTGTCGTCTTATTGATCTCTTTCAGCATGTCTCCTATTATCTTTTAGTTTTATTTTGTGGGATGTTTATGATGATTGATGGCTCTGATAAAACTGAAATTCCAAGCAACCTAATGACCACACTGTTAGTCAAAATGCTGCGTCCAACACACACTGCGGAGCTTGCTTTTTCTGATCCTTTAATCTTTGCCGTTCCAAGTTTTGAGCTTTTGATTCTCAAAGCCGTCAAATTTTTATTGAGGGTTTGTCCTTTATGATGAAATTTGGAGACTTTTCGTGTGGAGTTATCAACTGATGGGACATTGGAAATGGGAACAATTATATGAATCGGAAAAGACCGCATGCCACAACCTCCTCCCTTCAACCAAATGAAACTTTTGGTTTTAAGGTGCAAATCTGTGCCGTTTCTGCCAATGCAGTGGTAGCTCACCCTCTCCATATATACATGGGAATCTGTCTATAGGTGATTATAGTTACATATTCGATAGTGTATGGTTCAATATAATTGTTTCCAGCGAAAAATGCATAAGTGATATTTGATAATATGAAATTACAGATGCCATACTAGTTCTTTAGCTTCTCCATATGGTGATTAATAAACAACTAATTGTAATTTTTTTATACATCTTTAAAGCTGTATGATATGGTAAATTTTCAAATTTACATTGTAAAATGATGTGAAAAACTGCATTGACAAACCCATGTTTTGTGCAAGTGTATATACCTGTTCTTAATATTTACTGAAGGGCATTTTCACTAACTCTTATTTTGGTTTCTGTCTGAGCCTACATTCTCTAGCCAGTCAACAACTTCTTTGATGGTTGGCCTCTTGAATGGATTTTGGTTCACACACATGCAGGCCACATCCAGCACTTGCAGCATCTCAACATCAAAGCCCTTTCCTCTCAAGAGAGGATCAAAGACTTGTTCTTGTTTTCCCTCTCTCCTCATTTGCTGGACCCAGCCGACTAGTTCTCTTGACATCTTTGGCCTGAACACTTCTACAGGTCTCTTTCCAGAGAGAAGCTCAAGCATAACAACCCCAAAACTGTACATATCTCCTCTCAATGTGGCTATCCATGCTTGCCCATATTCTGGAGGAATATAACCCAAAGTACCAACAAGCTCAGTTGTAACATGAGTATGATAAGGAAGAATCAGCCTGGACAACCCAAAATCTGCTACATGTGCTTCAAACTTCTCATCTAGAAGGATGTTGCTGGACTTGATGTCACGATGCACAATGTGTGGCTCACATATCTGGTGCATGTAAGCCAGGCCACAACTTGCTCCCCTGGCGATCTTCAGTCGCGTTGGCCAATCTAGTTGGGATGCACCATCAGCCTTCTCATGCAACCAGTAATCCAGACTTCCGTTTTCCATATAGGAATATATGAGCAGCCGAAAGCCCTGATACACACAATAACCTTGCAATGACACCAGATTCTCATGCCAGGCAGTGGACAGAGCCTCTACCTCTGCTTTGAATTCCCTTTCCATGGGACCTATATCTCCTGAGAGTTTCTTGATAGCCAGCTTGGTGCCATTTGCCAGTGTTGCTTTGTAGACCAGACCAAAACCGCCACAGCCAACAATATTTGCTTGGTTGAAATTGTCAGTGGCTTTTAAAAGCTCAATTATTGTTAGATCCCTGGTATCATTATTATCATTAGGAAACAATACAACTAAGCAGGTGTCCTTGTCAGCATTGGGAGGAAATCCAGAATATGAATTGCTTGAAATTGCATCCATCTCTATACTGTCAGAGTCCCCTCCGGGAATGATCCTTCTCTTGGACAATATCCACAGTGCTAGTACAGCAATAAGTAAACCAGTCCCAGAACATGTCCCCAGGACTAATCCGATAATAAATTTTGTGTTTACCTTTTTACAAGGCACAGTGTGATTGACATATCCTGATGTATTGGAGCAAGAACGTTGTAAAATTGAACCACAAAGCCCTGGATTCCCTGCAAAGCTGGAACTGGGGAAAGTATCGAACTGACCTCCAGATGGTATAGGACCGTGAAGACTGTTATTTGCAACATTGAATGAAGACAAGAAATGGAGACCTTTTAGTGATGCAGGGATTTCTCCAGATAGGTGGTTTTCAGAGAGATCCAATTTCTCCAAGTTGGTGAGGTTCGATATTTCATCTGGAATATTTCCTGAGAAGTTGTTATTTCCAAGGTCCACCACGTGAAGAAACTTTAGTTGGCCAATTTCTTTAGGGATATCACCAATGAGGCAGTTGTTTCCCAGGTATATAGCTGGAGGCAGGCTAGAGAGCTGATTGTACTGCTGATAGGTTGCATTATTGGGTTGGGCAAACACAGGCAATGGTAGATAACTCCGGTTGACTAATTCATTGTCCCCTTGTGATGCTAGTGTATGCAATCCCGCAAGTTCCTTGGGCAGTTTTCCTGATAGGCGGTTACTGGACAAGTCTATGTAGAAAAGGTTCGATAAACTACCCAACCAACTGGGAATAGAACCTGTGATTTGGTTAACAGACAAGTCCAACACCTCCAGGTTCTTAAGCTTGGATAACCAGGTAGGCACCTGACCTGAAAGTCCAGAAGCACCAAGAGCAAGAACCTGGAGGTTCTGGAATCCATCTGAGTGTCCTATGCTTTTATCATCTGGTATCTTTTCATTAAAAAAATTCACAGAGAGTATCAGAGTAGTGAGGTTCTTGCAACCCATCATAATTTGAATAGCCCCAGTAAGGTTGTTTAAGTTATTGTAAGAAACTGACAGGAAAGACAGAGATTTTAGTGTTTGTATTTCAGGTAAGATCTGTCCCCCCAACTGGTTATAGGCAAGTCTAACAGCAGTTAACGAGCTACATAAGTAAAGACTTGTGGGCAAATTACCTGTAAATTTATTGTTGCCAAGATCTAGGATGCTAAGTTGAAGGAACCTAGAGAAATTAAAGGCAGATAGCTCTCCTTCCAATAAGTTGACCCGCAAATTTAATGTCACTAATTTGGTACAATTCATCAGAGTTGGAGGGATTGAACCTGTGAGATTGTTAATGTGAAGCTGCAGCTGTTCCAAGTTGTAGAGCCTGCCAATATTCCAGGGTATTCTGCCAATCAGGTGATTCGAATAGAGATCAAGAACCTTAAGGTTATTGAGGTTAACTAGTGCATTGCTGATAGGACCAGAAAGGCGGTTAAGAGGCAAGGAGAGTTTTTCGAGCAAGACAGCCTTGTAAATATCTTCAGGAATCGTCCCTGACAGATTATTGAAACCTGCAGAGAAAATCCTCAGACCGGAACATTCACCAAATGCAGAAGGAATATTGCCACTGAAATCATTGTTGGAAAAGTCAAGAATAGTCATGAATCGAAAAGAAACACTGCAAATGTTGGACGGAATTTGGCCCACGAAACTATTGTGACTGACATTGAGTTTGCTCAAATTTGCAGCTGCCTGGAGAAATGAGTCGGATGGAATCGCCCCATTGAACCGGTTGCTAGACAAGTCCACTATTTGGATAGCTATGTTGGTGTTATTATTGTCGCTGCCTGGTAATTCGCCATCAAGACGATTGTAGCTGAGATCAAGAATCTGGAGGCCATTCAGAGAAAATAATCCAGTAGGGAGAGAACCAGAGAGACGATTATGGGACAGATTGAGGTGATAGAGATGGGTGAGGTTGGCAAGAGATGGTGAGAGAATGCCAGTAAGGCCTCTAAAGGGTAGCAAAAGACGATTCACTCTCCCATTAATTCCATCACACTCAACACCTTCCCATAGACAACAATCAGTAGAAGAAGACCAATTCAAAGGAGAAGAAGATGATATGTTTGAGAAGAAGGTAAACAAAGAATCATGATCGTCTTGGTGGCAAGCCGCTGCAGCATAACAAGGATGCAATAATAGTATCAGAATCACCAAAAAAGCAAACAAGAACGTGACCCAAGAAGATGAGAAGGATCCTCTTGTTCTTGGTATCACTGGATACGCAAAGCAAGCAAAGTTGGAATCTTTAAAATTCATCACCATCATTCCCACTATTGGGACATAGAACAAGAACAAGACATGAGATGGAAGGAGAAATAGGGGACCAAGTACATGATTATCTGATATCTAGGCAAATCTTGTAGACTAACAAAGATTTGGAGATTGAAGTAAAACCCTCTATTGACCAAACAGAGAAGAGGAAAATGAGAGAGAAAGGAATACAGATGAAGTGCGTGCGTGGGGGCATGACGTTAGGTCATTAATATTATAATAGCACTACAAAAGGAAAAAGTATATATATTATTGTATACAAGCATTAATAAACAGAAGAGCGATCAAAAAACAAGGGTCATCATGAAAAACATGAAAATCTTCTAAGCGTTTACATTGGGGCGGCTGGTAGTGGCTGGCTGGTGGTGGTGGTGGTGAAGGTTGAGCTGGACTCTTTCTTGGATCATGATTGATTGATGACCAAATCCCATAAAAGGATCCAGAAACCCCTTTTGATTCAACATTTTTGTGAGACTAAAAAGGCTTCATCTTTAACTCTAATTGGTGTCTATTGAATAGTATTCTCTGTTTTTTTTTCCTTTCAAACAAAATCTCTGCACTTATTCTGTTTTTGTGTGGGCAGGGTGTTAGTTGCTGGCTGGTTGTACTTATCTGGAATTATCTAATTGCCAAAAAATAAAAAATGGTCATAAGACAGATGAGCAAAGCTTGCAAGTGGCAAGAAGCAGAGACTGACCCAATATATAAAATTGGCTGTACTGCTGAACGGTCAACCTGGACCAGAAAGCTCCATGTCTTATTCTATAACTGGACTTTTTTTCTTGACCCATTCACAAGCCACTGTCCTTCTGTTATGTGATCCCATGAAAATATGATTGCCGGCTTCCACAAGTTATATCAATTCTTTTGGCTTTCTTTGTGTTTTTTGGGGTTCAAAACTGAAAAAGTGCCCAAAAGAAGTAACTACAAGTGTTGAAAGATGTTTATTTATTATTATTATTATTATTACCTATAAAGATCTTCTTTTTTTTTTATCATATTTATGTCATAAGGGTATTCTACCAAATTGACAAAATTAAAAATCGAATTGTATTTTTATCTTCTAAACCAAATCAAATTTTATACAGAATTGAACCGGATTTCCTTGATTTAATCGATTTAGTATAGTTTTTCAATCAATGCCTAAATTTAAAAATTGAATCAAATCGATTAATCTAAATAATCGAACCTAAAAATTGAACTAAATCGCTTCAATCAATTTTTCAGTTAAAACCGTTTTATACTCTCTCTAATATATATAAGTTAAGACTTGAAAGTGATTTTGTAATAGAACCCAAGAGGACGGTAGGTTTTGTGAAGTTTCCAGGAGTTTTCGCGTGTAAAATTCAAATAAATATTTAAGGTGAATGAATTTCATTTTTTTTTCTTTTTGTCATGATATGAATTTTGAAAATTAGATATTAACTAAGCAAATTAAAAAAAAAAAAAAAAGTCAAAGTCTAACTTGTTCAAAATTCTTTGAAAAATAAAGTCATGATTGAACAATTCTTGTATTGTACTTTATTTGAAAATGTTAAAAAATGTGTGAAAAGTCTATGTAAATATGAACAAAAACTATAACCTAACATGTGTTTCTCATTTAGAGGTTTTGAGCTCACAGATTTTTATCCTCTCACTCCATCATTGTCTTCAAGGTAAGAATCCATGGAGGGTTTTACCTTATTGAATCACACTTACATCTATTTCGAATAATTAATTCATACATCAAATTAATCATATAAGAAATGATATATTTTCATTAAAACAATCTTTTTTTGCAAATGATAATTAATTATTAATTAATGATATTTATTTATTTAATAATATCGGATTGATGTTAATAATTATGATGAAAAGAAAGTGGAAAGTAAACGGTTGGAAGTTTAAATCTTTTCTGCTATTACATAATATATTATTTTATTCCGCTGCATTTGATCTCTTAACAAATAAAAATAAATTGATTTTAAAAAAATCAATTTAATGGACGGAGAGAGGAATTAAGAATTTAAATATGGAGGGAAAAATTAGCGGGAAAATGTCACAATATATACATATTGATTAGATTTTAGAGGGAAAAAGGGTAATGTAGAACCCTAAGATTTAAGAATGGAACTGAGAAGGGGAGATATTGTATGGGCAAGAGTATTATACCCTATAAAATGGTGGCCTGGTCTGGTTTTGAGCACCGACAGCATAGGCGTCGCCGTTTCATTCTTCGATGACGGCAAGAACCCTCGTTATTTCCCAGAAAAAGAGGTGTGCTTCTTTCAAGAGAACTTCGATTCACTAGCTCAGACATTAGAAAACTGTGATAAAGGTAAAGAATTGTTGGATAAAGCCCTAAAATTGCTGGTACGAAGAGCCGTTTCGAGCTTAAAATGCACTTGCCATTTCCGGCTACCACAGCAAGGAGATACAATTTCGAGGTGGAGCAAGAGGAAGAGGAGGAGGAGAGGAAGAGGGGATTCGTTTCAGTCAAATGCCGTGTTGGGTTTTGTTCTTGGCGTGGCGGTTTCACCTTTTGTTGGAGTTTTGGATTCTGTCTTTGCACTCACCTCCATTGCCCAGCTTAATGTGTTTCGCAGTTGTCTAGTAAGCGAGCAAATTTTGTTCCTGCAGCAAGAGAAAGCGAGGCAACATCATAAGAGGAACTGTTCTATTTGTTTATCTCCATCGCTTAGTTCAGGTATGTTATAAAAGCGCCTCTTGTAATTGCCTTTCTTGTAATATCCAATCAACCATTGAAGTTCAAGATTTGTTTTACTGGGTTCATGTAATATGTTGGACCATATTCAGGCATTGTTTTTCCGTAGCAGCTTTTTTTTTTTTTTTTTTATTCGCTAGTTCAGGTATGTTATAAAAGCGCCTCTTGTAATTGCCTTTTTGTAAATCCAATCAAACCATTGAGTTCAAGATTTGTTTACTGGGTTTCATGTTAATATGGTTGGACCATATTCAGGCATTGTTTTTCCGTAGCAGTTTTTTTTTTTTTTTTTTGTGTAATCTTTGTATACTGCTGATAGATGTTACATCATTTGTTTTTGAGTTTCTCTTTTTGAATGTCTTTTCAGGTGCTCGAAAATCAGATGTTTCAGAGGTGGAATTTGATGAACCCTTGAATGAGGATCAAACTAATAAAGGATCATGGATTCGGATTGAGCAGATCCGGTCACAATCACTACATGGGCTGCTGGTAAACTTGCATAAACTTGCTTTAGATACAAATTATATAAGGGGAGAATGCTTGAACTCTGTGAAGCAAAATTTTTTGATGTTGAGAAATTGTATGTACCAAAATACCTTGAACCTCAGATTTAAAAAATGTTCTCCCAGAAGCACTGAAGCTCAGTTTTCTCATCCTCCATCATATAGTGAGCCAAGTGACAAGGTTGGTGAAAAATATTGCAAGGATGCTTCTAATCCCCGTAAACATAATATGTCAAGCAATGTTAACTTCCTTGGCTTAAGTAGGCGACATGATTGTCCTGTTGATTCAGGCTTTTCTTTTAAGATGGCCAAGACTTTGCCTCACTTGTCAATCAATGTAGATGCTTATCTTCGGAAAAGCAAACATGGATGCAATGGACATGTGCTGGATGCTTTGACCTCAGGGCCTGCTTTATCACATCTTTTTTTGAAGTTCTGCAACACCATACCCTTTTCCATTTTTAATGGCACAGTTGCTCATCTGCAAGTAGATAGAACCAGATGCGAAGCAAATATCTCTGACACTTTTTTCTCAGGGTCACAACTGGAGGTATTTATAATTGATGATGCAAGTTCAAGAACCGAAACCTGCCTGCCATCTCCTCATTCTAAGTGTCAGGTCCAGATGCAGCCTAGCAATGATTATAATGAAATGTATGTTAAAACCAACAAAAGTTTGAGCATTAGTACTGGTTTCAGGGACAGCTCTATGGCAAATAACAAGCTTTATCTGCCTGTTACTCCTGATGTATCATTCAAGCCACAATTAGCTCAGGAATCACTTGGTAACATTTCCAATTGTCGACGTTTACTCATGAAGTTCCCAAAGGATTTTAATCTTCCATCCAAGGAGGAGTTGTTAAGGGAATTTAGTCAATTTGGCAAAGTAAACTCATCTAGAACCAAAATCTTTACTCGGACGGGCTCTGCTCAGGTGGTTTTCATAAACCAGACTGATACCTTGGCTGCTTATCACCATGCAAAGAGGAAGAAAGGTTTATTTGGTGAAATAAATATGCTGCTTTGGTTTGACCCATACGAAAACAAGAGAAGAGGATCCAAGTTTGTAATTCACTCACCAAACCAAAAATCAAGTCCCAGAGCCAGAAACTACCCTCCGTCTACTCACACTACGAATCAGATGCAGATGCAGCCTAGCTGTGACGATCGTGAAGCATGTGTCGAGACCAACGAAAACTTGAGCATTAATGCAACTTTCAGAGGCAGCTCTATGGGTAATAAGGGGTTCCTTCAGCTTATTACTACTGATGTATCATTCAAGCCACAAGTATCTAAGCAATCGTCGATTGGTACCTTTTCCAATTGTCAACACTTGCGCATGAAGTTCCCCAAGGATTTTAATCTTCCATCCAAGAAGGATTTGATAGGAAAATTTAGAAGATTTGGCAAAATAGACTTATTTAGAACCAAAATCTTTACACATATGGGCTCTGCCCAGGTGGTTTTCTTACACCATCTTGATGCAGTTTGTGCTTATCAGTATGCAAAGAGAAAGAAAGATTTGTTTGGTGAGGCAAATATCCTATTTTGGCTTGACCGATGTGAAAAGAAGAGAAGAGGATCGAAGCTTGTAGTCCCGATGCCTAACCTAAAATCATGCCTTAAACACACAGATTACTTGGATTTGCATGGACAAAAGGATAAGAAGTGCCCCTTGCCAAAACCCAAGTCGTGCGTTAAAATATCAGACTTGCACATGCAAGAGGATAAGAAGAGCAAGAAGAGACCATGGTTTTCAATTGAAGCCCCACTCCCAGACCTAAAGTCATGCCTCAGAAAATCAGATTTGCATGGGCAAGAGGATAAGAAGTGCACCAAGAGAGTGAGGTTTTTGATGGAAACCTAGATTAGGTAATTTGTATTTTTGACTATCAGTTGCTCATATGCGAGTTTCGAAGGTTTTAAGAGCAACTGAAGTTGTAAGCTGTCGTCAAACTGCCTGTTGTATGTTTGGTCATATATATTTGTATTTCTCCTATTTTAATCTGAACATGGCACATCATCACAGGCTGCCACGTCAATACAAATAGGCCATGTCATTCAGCACGTCTGCAAATAGTGTCCATGTCATCGGAATCGGACAGGTCATTTAGAGCCATATCAGGCCACGCTGTTGTCTGCATCTTCGAAACTAAGCCATGTCACGTGAAGACATGTCAATGATGAACATGTCAGCAAATGATCCACATAATTAAGTATCAGGTCACCTCAAGCCACGTCAATGTAATCCACCACGTCATGACATTTCAGCCAATTGATCCCATGTCATCAGAAGTGAACTCGTCATTTAGGGACACATCTTCGAAGTGAGCCATGTCATCATACAAGTCAGCAAATGTGCTGCTGATGTCAGCCACATCATAGAAACCAAGCCGTCATATGACGCCACATCAACACAATATCTCAATGTCAGCAAAGCTCTCCACATCATCGCCGCATGTCATTTTAATCCCCACACGCTATTGAAGCCACATCAACATAGTCGACCACGTCATCATGCACATTAGCTGGTAGGCCACGTTGTTATAGCCACTTGTCCGATCATGCCATGTCACAAAGGCCTGCTCCTTATATTATATCCCACGTCAGCAAAATGCATTCTATCGCCTCATTCCCTAAGCCACGTCAGCTTCCTCGCTGCCACATCGTCAGGCGAAAGCACATAAACGGCAACTGGCAGTTGTCCGATACATAAGTGCATCCCCGCAGCTGTGTATCCGGCAGCCCTCATCGCCGTTTTCGTCTTTTCCGTCTCCAGATCAATCTCAGATCGGGAATATGGTTGAATTTGGAGCCAGTATCCGTTACTATCCTCTGCTTCATCGCCTAACAAATATCGAACGACGGATCAAGATAAACAGTCTTCTCCTCTGTTTCTACAGCATCTACAAATCCCGATTAATTTCCTGCTTATATATGATAATCGCCTTTCTTCGATAACTGGGAATAAAGCGTGAGTTTCAGTTTCTTGTTTATTTTTCTTGAGCCTGACCCTTTCGTTTACTTTGGGCCCAGCCTATTTTCTCAAATCAATATTAAAACTATATACTACTATTATTTAACAGAAAATAACCATCTTGGCCGTCCAAATTAGAGGGAAAGAAAGCACCTGACTTCTCTGGAATGTTCGAGCTTGTGTACAATGCCAATATAAGGCACGATGATCATCAGACCATTTTCCATATTCATCACCCAAAAGCCTCCAATCCTCTCCCTTTTCAATTTTCACTCACTCTTCCTCCTTCCAGAGAATGAGGTAAGCCTTTCTCATGTTTCCCTTTCCTTTTTCTTTGTACTCGTTTTAATTAAGTACTTCTTTTACTCTATGTTGTCAGTGTGTTGAGATTGGGATATTATGCCTATTAAAGGGAATGTTCGAGCTTGTGTACAATGCCAATATAAGGCACGATGATCATCAGACCATTTTCCATATTCATCACCCAAAAGCCTCCAATCCTCTCCCTTTTCAATTTTCACTCACTCTTCCTCCTTCCAGAGAATGAGGTAAGCCTTTCTCATGTTTCCCTTTCCTTTTTCTTTGTACTCGTTTTAATTAAGTACTTCTTTTACTCTATGTTGTCAGTGTGTTGAGATTGGGATATTATGCCTATTAAAGGTTGATAGTGAGTGAATCGTTGTATTGTATTTCTTGCTTAATTTATACTGTATGTTTGGTCTCATTTTAGTTTCACTATGGAAAGTAGATTTTGCTTGTTGGACTATATATAGCTATGAGTGAGAAAATTTTGGATGTGGGTATAATTTTAGGGGGTCATTTCCATATAAAAGTTATACAAATATGTGCCTGTTGCAGCCGCCACCCAATTGTGAAGTGGGCACAGAGAAGTGACAAAGTTTACATCACTGTTGAGTTGCCTGATGCGAAGGATGTAAAGCTCAAGCTTGATCCTGAAGGGAGATTCATCTTTTCTGCTACTAAAGATGATGTCCCTTATGAAGTTGACATTGAATTGTTTGACAAGATCAATGTAGAGGTAGATAACATTGACCTCTTGGATATGAAATAGAATTTGGTGTAATGTCTATAGGAAATAAACAAAAAGTGGGAATTTTTTTGGTTGCAGGAGAGCAAGTACAACATTGGTGTGCGAAGTATTGCCTATGTTATAAAAAAAGCAGAAAAAAAATGGTGGAACAGGTTGATGAAGCAAGAAGGAAAACCTCCTGTGTTCCTCAAAGTTGACTGGGATAAATGGGTTGATGAAGATGACGAGAATGGTACATAATGTTGCTGTGCTGTGTGTTTTATTTTGGTGTTATTGTCACTTTGCGTCTTCGACTGATTAAGTGCTTTTCCTTGTGTAATTCCAACAGATGGAGGTCGCTTGGATTTTGATGACATGGATTTCTCAGTAAGTATAAAGCCTCAGTAGTTAGATTTTCTGATCTATTAGTTTCTTTTTGCCTTTGGAACATCAACAAAATTTGCTGTTATATAGTGTGATCTGTTTGTTGTGACTTGGTTTTTCTGTTGACAAATCCTAAGTTACTTTTTACTGTAGACTGTTACGCACGCTAATCAATCAAATAATTGTGCCTCTTTCTCTGCTGTCTAACATCAACTTGTTTAGGTGTTCTGGAAACAGTACTTCTACAAAGCTTTCCATATTTAACCGAACCTTGGCTCTTATTTCTGATAGCACTAAAATTTCCATAGTATTTCAGCTGACAGGCTATGATATGTCGATATTATTGGTAATAGGCGAACTTTTTTCTTTTTTTTTATGTACGAGTCAAGAGTTGCTTACCTGCTAGGAGTTCTTTTCGCTTGATCATTTAAAAGGAAAATGGGTTTGTTCAAGAACTGCTTATATCTGCTGGATAAGTGGTAGTTGAATAGATTAATATATTACAAAGGACTGAGGTTTGAAAATTTTCAAATGGAAAAGCAAGTCCTCAAGTCTAAACTTTTTGGAGTAGTGATAAACCTTTCCTGACCAAGAAATATTGGATTGTCATTCTTTGCTGATTGAGATTAATAATACCCTGCAGAAGTTAAACATGGGTGGGGACAATTTTGATATCGACGAGTTGAAGGATGAAGAAGGTCAGAAATTTTCTGTGAAATAGTTGTCTGTCTTGAGAAATTTATTTGCAGTTCTTGTCTTCGTCAGTATGACATTCTCGTCTGCACATTCCATGCCGAATGAACATTCCATATCAGTCATTTTTAAATTTTTCTTATGCCTGAACAAGCATGAAATGCTGCTGCATTGAATCCATGGCGTAGCTGATGTGGCTTTGATTTTCTCAGAAGGAGCAGACACCGAAGAAGCATCAGAAGGGAAAGAAGCAGAAACAGAAACTAGTACATCGGCTGCTGAGAAGGCTAAGGCTTGATTGTCTTGGAAAGCAACAAGTCTAGTTTCGATCTTGTTATAATTTTGACTAGGTGTCATCCTTGATCTGTGATTTTGCTTAAGGACCACAAAGTAAAAAGCCTGTAGTGGGAAACTAGCTGTCTACTTGCGCTTCATGTATGAATTTTTCTACTGGATAAAAATCCCTACATGTTCATCAAGTAACCCCTTTTTAGTTTACACAAAGTATCTCCTGAAAAATGAAAAAAGGCAGTAACATAAACAGGCATTAACCATTGTGGCAATTCTGGAAATAACATTTGATAGTCTAATGCAAACTGCTTTGTAAAAAACTCCAAAATTTTTATAATAATGTTCGGGAAAAAGCACACTCGAATTTGACAAGATGTCATCTCCGAAGGGATTGAAAAAAATAATCATAGGGGAGAAGAAAAGAAGGCACTGATTGGCTGGTTACAGATCGGATCATACAGAAGATTAAACATTCCATGGCATGTCCAAAGACACTGCCTTAGCTACAATATGAATACAGTACAAGATACTTTCAGTTACAAGCACAAGTACAAGCAGTAACGCTAATCTATTATCTGTCATTGTATTGCCGTAAACTACAAGCCCTAGTACACTAAATTGTGGTCCTGCACAAAATTAAAAGGCAGAGGACCTCTGTTCGAGGTTGCAAGTTGAAGCTGCCGTTGGACGACAATCTACGCTAGCTTGGCTGAGCACAGTGAGAAGAAAAAAACCAAAAGTTGTGCCAATTTAACGGAGTAATAAACACTTCATTAGCAAGTAAACGCTAGAAACTGACATAGCATCTGCACCAGCTGGGAATTGCTGCCAAATTAGAAGAAACAAGTTGTGTGAGACCATGCAACAAGAAAATTCTAAATCTAACTGATGCAGGGTTTTGTTTCATTTTAAAACATCTCAGCTGGAAATGTATAATGCGTGCTTATAGTCTGTGTCAGCAGGGAAAATGATCTAGCAGTTTGTGCTTCCCTATGCAGGAACCAACCATAATAATATACAGACACAATTGAAAACTCAGCAGCTTAGGGGAGAATATAAAGTCTTTAAGAAGGTTTATTCTATTAATCAAGGAGCCAAATATAACCACAACTTGATTAATGTAACAGGTTGAAAGAAGTTTCAGCCAATAGAATAGTTATCGAAATAATGTAAACTAGAAAATGAAGGGCAAAACAAAAGCAAACTTAGGCGTCCATTCTCAAGGGAGAGTACAAACAAAGCAGCAATGACAATCAATGCTCAAAGAAAAATAGTCATTTCATGAATTGCGCAGCATCACAAGCTCATTCAAAATTTAGCATAAATTGCTTCTCACATGGTAGCAAAATATTCACACTTTTTTAGCCTATTTCATAAACTGTATTTAAGAGAGGGAGAAAAGAAAAGATAGCTGACAGAGACCACAGATAATTAAGTTCATTATCTTCACGTGTCAAATTTCCAGGAGGCAGGCCCATATAACCAAGAATTACCACCAAAGATATGTGTAATCCACATTGAGGGCCTAAATTCAAGAGAATTAGTTGGAATATAGTCCCAAGTTATGAATGGAAGTTCAACAGAAGCTTTACTGCTCGCAAACTGCTTATATGGATCACCATGTAATAGTACACATGCAGACGAAGTCAAACAAGGAATATTTAACTTTTACTAAGGTCAAAGGCTATATCTTGTTTTTCTGCTCTTATAATATTCATGTGACAACTTCATAGCCAATTAGGGTCCAATTGAACCCATGTAAAAATGGGAACATGTTAGAGTCAATTGAATAGTAAAACAAATAGTTGATTATTTCAAATATTGAGGTATTAAAAATGTGCCATCAAATATATTTCAGATGCTGCAAGATTAATATAAGCACTAGTAGAATGCTCGTGGCACAGCAAAACCAGTAAATGCTATAATAAAAAGCCTGCAAATTACCCCAAAAAACGCTTCCGCAAAGCCTCATAGATCCCCAGTCACCTGTTAAGATTTGACAAATGTTTAAAAAAAATAGACACAACAAGAAGACTGTACAACAGTTGTTCCTAAAAGAGAAGCAGATGCTCCTTTATAAAAATTCTACTACATGGATCTTCATTTAGTCAGAATGTCAGACTCAAAGAAACTCTGCCATTAAGGAGTTGGGGGGTCAAAAAAGAAGAAGAGATAGAGTGAGGAAGAGGCATTAACATAATAGCCAAATTATGTTCATGGAGAAAAAGGCATCCTAACTTATAACTGTTAATACTTCATTGACAACAAGAGGCCACACCAACCATTGTAAAACATAAATAGATGAAACATTACTAGCATCTTAATTTAGAATTAACTCTAAATTTTTGTAGATTAGAATGCTTAAGTAAATGCCACACCAAACATGATAAGACATAAACACATCCAACATTGCTGCAGCATATAAATTTGGTATAAAATCTAAACTTCTGTAGTTCAGAATCTTCAAGTAAAATACTCTTTCACTATCCGCACAATACCAAGCACAGACAGTTGGCAGCCGCACAACATAGGTGGGTTGGTGATATGTGCATGTGCTATGTGTGTGTGTGTGTGCGCGCGCGCGCGCATGCGTGCATAAGTAGCCATGCATTATGAAGAGAAGAACAAACCACACGAGATCATAAGCATCCAAAGTCAAGCAGCTAATATTTATATCACCACCAACATTCACTTAAACATAAACTAGATTCAAGACCTTGTCAGCTGTGACCCTGCTTGCAGCCACCATGCTAGTTCATAGACAACCTTCAACCAAAATAACCCCGGCATCTTGGTGATCCACATAAGCATTTCTTTTTTCCATGCGGTGTACCACTACCATCAGCCTCATCCGAGCGTGAAGTCCCATAGTCATAGGTCAATTCTGTCATAGGGGGAATGTGTCTTAATGCAAAAAAGGCAATGTGAACATAGGACTCACTGTTGTGTTCATATGCCACTGGCTGCCAGAAAACATTTGGACTACAACTATGATTCATAAATCGAGCTACATTTCCAACATTCTTGGCACTTATGATTAGAGGAGAAGGGATGTTGTATTCCTCAGTAGTGTCATTACCGTCCTCCTCTATGAGTCCTGGTTCACAATTCCATTTGAATGGCTCATAAACACGGGTTGTATCAAACACGTAATCATCATCTTCACCTTCTCCATCCTGCCTTGACTTAACTTTTTCTATAACTTCACCTGCATATTCACAAATAAAAGTACCAGAACGAATAGGATCCCATGACCGCAGGCCCCAACCTTTGTCTTTTGTTTTAAACACTTCCAAGCGAATCTTTAAACCAGTTTGCGACACTCGGTTCTTACAGTTGGGAATGCATGGACATGTGGGACCACATTCATGGATCAATGGCCTCCTGTTAACTAGGACCCCATTGGCAGTATATGGGAAGTCGCCACCATTTTTCCTAATGCAAGAGCAGTTTAGATCACCTGGAGAGCATGCACTACGGCAGTTGCATCCATAAGATGGCTCTGTCAATTTAAATGATTTAATATACTTGACAGTAGAGAAATAGGTGAAGTAAGCAGGTCCCTTCTCTTCATCCACATCATTTACAAGCGAAACAGGTATACTTTCACTCCCTGAAGTGAGGTCCGGAAGAATTAGTCCAACCCTTGTAGAGAACCCTTCTCTCCACTGCTGAATTGATTTCCAAACAGCAAAAGCACCTGGCTGCCCAGGCACTCTAACCAACTTATACTTGAATATATTGCAACCAGACTTCCCCTTGTCAACCCACGACTCCTGGATCCTATAAAGCCCATCATACACATAGACTTTTGCTGTTGGACTAATTACATCCCTCATTCCCCGAATGACTCTCACTTCATTGGCACGGTGCAAGCTCCTCTCCAATGCAAGGTTACCCCTCTCAAGCTTCTGATCCGCTGCTTGCTTATCCTTTTTGTTGCTATTGACATTACCACCCTGCCCACTATAAATTAACACATCCTTATCCTCTGCCTCATCATCATACCCACCAGATGAAACAATACTTACTGCCAGTGGATCTTCTTCAATATCACCTCTTATAACCATGTAATCAATTCCGGCCATGGACTGGGAATGCAACCCGACCAAACACATCTCCATTCGAAAAAAGAAAATATCTCCAACCTCGACCCCAGGAACCACTCCAACTCTCTTCCTCATATTCGTCCTGACCCCTTTGCTCATCAAAATATTCCCCGCTTTCAAGTCTGCACGCCTAATTAGCCCAGACGGAGATTCCTTAGAATCCTCTAACTGGCTAAGCCTTCTTCTAAGGGCATCAAACCTCATTAGAACATTATTAACCACTTCCCTATCACCATCCTCTTTTTGAGCGGAAGTAACGCCCACAACAAAATTAGTATCAACAACAGACAATGTAAAGTCCAGGTCTTTCTTGGCCCTCTTTTGAGAGGAGGAGGAGGAGGCCCTTGGCCGCCCCACAGAACGCTTTGGCGGCCCATCATCTGTATTAACATCTCTCGATATCTGCCCATTTGATTGTGGCGGCCGAAAAGAGCGAAGGGGTGCTGGAGTGTGGGTCTGTTGATTGAGGTCAGGAGGGGCAGGTTGGGGTCCACTAAAAGGGTAAAATGGGGAAAACTCAGATGGAAACGGACCAGAAGGAGGTGCACAAACAAATGGTGGAGTATGGGGGCTTGATGGAAACACAGGTACCAAACTACGCAAAGGTTTAACATCCAAAACTCTGGATTTATCAAACGTAGGAGAAGGAGGTACAGAATTATTGCCAGACCCTCCTTCCATTTCAATTATTCAACACCAAACAGAAAAAATATATATAGAAATCAACCCTCCAAAACCCAAAATGAAACCTACTTAAAATTTACCCTAATCATAACTTCATTTCATATGTAGCCAGAAAGCTAAAAAAAACCATTTCTTTTTCCCTGCAACAAGAACAAATTGAGAATAAGGTGTTTGCATGTCCTTTAAAAGCAAAAGCTAGTGAAAATTAGAAGAGAAAATTGAAGATCTATAAAATCCCAGAACAAAGTACAAAACCAAGTAACAGATCAAAACAAAACCTCCATAAATAATTAAGAAAAGGACAGAAAGACCTCAAATTTACCTACATCATAGATTGGTTGACCGTTAGGGCTTTGCAAGAACACAGACAGAGTAAATAAAGAGAGATTTATTTTTTTGGGTATGAGAAGTTTGTGTTGTGAGAGTGAGGTGTTGGGTGTGAATTTCGAAGAATCCTTTAAACTCTGTGCGTGCTCTCTGCCCGATGTGTCATAGACTCATAGCTCTTTTCAGTAATGTTATACGCCGCTCTTCGATTCAATTTTTGCTTGTCTGATTCCTCCTTTCTTTTTTTTTTTTTTTAAATAACTCCTCATTTGTCATTATTATTATTATTACTTGTAGATAACTAAAAAAAACCAACATAATATATGTATTTTTTTTAGTTAAATTAGTCATCTTTTAAAAAAAATTATTAATATTTTAATTTATAAATGAGGATATTAGAGACTATGTTCATTTTATTTTTATTCAATTAATATATCTTTTTTAATAATTGTGATAAATTAAGTTAGTTTTGATTACATATTAACTAAACATTTTTGTTACCAAAAAAAACTAAACATTTAAATTATTTAAAATAATTTTACTAAACATTTAAGTATTCATTTTTAAATTGATTTATAACTTTAAAATATATTTTAAAATAAAAATTAAGAGTAATTAACTAAATTATTTACTTTTTATATAAAAAGTTATAAATCATTGCCTTATAAGTTGAAAAATATTTTGGTTAAATTTACTAAATAGAAAACTTTATTACCTCAATAAATTTTTAATTATATCATTACTCTCGTTTTTTAACAAATCATTGCTCTTTTTATTTAATTAATTATCCTTTTTCGTACTTGCAACAAATGAAGTTAAAATTTTTCAATTTTGTAGGGATATTCACCTCGGGTTTAAATTGGACTATTTACTTAAATTTTTCCTGACTTTTATTATTAATAAAATAATTTATTTTCCTTTATAAGCATGGCACCAAGCAAGAAGGATTAGGTTTAATCCAATGGATTAAAACACGTGATAAAAACAAAAAATATATTCCCAACAAAGAAATTTCATTTTATTTAAATAATATTTATGAGCAGAATATTATGAACTATATAGACATCCCTTCTATTTAATAATATTTACTAAATTAATGATAATTTTTTGGTTTAAAAAACTCAAACCCGATAACTTTCTCTTTATGTTTAAAATATAAAAAAAAAACATTAAATCATATCCGATAAGTGATATAAATATAATTTTAATAAAATGCATGCAATGAATAGTCAAGTCAATGATTAATTACAATCTTACAAAAACTATTACAATTTATTATAATTATGTCTTTTTTTTTTTTTTGGCTTGGATATAAATGAATTCCTACACTAAGTGCACTTAAGTATTTCTCTTGGTAGAAAAGAATTAAGAGAATTGATGAAAATAAATAAGTCTATATGACATATAGCTTAGCATACATATATAAATATATAATAGACTATGATAAATATACCAACAGTAAATTTGTAATTTAACAAAATACCAAACTGTAAATAATTAAAATATCGTTATCAGGTCGAACGTATAAATTCAAAGATTCAGTAATGATTGATCAATTATTAATACCCGAATTAAGTGCTGGATGACAAATATATGATAGTCTATAATAAATATACCAACGGTATATTTGTCATTTAACAAAAACCAAACCATAAATAAACTAAAAAACCATTAGCAATATAAATAGATAGATGAATTAAAAAACCGTTAGCAGATATAAAATAGAAGGTTGAGCGTATAAATCCAAAAGATTCAATAATGATTGGTCAATCATCAATATTCAAATTAACCGTTTGACAATAAAATTCATGCTCCTTACTTGAACATTACTCGAACCGAATTCGATAAATATTTAAATCGGTAAAAGGTAAAATTCAAATTATTTGATAAATAAAGATTCATCAGTAAAAAATCAGTAAAAGGTAAATTCGATAAATATTTAAATCGGTCAATAAATGGTACTATACCGGTAAGTCGATAAATACAAATTCAAATATATAGTTATCGTTTAACCGAACCCATCGAATAACCCAAAGATTCAATAATGATGGGTGAATCATTAATACCCGAGTTAACGGCTTGGTAATAAAATTCGTGTTAGTTACTCAACATTAACTTGGCCAACAATTATATTTCCAAGCTATAAAAACTTCTCCACTTTCTCTGAATAAACAACTTAAGTTTTATCTATTCATATGTCAATTTACTAGTTCTTCTTATCATCCTTTTCAATTATCCTTTGTTTTATTCCTGTAACTATCAATATCAATGGAGGACGAGAAACATCTCACATTCATACACTCATACATCAACAGTCTTATTCCTGTTTTTTTGTTTTGTCGAACTTTGGAATTATTTATGATATAAAAATTCTTGTCGGGACAACCTATATCAGAACAAAGTATTAGGGGATACAACATTAACTGCAAAAACTACACGAACTCTGTGATGCCCATCAGACCAGATTACATTACCAAAATTATATCCCTTTGAAGCTTTCTTGCCATTAAACAAGACTCTAAATGAAGCCCTTCTCTTCCCCTCATCAAAAGTGAGTTTTTCTGGATAAACCTTGACCTGTAATCCTTTTGGAGCATAAACTGTAGAATAATATGAGGAATTTGCAGGCCCCAAGTTGGTCACTCTCCTTGTAATGGTGTGGGCTGGTTTGTTCTGATCAAGCTTGCCTATGGAGATTGATGGATAGTTAATACTACTTGAAATCAGCTCTTCATTGGAATTCTCTGGGCAGTTGATTTTTGTCTTTGACATGGCCCTTACTTTTTCCTTTGGATATCCATAGTAGCAAAGGAAATGGAGATAATCTTTTACTTCTGTTTCGAATACTAAGCCTGGATCAAGAGCTCTAACTGGACTTATTTCTCCAACTCCCATTTCATGTGGGTTTGCACGGTAATCTGAGTCGTTTGTCAATGGTTTCCCATTGTTATTAAAAATGATTGCTGCAAAACAAGTCATGGAGAAGAGAATTTTGTTAGCCAATTATATTTTCCATATCAGCATCCTCTCTTTTTGTTTGGCAGATAAATCTGTTTATTGGTTATCATTCACCTGTTGTCATTAGAGCTGATCTGATAATCGAAGAACTCCAAGTCGGATGCACTGACTTTATTAATGCAGCAGCTCCTGATACATGGGGGCAAGCCTGTGAAGTTCCGGATTTAATCCCAAATTTTAATGGCTTCTTTCCATTAAGAATATCTGGACCATCTACTTCATTATCCGTTGGAATTACTGCTGCTAAAATTTCTTGTCCTGGAGCCATTATATCAGGCTGAACAATATACTGATATCAAATTCTGCATTATGTATTTATATATAATTTTCTGAGAAAATAAAATATTACTATAAGTACATATCTTTGGATATGCTGATTATCTCCTAAACAGGACCTTGAGGATATTTTCTGTAAGATTTCCAGGGCCTCTTGATGAGAAATATGCAACAACTGGGGATGGTCTAACACCTAAGACATCAACTGATGGAAGAATAGTCGCCTTCGGTTTCCTGTTTGAAATGTATATAGAGAGTGAATCGGATATGAATGTACAAAAAATAAAGTGTGTACCAAAAGCAGATTCAAATAATTCTATTTACTTGGTGGACTTAATGTAGTTCAAGATCATATGCTCTGCATTCTTCCTAACTTCAGTAAAAGGAAAAGAACCTGTACTTGTATGAGGAACTTCCAGGATTTCAGCAACTAAAATTAATCCTTTGGCTTCGGCAAGTTCTGTCCGAATAGTTGGGTCGCTAGTAATGCATACAATTATCTTTCCTGAAGCCTTTTCAGGATCTAACGATCCTGGAATGCATTGCCTGTATTTGGGAACAGGAAAAGATTAATATTTAACAATAGTTGCAACAAATTAAGAACCAAAATAAATAATAATGCTACAAAAATATGAACCTTGCATCTGATACAAGAGTGTTATTAATAGCAACATCCTCCCCAAGTACCAGTGGATACATCTTTGACCTACTGAGATTCGAAAAATTGATTGCAGATCCCTACACCGTTAATTGAAAGAGCTTTAAGTCATAATATTCTGCAGAGAAAAAGAAGTAGTAAAACTCTGTTATTCAAACTTTTTACCTTAATAGTTCTTCCATTGCCAAGCACTACAGTGGATTGAAAATCCCTGTCAATGCTAGAAGCTGCAACTGAAAGAATCCATGGAGCTGTGTTTGAAACTGTAAACGCATCTGGTCCCTGGTTTCCTGCAGAAGAAATAACCATGACTCCCCTTTCTTCAGCATGGAATGCTCCGATTGCAACAGGATCTTCTAAAAATTTTGGCTGAGTAGGTGAAGTAAGTCCAAGTGAAACTGATATTATGTCAACCCCATCCTTAATAGCATCATCAATTGCCTTTAGTACAGTAGAACCTGAACAATTGCGTCCTTTGCATACATTATAGCTTGCAATCCTAGCAGCGGGAGCCCCACCTCTAGCTGTACCTCTTGCTAAACCATAAAAACTAGCATTTGCAACAGGTGCACCAGCTGCAATAGATGCACAGTGAGTTCCATGGCCCAGAGCATCCCTCGGAGACCCACCGGAAATGTAATATCTTGCACCAATCAATTTCCTTCAATGTTTCAGGAAAAATAAAGAAATCAGATTGGCAAAAATCCATAATTAACATTTCAGGATAATTTGATAGGTTAATTAAGAATCACCTGTTACAATTAGACTTGTTGAAATCAGATCCTTCCTCACAAACTCCTTTCCATCTTGAAGGTATTTGTCCAATGTGATCATCTTTAAAACTTGGAGACTCAGGCCATATGCCTAAAATAGATGAACAATATATGTCAAATCTGCAAAGTAATCTATCATTTCCATTTTCCAGCTTCGGAAGCCAGATACTTGATACCAGGCTGTTGAGATAGCAAATCAAGAACCAATATTTGTTCAATAAAGAAAAATATTAATAGGTACCTGTATCTATTACTCCAATTATAACATCATTTGACAGGTGATGGTGATGGTGTTGGTGACCAAGCTTTGATCCAATGCCAGATAGAGAATACAAGAAATCCCACGATCGAGTTGTATGGAGTTGAAGCTTAGGATCAGGAAAGACAGATAGGACCTCAACATGGTCTGCTTTACAAATGTGAAAATGGTAAATCATATAACTAGGGAAGTAGACAGTTTGCGGCTTTAAGCCATTAAAATTACCAGATAACAAGGAAGCTTCATCTTCTGTAAGCATTGCACAGAATCCCCTAAAAGCATGGTGGTAAGAGTGAATTAAAGATATTCTTTCACTCTCTTGGCTGCAAAATATTATTCTCATTATTATAGAAATAAGGAATCCTAATCCTAAGCATCTAATAAGTATAGAACAATAACAAAAACAGAAGAACAAGAAATTTAGAAAAAGAAAAAAAAAAAAAACTAATTAATTAGCAAGAACAAACCTGGGTATAATGGAGGACAATATTTGCAAATGGGCAGACTCTGCAATTGTAGCATCTATTCTTGCATTATGATCAAAGTTCCATGAACTTCCCATATAAACTATGTAAGGCTGCAGACAAAAAAAAAAAAAAAAAAAAAAATTAATTAGCAAGAACAGAGCTTAGATACCTGGGTAATCAATTTGGAGGACAGATATTTTTGCAATGGGCAGGACTCTGCAATTATGGTAGCATCTATTCTCGCATTTAGTGATCAAAAAGTTCCATTGTAACTTCTCCATATAAAACTATGATAAAGGCTTGCAAGAACAAAAGAAAAAAAAAAAACAAAATTGAGCAAGGTGAGAAAAATTAAGAACTTCAAGAAAATAAGTATTTAATACATATCTATAGGAAAATTTGAATGCACTGTACCTGGTGGTTTGAATTAAAAAAAAAAAAAAAAAAAAAAAAATTGAGCAGTGAGAATTAAAACTTCAAGAAAATAAGTATTATACATATATATAGAAAATTTGATGCACTTACCTTGGTGGTTTGAATTGATATTGTGGAAGAGATGATGGGAAATGGTAGAAATGAAAGCAGAAGCAGCAGCAGAAGAGAAGCCATGGAAAGCAGCTTCTACAAGTACTGGATTGATTACTGCAATGGATTACTCTGCTGGCACCATTTTATAAGCATAGGCATCAATGCCCATAATTTTCATATTAGCCCAAAAAAAATAAAATATTAATCGAAGATAACTAGTTTAGAATTAAGAATTAATTATTATTGTACGGTATTCAATAAAAAATTTGATGATCATACTACTTTATTATTTTTGCGTAATTTATTTTTATTTGTTTATTTCTAAAAGGAAGTTTCACGTGAAACATGTATTGTTCTCTTTCTTTTTCGAGTCAATAGACCAGGAAAGTGCACAAACAAAAAAGAGATGTATGGCACAATATTATTGAAAAATTATCAGATATATCTTAATTAAGCTATGATTAATATACCAAGCCTGGCTTGCTTATCTTGTCAAAGGTGAAATGAATTAATTTTTTCATTTACTATAATTAATCTTAATACAAAATCCTGCCATTTATGTTTCTTTGTCATTAATATCTTACGAAATAAAGTAATTTGTCTCCTTAGAATTACGCATATAAAGAAAGGAAAAGAAAAAGAAAACAAAGCAAAAGATGGAAGAATAAAGTAGACAGTATATAAATAAACAGCAAAATATTGTTCTATTCCTGTCAGTGAAAGAAAGATTATAATAACACCAATCATTCTATCTTTACCTTCAGAAAAAGCAATCTCACTTCTTGGATGCTTCATTACTTTAACAATGAAGTTCAAGAAAAGAAGGGGGAAAAAAAAGAAGAAAAAGAAAAAGAAAAAGAAATTCTCTCTCTCCCTCCCTCTCTCTCGCTCCAATTTGTATATTTCTTCAATTGTCATTTCTTTTTCTCATATTATTCAACATTTACAGTAAAAACTATACGCACAGAATGTCTACCATCAAGCCAAGTAACAGATCCGAAATTGTAGCCATTAGAAGCCATCTGCCCATCAAAGGAGACCTTGAAAGACAATCTTGATAACCCTTCTTTGAAAACAAGCTTCTTTGGTAAAACCTTAACCAATAATCCTTGAGGAGCTTCCACTTTAGCTATGTATGTGGCATTTGGAGTTCCAACATTAATTACACTTCTTTTGATGGTAATTTGTGCAGCTTGGTGTCTATCAAGCTTGCTAATGGAGATTGATGGGTAATTAATGTTGGAAATGAGTTTGTCAAAACTAATTCTTGGACAATTGAATTTTGTGTTCGCCATTAATCTTATGTTCTTTTCTGAGTAGCCATAATAACAAAGAAATTGAAGGTAGTCCTCCATTGTCGTTTCAAAAATTAGTCCAGGATGAAGAGCTTTGAGTGGATTTATTTCTCCAACTCCCATCTCATGTGGATTTGAATATGAATGTGAGCTGTTTGTTATGGGTTTCCCCATGTTGTTATAAATGGTAGCTGCATAAGGAAATACAAGAATTTAAACAAAGCTTTTTGCTTCATGAAATTATGAAAAACAACTATTAATTAAGATTAATTGTAAACCTGTTGTCATAAGTGCAGATTTGATCATGGAAGGAGTCCATCCGCGGTGCACGGATTTAATAAACGCAGCAGCACCAGTTACATGAGGGCAAGCCATTGAAGTTCCAGATCTTATTGCATATCCTGATGGCTTTTTCCCAATAGGAACACTTCCTGACTCATTCTTAGGAATCATGGCAGCTAAAATGGCAACTCCGGGAGCCATTATATCTGGCTGAATAGCTAATTAGTGTTAATGATTAGCCATTAGATTCATTTTGTCAGAAATAAAGTCTAAAAGCATAGAACTTCATAGTTCTCCATATGTATCCTATCAAATGTGTGTATAGGCAGAGAATAACCTTAAGAATGTTTTCCGTAAGCTGTCCAGGTCCCCTGGAAGAGAAATATGCAACAACTGGTGCTGGTTTATACCTAGGAACATCAACTGCTGGGAGGATTGTTGCAGTCGGATTTCTGTCAAACAGAAAGATAACCGTAAATAACTTAAAAGGACTATTTAGTAGAAAGTTTAACAGTAAATACTTACTTGGTGGAATTGATGTATTTAAGAAGCTGAGAGGCTGCAAAACTGCCAAGTTCTGAAAATGGAAAAACACCAGAATCAAAGGGTACACCTTTCTCATCTTCATGGATCAAAAGCATCCCTTTGGCTCCAGCATCTTCTACAACTAATTTCTTTATTTGCCTTGGAACACTAAATTCACTATCTGTGCAAACCAGAATCTTGCCAGCAACTTTCTCTCTATCTAGTGATCCTGGATCACAATTACTGCATTTTTGGATAAAAAGGTCTTACGAAAGAAGATCAAGGCAAAATGTTTTCTTTCTTTTTGTTAATGCATAATAGTAAAACAAGTAAGGAAAGACAAATTACCTTGCTTCTGATACAGGTGTAAACTTAGCGGCAGCTTCCTCTCCAAATGCAAGAGGATAAGTCCTTGAGCGAGTGAGATTTGAGAAATTAATGGCAGATCCCTATAACAAATAAGAATTAGATATGGCATTTTTACTATGAAATGTGTCAGAAAACTTTAAATTCACCAAAAAAAAAAAAAGGAATCAAAAGAATATCTTACTTGAAAAGTCTTTCCATTTCCAAGAAGAACAGTAGACTGAAAATCTCTATCAATATTAGAAGCAGCAACAGTAAAAATCCAAGGAGCTGAGTTAACAATAGTGAAAGGGTCAGGTCCATCATTTCCAGCAGAGCAAATTACCATAACACCCATTTGTTGTGCATGAAATGCACCAATTGCAATAGGGTCATTAAGGTAATCAGATTGAAAAATTGAGCTCATCCCAATAGAAATTGAAATGATATCAACTCCATCTTTAATAGCATCCTCCATTGCCTTCAAGATTATGGAGCCAGAGCAACCATCTAAACTGCAGGCTTTGTAGATGGCTAACCTAGTTGAAGGAGAGCCACCCCTGGCTGTGCCTGCGGCTAGACCATAGTAACTAACATTAGCAACTTCTGAACCACCTGCTATAGATGTGGTGTGGGTGCCATGACCAATATAGTCCCTCGGTGACCCACTCGGCTTGGGTACATGGGTCTTATTATTCTTGTATGTCCTTTGATATGTGTCATAGTATCTTGCTCCTATCAGCTTCCTACAAAATAATTAGATAATATATTTGAATATTTTTTTAAAAAAAAAATTAAAATTATAACATGTGATACCATCAATACTGTATTCATAGATGATCTCTATGAATAACAACCGGTTCTGATTATTGAAATAGGAAAAAGAAAAAAAAAAACTCATAATTACCTATTACAATTAGATTTCTTGAAATCATGTCCTTCCATGCAAATTCCTTTCCATCTTGAAGGGATTTCTCCAATTCCCTTGTCATCGAAACTTGGAGACTCGGGCCATATTCCTAAAAAAAAGATTATTTTAGAATCAACAATGAGAAATGAAACGAAAGATCTAGAATTTGAATTTTCTCGATTTTTACCGATTTAATTAATAAAAAGGTCTTTCATGTTATGTCATTTTAGAATCTCTCAACGAAATCATGAAAATGATACAAAGGGCTTATGCACATGGATTCTGGAAAGGTGGCCTACAGTTTCATGTGGCTGTCTTTGTTGCCTCTTGGCCTTCTATTAACAAATTAGCAGCTGCTGTTGGGTCTATTATATTAGTGGAGGAGTAGGACCCTTATAAGCCTCCTACCAACTCTTTCTTTCTCGACAAAACTCAATACGATACAAACAACTCTTACCTCTTCTTCCTTTGCTTGGAGAAAAATAATCTTATCATTAAAAATTAAATGTAATTAATATTTCATAAAAATTGAGAATTTTTTATTTTCAATAAAGATTATTGTAAAAATTTAATTATTGAGAGAAGGAATATGGAAATTATAATAATAATAATAATAATAATAATTACCTGTGTCTATCATCCCAATAATTACATCACTTGATAAATGGGAATACTGATGGCTGATTTGCATGCCTGATTTTGCCTCCAAGAAATCCCAAGAACGTGTTGTATGGAGTTTAAGAATTGGATCTTTAAATACTGATATCACTTCCTCATTTTCTGCAACAAGTTAGCAATTCAAAAATAAAAACAAATATTTGAAAAGAGATTTTTTTTTTTTCAGTTTTTTAACCATTTCGTACTGAAAATTTAATTGTATTTATGGATTCGAACTCGAGATTTTGTTTTTTTTATGATAAGCTGTCCTTTTCAATGAAACTGTGGGGTTTTTTATTTTATTTATTAAGTTAAAGCCAGCAAACATCATCCATCAAGCCCAGTCTGTAATGAAAGGTGTTAAGCCAACATGAATGTTCTAGTGTTTAATACCCGTGTCTGCTCAAGATTGTATATAACATGACCTGTTGATTGACCTTTGCACAAAGTGACAAATGACTATGGAAGAACCAATCAAGCTCTTTAATACAATCTTTTTCTTCCTTTTTTGTGTATATTTATACATACAATAATACTGATATGTGATGATTAAACCAAAATAATCAAAACTTCAAATTTCACAATTTTCTTTGAAAAAAAAATCAGAAAGAAAATATATAAATTACAGATTATTTTTTATTTTGAATAACATACTGTACTCCAAAAGTCTAAAGGTGTCATTTTCCTTCTTTCTTATCAATGAAGCAGAAAAGAATATACTGAAGTAGAAGACAGAAAGTAAAATACGAAGAAAGAATTACCAGACAGTTCAGAAGCTTCACTTTCTGTAAGCATGGCAGAGAACCCATTGAAAGCATGATTGTAATGATGGATTAAAGATATTCTCTCACTCTCCTGACTGCCAAAATATAATACATACATCAAACTTATAAGTTCCCAAATTCAAGAATATAATTATAAAGCTAATGGTTATGATCCTTTATGATTAATTAACCTTGGTATAATGGAAGTTAATAACTGCAAATGAGCTGACTCTGCAAATTTTGCATCACCTTCATTTCCATTCGATATTGAACTTCCCATGTAAACAACATATTTCTGCCAAAAATTCATGAATAAACTCAAAAAAGAAAAAAAAATGAATTTTTAACATAGAGATATGGTTAACACAATCTTTTCTTTAACGGGTATAGGTCAATCTACAAAATGAATAGGAATATTCCTAATACTGTGATGATCCTGGAAACCATATTTATGGAGAAATTTTACAAGTAATTACCTGTGGAATTTGATTTGATGATGAAGCACTGGAACTGATAAGAAGGTAAAGTAAAGAAAGGAAAAAGAGAAGTTGCAGAAGAGGAGAGGCCATGAAAGATGAGGTGATAAGGTTCTGAAAAGAGAAATGAATGAGAAGAAAGAAGACGGAGAACTGAAAGGGTGGGCAATGCAACCAACCATTATTTGTAGGCTAAAATGAGAGAGAGGGTGAGAGCTTTTTCACTAGAGGAAACTTGTACTGCTATAACTACTTGCCATATGTAAAAGCATCTTTGGTTGTTCTTTATTTTCTGGCTTTTCTATGGATTTAATTGCAATAGACAGTGTTACTATTCGGTATTAGTATAATCTTTCTAAACAGCATTTTTTTTTTTTACAAGAGGGAGAGGGTGAATCTCTTACAATAGGTTACACCACAAATATCATGGAGTAACTAATCCTGTAAACCTGGAGGAACAGTATTAACAACATAGATGTCTAAAGAGGTACTTTAAGCTAAAATAGCTAACCAATCGGCACAGAAATTGGCTTCACGATACACATGATCTAAACTAGGTATTTATTTATTTTAATGTAATGAAGCATGGACCAACCAACTCACAAACTTACCTCCAAACCTTTAGGCTGTTAATGCTATATTAACCATACGATAATCGGTACCAAAACTTATCGTGCTTGGATTTGATTTGAATAAAGTTTGTAAAGTTATATTCTTTAAATCAGCATTTGACGAGTATTGATTTTAGATTAGCCAATGGATAATTAATATTATTTAATTTTAATATTAATGAACTAAAACTAATTGGCTAAGATACTTGATTTTGCAGGTGAATTTAAGATTTAATTGCATAAGATAGCTTAGAAATTAAGATTTAAAACTGTATTTGAAGGGGAAGCACCAAATCTTATTGCAAAAGGGAACAATCAAAGTAAGTAACTTTGGAGAATTATTAGGAACCCCATTCAGCAAAAGAAACTAATTAACAGAGCTATCTAAAGCAAAATAGTGTCTTACCCCATTAATCACTTCTTTTAACAAATTAAGGAGGTGAGAAAAATATAAAGCAAACCTTGTCTTACCCCATTAATCACAATCACCCTCCATCAATAATAACTTGTAGATTGATTGGTCAGTAACTAACAAATTATATTAGCAATTAAAAAAAAAAATCTAAAATCATAAATAAACTCTCAAAGACCATCATTTTCAAATTAATGCTAGCTCCATATTGTGGAAATTCGAAACAAAATAAAAATAAAAATAAAAAATTCTTTTTTTATGGTTGAATATCTGATTTTTGGATAAGGGTTGAATATAGAATGAATAAAATGTCTGAAAATTAACTTGGGGAGACAAACGTAAATTTTCGTTTTCAAAATTGTAATCTACTAAAAACGACAAAAGAAAAGTACTAATACGCATATATACTATACACCTTAGAGTATTGAGCATGAAGAGAAAAGCGAATCACAAATACTTAAAATGCAAGTAATCATTTGTCTTTAGGTAAAGAGGAGGAATAAACTCCATGTGCAGATATTTATTCTTTATTTCCTTTATTCTCCTTTTCTTTTCCCCTCTTCCCGTTCGCGATTTTTTACCCCTCTTAATATTTACCTCTTTGTTCATGTCAGATAAAATTAGTTTCCTCTTGTTTTTCATATGGATTCTTTGGTATGGTTAATAATATAAATATAAACAAAGCCTTCCAACTATATGAAACTCCAGCTTTCCAAGATATTCTAATGCTCCTTGTAGAACCAGGCAGCTTCAGCTATGACTTTTAACAGAGACATGGCAGCAACTTCTTTTTCGCCCACCAACAAAGACACAAGTCACTAGAAAAATTCAATCTAATGGTCCAAAAAATATCTCATCCTGCAAAAGATTACGCGTCTTCAATCCTAACAAGAGCAAAGAAAATGAAAATGAAAAAGCAGAGTGCATGGCAGGGATTGGATTTAGGAGAGAAAACAAAGAAAGAAACAGCTTAAAAGGGCACGAATCATGGCGTCATCGACCTCTTTCGACATTCATTTCAACTCGGTGGATATTTCACTAGGAAACAGAAAAAGAGAACTCAAATAAAAAATTAAAAAAAACACAGATAATCTGTACCGATATCAATCATCATTTATTTATGTTTTAACGTCTGTGACAACATATAGCATTTTTCCCAACATATGACTAGGCACATTTTCGAGTTCAGAAAGACTCGCTTAGTGCTTTTTAGTTCCTCATAAGATAGCTTAGTGCTTTTTAGTTCCTCATAAGATAGCATGCCTTGCAGATGTTATAGGGGTAATCTTTTAAGAACATGCTCCAAATTCTTATTCACAGGAGGTGAATTTGGAAAAGGAACAAAAACCACTGGAAGAACAATAGTGGAACTTAAGAGGCGATGACCATAAGATCCGTACAACATAGTAACTCAAGTGCTCAGGCAACTTACACTAGACAACAGCGCAATGAAGTCTCATACAGCCGCTACTTGACTAGCTAAATCAGACGTAGGCATATTATAAAAGGATACATGAGAAGAGTGGTCCCTACTTGTGCTGTGGGACTCCCTGAAACATTCTCCAAAAGCTTTTGATCGATCTTCAGGGAATCATCGGTGACTATAATGGAGATTATTTGATATAGAGTTGATTTTGCATATATACAGAAAAAGAGCCATTTTGTGTGGCTTGATTTTTTGTTCTCTGCTCAGGTGACCTGGCTTCAGGGAGTTTAATCAGACTTTCTTCTCTGCAAGTTGACTGTTAAGAAATTCCAGCACTGAAAGGCGCTGCAAGTGGAAGTGAAACATAAAATTACAATCTTATGTTACTATCAGGATCCAAATGGTTACAAAACTTCAAGCAAAGGAACGTTACCCGCTTCTCGAGAGCAGCTTCTTCAGGTTTCAATGACAAAGATTCCAATAGTTTTATGGCTTCCTGAAATCTGTCGAGTGCTGCATCCTCCTTACCAAGACTCCTATCAGCATCAGCAACTTTTGCTAGGGATACAGCCACATCTAGGGTCTGCAATAAAATTTGGAGGAAGTCAGAAAATGTGGAACTTTCGCAACTGCATGAATGATCAAATGTGGAATAACTGTTCTAATAGAGAAGGAGAATAGTCTGCAATGAGAAATGGAGAAACACTTGAAATGCGACATCAGCTGTGAGAAAAATAGAGCTTGGTTTTCTTAACAAATTTCAACCAATCCCATGCACATAAACAATATCACCACTCCTAGTTTTTGTTTTACAGATAATGCCTTTCCTCTTTTCATATTCCCATCAAAGGCAAGGGAATCACCCAAGAATTATTGCGCATCATCACTTGACTATTTTCTTCCTCCACCATCCTCAAATGTATCATGATATCCTCAAATGTCTCATAACATGAAACAGGAATCAATGATGGGATATAGAAAGTTTAGGACACAAGAAAATGGAAAGGAGCAACTGGTGAGAAAATAAGGCCATTCTTGAGAGAACAACATTCAGGTTGCAGCTAGGTTTAGTGTTAAGATGGTGAGAAACAGGAGCATCCGACACTGCAGACTACCAAAGTAAGAAAATAAGTTCTAACCGGATACAGATGGTGATAGATGAGCATCAGTATTGAAATATAAATAAATCTTTTGAGACAGTAAGAACTAGAAATGGGAAATAGGAAATTGGCAATGGGGGCTCGTAGAGTCAAGAAAATGTACCACCCCAAAAGACCGATATATCATTTTCTTCTAAAGTATTAAGCCAGAAGAAATTGAAAGTTACCGGCGAGGATTTTAGAAATCATTGACAAACAGAAAAAATAGCAGCAGCAACAGCAATAATACCAGTGATGAAACAGTGATGATAATAATAAATACAACATAACTAGTAAAAAGAATCTTTTACAAATACTGTCATGTTGATATTATGCATGGTGACATGGCAACCCTGTTATTACTTGCAAGTTACATGGTCTCAAAGGCATAGGACCCGTTCAAAATTTGTAAGTTACTAAAGGCACATTTAGAGTCACAAGACCTAGATATGATAATGACAAATGATACTTGACAAAAAATCTGCAACCCTCCAATGACCATCTACACACCTCCTCCCCAAAAAAAAGGGAAAAGAGAGGGAAAAAAGTTTGTATACCTGAGATGAAACATCAGTATGCTGTTTGATGGCATCACGGCGCACATTGAGGGAACGAAAATAGTAAGATCTAGCAGCTTCCAAATCTCCATCGTAATATTTAAGGTCTCCAATTTTATTAAGCGAAACAGAAAGAGTGTGTGTGATCTGTAAAGGAAGGTTACAACATTAATTAGCTTCATCCATAAAATCACAAGTTGAATTGCATGTAGTACGGTTATGAAGTAGTAACCTCCTGATCATCTGTAGGTAATTTTGAGAGGAATTCTACGCTCTCTTCAAAATAAGCAACTGCCGAACTAGAATCTCCCATTGCTCGACTGCAACAAAAATGCATAGTTAAAATTTTACTCATATGTAAACACTTTGAATTAAAACCCTCTGACACCACGTGCCTTTCCTTTTCTCTTTTTTTTTTTCCCTTTAAATCCCTCCCTCGCTTATAAATGGTTATTGATCATATCCCAAAGGAGCACTAGTGGTATTTCCAAGCCAGAATACAAGATATGCAGTGCTAAATTTCCCAATAAAGAATGACTCACTGCCTCATGTTCGATTCCATAAAAAAGTTGCCTTGGAAAACCAGTCATTACTGACATCTTTCCTGGCCAACTTATACTTTATCCTATACCGAACCCTATGGTTTTCCTTCTTTCTTTAGGTCAATTCCCCTGTTACGGTTCTAAGTAGGAGCTTAAGAAGAGAAATCTCAACCATCTTACAAAAGTTTTCGTAATTTGTTGAGATGTGAACCTATATTACTAGACCAATTTGTCAACACCATCAATGCTCACTTCACAAGGTTGGATTTAAATTTAAGCTGAAAGCCAACAAAGAACGAAAACTAACAACATAAATCTATAGTAAGTGGGGAACACATTGCAGCTAATATGATAAAGGTAAAGACAGAGGACATACCAGCAGTCACCAAGCATACCCAGGACAGCTCCAAGCTGTGAACACAACTCTGAAGTGTTGCCTGTTGTTTCTATCTGACCCCGGATGTCTTCTGCACAGATACTCAGTCTCGATTTGGCACTTTCCACGTTCTGGGCGCGAAAAGCCTACACATGGAAGGCCATCAAACATGAGTTCACAAGGAAATGTAATAAACAACTAGAGCAGCCAAGTGGAAAGCCAAGAAAGAAAATGAACAAAAAGGTAAGAGAGAAGATTCCCAATTATACACCAGGATATGATATTAATATAATAGAGCTTGTTTTAGCTTTTCACTCCGTCAGATAAGTTGAGAAACATAGCAATGGCATTTGCCAAAGGGAAATTTACTTAAGAGAAACACTCCTAAATGGAGTGATCATTTACTTACCCTCATGGCTTGTTGCACCAAAAAAGCACCTCTCTCCAAAGACACATCCTCATATATCACTTTTTTATTATCACCTACTTGTTCCTCTCCGTCCGTGTCAATATGAGACCTCTTAATTCTAGCATGACCCTCAATGAACCGATCAACAACAGCCTGGAGATTGGTATCAGCTTCAATCTTCTCAATATCAGCTCCACATAATGGGCAATCTCTAAAGCGGGAGATACATGCTCTGCGTCAATTAAAATAAAACAAGTTAACTTACAAACAAAAAGCAAGAATAACTAAACTTTTACATAAATAAAATTGAATATCCCCATCTTACTTGCAAAAGACATGAGAACAAGGCACGCATTTGCTACTCTCAAAGAGAAGTGCTTGGCACAAAATACAACTGAGAGGGCCGATTTTAAACGATTGAGAATCATATCCAAGAGGACACTTTGGAGAAATGCTACCCGACTTAGGAGAAGTTGAAGCAGAATCATATCCAACGGGACACTTAGGAGAAGCATTGGCAGAGTCATATCCGAAGGGGCACTTGGCAGGAGACGCAGTAGCGGAGTCACCAGAGTCTTTCTTCCCCTTCCCATCATGCTCTGCACCATGTTTGCTCGGATTTTCCCCTGGTTTTTTCAACGACGAATCATCGGGACGCGCAGCTTTCACAAATGGACAAACCGGTGTCATCTCGATAAACAAACGAACAAAATCTGCACCAAACATAAAGAAATTCAAGCAAAAATAAAATTTCAAGAGAGATACCAACAGATCCAACTCGAATTTCGCAAGAACTATCAAACTTTCAGAAATAGTGAAAAGTTAAGTAAAAAAAAAAAGGATTGACGATGCTGATTGAATCACTTCAAACTTGACTACTTGGATTACAACGAGAAATGAAAAATGCAAAGGAAAGAGAAGTACCTGAGTCGAAAGTATTCGTGGAGAATGCCCAAGCTGTGAATTGAAGCTTAACTTTTGTGTTTGTTCTATTTTCCTCCCTTTTTCCGTTTTTGTGGTTAGTGTTTCTTCTGGTTCTGGTTATGGGCCTCTCTGCGAATTCAGGAAAATGGGAGCCCGATCATATCGGGAATAGGAAAATTGGAAAGGGCAGCGTCTGATACCTCTGGTTTATGTTTATCCTCTTGTATATTTCTTTTCAAGCCCCCCAATTAGTTTTCCTATTTCAAATTGCCCCATTTTGTAGGGTTTTCCACAAATTTGCCCTTGTGATTAATTCTTATTTCTTAAGAATTATTTTACCAGTAATTATTAGAAACAATAAGGGCCAATCCTCAAATCAAAAGATTTCTTTTTGATGGGGAGAGCAATGCCAATGGGTATCCGAGCTTTAGTGAATCAGAGCCAAACGACATGTTTGGTCGTTCAAGCGTTTTTCCCACTTAAATTTGTCGAACGATACGAACGACATCGTATGAGCTCACCCGTTTTTGGGCTTATCCATGAACCCTAACAAAACCCTTCTCTGTCAACAGCACTCTCCTCCTCTCTCTCGCTCTCTCTCTGTTTCCAAATGGCCAATAAATTGGTCGGAAACCTATTTTCTCATATACAGAAGCGTTTTCTAAATGCATATGCAGCTGCTAAACTCTCTCCTACTTCTCCGTTACCCACTCTGACAAATTCCTCATCATCGTCATTTACCGTTTAATTCCTTGTGAAATCATGTGGGCTTCCCTTAGAATCGGCACTTTCAGTCTCGCTGACCTTACAGCTCGACTAAAAGAACCAACAGAGGTATCAATCTGTATTGGAACTCTTGAAATCTCACAATTTCAGCAGTTTCCAGGTGGCCAAATTGATCGTAAAGAGACCTACCATCCTTCAATGCAGAGTAGAGGACAACCTTTTGCCCAAATTTAGTTATCTCAAAGAAAATGGCTTCGTGGGCGAGCGTCTCCCTGAGCTTTTCGTGTCAAATCCGGCAATTGCACAACGAGCTCTAAATTCTCATATCAAACCATCTTTTGATTTCTTGAGGTCTATACTGAACACTAATGAGAAAATTCTAGCAGCTATTAGGCGTTGTCCATGGCTGGGGACTTCTGAATTGAAGGGTAGAATGCAATCAAATATTGATCTCTTAGTAAAAGAGGGAGTCTCTGCTTATAGCATAGAAAAGATTGTAACTTTGAAGCCTAGAGTTATAATACAAAGAAATAATAGGATGGTTTGTGCAGTAAATGTTGTTAAAAGTCTGGGCTTTCAACCAACCGCTTGTTTGTTTGTACATGCTGTTGCAGTGAAGTTATCAATGAGTGACTTTACTCGGAAGAAGAAAATTGAGCTGTGGAAGAGTATGGGGTGGAGTGAGGAAGAGATTTTGTCTGCATTTAGGAAAGAACCATTATGTATGAATTGTTCAGAGGAGAAATTCAAGAATGCTATGGATTTTTATTTGAATACAATGAAGTTGGAACCACAGACTTTAATTGCACATCCCAAGCTTCTTATGTATGCAGTTGATAAAAGGATTCGCCCAAGGTATAATGTTTTGAAGGCCTTGGAATCAAAGAACCTGACTGAAGGACACAAGAAGATTGGATGGTTGCTCACGTCTGAGAAGAAATTCCAGGAGAATTTTGTCAGTAAGTATGCAGATCAAGTCCCAGGTTTATTGGAGATGTATCTTGGTACCTGCAACACCAAAAGGATAGATACTTGATAGCAAAGAAGTCAGTTTGCATCTTAGAATCATTGATTTCGATCTTAAAAGGGAAATTGAATAATTGTTACAAATTTATCATTTGAATATCAGAGTCGATTCTCGGTAAGTATATATATAACGTTAACGAAAGTCACCATATTAATGAAAATTCATTTTTAACTACGAGTAGGGTAGTGCTACTGCTACTCGATCATCTTCTGGGTTTCCATTCGGGACCTGGCCTGAGCTCTTTGTTAGGCACGTTGTTGCTTCTACTGCTTGGTTTATAGAATGAAAGGTTGGTGCTTTTGGTATTATATGGGGTCGAGTGTATTAATTCGTCAAAAATAGAAGAAGAAGGAGAAGAAGGGTTTCGGATTCGATGTCTATTGAGTCCTCCCCATCGCGTCTTTAACCTCCTCAAATTAGAGCCGGCCATTTTCGGCTCCATGGACATTGGGAATCCAAGCTTTAGAGGATCAGAGCCAAACGACATGTTGTATAAAAGTTGGTCGTTCGAGCGTTTTTCCCACTGAAATTTGTCGAACCATACGAACGACATAACGCCCAACCATGCATAATTTGGTCGCTTTCAACTCTAACAAAACCTGTTTTGGGCGCTTATGAGCCCGGTCGTTTTGGGCTCACTTGTTTTGTCTGTTTATCAAGGAACCCTAACAAAACCTTCTCCGTCAACAAGTCTGCCCTCCTCTCTCCCCGAGCTTCCAAATTCTCAAGCAACTTCCCTTCCAAAATGGCCAATAAACTGGCGAGAGGCTTATTTTCTCATATGCAAAAGCGTTTTCTATCTGCATCTGCATCTGCAAAACGAGCTCGATTACCCACTGCCACAAGCTCCTCATCATCATCATTTACCGTTCAATTCCTCGTGAAATGATGTGAACTTCCCTTAGAATCAGCTCTTTCAGTCTCACAAACCTTACAGCTCGATGGAAAGAACCTACAGAGGTATAAATCTGTAATGAAATTCTTGAAATCTCACAACTTCAGCGGTACCGAGATGGCCAAATTGATCGCAAAGAAACCTGCAATCTTCCAAAGCAAAGTAGAAGATAACCTTTTGCCCAAATTTAATTATCTTAAAGAACATGGCTTTGTGGGCGATCTTCTACCTGAGCTTATAGTGTCAAATCCAACAATTTTGAGACAAGCTTTAAATTCTCAATCAAACCATCTTTTGATTTCTTGAGGTCTATACTGAACACTAATGAGAAAATTCTAGCAACTATTAGGCGTTGTCCATGGCTGGTGACTTCTGAATTGAAGGGTAGAGTGTAACCAAACATTGATTTGTTAGTAAAAGAGGGAGCGCCGGCTCATAGAATTGAAAAGATTGTTACTCTGCAACCTAGAGTTATAACCCATGGTATGGTAGGATGGTTGATACTGTGAATGCTGTTAAAAGCCTGGGCTTTCAACCAGCAGCTACTGGGTTTGTGCATGCTGTTGCAGTGAAATTATCAATGAGCAACTTCACTTGGAAGAAGAAAATTGAGCTGTGGAAGAGTGTGGGTTGGAGTGAGGAAGAGATTCTGTCTGCATTTAGGAAAGAACCATTTTGTATGGCTTGTTCAGAGGAGAAATTCAAGAATGTTATGGATTTTTACTTGAATACTATGAAGTTGGAACCACTGACTTTAATTGCATATCCCAAGCTTCTTATCTATGCAGTTGATAAAAGGCTTCGCCCAAGGTATAATGTTTTGAAGGCTTTGGAATCAAAGAAACTGATTGAAGGCCGCAAGAAGATGAGTGGCTGCTAACTATACCTGAGAAGAAATTCCAGGAGAAATTAATCAGTAAGTGTGCATATAAAGTCCCAGGTTTATTGGAGATGTATTTTGGTACCCGCAACACCAACAAGCTAGATAGGTACTTGATAGCAAAGAACTAAGTTTGTCATTTTCTGAGTGTTTAAACTTAAATTGATACGGCAACTTAACTATCTGAAAGTTCTTGAATTTTGACGTCGGAGAACACTACTGCCTTACTTTCGCCATCTTGTTATAGCGTACCTAAATTATGGGAATATCTGACAAATAATTAGAAAATAATTGGCAAATACAAAATGTATATCGCTTTTTAGACAAAAGTTTCACTGCAACAAAGCAACTATGTGCGAGAATCTGAAATAATGAGTTAGAATGATCCAGTTCCAGTCCCAAACAACTCAGTAGAAATACCTACTGGAGTTATTAGCTGAACTATATAAATCATCATGCCTAGCTTGATTCAACTTCTATCTTTGGCTATGCTGGTCATGACAATCGATGATATGAAATGTAATATAATTGAAGTTTAGCAATTTGCGACAAATAGAGTCAACAGGACAACATGCCCAGAATATTTGTCTCCACCACAATACTTGCCATTCTAATCTCAGCAAAGACAGCAGTAATACAATATAAGATCTTCAAGGGACTCGATACGGGTTTTGTACATCATAGAGCATGGTTTCAGCCGGCATTGACCACCAGATTCTTGCCTTAGATGGTGGAAATCGTAATAATCTAGAAACTTTTCAATCAATAAATAACAAGATGGGAGTTCTTGGCTGTTGTAATGGGGGATTTTGTGTCATCCCATCAGGCATGAAATAGCAGTAGCTTTTAGGCATTACTGTGACTAACAACGCTAGGGTGATCTCTGCTTCAGATTTCCCCATCTATACGTATACACACACAAAAACAAACAGAAATTAGATCACATAATAGAAAATGTTGCAGAAATCAACATTAAAAAAGATATTACATCATATAAGACAACCAGTTTACCTCCAATAAATATTGTTAGAAGTAACCACTAATGGTTTAGAAAGGGACCAATATGAGATACATTAATCTCATGATGAAAACTCTGATTTTTATAAATGGTTTAGGAAAGGTAGCTTCTCTGCAGGATGGCAAAATTTCCATAGAAAGAAGTCCATAAAACAATCCATAGAACAATAGCAATGCTTTACTTCACAATTATCATAACATAAAAAGAAAATAAAAAGCACGCAATAGCTCATCTCTCACCTCAGATTCACCCCAGGATTCCCAGGCAGCTCAGCTGAAAGGTGGTTGTGGTCTTGTAGGATAGCTTATGCTATAAGCACATAGCATTGCCCTGCATACCATGTCTTTGAAAAACTTGATGGCTTTTGAGAATTTTTCATTCAGCAAAACTCTCAACATTTTAGCTGGTGGGTTGATGTACCATTGCTAAATACTCATTAACATCAACACAAATACCATGCCTCAATAGAATTTGCTGCATTTTAAAAGCTGCACTTAGTTCGGGATTCTTAGCCCACTTCTTTTCAAATCCGAGAACAAGTGCCCAATGGGTAATATTATTTGGAAAAATACCATCATTAATCATCGTAGACACCAAGTTGCATGCAGCATCCATGTTTCCAACAACACAAAATCCACGTATGAGAGTGTTATACAATATGAGATCTGGCTTAAGCCCAATATCAAGCATCTTATGAAACAGAGCGTTGGCTTCATCAATGCGACGTGCCCTGCAATAACCATTAAGTAATGCACTGCATGTGACAACATCAGGTTTCACCTGGTGCTCACTCATATATAACCATACAAAAAATGCTTCCTCAAAGTCACCCTTCTTGGAATATCCATCTATAACATTAGTGAAAGTTACCACATCAGGGGAGAAATCCCTCCTGATAAGTTCTTCTAAAATATCTTTTGCTTCATTCACGAATCCTCTTGTAATCAGACCGTGAACAAGCGCATTATAGGATACAGCATTAGGACATATGCCAGCAGACCTCATGATATCCAAAACTTCAAAAGCCTTTTGCAAGTAACCCTTCTTTCCACAGCCATCAATTAGACAATTGTATGTAACAATATCAGGTACCAAATCCTCAAGGATCATCCTCTGAAACAAATATTCTGCCATTTCTATATCTCCAGACGTGCAACATGCATCAATAAGCAATGTTATTGTAGTAACAGATGGCTTGATTCCACACTTCAACATTTTCCCCAAATACTGAAAAGCTTTATTTATGTCTTTTACTTTACAATATCCTCCAATTATTGTAGTATAGGAAAAACAATCTGGGTGCAAACCCAACTCAAACATTTCAAGAAAAATCTTAGAAGCTTGAATCATGTTACCATCTGTACATAGCTTCGATAAGAAGCTGTTGTACACAAAAATATTAGGTCTGAATTTGAAGTATTTTAATAAATATACTGCTTCCTCTAACTTCCCCATTTTACAATACCCATCAATAACTGAAGAAACTAAAACTGAATCCACAGAAATTCCCCAGTGAAACATTTTGAACAACAGGGAAGTGGCCTCTTTCAAGCAAGTCATTTTACATAGCGCATCTATCAAAATTGTATATGCAACAATATCAGGTCTAATCCCATAATTTTTCATTAAAGTGAGCAAATTCCAACCAATTTGTACCTTACCTTCAGCACAATAACGGCTGTGAGCAAATTCCAACCAATTTGTACCTTACCTTCAGCACAATAACGGCTAATAAACAAGCTGAAAATAGATGCATTCAGAACCATCCCTTGACTCTTCATTTCTTCCAAAAAGTCCCATGCTAGGTCCAATTGCTGTAATCCTAATAATGCCTGAAGTAGCGAATTACAGACCCCCATTGAAGGAAAAATGTAAAGAAGCTTCATTTTATTTATTAATTGCAAAGCCAAATTCACTTTTTTCTCACTAACATAACAGCCAACAAGCATGCTATATACAGTTTGCAAAGCCTTAGTGTCAAAACTGGATTCATACAACAGTGTGAATAATAAATCACAAAATTCCTCCTCACTGACTTCTCCACCTTTGTTTCTTGCAAAAAATTGAATTAAATCTACTGCTCTATAATTCATATTCCCAGAAACCAAAATAAATATTAGTCTGCATGCTGATCTAACGGTACACTCAAATCCAGAGCAACTGTCTGACAACCTAAAGAAGTAAAGTGCAAATGCAGCCTTGAAACTCTCCTCAAACATATCATTAAGAACGCTAAGGACACTAAACTGATTCAAACCATTACTAGATTCAGTTGTAGAACCCAGATTCCAACAATCATTCACCTCTGAATTATGATGATCAAGAATATTCGAGTTGGGTTTTGGCAAAAGAGAAAAACCTGCAGAAGGGGAAACTCCATCCTCTTCTTCACAAGGAGATAAGGTAAATGATGAGAAAAATCTGGTATTGCCCTTTCTTGCATGCATCAGCTTTAATGCTACATTTCTTATTGAAATTGACCCCCTCATCAACGGTAGCTAGAAACTAGCCAAACAAACAAACAGGAGAGGAAAAATAAGAGAAAAGGAACTAACAAACCAAAAGTTATTAAGAAAGAAAAGGTTCATAACATAGTATATCTTACCTTGTAATTCAATACCACACCCACAGCTGAAATTAGATAATCTCAAAAGCCGGAAAGACAGAGAGAAACGTAAACGGAGAAAATAAACTGAATAATTCTGTTGGAGATATGGTGAGTAATTATTGAAACAGAAAAAAGTATAGACCATAGCAGTGGCTTCTCGACAGAGAAAGCTTGAATAGTACATAGCATGTGTTAAAGTGGGTTTAGGCTCCGGTTACAGAAGACCCGCTTGTGTTCTCCCAAGTTTCAACGACACCCCAGTTTGCTGCAGTTCGATTCAAAACGAAACTTACTTTCTCATAAGGAAACGTAGGCACAGCTCGGCTGCAAAACCTGCCACTCTTATCAATCTTTGACATCGTTTCTTTTCCCTTTTATGAATCCTTTGTTGCTTTCTCAATCACAAATACAGAATAACGGACAGAGCTTCAAGAGGTAGGAGACGAAACTGCCACCAATATTTGCCTCTTCTTTTTGGCTCGCAAAATGAGTATAGAGCTTAAACTCACTGTTTAGCATTTCCAAATGGAAGAAGACAAAGACCGTGACCAGTGAACAGTGAATTAGATAGGGTTTTGAAAACAATAATCTGTCGAGGAAGAAGACGGATTTAACAGAAATGATTTATTTTTTCCAAAACCAGTTTGTCATATCTTCCTTTTGTAACATATTCCAACCGGCTGGTCCATCTTTCCATATTGGTTTTTCCCAAAATACAGTGTACTTGCTCTATTCTTTTTTTTTTTTTTTTTAATACCAGTACTCTATTAAATTTTAATTTAAATTTCAATATTTGTCATTTTTTCTAGGTGGGGGTGGGTGGCGTCTGCTCTCAAATAATATACAATAAATCGTTGACATCAATAAACCATTATGACTTTGTAATTAATTTCCTTTTATTCTTTTTTTTTTTTTTTTTAACATTGTAATTAATCTTTCATTGATTTATCCGTACTCTTATTAAATTTTATTTTATTTTCAATATTTGTCATTTTCTTACGTCAGTCGTCTTCAAATTTATATATCAATAAATAGTTTTGCATCAATAAACACAATGTATTACTTTTGTAATTTTATTTTCCTTTTAAATTTTAAAAAAGTTATAATATCAATCGCTATGGATATATTGGAGTATTGGAGAAGAGAATTCGAATTTAAATTTATTGTCACTTGTTATATATATTTACCATCATACTATGTTTAGATATGCAATTCTAGTGTTTAGTTTATATAATTTATAACGTAGAATTCAATTTACTTACATATTATTAGCTATTTGGTATAATTTCAAAATTGAATTCCATTTGTCCTTATACTCTAAACTACCAATAATTTTTTATGCAAGTAATAATTACATCTAATAAATTTATAATGATTAAAACTATATAAACCGATTAAAAAATATATTTATAAATTAGATTTAAATAAATCTAATAATAAATATAAAAGTAATTCATAAGGCTCATAACTTGTGAGGTTTGCTTAGCAACATAAATAATGTCATAGGTAAGTACATGATAAACTGAAATATTAAAAAATTAATATTGAAATATTTGGCATTATTTTTATATTTTTACGTGTGATATTTTATTTTTTTTTTTATTTTTAGCTTTTGGAATAAGTAGTTTATTTAGTTTTATTTTTAACCAATAATTTGAAGGAATATGGCTTCTTTAGATAATTATTAAAATTAGAATGTAAAATAGTCTATAATTACAAAGAAACATATAATATATATTATAAGAATATTTTAGTTCTATAAATAATGGAATTTATTTTCAATGCAGTCAAATTTAATAGAAATTTAGTTTTAATTATAACCAATTCTACAAAAATAAATTCTACAGTTTAGTCAAAGTAAACAGCCAAAACATGAACTCAATATAGGAGTGTCAAATTAAACTATAGACCTGAGAGTTCTGAAATGATAAATTGACAATACTCTTTTCCCACTGAGCCCACTAGTGGCAATAGATAATTAATAGAAAGACTACACTGTTGATCAATTTTTAAGTCAAAATGATGAATCAAACCTAACTCGTACCATCCAGTCATCTGTACACAAACGAATGATTACAACATTATGACGAGGTTCCGCTATAGCGCACAACTTCGCAGATCACAAAACGTGAATAATAAATGCTATAAAAAATCGGGAAGAAAGAAAATACAAGACACTTTCATTCAATATGGTTGCCCAATGCACAGCAAAAGAGCAAATATGTTACAGTAATTGCAGCCATCAACAAAGCTTTACCATACCGCCTATTAATGTTATAGACATGAATGATAACAAACTACACAGAAATACAAACCCCCGATATGACCAGGCTGTGCCATACAGAAGCAAGGCAATATTCCCTTGCCATCTTTGTGCCATTTGCACTCTGAAATTAAGGAGATGATAGCATGGAGGAGAAATAAATAACAAATTAAAATAATAATAATAATTATTATTATTATATTTTTGGCTAGCAGCCTCCAAAGTTTTGTGATAACATGCTAACAAGAATCTGCAAGCAATTGGAAAGAAAACAAGACTGACACTAAAATTTTCATTCCATTTCTTTCTATTATCAACAAATACAAAGAATATGTTGACGTTAATGTACAAAAAAAATTTCTCCTGACCCACCTCTGAACCACAAACCTCATGAATGATTTACATCTTTGTTCTAAAAAGAATTGATACTCTAAACACGAACTATCAAACCCACCAGTAGTTTCTGCAAGCCTTCCCATAGTATAACATCTAACAGTCCTAGTAACTTTCCCCTCAAATAGGAAATTTAGCAAACAAAAAAGAAAATCTGTACACCACAAAAAGATTTCTTACATCTCGATTGCAAACCTTTTATCTTCTCTGGAAATCTGCTTCTCATCTCTTTGGGCAATAAAACACAGATACCCTAACAAAAATTATGTTTGCTCTTCACAACCAGAGTCCATTTTTACATGCTTAACAACATATGGTACTTTGGGATTCTTCAAGCAAACATCATCAGGAGGTAACATGCTGTCCCCAAAACCAGCAGTAAGAAAGCAACAAGATTGCAGCTATTTGACACGAAACTCATGCCTGAAAACAGTCAGGTTTTGAGTAAACCTATCCCTGTTCTTTGAATCCAAGCTTCGAGTAACATCTGCCATCAGTTTGTCAAAACAAAGAGAAAGCCGTTGATGTTGATCAACCGGCTGCAACACAAGGCGAAGTGTCACCAGATGAATAACATCGTAAAAATAGGAAAACAGGTACACGCACATACAGAACCATGAACTTTTGGTAATCCAGCTCATCTAATCATCAAAGCCAACCTTTTTCACATATAAGGCATTTGCAATAAAAATGGAGGCAGAAAATTTACCTGTGAAGCTAAAATTTGAGCTTTCAAATCAGAATATATCTGCAAGCAAATGAGCGTTAAAAGTGAAGAACAAATAAATAAACCTTGTCACTGACCAAAAATTCCTTATAAAAGATCTATATTTAATTATCTAAACCAAAGGCCTGATCAGTTTATAATACACAGTAACTGAACATTATTCTTTGGAAAGAAAAGACTATAATATGATAAGAAGGTAGAATACAATTTGAAGAGTGGGAGGAGATAATAAGCTCCTGTATTAATTTTTGTATCTTTTATAAAACCTTTAATATAATTCCACCCGTTGATAGATTTTCCAGATTCACCCGTACCTGCTCGCTAAGAAGAATCAAGCTCAGCATTGGTCTACTAAGACTCCACTGGTTGCCACAATCCTCAAATAAAACGATCTCAAACAGGGTCTTTAGTATCTGTAAGTTTAAGGGAAAGACCAAATATACATACAAATAGTAATAAAGTTTCAGCAAAAATTCAATTGCCATCAATTTAGAATAATTTCTAACTTCTGATAAAATTAAAATTTATCATGGAATCTATATATTCTAAAAGTTCCCGTTCTTTCAAATAGAACCAAATGCAGGAAAAATAAAAACGACAAATTCACATGAATAATAATAAGAGAGCTAAGATAATTTTGGTAGTTAGTAAACAATTCTCATTCGGAACGATACTCATCACTTTATTACTTGTTATGATTTTGTACGCTAACAAAAACACACTATCAAAAGGACAAGGAATATCACAACTACATCTCTGCACATATCAACACCAAAAAATTCTCTTATTTCCCATCCTATCTCTCTCCCATAAAGGGGGAAAATAGAAATCAACGTTTATATATTATCCAAAAGCAATTTCAATAACCTTACTCCTATCAAGTAATACCATTGTTTCACCAAAACAAATTAAACTTGTATTGTCTTCTTTGAACTCTATAAAAAAATAATCTTTATAATAAAGGAGTGTCATAGCTTACTTCAGGAAATAAAGTGGGGCAATCAGCAATGTGTCGAGCAAGATTAATTGCAGCAGGTGAAGTCGACGCCTCCCCCATTGTGATGTTGTTGAAATAGAAAGCAGCCAAATTGTCAACAGCAGATGCACACTGATATCACATTCAGATTTTTTAGAATCAATTTGTAGAATCAGGGAAAGAAAATAAATACAACACAGTAACACACCATTACATTCAGAGACAACCAGTTAAATTACCATTCTCAAGCAGGATGTTAAAATTATCTCTAAATTGAAGAGGAAAGTTGTGGCTATTTAAGAAGAATAATGACCATCTATAGCATTATACCTGTGATGAGATACTTGTATCCAGACCCTTAAGACCAGATTCTAGGGAACCAACTATATGCATGAAGGTGTTTGTGTCTAGATTCAATACGAAAATAATATGGCTGCTGAATAGAACCTCCAAGAATGCGAAGTAAGCCTTTGTCAGCTGCAAAAAGAAAAGATGTAACTTGCCACTACAAGTTGAAAAACTGCACAATAGTGACAATTTGACAAGTGAATTGAAAGAAGAGCAACTAATGGTAAAGACATTGTAAATGGATCAATAACATGAGATGAAATCCACAAAATCCTCTATTCCAAAAGTATCAAGTCATATGCCAGCTAACAATAAGAGCAAATTCAAAATAGCCTAGCATCAAGGCCCCTGATATGCAATGATAACCTTCTGCAGTGCGGAGCAACACCCCTTATTGTACAAGACATGCAAATATACAGTAAACTAAAGTGGAAACTAAAGGGAAAAGAATTGAACTTTGGCATAATACATATCTCTCACCCCTACATTCATAATCAGACCTTTTGATCCTTGAAGCTTATTACAAAATAAAATGAAAAAAAAAAAAACACTTTGGGTCTTTTACAGGCTTAAGAAAAGCCTAGTATTGGTTTCTACAACAACTAAATGAATTTTAAGGAATTGTGACTTGTGTGTTTTTCTCTACATTTGAATTGGTTATTTAGAATCTTTAGTGTAATAACTATATCAACTAGAATTGTGAAATTTTACTAGAATTGTATTCAAAATCTTGCAATTTCACTTGCTGGCTTTTGTCTACGAATTCTTGCACTGAAAACGTAAGGTCTTAGTGCCTACTTCTTTTGATTTTCTTGAAACAATGCCCATTATGGAAAGAAATGGAGGAAAGTAAACTTTGAAGCAAAAGAAGATACTACTCCTCAACCATTTTTTAGGGAAAAATAATAATTCAAGAATTAATTATACATTGAACTTGGTTAAAAGCAAGCAAACTGAATCCAAAATTTCACAGTTCTGCTAATGTAAGATCAGACTAGCTAACACATTTAAGACCACGCAACTCAAACTATGTGCAAACAAAGAAGAGTGTATTAAACCAAACCTGACTTTTTGGCTTTTGTTAGTTAGCCTAAAATAATACCTGAAAGATAGATGACAAGCATGCAGCAATATGTCTAAAATTGAAAATTAAAGACATAGTGAGAGAAAGAACTATGCCTCAAGAAGATTAATCCCTCCATCCCATAATAATATTCCAATTTGACTTTGTCATGGAGATTAAGAGAAGTCTTTTCAATGGAGTGGTTTTTGTTAGTTTACCAATTTTTGTCCTGGTGGAAAGTGGCTCAGAAATAAATATAAGCATCCTTACAGACAAGAAGAGAACCATACCTTCCGGAATGCTAATATATCGGCCAAAGGAATTGACAGTGTCATCTTTAGAGCAATATCAAGTGCATCAGCAAGGGCTCTATCGCCATACAATTCAAACACTCCAAAATTGACATAGTTTCCCGCAAGAGCTGCCAATAATAGTAAAACAGAAGAATTCAGCTTATAACATAATTCAGCGAATCCTCCAATACACAGGAAATTTATAGTCTAACCTCGAGAGAGAATAGTTAAACAAATCCATATTCCCTTGTACTTATAGGCATATATATCAGCAGCATTTGGAAGAGCTAAAATCCTGGTGCCATAGGCTACAATGAGTTTGCTGACCTCCCGGAAAAGAAGAATGCCATTAGGAGAAGAAGAATCGAAAGTCAAACGTTGTGCTTTGTTTAACACAAATTCAGCCATGAATTTCAACAGTGGAGTAGTAACCTGCAGTATTGAGCCAACCAATTAAGTCCTTCAGCATAGAGGGGAACATGCGTATGAAATAAAATGTAGCTTTATCGAGCTTTGATTTTCAAGCTCGAGCTCAGCTCGAAGGATGCTTGAAATACTCACTCTCAACTCAATTTAACTCAATTACCATTAAAAAAACATATATATATTTTTTATTAATGTTAAAATAAAGATCGAATAAGTTTGAGCTCGATCTCTAATTAGTAAATAATTATTATTCAAAATATTATATAAATAATATATTTCAAATTATATAAAATGAAAATATTCAATTAAACTCACAAGCTACTAGAATCTAGTATTATAATAATCAAACTTGGCTCAGTTGGTTACTTGAGCTACTCAAGCTTGAACTCAACTCAATTAGAACTGAGTCGAATTTGAATATTTTGCAAGCCAAACCTGAGTAGCTTATGAGTAACTTGATTCACTTACATCCCTAAGTCATCTAGCAAGTAAGAGACATATCACAACTTGAATTAGAAATCTATATAGCAAATATGAAAAGATCTCTTAATAAAAAGATTAAATGAGGTTAACAGTATTTCACATTATATAATCTATGATAAGAAAAATGTCATTACAGAAATTAATTATATCTCCATACCGCAGGTGTATCTGCCCAATGTGAGATTCCTTTCAAAAGAAGTGGCAAATGAGCAGGATATAGCCAATCAAATAAGAGCCCATAAGTTCTGCGACTGAAAAATATTGAAAAGGAAAATTACATAAAATTTTGATCTTCCCAAAATGAACAAACCTCAGATGTCAAAATACACTTACCTATTTGTAGCCATAGCAATTCCTCTAAGATCCCTCATTAACCCAATTAGAGAATACTTTACCGCATCAGTTCGAAACATGGAATCAGGTGTTGATTCCAAACTAATAAAAACCTAAGAGAACAAGAACAATTTCTCAGTTTCTCATGATTAAATTCAACCAACAAAGACACTACTGAAACAATTCATAATTATAACTAGAAAATGCAACACATAATGAAGATGCAAGTAGATAACTAGGAAAGATTTCAAAATGAAACAGAAGACTTGCAGATTCATTTTACAAATGTGCTTCAAAAGAAAATCATGCATTGAATGCCAAATTTACATTTCATATGAATGACTCCAAGGACAGGCAATTTTGAGACCACAGCAGAACCAACCTATACTTGATGAGATTCCAAAAGTGCACAAACGCGCACACTCTCACACACACACACACACACACACACACACACACGCAAGCAGAGAGAGACAGAGAGAGAATACTTGCAAGAGCGGTTCCATTGAGGACTTGAATTTCACAGGGCTGTCCTCCATAAATATTAACCAGCCAATAGTATAGTAAAAAGTTGTTCTGCTTCGAGAGCATCTATATTCTTCTAAAAAGGGGAAGTGCTCCCTCTAAACATTCCCAAAAAAAAAAAAGAAAAAAAGAAAAGAAAATTTTAGATTAATGACTGATCAAACATTTAAAAAAACAAAAGTTAAAAGCATGGCAATCAAACAGTTCAGAAATTTGTCAGAGTGAATTACAGTATGGTTGGCGACTATAAATTTAATTGCATCCAACTTCAGAAGCAGCTTTCCCGTCATATAGCTGTAGAAAAGAAAAAAACATAAACAAACAAACAAAAAAGAATGATAATCAAACAATCGCTGTTCAGGAAAGTAAGTTGATTTATCAAAATAAAATAACAAAAGGCTAGATTTTTCTTTTAGAGAAAAAAAAAAAAAAGCTAAATACTAAGCCAGTAAGACTAACCCAGATGCCAACTCCAGGAACAAATTTAGCGTGTGATCAATGACCTCCTCACTCTGTAATGAGCACCAATGAAGATATAACATCAGTAACCACCCATATAACGAACAAAAGTCAAGATACATAATAATGAAAGAAAAAATACCTCTGTGTAGCACTTCAAATTAGTAGCAATCTTCCCAACAATCACATTCAGTAGTACCAAATGGTCATGCAGTCCAAGGAGCTCAGACAATCGGGCATATAACTGCTGCAATAAAAAGAGAGAGACTTGAGGATATTAAGATAAACACAAGCATACATAGAAGACCGAGAACACCATTACCTTGGATGAGTGCACAGCCTGATCACCAACATAAGACTTTCGGAAATGCTGAAAGAAGGTGAGAATTGCTCGATCAAGTCTCTGCTTACTCAGTTCACGGTATCTCTGTTACATGTCATTATGAGAAAACCACAATCAAAGCCCTGACGAAAATTGGTAGAATTTAACATAATTCACAGAAGACAAACTGTTGTATCACTTTGCATGAGAATTCTTCATCTGGACAATCACATTATTGGTGACCTGAGACCCTTTTTATTTTTACAAAGGTTCAAGTTGAGCCTTCACAAGGCCATGTGAAATTGCATACATATCTTAGATGTAGCTAATATGTCAATATCCACCAAGCTACTTCAAATGCCATTACAAATTAGCCATATCTTAAGAACTGTTGACCAAGATGTGAGCTGAATTTATCCTCACATTCATGACATATTTTTTTCTTTTTAGGTATGAGAAGAGAGCATTAAAACTTGCGCCTATATCTCTAACCCACCATCCACCTAAGCTAGGCCCTTGCGAACGCACAAGACAATTTTAAAGCTTCAATATTAATAGTTTAGATCTGTTCCTCACTCTCACAAACAAAAACTCCAAGCTTTGAAACAAACAGTGAAAGCACAATCAATCAAATAAGAGAACCAGGTGTGGCAAATTGCTAACCACACAGATGTTTATACAAACAACATTTTTGCAAACAGGATATATGTACCTGGCTATGTAGCCCACTGTCAGTGACATTTATTAATTGCAAAACACGAGCTGAAAGTTCTGCATCAAGTACTTCTTGTGACTCCGCGCTGCATTAGGCAAGATAAGAAACATATTGATAATTGAGAAAGGAAAGATTGATACAATGCCTAACAGAAAATTATAAAATTAAAAAATCAAAATCAAAATTACCTACAGCCAGTAGATTGCTTGATTTTAAGAATAGCAGCAATGATGTGAACTATCCAAGCAAGCTTTGCCTCGATAACAGAAAGTTCATTACCATCACTAGTCTGCACTCTTGTCCTTTCCTATGTAAGCCATTTAAAAATATTGATTTAAATTCATTTATCATGCATTAATCAACAAGTGCTTAACATTCAAAAAGCACTCTTATACATCCCAAACTACCATACCGTGTATGCTTGAAGAATAGGCTCCATTATGTTTATTATATACAAACCACTGCTTTCATACTGCCAAAAAGGGCGCAAGCAATTATTAGTTCAAGAAGTTACCAAATTTACAAAATTCATATACTTGGCGACAACAGGAATTCCATTTATATGCAATTTGGTAATGAAAACAGTGCCACTAAGGGAAGCGAAACCTAGAAATCTTCAGGCTAGAAAAGTAACAAGTGCATATAATATTAGCAATTGAACCTGGAATCTGCAGAGATAAGGAAAGCAATCAAGTTGATCCTGAAGAAGTTCGACATTATCTAATGGATTGTCAAGATCCTCTGGGAATCCAGCCTACATAACAAAAAGATAACCAAACAGAATTTTTCAATTGAACTAGACAGAGTGACAATAACAATCATTCCTCAAGAAAGAAACAAACCTGCACAGAGTTAAATCTTGATGTAATAAAACCTTCAGTAATTTTGGGCACAAATTCATCTAGCAAACTTGGAGCATCACCCTTCAAGTACGGCACTGACGTCACTAATCTGGACCACAACCCTAAAAGGTAGTATACACTGCTGCTGGCCCACTGGTAAGGTATAAACTTAATCAACACTTTAAGTCACAGAATGCATCATTAGTCCTGAATATAGGTTTCAGGTTTTACAAAGATAATAAATAATGTTCCCTGATAATCCATAATTAAAACCAATGTATAACTATAAATCAAACAAGGGTAAACATGATTGTCCTTCGTAATCTATATGGGGAGGAAACAGAGTAATAAACTCCAGTCAACCTGCCAAGACTGCAAGGATTTCAAAGTGAACTCTGCCACCAATTGTATCCAATCACCATAGCCTTCCACATTCACAAGCTCTGACAACTGCAACACAATTTCACAGGTTGTAAATGTGAAGAGTCATGCTTATGGATTTGAGGAAAGGAAATGAATGAATGACACATGAATACTTTGTCTCCAAAAAACAGAAAACATAAAAACTGTGAGCCCCTCCAAATAGAGATTCCAATAACAACTTTATTTGTCAGGCAAAATAAAGATATGAAAAGAATATAAAACTGGCAAAGTATGGTAATGCAGTAATTCAATTTAAAAGGGGCTAAAGACCAAAAAAATCCAAACCTTTATGAAATATCACAAATGTACCAAACCTTTCAAAATAGACTAGTTTACCCTAACCTTTAAAGATTCATTACAATAGTACCCATTTGATCAAAATCATACCATCATTTTTTTTTTTTTTTTTTTTTTTTTTTTTTGGCATTTTTTTTTTTTTTTGGCAATTGAAGAGAGGTTGACAGAGAGTTGTGGCAGACCACAGTTTGGAGATGAGTGATTGGAAAACATTAATAGGTATAATAGGTTCTACTTCATGTTAATTATGGTCAAACGATTATAATTGCCAAAGATTTTTAAAGGTTAGGGTAAAATAGTGGTTTTCAGAAGGTTTTCAAAAGGGTTCGGATTTTTTTGGCCATTAGGCCATTAAAAGACCCTAGTTAGTTGTTGTTGCCCATTTTATGCTTTGTTCTATTTATTAATTTATCAAATGATTTTAAAATTTCCTTTAAAAATTTTTTTATACAAAAAGTATTTTCAAAATTCTTTTTTTGACTTATACTTTGCTTTGCATTGATATTAATTTGATCAGAGTAGATATTTGAAACAAAGGATTCATGTAGCTGACCCCAACTAGTTTGGAACTAAGGTTTGGTTGTTATCGTTGTTGTTGGGGCATTAAAAGAAAGGGACATAAATTTCCATATATTGGTCACTAACAGACTCAACACCTATGAATGAAGACTCCATGAATGAAAATCCCAACATATTGAGTTCTAAACAAAGCATTTACATCTCATGTGCTGTGAACTCCAAAGTTCACGTATCTGGCACATTCAAAATGAATTAGGTATTGATATGTACCTTTTCTTTTTCCAACTGCAACTAAGTTGAGTCATCAGAAATAATAACAAACTACTTTTTAATAGACCGCAAAATTAATTAAATTAAAAACCACCTACAATATATTTTGTACATGCTTATACAATGATAAAGCAGTTTAACTAATGAAACATCCATGCACATGCATATTAGATCCACACAGCCATATGAGTGCATGCTGCCATCAAACACAAACAAATTTATAGGCTAAAACATACACACAAGTATAAGTTGAACGTTGAAAGCTTTGAAATATCAAAAATAGAACTACATAGTAAAAGTCAACTGTCAAAAACTTGTACAACAAATTACCTGATAGTTCACTCTAAAACGTCCAAGGAGACGACAATACTCATGGTAATTATCATGATCAGCAAGACCTGATTCGCAGTCCAATATTATCAGTGAATGAGAAGCTAAATGCATACAGATAGGTAGATAGATATGCACACAGAACAGTTTGAGAAGTTTCAATAACTAGAACCAAGAGCATTACATAGCCGTAAGAACCTGATGCAAGTTTCTAAAAAAGCAGTATCCAAGGCAACAGGACAACTTCAAAGTCAACAGATCAGTTCATGCAATGATAACAAAGAATACTACATTTCAAGCTTAAATGAGATGTGAAGACTAATGTATTGCAACATATCACATTATAGAAGTAAAAATTTCACATCTGAAAATGCTTGTTTAGGTATATTTCAGCTTCATGTTTCTTTAGAATTATGTCCAGCCTGGATGTAAGAAGGGTCCAAGCAGTTAGTTTGTAACTTAATTTTGGTCAAACACTGACTTACATCCAATAAAACATTTGCGGAATATATGCAATTCTGAAGAGAGGAAGGAGCAGGATGAAACCAGGATTAGCCCCACATAAATCCCATTAAACATTTTTTAAGAGCTCTATTAAAAAGAAGAAAACTCTTTATTCCTCACACTCTCCTGCATATAGGAAGGATATCCACCCCTTTCTTCTTCAAATGGTTTATTTCAACTTCTCTCCACTAGCCTGAGTTGGCAGAATTTCTAACATCAGTAATTTTGTCTATTATAAGAAAACTTGGCAGAATTTCTAACATCAGTAATTTTGTCTATTATAAGAAAACTAACAGTAAAATTAATGGCGAACAAATTACAACTTATTCTGGATGGAGGACAAGAGATAAAAGAAAGCCAGGATTTATAACCAAACAGAAAACACAAGACAAAATAAAATAAAATAAAATAAAAATAATAGGAGAAAAACCTTACAAAATAAACCCCAAGCATGATCATTCAGTAACATTACAGTGCCATACAAGAAGGAAATATGAAGGTAAGAACAAGCCAACAGCACCTTGCCCTGTTTGTAGGATTTCTTTGGTTCCTGTCATCAAGTGTGCCAAAAACTTAGAACGGGCAGCATCGTTTGTAAACAAAGAGCGACGAACAGACGCTAGCCGGACCAAGCACTCCAATGCCTAGAAAGAAAGATGAATAAGACTCATAAAAAGCAAAAGTTCCAAAGATCCTCCGTTGCACATCTAAATGTACATGAAAACACTCAGCAATATACAGTTCAATACAAATTCAGCATATTCTCATTCAAAGCATACACTTGAAGATAGAATCAACCATAATTATTTGCAGCAATACAATGAAGAAATCATAAAATCTCTCCTTTATTAAAAAAGAAACAAAGCTATAATCAAGCGTAAATCAAGGACCCGGGATGGAGGAAAATACTTCTTGCCTTCTATCTTCCTATCAATATCTATAGAATTAGCATTGAGTTCATAAAGAACATGCTATTTCAAACAAGCTTCAAACCTTAGAATCTAGAACCAATTATGTATAACATGTTTAGTTTATTGTATGTTCTTTGTCTAGACCCATGTTAACATCAACTTCATATTATTGATTATCATAATATCTAGAGTTATTCTGCAAGTCCTTTTATTTTTGGGGCATGCCTCAAGGAAGGAGGGGGTGGTAGGAATTACAAAGATCCCCACCACCCAAAAGTCTTGAAAGCAGTAGCATCAGTGGCAAGAACAATACACAACAGCACTCTACAGAAAGCTTTGATTCACTTTCGTGGCAATGGTTCTTTTCATAACTTTAAGAATTCGTATCTGAAGCCAAAGTCTGTTAAAGAGCAAAGGATGAAACTAGCTGGATCAGCATAGGTAACTCAGATGGTCATATACATGTCATGTCTTGAGTACAAGTGCAGATTCACGTAGTATACAATGCTTGTTGTGTGAGTTGCTTTCCAATATTTTCTATCCCCATGTCCCACAAAAAAGGAGGGTCAAATTAAGCCGTCTTTGCAAAATTAAACAAATACATTAATGTTAAGGGTTCCACTCGATTATTCTTGCATCCTTTTCAAAGTTTTTTAAACTTAGAGATAGGAGATAACAATCCGTACCTAAGTAATGTCATCCATTTTATTCTGTCAAGGACAAAAATTGCCCAAAAACCGTAAAATCTCAATACACCAGTTGGGATGCAAGAGAACAAAAGTGAAGAGGAGGCATGCATGAGAAAGCAAATAAAATGTCTAATGCAATGAATTTCCACTATGACCATGATAGACTTTTCAATGACAAAACGACCAAAATATTAGCCATAGTCTTTTTTTTTTTTTTGTGTTTTTTTTGGCAGCATGGTTCAATAAAATGATACTTTTATTGAACCATGCTAGTTTGGAATTGAGGCTTGGTGGTTGTTGTTGTTGTATGGTTCAATAAAATGATACTAATGAATTGCATAAACCAAAGAAGCATGAAGCATGCAACCAAAAAAAAAAATTTAAAAAAAAAAAAAAACCCAACACCGGTACTGAAAGAAGGAGCTGTTGTAAATAGCATAGTAATCAAAAAATATCTGCAATGTTGATGGATCTTCTAAAATTGGTCTCCCAGATGATGGAATCTGTAGATTACCAACATATTGGTGCAAACATTTCACCATTCAGAACAAAACATGTTTGAAGGTTCATTCCAAATAACTAAAAGATATGTAATTTGGAAACATCATAGATCGCTTTCAAAAAAAAAAAAAAAAAAAAAAAAAGAAACATATTCACATCAATAAAGTAGGTAAATACCTGAACAGTACCAAAAAAAAAAAAAAAAAAAAAAAAAAAGAAACATATTCATACATCAATAAAGTAGGTAATCATTACCTGAACAGTACCAAACTCTTCTGAACTTTCATCAATTGATGTCCCAACAAAATCAAAAGATAAACATTTCAGCGCAAGGGAAAGTGCCAACTCTTGCAATCGACTTGCGACTGTACCCACAAAATACAAATTACCAAAATTAGCAGTGCAGAAAAGTCAATAGAAGAAATCAGTACAGCAAACTAACAAGCAGAGAGAAGGGGGGATACAACATGAGAAGTTTAACCTATTACCATCGCTTTTCAATTGATTTAGTGAGGTTAAAGATATCTGGAATATTTGAAAGAGTGACTGATCCCTAAAGGAGCAGGCTACTCTGCGATGATGCGTTGAAGGCAACCCCGTATTAGGCTGAGAATTTAAGCATCAAAAGATACAGAAGCAGAGGTCAGCAAGCAGATATTTATAAATTAGTAGTAGTAGCATCAGAAGTAGCTCAACTGAATAGAAGTTATAAAAGAATTTAATGAAAGAGTTCACAATTCAAATTGGGCAAGTTTGCAATGTATACATTTCAAATGATGAAGGTAAATCCATAAAGATCGTTGTATAGGAGGGTTCGCAACAATCCATCACAACATGACCATATGATTTGTTCAAGACAACCTGAGCATCTTAATAGCAAACCATAGAAAACTCTGAGTGACAAGAGTTATTGATTTAAACAGTGTGGTACAGGTCATAGGTACTTAAACTAACTGATGAGTGGAAGTGTTACACAATGGCCAAAGCTAGTCAACTTTGTACATTCTTTCAGGCAAACGATGACCCACAAAGCTTTGACTGATGCACAGTGAAATGAATGTTTTGCATATTGTCAGCAAAATAATTAAAGGTATATACTTAGGGCCCAATGCAGTAGCTAAGCTAAATTAGGCATTTCCATTAAGGATGCTAAAACCTAAGGAAAATGTCACATCTGCTTCACAGACCAAATGAATTATAAATATTCTTACACCATAGTTACATTTATGTATCTTTTGCTCAAATGCCAAGAAACAATTAATTACCACAATGTTGAGAAATTTTGACCAATGTAATCAGCTAACCTGATTCATCTCAGAGACAAGTTGATTCAGTATCTTCAAACCAATGGTGTAGTGATCTGAAGTTGCCTGCTCAAATGAGAACCAAAAGATCAATAAAGAAAAAAGGTAAATGAAAAACATGTCTTGGAAAGAATAATGCTACACCAAATTAACTACTCATACATAATGAAAATGGTGTCAATTTTACAATATACTGCAAAAACTGAACAATGAGATTGCAAAAAGGTCCAAGGTCATGCTGCTTAGAGGCAAAGATACTATACATGGCAACACCGAGTAAAGACAATAAGAACCATTTAAGACTCGGTAACATGAAACCACCGATCAATTTCAGGAACAAACATAATATAAACCATAATATAAAAGAAAAAACGAAATGTATATCTCAACGAATCTTGATCTTGATATAAACAGAAACCTTACCTGGCTCAAGAAGTTTGTAGACTCCTTAACCACATCTCTAAATCTATCATCATCAAACCACCCAAACTTTGTAACTCGGCACAGAAGCTGAATTAGAGATGCAATAACAAAAGGCTGCAACTCAGGCCCTCTGGTGGCCAGATAGTTAACGAGGTAATTACGGATATCGAGACGGAGCTGCAGAGAGAGGCTATGTTCGGTAACTTGCTTGAGCAGGCTAGAACTAGCAAGCATCAATGCATAAGGAGTCAATGCATTATCAAGAATGTATTGACATTGTGAAATGTAATCTGTGTTCATGGAAAAGCATTTTAGAGTGTTCTCCGCGTGAGCTCGCTCCGCAGAATCCTGTGAGTTATACATCCTCTCACACAATGCTTCTAGTTGCGCTAAACTCTCCATCGAAGCCTCTTATCCTTATCCCCTACCTGAAAATAATCAAAAACTTCACCATTACAGGAGATAAAAACAATCGGTGATTGAAAAGAAAAATCCAAAAGTTTCAAGTAAACAAGTACAGTCTGCTTCATTTGACCAAAAAATAATCGAACTCTATAAAATTACAAATAAACAGTAAGTTGTTAGGGTTTTTGAAGAATCAATTAAGATAAAAATAAACAACACCGCAAACAAAGTCGCCGCCAATGCAGAACCAGTGCGATTTCCGGCGGAAATAAATCGCTTGAAATCGGATTTCCTCTAGAAATCGAAGGGAAAAGAAAGGTAAAAGAATCCGAAAAATTGGAAACGAAGTTGAAAAGTGACTGATTAGTTGCTGAAGCAGTAAAAGATCATCTCCACATGAAAAGAACAGAGACAGATAACAAGGGAAGATACAGGGAATGATAGAGAAGAAGTACCTTCGGATCTGAGATCTAAAAACTGGAGATTAATCAACTATATCGAATGAAAAATAGAGAACATCGAAGAGAGAATGCGATTTCTTTTAGCTTTCTTTTTATTATTATTATTAACAGTGAAGAGGAGGAGTCTACAATGGCGAGCAAATGCTCATGTTTTTGTTCTTTGCGTTTTGCAGGTGAATTCTCAATGTGATTCGAGAGCATTTTTACTTTATCTTTGTAACCGTTGGATTGAAATACTTTAGAAAATTTTCCTATCCTGTGATTGCTCGTACTGATATGCACAGTTATATCTTCAGTTTTCACATGCTATCTCTTGTGCTATTGGTCACCTTTGATTCCTCTAAAATTATGAAATAGATGCAATTTTTTTAATTGATACTTTCTCTATTCCGTGTAAGTGTCTATTTAGCATAAAAAATTCCAATTTAAATTTCTTTTGATGAAATCATATACAATTATTTTCAAATATACTTTTATTGTCACGAGTTAATGCAATTCATTCTTATCTTCCAATTTTTTTTAATATTTGAAAGAAAAGATTTCCAACCTAGATCTATTGTCATATATGCTATTATGAGTCGAAATAAGTAAAAATCTATCTAAATCAAATTTCCGTTTGAATTGATTGAAACGATAAGGTGTGTTAAGAAATTTTAAATCCAATTTTAATTCTTTATAAAGTTGAAATTCTAGCTTCAAATAAAATATTTACATTTTCACTTTTAATTCACTAATATTCTAATTTCAATTCCAGTATAAATTAATTCTAATCAAAGAAGCTTAATGAACTAATCAAACACTCAATCTTAATATTATCATTTACTTTTAATTACATGGTTATTATGATACGTTAACTCCAAAATATGTTGTATCAATTCCAAATTCATTTTATAATTCAACTATCCAATTTTCAACTAGGGTACCAAAAAAAAAACTGTCTAATAAACTTCGCCTAATTATGCTATTTGAATTCAGTCTTCCAATTTGAATTGGGGTTTTACCTTAGATAGTTGTCATTCAAATTTTTTCCATTCACAATGTCAATTTCAGTGCTTTGATATATATTTTCAATTTCCCTAAATGCTATCGGAGTTATATTAATTAAAAACTTTTAAACTCGCCGGGTGGTTTAAATATAATTTCAATTCCAATAATAAGTCCATATAAAATTTATGTGACTAATTTCACATGTTAATTTAACACAACAAACCCTAAATAGTATCAATTCTATTTCATGCCATATTATTGAAAATTATTATTACTATTCTCATGAGATATATTAAATTTTGAAGTTAAAACTCCAATCTTACTTCATAATTCCTAACTACTTCATCCAATAATTTCAATATAAATTGTAATAATATCACTGATTTTTGCCATTTCAACCGTAAAAACCTAGATATCATCGTGTAATATTTGCACCAGAAAAAGTGCTAAGTTGAAATGTTAGCTTACTTTAGGCGAATCTCACATCGACTAAGTACAAAGTGAAAATAATATATATAAAGATAGGCAAGCCTTAGAATAGCAAGAGACATTTTGAGAATGATGGATTGTCACTCCCAAAAATAAGTTTACGTAGACTCGACTTAAAGCGAACAATATCTTGTTAGGCGTGATATTACACGTAGAATGCCTTGTTTTGTTTAAGCCTATTTTTTATCTTGCCATTTAATTAAAATGCTTCTCTCAATTAGAACTACTGCTCTAAATATTATGCCCTAATTAATAAGATAAGTTCATGTCCAACTTGGATTAAGTATCATATATATTAAAGACGTAATTGAGAAACTGAATATCAATTTAATACCATCTATAAACGGTAAATCAATAAATTTTTATTCAGTAAATATATAAATCGGCCGATAAACGGTAAATACTTAATCAGTAAATTGGTAAATGCAAATTCAACAAACGGTTAATCAAACCGACTGAATTCTATTGTTAAGTCACATGTGCATACTGTTGTCAAAATACTTCAAAACTAAACATTATGTCATTCAATGATGGTGTGGTATTAACTTTACAACCCATACACGATTGATGATTTAATGTCATTTAAAAAAAAAAGAAAAGAAAAATCAGGAAATATGTGATGCTTTGGTAAGTTGTGTGTATATGCCTATGTCAAAATACTTAAAAATTGAATATTATGTTGTTTGACTACTGCTGTGATATTAATTTTACAATCCTTACATGATTTATGAAACGATGTCATTTAAAAGAAAGTAAAAGAAAATCATGAAACATTTGATACTACTTACTGGCCATGTACATGCGCTCTTATTAAAACACTTAAAAACTGAATGTTATATCATTTTAACTTTACAACTCATACATAATTGATGATTCGATTGTCATTTAAAAAAAATAAAATAAAATAAAAAATTTATTTTTTTCGTTCATGTAAAAAATAAATAAAAATTGAAGCACTTCAAACCCGAAAAATATATTATTGTTTTCTCTTTATCCGATGCTTCATGTCGGTCATGTTAGGGTGGACAAATTTCAATAATTTTTGATTTATCGAGCCGAAAATAAATTGATAAACGATAAACGATTGATAAATTGTTTAGATGAGTAACCCATAAATTATTGGATAAAGTATCCAAAAAATGAAAATTTTCCGATTTATTAATTTAAGAATGGAAGAAACAAAATAAGAAAATAGATTATAAATTGTATATAGGAATAAGAGGGAAGAGGAGTTAAGTCTATGGACACCGGTCCTATTGCCGGGGCAACACCACTTCCATTATTATTCCCATCTTCACTCTTTTCACAAAGAGAAAATTTTAATAAAGTAAGATCCTCCGATGCAAGCGGCATGCGTTTCTGACATGATTACATCGTCAGCTTGCAAGTTGAGTGGGATAAAGAACAAGCCCAGTGTATTTTACAAGAAAAAGTAAATCAACTTTTCTCACGACAACCTTACTACATAATTGAAATATATCTTATTATAATTTTATTTTTAATTGTTTATATTATACAATATATAATATATAATAATAATAATAATTCCCATTAAACATGGACTGCTATAGAGTAAGGCCGAAGGACACGTTAATTCATGCACGCAAACATCATCTTTATTTATTTATTTTTCTATATTGTTGTTTTTCTCTGTCTTCCTTAATTATTAATTATTAATTATTATTATTATTATTATTATTTTCTTTTGCATGCACATTCTCGGTAGAAGAATGGATAATTGATATGTGATGACATAATAAGATATATGTATATAGTTGCCCCTATGTTATCCAATCCTAAGCTTACATCTGTTTGGTTAACGAGAAATGTATGAGAAAAGAAATATTGGTTCGTTGAATTTATATATCCAATTTCTCAGCTACGTACATATCAAACAAGTCATAACAGCCGGCTTCTGCGGGTGTAAGTTTCCTTTTTCCCGCTTTTTTTAGAGATATTATTATGGTACGGTGTGATTTAGGAGAATAATTACAATTACGAATTAAATTTTGTGATTTTTTTATACACAAACCGCGTAGACAAATTTCTTTTTCTTTTTCTTTTTTTGAAAAAAGACCATTAACCCTGACGTCAAAACTTAAAAGGCATTAAAGTGGTAGCTAATTTCATAACCTTGGTTTGAAAATAATGCAACCCATAGACAACTTCATTAACTTCACGTTTCTTCTTGGTCTCAAAGTCAGCTACGTGTTTTTTATGAAGCAAAAGTGTTTGACAAGGATTTAGATTTGCTGCCTCTAATTGCGAACATATTTTATGTCTTTTAGATACAGAGGAAGGGGAAATCTCGGAGGAAAAAAAAAATGAAGACAGAAGACTTGTCACGCCCTGACTTGTAGTTCCCACACGCCCTACACTTCATGGTTTTGTAGGGCGTCCGTGGACTACACCAAAGCGGACAATTTCTCTAGTGATTAGAGTCGGAACGTGACAAGACTTCTTACACTCGGCCAAATTATTCTTTCGATGACCCATTTCAGAAACTGCACCACTTCTAGAGGAGGAAGATCAAGAATATGACGCTCAAGATCAGCATCCGCAATCAAATTCTCTTTTACTCTGAGTTTTCTGTGTATAAAAAATAAATATTTGAAATGAAACCATTGAAATTAATAAAAGAAAAGAGACAATAATTGAAAAAATATTTAAAAAACTTAAATTTATTTCCAAATATATTGCTTGGGAGCTTGAATGACCTCATGGTATCATTCAAATTGGCAAAAAGGATTCGTGACAACGCAATTGGAACACAAAAGGAGGAGAAAACATTGGCTTTTTTTTTTTTTTTTTTTTTTTACAATGGAACACAAAAAGGAGAGAAAACATTTTTTTTTTTTTTTTTTTTTTTTAAATTTTTGTTTTTTACTTATTTTTAGGCTAATTTTGATGATGCCATCACTGTGTGGGCTAACAGGATCAAGGCCCAGCAACAACTGGAATTGGGGCTTTATGGAGCTATCTACAAATATTGGAAGAGAAGAGACTTTATGATGTGGGACACTCTAGGATATGGTGGGCCCATGCAACGTAAACCTTTTGAGCCCAATGCAATTATAGTTGCCTTTTCCCATTTCATTATTGATTGGATTTATTTTCCCTTTTTTTTTTTAAAAAAAAAGTGTATATCGGTATTAAAAAAACATTAAAACTAAAAAAAAATTCTACTCATGCATATCCATAAAAAATTTTTTTATTTATTGTAAAAGAAAAAAAAATTATAATTTTGTATGATGCTTTTTGGTCGGTTGGAATAATTTAAATCACGACATCATCTAATTTAATAGTTATAGCTTGGTTTGATTATATTATAGATATTGATTAAATTATAAAGTAATATTAAATTCGATAATATTTGAAAAATTAAGAAAAATAAATTAATGAAGGTAAATGATTAAGAAAAAAGTTAAAATTTTAATAGGGTTAACATTTAATACTTGCTTTGTTCAAATAATCATTTGTGAAATACTATTCATGGATCAATTTAATGTAGGATAAAGCAACTTACTAACATATTAAATGAGCTAAAAATTTGATAATTAAAATAAAAATTATAGTGTTAATTATTAAAAGTAAAATTCCATTTATTCTTTACCTAATTTGGAAAAAAAAAAGTAAAATTGCAACTTGTCAATTTACGGAAAAAAAAGAGTATTACGTCCCTGATTTTCTATCCGGAAAGTATTTAAAATACAAAAATCAGTCTTTAATTAATCAGGACAAGCGGATTTTGTTTTCTTTCTGTGATTGATCCTTATCTTCATCCCCAACATAATAGGGTAGGGCGTACCACACGCCATCAAAACCACTAGCTATCAAAATCATTCATTCTCCATGTGTAGCTTCCCTAATATAGCAACTGAATGCCAATAATAATCAATCAATCAAATATCAATATCAAACCATGCAAACCCTCATTTTCGAAATTCCAATCGCACTCTCTCCTGTAACCGCGTTTCTATCACGCTCCAATACCCCAATCACAAAGATCTAAAGTACTACATCCATCTTCATGTGTAATCCCAGTCAGTGGGTCCCCCATCTTCACCACCATCACCTCCAAATTTACCAATCTTGGTTTCTGCCATATATACACTAACACAGATTGAATTCTTTCAGAGCTAATTTAGACAATAAGGAAAGGGAAAAGAAGGTAAAGGAAAGGAAAGGAAAGAAAAAGAGTTGCTTCTGGTTCAGGAAGGAAAGGGAAAGCCTTTCTAGCAGAGTAATAAGGGTTGCATATATTTTACAAATCATTTTTCAGCTCAATTACTCTCTTTTTATGTGAAGTTCTTTTCTTTTTCATTTTTTTTGATATTCATTTGGTATTCATTTACTTGTTTTCATCTCCATTTTCATTTCTTTCCCTGTAAAATCTCTTATTAATTTGTTGCGTAGTCTGTGTCTTTTTGGTGTGGGCTTCAAAATTTGGATCTCTCAATGTTTTGCTCATTCTACGCTCAGATCTTATTTGTGCTTTTTCACAAACTACGGTTACGATCTCTATTTCTCTCTTCCAGCTTCTTATTTTGTGCAATTTTTGTTCTTTGATTAACCTAGGGTTTCTGACTTTCTGTTTATTTGGATCTACGAATGGAACTAAGCTCTAAAATAGCCGTGGTACTTTTATTTTTTTTACAAAAAAATTATTGGGAAAATTAGGTTTTGCTGTTATAAATTCTGGAATTCATTGCAACATTCATGAGCTGTTTCCAGTTAAGATGCAGTGTAGATTTTTTTTATGGGACTTAATCAATACATTGAATTTTGGATTTTGATTTTCCTTTTTCTTCCCCAGGTATTCTGTTTTTTCCCTTTTCTCAGCACTTAGTTCATTCAGAAACTATATCTGAACTTTTCCAACGATTCCAATTTTGGTAACTCAAAGATTGCAGCTTTGGCTTTTTGACATCTTGGTCTGATTCAGGTATTCAATTCTTTTGGTAGATTTCTTTTTTCTATTTTTTAGTACTTTATTCTCTCTTTGTTTTTTTTTTTCTTTTTGGGTGAGATTTTGGTTAATTGAGGCAAAAGTTTCAATTTTTTTTGAGTTATTGGCAGTCTTGATAGCATATTCTATGCCTTTTGATAGTATATTCTGTTATATATAGAATGGCGTAATTCAATTTGCCAACTCAATATGTATAAATGTATAATAATTAATGCAATATGCTGTAATAAAAGACACCACAGTTTCCTTTTTTAGAATGTTAGTCGGTAAACCAATTGAATTCTGTGTAATGAGTACTATGTTTACTTTTCAAGGTCATAGAAACTAGCGTGTTTTAAATTTTAGTTTCAATTTATGGCTTATTATTCCGCGACTTATTGGCTTTTGAATTGGGTAATGAGCATTTACTTCTCAGAGGGAATACTCTATTCATATGATCAATCCTTTCTTTTTTAACATTTGGAAGCTCATCATCACCCAACAATTGAATGCTATATATTGAGTTTTGATTCTGTGCATGAGTCATCTGTTAACTATGACTTTCACATGTGTTGTTCCTTTTCAAGATAGTAATCTATATATTATTCTTATGGCTGTCCCAATTGGTTTTGTTTCCTTTTATAGCTTAATTTTGTTTCTTCATGCTTTGGCTGCTTTTAGAACGTATAATTGCATAAAGCAGGGTTGTTTTCGCCCCACTTGTAGTTTGTCGTATTCCATGGGTTGTATTGGAAAATTAATAAACGCGTTGGAGGTGGAGTGAAAGTATCAAAAACCAGTGTCTTCTCATTTATTTGTGTGTTGATTTAGTTTCTATCTTCTTTTGGTTCAGGTTCTTATCCTGCTGTTTGAATGGTTCTGAGCTGTTTAATAGGGATTGGCCGTGTGATTACAAGGAGATGAGTCACACGACAAGTGAGAGTGATGACGGGGTGCTATCCAAGGATAGGGCTGACTCGCCATTGGCTGAGGAAGGGAGCTGTGGTGGAAGTGCTAATGGAGGAATTGTGTTGAAGAAAGGGCCATGGACATCTGCTGAAGATGCAATTTTGATAGAATATGTGAAGAAGCATGGGGAGGGGAACTGGAATGCTGTTCAGAAACATTCGGGGCTTTCTCGGTGTGGCAAAAGCTGTAGATTACGATGGGCCAATCATCTTAGGCCTAACTTAAAGAAAGGGGCATTTACTCAGGAAGAAGAACAGCTAATCATTGAACTCCATGCCAAGATGGGAAACAAATGGGCACGCATGGCTGCACATGTAAGTCTATAATCTGTTTCAGTTTGATGCTTTTGGTATATATAGTCTTCTTTTCATATTAATTTTTGTGGGAATTATAGAGGGTGTAAAAACTAAAAATTATTAAGCTGAAAGTGGTTTGCATTAACATTTGTCATTGGTTGTGGATAACAATCTATGTGGTGTGGCCTATATTCTAACAGACAGTTTTTAGTGGGAACTTTCCTATGGGATTGTGATTCAGTTTTTGAGAGTTCGTTGTTCTCTACCAATTCAATTAAGATAAATCAATTTCTGAACAACCCTGGCAACCCAACCCGACCACTGCTCACCCACACAAAACCCCTTTTTTTTTGCTCGTATGCAAAATAACTATGCAACCTTATGAGAATTATTCTAATAGAATTGTATAGAATAACATGTTAAACCAAAACAAAGTTTAAAAGAAGCCATTTTACCTTCAAGGTGCAGTGCTAAAATGCCTCATAGTTTGACGGCTAGTTTACCCTGAATTTTAAAAAGAGAATTTCCCAAGCTTGTAAAACTTTTAGTATATTTTGAGAATCTTAGGAGAATTATAGTGATTGAACAACTAGATAATCTGGTCTATGAGGTCTTGGATAGTAAAGCATTCATATGATCATCTGGATAAATATTATTGTAAGTCAATGATATGAATTTCTTATCCTGGATCTTGAGTTTTGTTCTAGTGTCCTGGCCTTATCTTGAGTCCTCTTGGAAACATTTTATTGTCAGAAGAAAAAGTAGATTGGTTATCTACTTGGCATGCAAACAAGCAAAAAGAACAATAGTCATTTGATTATCTGCAGAGGAAATAAGAAGGTGCACATGAGTGTGCAAGTCGGGTGGAATAAAGGATTGGCATTGCAGAGCAGTAAATTTTGTTTCATATGGAGTTATTAGATGGTATTGGTGAAAAATTGTTGTCTGTGCTGAGGACTTGTCATGATAAATGCAAAATGCAATAAATTTTCTGATGTGGATTTCTTAGCTGCCTGCCAGTGTTATAAAAATTTACTCCTGCTCTTTTTACTAAGACTTTCTTTTGAATAATTAGAAAATAAAAAAGAAAGATGCATCTAACATTCAGGAGTTTGACTCCTATACTTTTCAAGATTTTTGCAGTAAAACCATATATATAGAGTTTTATGTTTGGTATCATTGTGATCCTTTTCCACTTTGAGATCCTGAATTTAAGTCTCGTCTTGACCAATGGAAACTTTTATCTCTTTTATGTATACCAGTTGCCTGGTCGTACAGACAATGAGATAAAGAATTACTGGAACACTCGAATTAAGAGGCGTCAACGTGCTGGATTGCCTCTTTATCCTCCTGAAGTCTCATTGCAAGCCTTGCAGGAGAGTCAGCGGGGCCTGAACGTTGGTGGAATCAGTACTGGAGACAAAGGTCATCAAGATCTCATGCGGACTAACAGTTATGAGATACCTGATGTTATATTTGACAGTTTAAAGGCCAACCAAGGCATCTCACCGTATGTCTCTGAACTTCCTGATATTTCTGCAAGCAGTATACTGGTGAAGGGTCTGGGTTCTTCTCAATACGGTAGCTTCATGTCACCATCAGTGCATCGTCAAAAGCGTTTTCGAGAGTCAACAACCTTAATACCTGGTTACAGCGGTGGTGTAAAAACTGAGTTCCCTTTGTTTGACCAGTTTCAGGATAATTCTTGTGATAAAGTTGCCCAATCCTTTGGGTTGTCTTTTCCATTTGATCCTGACCCCACCAACAAGAATCCACAGTCCTTTTGCGACAATCAGGGTGGCCATACCCTTGCAAATGGCGATTTCTCTGCTTCTAAGCCCAATTCTGGGCCTCTGAAGATGGAGCTCCCTTCACTCCAATATCCCGAAAATGATCTAGGTAGCTGGGGCACATCCCCACCACATTTACTGGAAACTGTTGACACTTTTATCCAGTCTCCACCTACAGGTGCAGTTGAATCTTCTCCACGTAACAGTGGCCTATTGGATGCTTTGCTTCACGAGGCTAAAACTCTAAGCAGTGCAAAGAATCACTCATCTGACAAGAGTTCAAATTCATCTACCGTTACTCCTGGTGAACTTGCTGAAAGTTCGGCACTGAATATTTGTGGGGCAGAGTGGGAAGATTATGGTGATCCCCTTTCCCCATTGGGTCATACTGCAACTTCTCTTTTTAGTGACTGCACTCCTATAAGTGCCAGTGGAAGTTCTTTGGATGAACCGCCACCCACTGAAACTTTTACAGGTGAGCATCTTTTACTTGTGCATTTATTAAGGACGTAGTTAAAATTGGATCACATTTTTCGTTGTCTCTAACATTATCAAATTTATTGTTTTAATATAGAGTTGTAGATTTTTCACAAAAAATTTTCCCTTTGTATGCAAAACTGGAATTATTCCATAACAATTCTAATGAGAGAACTCAGCTGGTTTTTGTTTTATTTTCTGTGTATTTTTTATTCTTAAATCGATTTCATTTTTCCACTTTTGGATCATTCTCTGTGTCTCCACTTTAAATTTTAGCTGCAAATTCCTGATCTGCACCTGTTTTGGAGTACAGCACTGTACTTAAAATTTGATGTTTTGCAGGTTGCAATGTAAAATCAGAACTGGTTGATCAAGCTTGGAGTCCAGAAAGAGAGAGAGAAACCACTAATAGGTTGGATATTACTCGCCCTGATGCTCTACTTGCTTCTGATTGGCTTGGGCAGGGTTCTGGTTATGTTAAGGAACAAGTCATTATGGCAGACAACATAGCAACACTTCTTGGTGATGATTTGAGTAGTGATTATAAGCAAATTTCTGCTGGAGCATCTACCTCAAATCAGGGATGGGGGCTTGGTTCTTGTGCGTGGAATAACATGCCTGCTGTCTGTCAAATGTCTGAACTCCCTTGAGAACTTTTATCTATCAAATTTGTGAACTCTTGATACTTTTGTTGCTTCCTTTGTGTCAACCATATCTTCAATTTGGGTAGTCAGGCCTGGGCCTGTCACCTGCTGGACCAAGAAAAGTTCATTTAGGGCAAGACTTGTGGTATAATATGTCTGAGTCGAGGTTGTTTTGTTTGTGGCATTTGGTTTCTTGCTTTGTGAAACACGCAAATACGTGTATGCCAATCCGGAACTTAGCGAGGTATACAAATGCACTGTGGCTTTTGTTTAATTGTAGAATAACTCTGCACTAAAACTCATTTTTTGTCACTTGATGTATTGAATTTGTTTTGGATGATATACTTTAGGTTTTGTTGTAATTCTTCCATTTTTTTCATGTCTAGGTTTATTTCTGGTTGTTTTGCTATTGTCCTTTGTTGTTTTTTTTGCCTCACGTGCAGTGGCCTATTGGCAATAAATTTACCTAATGAATCTTCTTTCTTTATTCTCCTTCTGAACGAAGGGTGTAGTATCAATATGAATGGGAGATGAAAATCTTCTTAAGTGTTCTTGATCTAATTCTCCAATCCATTCAACCTTATTAAGTGTTTCTTGAAGAATTTTGATGGATGCAATATAAAGTAGTTTATGAAACATGCTTACAGAGCTTAGAACTGGGGAAATTATAAATCTAACCAAAATGGACGAAAAGAAAAAACCTTGGTGGAAGACTAGGAAGAAAAAACAAGATAATTAACCTGCAGTAATCATCATAAGAAGTTGAGGGGAGACCGTATCTAAATGAAAATCTCACCACGATGACTGCACCTTATCCTGTGAAGTCTCTGTTCACATCTTTTCAACTGCCACCAGTTAAAGATTCATGAGTTGTTGATGTCTGTGATATTTTTATAGAAATCACAACTGGATCTTAATGGTGGTGATGGTGGAAATCCTATTGGGGGTGATGGTGGTAGTCTCAAACTCATCTGAGTCATAGTTTCTACAGCCTCCTGTTCTTGTGAATCATATGAGTCTGGAGTGCTACCCACTGAATAGGATTGTGCTGGGGAGTAGCCTTTGATTCCACATATTGTCTTGTCTTCTACCAAGTGATTTAAGGCATAAACCACCTGTAGCATTATCAAATTGCTTTAGCTGAAGTTTGCTGCTGTCGCAATGCTAATAGTTTAATGATCAAGCGTTGCTACTTCTAGTGATTCCAAGAGACGTTTTGCAGCATTATTCTGTACAATAATTGAATCTCTTACCTTATCCATTGTTAATCTCTTGCGAGGATCCTTGCTGAGACATTTTTCTGCTACGCGGACCATCCAATAGAGTTGATGAACATCATGGGAGTCCAAGATCCTAGGATCAATTAGATCAGGGTAGTTTTTTTCTTTTAATAGCGGCCTTGCCTGTATTTCAAAAGGAATTAAAACTCAAACAATGATCTGCTGGAATATTAAAGAGTGAAAGCAAAACTAATAGAGCCTATTTACCCATCCTACTAGACTTTTCCCTCCAAGGATCTTGTCTGTAGTCTTGAGTCCAGTGATGAGCTGCAATAGCATAACTCCAAAAGAATAAACATCTGTCTTCGTTGACACTTTCCCACATTCTGCATATTCTGGTGCCAGGTATCCTAGAGTTCCTACGACTCTTGTCTCCCAGGAGTGATCTGAATCGTCATGTTGAGTTCTTGCAAGACCAAAATCTCCAAGCTGTTACAGAGAATAATGTTGGATCAACTATTATTGCCATTTCTCAGAAGTGTAAAGGCATTTCTGTTATTAATTACCAGTGCTTCATGATCATGGGTTATAAGAATGTTGTTTGGCCTCATATCTCTATGGATGATGCTGTTGTCATGCAGATATTGCAAGCCCTTTGCAGCCCCTAAAGCTATTTTTATCCTCTTTTCCCAACTGAGTGGTCTGCGGCTGTGTTCTGCATCATTCCATCAAAACAGAAAAGTGAGGTTATGTTTATTATGAATTAGCTTATGATATACTGGATTCTTACTTGATAGATGTTGGTCCAGCGAACCATTGCAAACATATTCATAAACAAGCAGCCTATGGCTTCGTTCGGAACATGAACCCAACAGCATGACCAAATTCTCATTTCTAGCTTTGCTTAATACATTAACTTCTGACTTGAATTCCTTCTCCCCTTGAAAGCTCGCACTTTTGTGTTGCTTTACAGCAATCTTCAGCCCGCCAAGGTCTCCTCTGTAGACAGAACCAAAACCACCTTCAGATAGGAAGTTCTTGGGGGAAAATCCCTCAGTTGCAGCATGGAGTTCTGCATAAGTGAAGTCTCTTGTCCATCCAATCCTGGGTCGCCTATTCTTGCAAATTGAGCAAATGGAATTTTTGAACAATTCATCAGTCGGACCCCCTCCCATCCAATCATTATAGTTCCTATGCTGCTTCACTTCATTTGGAATGTCTGTATTCGCCTCTTTTTGACCACCTTGATTAGTATTACTTTCTGCATTTGAAAATGGGGATTGCTTTCCACCAGTTTCTCGTTCTGTATTCGAATAATCTTCCTCTTGATAACCCGGAGTTGAAGTTGAAGCACTAGTTGTCATAATCTGATCACTCGAAGAGGACTTGGGGAATGGGGTTGACCTGATTCGTGGAGCTGTTAGGTGATCTGAAGCAACAGTATCCCATGTTTAGATTCTTGTGATGTGTAAACATATATCAGTCCATCAGAATATTGTTATATTATAGCAAATGAAACACATTATACATACTTTGCGAAGAGGTTCTTTTGGTTGGACTTCCTGGTATCATTTCATCATACCCTAAGCTTTTGGTCTGAAATTTTCTTTCTGGAGGCATTATTGTCTTTAATCGTGCTTCTGGTCCTCTTAATATTTCAACACTATTGTCACGCTTCATTCTTGATATCCCACATTGGAGCTTCTCCAGGAAGTATTTCTTGTCTTTCTTCATTTGCCTGCACCGTATACATATATGGTTGAATATTTGAAATTTCACATGACTATATAATTTCATTGAAGCACAAAATTCTATATGATTAAAAACTTGAAACTTTGAGACCTATCAAGAACCACCCAAGTAGCTTTGAAAGTTTTGGCAGCTTTCAAAGCAACAACTTTTGGAGTAGCTCCTGCACGCACTTCTATATGGAAATCGATCTGACAATTTTCAAGAAGAAAAATCAATCCAATCAGCCATGTGAGTAACAAAAGTTGAGAACAACAAATTTTTTGTTTTCTTATCCATTGTGGAACAGAAGGAAAAGTTTTCATGTCGCGAAAACTTCCCCCGTTGCAGGAGAAAGAAAAAGTTCTCTTGTCATTAACAAGACCGAGAGAAAACTTTCCCTCCATCAGTAAAGGCCATTAGGCCTTAGAAATAGGAAAAGCAAATAGAAAAATTAATCTGGCTATGTGTTTATTAACCTGACCTGTTCCAGTTGACATTCTTTAGAAATTCTCATAATTTCTACATTGGTAGAGTACTCTTCCGTCTTCCTAGCAACTTCTTCTGCTATGTATTTAGGGTTTACCCCAAAAATAGAACTGGAATCCACCTTGACTTTGTATCCCACTAAAAAAGAAGCAAAAAAAAGAATAAGAGAGAAGAGATCGAAAAGGGTGTTCTGTGAGAGGGGGAAGGGAAAAATAGTTAGTAACATGAATCGAGTATCATAAAGTTGGGGGCTTTTTATGCTTTACCTGTGTATATGATTTGAACTTTTGATCGTTAGTTCCATTATACTATAAATTAAAAAAAAAAAAAAATTCTTACTGAATTTTCCAGCTCCCACGAGAGAGAACGTACTAGGGTTATTAATCTGGTGAAGAACTCCAAAGAGTATAAACACATCTCCAGGCTTAAATGAAAAGTTTTGGAGCAGCCATCTCATTGCGCCTGGATTAACATCTTTGGATGCGTCTTGGATCACCACCACTCTTTGAGGTTCACTTTTTATAGACGCTTTAGACATGGTTTATGCAGCTTGTTGGAGATGAAGACCTCTTTCACTATAACCTGTCAGGATGACCTTGTTCTTATAAAACATAAAAGATGACATAAGAACATTACAATTTTTCAGTTTTTTAATGATTTTTTTTGTTAATTTCTGTGCAAAATTTTCCGTGTTAGTGTTATTACAATTTTCTTAATTGTTTAATTGTTTTGGAATTGATTTTAGCTTTCAGGTTTTCCAAAATGAAATCATAAGAAAGGAATTCCAACTTCAGGGAAACTGCAGAAAATGAAACGAAAAACTGGAAGGATGGATTTAGAAAAAGAAGTTTCAGAAATGAATTCTATGAAATTAATGGCATATATAAAAAAGGAAGAAAAAGGTGGGTGGTGAATCCAAGCATAGCATCTCTAGAGTTAGCTTTAGCGCATATTCGATCACTCAATGTTTGAGGTTTTAATCTAGTTTTTCTTATATGCTGATAAGTCCTATGTCTCTTTTAAGACAAAATTGTAACCTGTAAATCTCTAGCCTAAAGACAGCAGGATATTGTGATGGCAACCGATAATCACGAGGCATTATGAAGAAGTCTGTCTTTGCAGGGAAGTTATTTGTTAATTGTGCTCTTTGTTGGGTTCATTGTCAAAGCTGATGGTGACTTTGCCTTGAACCAGCCTGGCATTGAAAATACAGCCGTTTTTGCAGTTGTTTTCTTAAGAACGTTTGTGCTGTCCTTAGTATCTGTCTTATCTTGCTCAAGGGACCAAAATTTATCAGTGTCGTTCAATTTTTTTTCAAGAATATGCATTTGAAACAAGATAACATATTTTCTAAGTAAAATTTTCCATTATCTCAGCTTCATTAGTAAAAATTTATACTAATAAAGTCGCTTTTGATTCAATGTACCACCTATCAGATTCCAAGTTTGAACTCCAGTCCAAGCAGAAAAAAGAAATTGTAAAACAAAAAAATGATCTTGAATCAACCAAGCTTTGTGTTTGAGCTGAAACAACCTTTTGTTCTATTGCAAGAATCAACATTGGAGATGTAGGACAGTGCTCCACTTAAATCAGCCAAATTTATGGAAAAGAAAAAAAAAAATTTTACATAAGAATCCAATGTAGATACTACGTTTGCAGCCATATCACAAGATTCTTGGCATCTTCTCTATGTTTTCACCAATTATATGTTTTTATATTCAAGATTTGATCATATTTGTTTTGCATCTTGTCTTACTATCAGATACTCAATTTTATCTTATTTGAGTTCATTCATGTTATATTTTTTATGTTTAACATTGAATTCAGAATCCATTGACTGTCCAATCAATGAATATAGCATAAAGGTGGATCTGAAAGTGTTTTGTTATTTTGGTCAATGTCTGAAAATTTTGAATATACATTCAAAATGGAATCATTTTGAGGTAGAATAGTTCCACAAGGATGGGAAAGATTATTAAAACTAAGAATGTTTAAAAATCTTATAATTTAAAAATTTAATGCAAAATTTGGTAGATCTTTTTCTTTAAATTCTTAGTAATTTCATATAATCTAGATAGAATTCATTAAAGATTGAATACCAAGCTTCCAAAAGTTCCTTGTCACTTCCAATAACAAAAGGCAAGTTCCAATCAGAATTGGAAAACCAGAAGAGGAATCATCTTCTTCAACCACAACTTGTTCTTTTACTGATTTGACTTTTTTCAAGCGGGTAGTGCTACTGCTACTAAATTCTCTTATAGGTTCCCATTCAGGGAATTGGCGGGAGCCATTAGTGTTGTTAGGGACATTGCTGCTTCTAGTGCTTAAGTTATAGCGTGAAAATTTGGTGCTTTTGGTATTATATGAGGTCGGGCGCATTGATTCCTTCACGGAAGGAGAAGAAGAAGAAGAGAAGAAGAAGATTTCCGAATTCGATGTCTACTCCCCATGGCCTCTTTAACCTCCTCAAACTAAATTACTAAGGATTATGGGTCAATGATATCTGGAGATTCAGCGAAAGTAGGGGGTGACCGGCGATTTTCAGCTCCGAAGACATTGGGAATTCGAGCTTTGGAGGATCAGAACCAAACGACGCTGTTTAAAACTTGGTCGTCCAAGCGTTTTTCCCTCGTAAATTTGTCGAACGACATAACGGCCAAACTATCCGTCATTTGGTCCTTGTCAACTGTATACTAGCGCGCCTATGGACCCTGTCGCTTGAAGCGGCCCCACCTGTTTTTTAGTTTTTCCAGAACCCTAACTAAACCCTTCTCTGTCAAAAACACTCTCCTCTTCTCTATCTGTGTTTCCAGATTCTAAAGGAACTTTCCTGTCTAAATGGCCAATAAATTGGTCAGAAACCTATTTTTTCATATACAAAAGCGTTTTCTAAATGCATCTGCAACTGGAAAACTCTCTCCTAGATCTCCGTTACCCACTACCTCAAATTCTTCATCATCAACATTTACCGTTCAATTCCTTGTGAAATCATGTGGGCTTCCCTTAAAATCAGCACGTTCAGTCTCACGAACCTTACAGCTCGACGAAAAGAACCAACAGAGGTATCAATCTGTAATGGAACTCTTGAAATCTCACAATTTCAGCGGTACCCAGGTGGCCAAATTGATCGTAAAGAAACCTGCAATCCTCCAATGCAGAGTAGAGAACAACCTTTTTCCCAAATTCAATTATCTCAAAGAAAATGGTTTTGCGGGCGAGCTTCTACCTGAGCTTTTCTTGTCGAATCCGGTAATTATACAACGAGCTTTAAATTCTCATATCAAACCAACTTTTGATTTCTTGAGGTCTGTACTTGATAGTGATGACAAAGTTGTAGCGGCTATTAGGCGTTCTTCATGGTTGTTGACTTCTGATTTGAAGGGAAGAATGCAACCAAACATTGATCTCTTAGTAAAAGTGGGAGTACCTGCTCATAGCATAGAAAAGATTGTTATTTTGCAGCCTAGAGTTATCAGTCAAAACCATGATAGGATGGTCCATGCAGTGCATGCTGTTAATAATCTGGGCATTCAACCAACTGCTCGTAGGTTTGTACATGCTGTTAGGGTGATGATGTCAATGAGTGACTTCACTTGGAAGAAGAAATTTGAGCTGTTAAAGAATGTGGGGTGGAGTGAAGAAGAGATTTTCTCTGCGTTTAAGAAAAAGCCACACTTTTTGGCTTCTTCAGAGGAGAAATTCAAGAATGCTATGGATTTTTACTTGAATACTATGAAGTTGCAACCCCAAACTTTAATTGCATCTCCCATTTTTCTTATGCATTCAGTTGATAAAAGGCTTCGCCCGAGGTATAATGTTTTACAGGCTTTGGAATCAAAGAAACTGATTGAAGGACGCAAGAAGATTGAGTGGTTGCTATTAATAAGTGAGAAGAATTTTCAGAAGAATTTTGTTAGCAAGTATGCAGCTGAAGTCCCAGGTTTATTGGAGATGTATCTTGGTACCCGCAATGCCACAAAGAGAGATACTTGTTAGCAAAGAAGTAAAGTTTGTATCTGCAATAATGCAAAATACATCAGTAGTTACTTTCCTTTTTTCTTGGTGAATTAGAGCCAGATGTTTGCTTGTTCCAATATTTATTGGTGCAATTACCTGGATGTTGCCTCATAGGCTCATACCATTTTGGATATTGGTGCTTCATGATACTTTTTTTCTTCGGTCACTTTCTGAGTTCTTAAACTTACAAGATTTATGTGGGTGACAACTTGACCATCTGAACTTCTCAAAGTTCTTGAATTTTGATGTTAGAGAATCTTGGTTCCTTTTTTGAGGTGCTTTTACAGTGAATTTGTTTTGTTTCTATTATCTTTGGAAGTACTGCTAACTTTCACCTTCATGTTTATAGCTTATCTAAATTCTGGGAAATGTGACAAACAATTAGAAAATAAATGGCCTATATAAATTGGATATCACATTTTCCTATTCCCATACCATTTTTTATCGTATATGTTGGGGTGGGGATGGGATAGAGGAGGGGGAGACTAGAAGGATGGAGACGCTGGTTGAGTCGGCAAGATTCTGAAAGTTTTAAGCGCATAATGCAATAGCAAATAGCGGTGGAAGTGGTATATTTTGTTTCAAATGGTATCATGACCTCCCAATCGAAGAGCAGCAATCCTAAACGCCAAACACTAGTCAGCCATATTTTTTGTTGATAGCCATTCATGCAGCGTAAGAGTGTCACCTTGAGACTGGAAGTTTTTTGAGCTTGATTACTCCTAAACTTAATGTGACATTTTTTGTTTTCTCCTGTTCCCCACTGTCATTGATCAAATGAGAATAGATAAGAGGCTCGCGTGGGATTCATTCACATTATTCAAGCAATTTTTTCTTTCACAAAATTGCCTGAGACCTATGCCTTTTTGAATCCAATCGCAGAGTTTGTCATTTGTCCTTGTACTCTTTTCATTATAGCCCCTGTCTAAGTCAAACTCGATAGAATTCGATCAATCTTGTTTTCTGTTGTTAATTTGCTTGGGGATGAATACAGAATCGGAACCTCTGTGGTAACGCAATGGCTCCTCGAGGATAATCTTTGCAAATTATTATTATTTATGAGCTAGTGCTCTTTAATAGATCAATAGCTTCCTCATTCTTGATTCTGTAATCTTGGCTGCTACATTGCTTAGTACTACTAAATTGATTCTGTAATTCTGTAAGTTTTTTTTTTTGAATTACATAGCAAGTGCCTCTAACTTATTGGGTCAAAGTATAATCCTACTTGCATCGGATCAGACCCATAAGGAGAAGCTTACCCAACAATGATTTGCAAAATTTTAATGCAAAATGTCAGTACTCTTTAGGTAAATCATAAACGTCTATTGTATCAGTAATAACAGTATTAATAAAAGAAACAACAAATAAAAACCTTAACCATATTATCACCTTAAAAATCCTTAAATTTATGTCGTCCGACGAAAGTTGTCGCTTGAAACGACCGGCCTTTTGGCAAGGAAGGAAGACGCGCTCGTTCGTAAGACAAACGACAGAACCAAATAAGTACGACAAATTCAGTCAGGAAGCTCCCTTCAAAAGATCAAAATCCTGAAAGAAAAAGAAAAAAAAAAAAAGGAAACAAAACACGAAAAGCGAGAAACAACATGTCGTTTTCGGACGTTATATAATCTGTTGGAGTTTCAAACTGATCCTCTCAGCTAGAATTACCAATGTCTTTCGCGCTGAAAATCGCTGGCAATTCAGTACTCTCCTTGCATCACCAGGTAACTCGATTCACTGCTTAATTACATTTCACCTATTACGTTTTTGTTTCATTCATTCGGTAATCACGGATTTCTTTTCTTTTTTTTTTTCGTTATATTTTTCATTATAATTTGTTTAGGGTTTCAATAAGCTTCCCTGCACATCCATTTCTGTTGTTCCAAGGATTTTTTACTTGCGGAAATTGGAGAATTCCTCGCTACATCAGATCCATACTCGACGAATCTTGTCATTTAAAGGCGAAGGCAGTGTGAGTGGTTGATTTTAGTCGTTGCAAATCAAGAGTTACCCGCTTTTTGACAATTTACAAAATTCCAATTGAGATTGAATGAAATGATTGATTTCCGTTAAGTTTTTTCCTAGAAATATAATGGGTTATTGTTAGGCTGTGAAAGTGCTATACTTTATGAGTGTGCCTCTTTTCTAATTTCTTTTAAAATTAATTATAGTGTTTAAAACACTGTTTGGTCTTTAAGATCAGGCTTATGGTTCTTCAGATCCTGACATCGCCAATTCTAATCTTGAAGGTACACTATTTCTTCATGTGCTTGTATATAATGTATTGTATTTTGATGCCTGCCAACTCTAATATAAACTTACAGTTTTTCCTCCTCCATGTTAAATTTAGATTTTGAATTTTCAGGTTCAGGGGAAAAAGCTGGATCAGATCAAGAATCTTTCACTTCCAGCGAGTACATACTGCTTGCCTTGATTTTTGAAATATAATGCGTCGGTATATGTGCCTAAAATTAAATGTTCTCGAAGCTTAAGTAGTGAGTCATTGTCTATATGATTGGATTTTGCAATTAAATGAAAGGAACATAGAATGTAAGTTGGAATATATCTATATCCTCTTGTCTTTACTCTGTTATATATCATATTGTTTTAAATTGCCAGGATATTGAAGAAACTAAAGAGATATGGAATCTCAGGAGTGTTGTCCTATGGGCTCTTGAATACTGCCTACTACCTCACGACCTTTCTCTTGGTGTGGTGAGTGAAATTATCTGTGAATTGAGGGCATCATCTTGTTCATGACTTGTATTATATCGGCATTGTCCTGTAATGTGTTGCCTGGTTGAGATATTATGGGTGTTGAACAGTATATTACTTGCTTGCTAGGTTTTATGTTGCTCCAGCTCCTGGAAAAATGGGTTACTTAGCTGCCGTGGAAAGGTAACCACTCACCTTCCAATTTCTAAATGCTAATGTGAGTAGAAAACGATAAGATTATTGCTCAGCTTCCAAGATTTTAATGATCTGCAGATTTCTGAAAGTGATGGCCATGGTATGGGCTGGGAGTCAAGTTACTAAGCTTGTAAGAGCTGGAGGGTGAGCTGCTAGAACTCAATGACCATCCTATTTTTCCAGTCTAATTGTATTGACGGCCATGAATAAACAGAACTTGTTGCAGATCTATTGTTTACTACTGAAACTTGCCTGGTCTGTTTAATCATGCCAAATCCTTCATTCTATGGTCTACTGGTTCAAACCCTCTAAATTTCATGAATACCTCTCCTTTTCTTAAAGTGGCTTGACAAATGGGTAGCTGATGGCTTTGAGTGATTGTTGAGCTTCTAAATGGTATAAGTTATCACAATAGCTGCTAGCCATTGTATTTTGTTGTTCTGAAAACTGATTTTCTTATATGAATCATTATGATTTATTTTTTAACATATTATTCTCCATTTTTAATGATAATAGTTGTGGCCTTTCATGTTTAGAATTGCATAACTATGATTCATATTCTGGGCTGCTATTTTAATTGTTTTCCTAGTGTCAAACTTGTGGTTCTGGATGCAAATATATTTCTGAAGCATCTGTTTCTTAAAGAGATTATCTTGTTCAGGGCTCTAGCTCTTGCACCTTTTGTAGACAGAGGATTGTCGTGGTTCACTGTTAAATTTAAATTCGAGTCTCAGGGGAAGGTATGTTAGTGTGGAACACAAAATGTTTTTCATTCAGGTCAGTTACCTTTATCTAATATGATTTCCTACTTCCAGGCTTTCATGGCAGTTGTTGGATTCTGTTTTGGTCTGGCCATCATCCTATTTTTGGTCGTGACATTGCTATGGGCGTAGAGTTACATCTGCATTTTTTTCATGTGAAGCCCAAGACCAAATATATATAATTGGGAGTGCAATAAAATCATTTCTGAATTGCCAACTCAGGAGATAAGAAGAGTGAAAGAGGCTTCTCTAACCTTTGACTTTGCCTTGTAAAGATTACGGAATATGTAGTTCAACATTAGTTGTAAAAAGATCTTATTCTTTGCCTGCTCAGGGCTTCGTGTTTCAATGCTTCGTAATATTTAAAAGATCATTATAAATAGTTAATTACTTGCAAAATTGCTGAGAAATAAAAGATTTTGCACATTCAGAAGTGAAAAATGACAAGTGTCCACAACATCAAATGCTACAGGTATCTCTACCAAGCTCCATATAATACAAACAGATCAGAATAATTGATGTTCAATAAAGGATTGAGGTCAAACCTATTTCTTCCATCCTCTATGCCTATCTATATGAACCACAAGTTTTGATTATTAATGGTTGTTTTCTCTGTACATGTGAACCAGTGGTTACTATAGATCAAGGTTACATGCACTCAGTATTCTAAAGTCAGGATTTTTTATCCCTGTTGTGGATTTGAAAGCTCCAGAATAGACCCTGATTTTCCTCCAAGGAACCGCAGGCTTCAAGTCAACTCTCAAATTGCTCCAAACCTGGAAACTTGAAGCTTTGAAATCCTCCCTTGGGAATACAGAAAGTTGTTTGCTTGGTGGGTAACAACTTATTTCCCATTTCATCTGTGCAGGTCTCAAGACCACAAGCATTACAAAACCGTTCCAGATCTGATTCCTAAAAGTAAATACAGCTTTCATTATTCAATATATATTAATCATCCCACTAAAATGCAGTGAGTTCTAATAAGTGAAAAGCCTACCTTCATTATCAATAGCTTTGATAAATGTACCAAAGGATATGGATGAAGCTTGTAGCCGACATTATTCATACAGGACAGAGACAGCGCACGAACCTGCAAGATTAAAAAAAAAAATGTTTAAGAAAACATGGATAGGGCAACATCAGGTACCCTTAACATAACTTTGGAAGCAATCCGGATAAGTTCGATAAGGACCAAAGAGATGACAAAGGGAAGTTTTAATTCAATGAAGTATAATAATTTGTCAAACAAGAGAAACTGAAAACCTCAAAAACAAAATAAGGAATAGGGATAAATAAGGAAGAGGAAAAAGAAAACTAACAAAATGAGTGCTTGTACCAAAACTAATAGATATTTCAGGAGAAAACAAGAGGGAGGGAAAAGACGGGGGAAGATATTTCCATCAGCTGATAAAACAACCCCTCCCTCTGATCAATGTTATGAGAAAGCAAAAGATAAAATCAGACAGACACATTACCTCATCAATGTAAGGTTCAATAATACAGTACTGTAAATAAGATGCCTCAGCAGCTATGGTACAAAAGAAACGCTTGTAATTGCCCATACGAAAAGATCTGCATAAAAAATGAAATCATTAGAATATTTCATAGACATTGAAACTTGAGAAAAAATTAAAATGGAAGCCTATCTTAAATGAGAGAATAGCAGAACACTGAATGGAAGAAAAATTGGACTATGTACCGTAAAACACTCCGGGCAAAATACATTTCTTTTGACCTGATGATTGGACGAGGCACTCGGCGAAACCACAAAGAAAGAGACTCCCCCTGTGAATCAGAAATGGTAATACATAATATTTAGTACCTCGGACAAGGATGTCTTTATTTATGATGAGAATGAGTCAACCACACAAATGAAGTAGAATTCAACCGCTGGTTGGCTTCTAGAATCAAGATGAAGAAGCACATAAAGTGAACGAAACTCAGCCTCATTTTCATAAATGGGATCTCGATTTTCATCATACAGGGCATATAGAGAGGTCAGAGACTTTATAAGCTGCTCCATGTTCAGGTGATGCACTGAAGAAATATTTGCATTGCTACCACAACATAGAAGCTTATGGTGTGATACTACATGAAATTTAACCTGTGTAACAAAAATAAGTTAGAATTCACATGCATGCCTGAAACTCCTAGTACGGAAGAAAAAATAAAAAAGAAAGAAGAAGAGAAGAAAAAGAAAGAAACGGTGCTTTCATAGAATAAAGTTTTAGATCTAGCAAATTATAGATTATCCACAGTTCATTTCAAAAGTGAATGCTACCAGTACGCAATAGAAGATTACTTTAATATTGGCCATCCACCTAGGGGCACCTGGGGTTTGCATCTTATGCACATATCATGACAAACATAAATAACTATTTCTCAATTCTTATGAGAGAAGTAAATCTAATACATGATGAATAAGTCGGTGGCTCCCTGTAAGCCTCTGTCTGCTAAGGACTCTATAAGTTACAGCTCCTGTCTCCACACTTATGGAGCTGACCAATTCACTTCATCCACTGTCTACATTACCGTTACTCCCAAATAAGATGAAGCCTAAAAACCAAAGATATTTGCCCCTGTAGGGAAACTGACATTTACCAAAAAAAAAATTACTTGCAGCAGTTGGCCTACTGGGAAATGAATATTTAGAAGGGGAAGACAATTGAGAGGTTTCTGCCGACAAAATTATACCATTTTCTCATACATAGAAATTGCTTTGTCATTGACTATATTTTGCATGCTAAGATCTTGTCTTATGGACCTTGTCCTGTCAAAGATGAAATCGTGAACTACTTCAAAAGGATGGTCTGTGGAATCTGCCAAATTTAAAAGGTAGCTCAAAGTGTCCTCCAATATTGGGAGTGGCCGCACATCAGATGCCTGCATTTGCTTGGTTGATATAGTTCTGCAAAACTAATTAGAAAAGAGAAAAGTGAATCAGTCTTCAAGATTGAAATTTGAACAAACATGTATTTTAAATTTATAAGTACCTAATGACTAGCGTAAGGACTCTAAAACTGCTTTTGCTTCTTTTTATCCAAAACAATATAAGCTTAGAATACAAACCACCTTAACATTAGAGCAAACGTATGCAGCTATTACATGAGCAAGCATTGAAAAAATGAACTAAAGCAGCAAGCATAATTGTTATAAATCTAAAAGGTAACCAATCCAAAGCCCAATGAACTATTGAAAAAGCTGGCATTTTCAGACATAGCCCAATATCTATCCTGTCGACTTGTTATATTCTTTAAGGTGTATTAGGAAATGTAAAGTCCTCTTAAAGTAATTAAAAAATGTAAAATAAAATTGGATTGCCAAAGGAGAATATAATTCAGTTTTTTACAAGGGAAATGTGAAAGGCAATGGTGACAGCATTCTGAAAGGGTTCCAAATAAGCTTAACAAATTAACTCTCCATTATACAGCTGAAATTATTGGGAACGCTCAGTGAAGTGTAGTTTGTACACTATCCACTCCAAGATGCAAAAAGCATAAAAGATGAGATTACCTTTTTAACAGCTAGGCTAGGAGATGTTTTCCCTGGATTTCCATGCAGCCTCTCAAAAATAGCTAAATCGCGCAGCCGCTCTCTTTGGGCCCTTTCCCCCTCTAATAGCACAAAGATGAAAACAAAAGTAACAGAAGTTGACAAATAAAAGAAGAAAAAAATAATTGTCAAAACAACAAATGTGTATCCTCATTCATGGCATGCTTCATTGCAAGTGACCAGATTAAATTTTTTAGAATTGAAAAAGGAAGGTTAGCGTTTATAATGAAAAAAAAAAAAAAAAATCTTGTATTTTAAACTTTTGCTATCGATACTCACCTACTATGACCTTAGCGTCAAATGAGGAGCTCATAAAACAAACTGCTTTATCGCTTTCTTTCTTATCCAACAAACATTATAAAGTTCTTAGAATACAAACACCTTCTCAATCCATTCTCAGACGAATCTCTTCATTAGCTAATGAGCCAACATTGCGAAAAATGATGAACTATAATACAGCGAGCAGCGCGTCTATAAATTTGTTATAAATCTTTACAAGGCTTACACCCTCATATCCTCAAAAGGCCCAATGATAACATCAGCAGTTTCTTGCACAAGCATGTTAACATATTGAAAGCTCGGCCACTTTTACACGACACTAGCCTCCTATGAATATCTATTCCTATTTTCTTACTCTGTGAATATTCTTTAAAAGGCTGTATTCAGGAAATGTAAGCTCCTCACTTAAAGTCAATTAACAAACATGTAAATATTAACAATTTGATTGCCAATAAGTAGTATCTATCAATTCTAGTTTCTACACCGGGATAATAGTAGATAAATGGTAGCAATGGTGAAATCAGCTCATTTCTGAAAGAGTTTCCAAATAAGAACCTATAACCTCCAAAATTCACACTTCTCCATTCTGCGTTCTATACCAGCTCGAAACTGTATTAGGCGAATAATACACGCCTCAGGTTAGAAGTTGTAAGTTTATGTACACCTATCCACATCCCATAGATGCAACCATGCAATACCAGATGGAATTTACGCGCTTTCTTTCAACCAGTGCTTAGGCTAGGAAGATGTTCTGTCCTCTCCTGGATTCTTCCCATTGCTCTCTAGTCCTCTCTGCAACAAAAATAGTAAATGCGTCCGCAGTCCTCCGCTTTCTCTTTGGGGCCCTTTCTCCTCTAATAGCACAATCAAGATGCATAAAAATCAAATATGTAACCAGAATCGATTGACAAATAAAAGCAACTGAAAAATTTTCATCACACTTGTGTCAAAACAACAACCATGTGTTATCCTACATTCATTGGATGTCTTCCATGGCCATGTACCAGATTTAATATTTTTAGGATTGAAAAACAAGGCGGCTTAGCGTTTTTATAACATGTATAAAATAAATAAAAAAAAAAATCTTCCCCTAATTGTTGCTCTCCGCCTTTTAATAGTACTGCAACTACAACTTACTGGAAGCGCTACACGAAATTTCACCTAGGGAAACACTTACTGCAGGCTTCGCTTGTGGCCTCCCTCCCATATTGTTTCGCTCGCTTGGTGGGCTCATCTCCCATACTAAAAGAGAATGGTAGCCATGACTTGAATCAAATGGTTTAGTTATGGCCACTCACGCCTAGTAGGGTATACAGCAAAGGAAGTTACAACTACGACTATCTAAGGTACGATCATGCAAGAAAGGAGACGGCCTTCGTCATGACATCCGCATCGATTTCCAAAATTAGGCCCTTTACCTCACCCCACTCCCTCCACCTATAACGATAACAAATATAATCTCTTTTAAACAGTTCACCTCTTCTTCTTGCCTCGCTTGATCCTTTACACCCAATTACTGAGAAGGAACTCGGATATTCAAGATAAACCAGATTATGCCGGTCCGTTATCATATACCCAATTAGCAGAATCGTCAAGAACTTTTCTTAAACGTCCTCCTATAGTTATTAAACAATATGGCTTTCAAAATATCAAAAACCACACTCAGGCGATGTAACGTATAACTCAGAAATAGGTGTGCAATTAGTCTCCATATCTATCCCATTAGTGAGCGTGTTAAGAGTTAGATTATAGCAAACAAGAAAAAAGAAATAAACTTAAAAAATAAATCTGATCTTACGAGTAATTCTACTTGGGCACATTAACAGAAGGTGAAAAAAAAAAAAAAAAATCTTCCTAATCTGTGCTTCCAGTTTTAAGACAGCAACTACAATACTGGAAGCCAACAGAAAATTTATGGAAAAAACTATGCATGCTTGTGGCTCCCAAAGTCGCTGTCTTTCCCATAAAAAGAAATGGTAGCATGACTGATATGGGTAGTTAGCATCACCTAGTAGTATACAGCAAGGAAGTACAATAGATATCTAAGGTAGATAGAAGAAAGGGAGAGCGCCTGTCTGACATCCCACGATTTCCAAATTAGGCACTTTACTCACCACTACCTCCATATAACGAACAAAAAACTCTTTAAAAAGTACCATCTTTTTGCTGTGCCTTTCACCAAAATGAAGAAGGAACGGATCAAGAAACCAGATATGGACTAATACATTAGCCAGAAAGTCAAGAATTTAACGCTTCCAGTATAAAGATATGGATCAAATATCAAAAACTGGCATTAAATATACTAGTAATAGTTCAATTAGTCTATCTCTATCCATGTTAAGAGTAGATGATAGAAAAAAAAAAAAATAAATAAAAAAAACTGATTTACGAGTAATTTACCTGGGCACATAAAAGGGCAAGTTCCAATCAAAATAGGAAAAGCAGAAGTGGAATCATCTCCTTTAACTACAACTTGTTCTTCTTCTGATTCGACTTTTTCAAAGTGGGCAGTGCCACTACTCGATTTTCTTCTGGGTTTCAATTCGGGGAGTTGGCGGGAGCTATTAGTGTTCCTTGGGACATTTTTGCTTCTAGTGCTTGGGCTATAGCGTGAAAGTTTGGTGCTTTCGGTATTATTTGAGGTCAAACGCATTGATCCGTTCATGGAAGAAGAAGAAGAAGAAGAAGAAGGAGTAGTAGGATTTCGACTCTGATGTATCCTCTCCATGGCGTCTTTAACCTCCAGAAAGTGGATCAAGTTAAATTAAGCAGGAATTTGATTCAGTGGTATCTAGTGATGCGGCGAAAGTAGAGGATAACCGGAAAATTTCAGCTCGAGAGACATTGTAAATTCAAGCCTTAGAGGACAGAGATAAACGATGTGTAGTTTAAAAGTTGGTCGATCAAGCTTTTTATCCACTTAACTCGGTCGAGCGATACGAACGACATAATGGCCGACCTATGCATAATTGGTCCTTGTCAACTGTAAAAACCTTGCGCGCTTATGCACCCCGTCGTTTGAAGTGGGCTCACCTGTTCATCCAGGAGCCCTAACAAAAGCGTTTTCTAAGTTCAGTGCATCTGCTTAGTCTGCACCAACCAAAGCAGCTCTAGTGTACCCTACGAATGCATCTGCTTAGTAGCAAGATTCTGCACCAACCAAAGCACGTACCAGCAAGTACAGCAAGGCACTTCGTAGGTAAAATGTAAACATATAGAGAGAGAGAGAGGCTCGGATTGGCCAGTTCAGTTGCCTTTTGCAGCCCAAGAAAATGTATTGAATTATTAAACTTCATAGATTTGCTACTGGTGACAGCAACTGAAATCTATGAAACCAGTTAAATGTGCTTCAAATTTCGCATCGCTAAAAGAGAATAAAAATTTACTCCCGTTGAGTTAAGATGGATAACCCACAAAACACAAACTAAACTAATATGCACGACTTGTGAAATGAAAAATCAATCACCAAGAGATGCATCTCATATTTGTTTAGTAATACAACAGAGAAAAGCACAATAATGTGAAAATGCCAAAATTTGATAAAAAAAATCCGACTTTGAGAGTACACAGTATAAAGAACCATAATAAAAACGCCACTGGATAACATAATAACATAACAAAGGAATGCTCCTATCAGTTGGTAAGCTCCATGATGGCAGAAACTATGTCCCCGTCAGCAGCTTTCAAAGCCTTCACAGCCTTTGCCCTGGAGACTCCAGCCTGGGTCATCACCAATTCAATATCCTTTGGCTCCACTCCTGTTTCATCCACCTCTTCATCATCCTGAGCCATTGCTGAAGTCTCAGGCTTGGAAATTACATGACTGAGATCAGGAGCCTTGAACTGCTCTGCAGCCTGAGTTTGCAATTGTGAGCTCAAGTCCTCAATCTTAGCTTCTCCAAAGATAACATAAGTGTCTGATGTTGGGCTTTTGAAAACATCAGGTTTTGATATAACAAACAAAATCTGGTTAAGACAACCAGTTCCAAGCATTAGCAAACAAAACAAAAATATGTAAAAGAAAGAGAATTTATAAACAAACAATTTGAATGATCAAAGCAAATAGAACACACATTCTTGCTCTTTTTGACAGTAACCCGACTAACACCAGGTATGGGTTTCATTCCAAGCTTTAACATTGCTTTCCGACTCTTCTTTTCACTTCGGCTTTGCTTTGACCTACCACTTGCATCTCCATCATGTTGTCCTGCAAGAATTAAAAGGTCAAGGAGAAACTTTATTGGCTTAAATAACATAACAAATAATCTTGAGACTTGTAAATAATGAGTCAAAGGTACCCTCAGCTTCATCTTCATCTTTGTCGTCGTCTTCATCATCATCCTCATCCTCGTCTTCATCTTCATCTTCAACCACAGGCTTATCAGACTTCAAACAAAAGAATTATTGTCAATATCACCCATGGATATAAGAACAGCCATGAACATAAGAACAGTATGAATGATAAAGCAGAAAAACAATAACATGAGAATGTAACAAAACTACACAGCAAAAGGACAAGAAAACAAGAACTAAAATTACCTAGGTAAACAATATGTAGTAACAATCCGCTTGATCAGACTACATGCCCATACGATGAACTTGGAATAACAGAAGACATTACAAGCATTATGACCAGTAAACAGTTATGGCAGTATTTTCATGTAGAATTACAAACTGAGTTCTGTATCATAATTTTATGAGTTTCATTCTAAACTATGATCCTATTCACATTCAATTATAACGAATAAATACGAGTCATACAGAGACATTATTCAGTTATCATGTGTCTTCCGACCTAAAGAAAGTGTCTAAGTATTAAATTTGGCAACTTTTTGCGCCAAAGCACCCAAAACGCATAAAATTATCAACTGATAATAACCAACAAATATACAACATTAATCATCTAAAACACAGAAGGGCTGCAACTGAAGAACAACATAACTATTCTTTGTTATCAAAAAATTGCATTTGAAGTTTCAAGTCCATTTGTCTATTAACTGTAATCTAGCAACTGGGCAACTAAATAAAATGGTTCAAGAAGTATATAACCACATCAGATCCAGCACAAACAAGACAATCTAGTGATCAATTACTATAAAGATGAGTAAAGACACCGTCTTTTTTCAAATTCCAATACAAAATTAACAGATGAAATGAACACGAATATGAAAACAGAGAAATAGAGAGAGGATTACTTCGAGAATCTTTTGAGCTTCAAGCTGAGCAGCGAGCTCATCCTGGGTCTCGGCAGTCATGATTTTCTTTGATTAGGGAGAGATTCGCAGGGAAGAGTGGACTTAGAACGCTCGAACACACCAAAACCCTAAAACCCCAAAAGGATGCAAATGTGTAATTGGAAGAGACGCGCTTTATATTTAGGGGTGTTATGAAATTACAAGACCGACATTGGTCTTTCAGTTATATATTTGGGCCCATTTCATATGGCCATGGGCTGTACTAGACAGCCCAACATCTAATTTTCATTATTTTTGTGAAATTTATGGCTTGAATCTAAATTTTCAATTTAAAATCACAAACTCTATATTTTATGTTTTAGTTATTTCATCTTTTATACATTAACATATGATATGAATTTAAGATAGTACAACAAAGTTTGACCATTAATTTCGATATGAATTTCAGATAGCACAAGACAATTGAAATATTAATTTTTTAACATAAAAATATATATATTATCCAAAGTAATAAATTTATATTATTAATTTTACAGGATAGAAGATTCAAATTATGCAAAGTTAGAAATGAAAGAATAAGAGTATCTTGAATTATATTATTTATTTATAATTATTTTTTAATTTTCTCAAATATCTCATTGCTCATATTCCATTTATTTCAAAGAAAAAAATTTTTTTAGTATTTTATTCAAAACACCAACTTAGACTTAACCTTCACTTTGTTATGGAGCAAAATATTTTGAATTTTTATTGGAAAATTTTCTTTTCAATTTAAAAAGAGTTCTAACAAAGGAATAAAATTATCCCTTTCAGGTTTGAAAATGAATTTGAAACAGTAAGAATAGCCACTCCTGCAAGTAGTTCAACCATCAGCATCATGCAGAATTGCAGAGATCAACAAAACAGAAAGAACTAAGAATCAGAGAGTGAGAAGGGAGTTCTGGTCAAATATATATAATCCTTGCCAGATATCAAAGTCACAAAAAGGTGTATCTACTTGACTTTCTATAAAAAGATCAAGCCCATTTTTCTCGTGTTGTTTCTTGTTAGCAATGCAATTCAACTACAGGAAAATCAAAAAAGAGCAGCTAGTTCACTTGCCTAGTAATATACTTGGAATATACGATACAATGTTAGGAGGAATTTCGCCAAATCAGTAATGGCAATTTCAGAACCATCCGCTTCCACTAGCAGTGAAAGAAGAGTTCTTCCCAGTCTCTCAACTATTTCTGTCATTGGTGTCCTTGTTTCCCCAACCACAATTCCCACCAAAATTACTGCTACCACGTACCCAGTCATTGCCACTTGCAGGACCACTTCCAAGGATACCCTTTGAGTCATTAACAATTCTGCCCCAATTGCCACTGCCAGCATTCCCAGCTCTCTCAGTGTTAGTCCAACTGTCGCTGAAGTGAGCACCCCAATTTCCACCACCATCCTCACCTGTATCTTTGGTATTATGCCCCAGTTGGAGGTGCTGTGTCCAAAATCATTTCCACTGCATTCGTTATTACCCCTTCCGTTACTAAAGCCACAGCCACGGCCACGCTCAGTATTGCCACTCCATTCACCTGTCCTTCCTCTCCCACTTGTATCCTTGCCAATGCCACCTCCACTCCAATTTCCTCCTGCAGTTTTACCACTTCCATGGCTGCTACATCCACCAGAGAGGCTTTCTTTGAGGATATCATCACCTCCACTACTTGCAGAATCATGACCATCTCCACGGCTGTAAGCCTCCCCACAGCTCCCCCATTTGCCACCCCTATCCCCACCTTCACCCCAGCTGCCACCAATAGCACTTCTACCCTCATTGCTTTCAGTCCAACTACCATTATTATTAGCACCATCACTACTCCAATTCCCTCCAATGGCACTGTCATTTCCACACCATCACTACTCCAAAGGAATTGGAAATCAGTTGATATATTAAACCATATGACATTGCTCCTATGAAGCATATACAAGCATGGAGAACAAGCTATCAGTACTTATTCTCTTCAAAATACAGAAAAGAAAAGAAAACAATATACTAAAATTTCAGCAATTCATACACACCACTATAAAGGAAAATATATCATAACCCAATATTAAATTGTATTCAAATGGAACGCACACTAATGGGAAAATCAAACAGCACCTAATCCAAAAGGATGACCATTTTCCAGTAAGATTCAACTACAATTGACATAACTACCAGAACAAAACTTATAGCCAAAAGTTCATGAGTGAAAAAAAAAAATCTCATGTATTTTTTAACAATAAAAATAATTAAATATATTTATGGGTCTGTTAGAGACTTATTAATTCAAAATTATTATCAAATTGAGAGTGGGATCAGTTAATTGTAGTGCACGTTTGAGTGAGATTAGTTAGAAGACAACTCAAGAAAGGAGAAAGCAAGTTTTCTATTTCTATACAAGCCGTGCAACAGTAAAAAATTAGTCTCGTTGACAAATAGAGAAAAAGTAAAAAGTAAAAAGTAAAAATAATGCCCTGGGGGTGGTTGTTGAAAGTTAAAAGCAGCATTAGGATTAAAAACAAGTAGCTACACTTCACCATGCACTTTATTAGGTTCATTGACTGAGCTTTTGAAAAATATATTGAGTCGATTGTTTTATTATAAATACGGAAATTTATTTATAGATGAATTTTATTTGGAATTCATGCGTAAATATATTCGATATTTTGAATTTATTTATACTGAACAGAGAGTGTAAATGTTTTAAATAATTTGAATTTTCATTCTGAACATTATTAAGATATTTACTTCATTCATTGATACAGTATATCATTTTTTTTTTTTTTGAAAAGAACAGTATATCATTTTTAAAATTATATTTATCATTTTATGGCTACATTGTCAAGTGAAATTTACTTCATTATAGTAATGCGTTAAAAGTTTAAACTCACAATATCGTAAAAATACTTTTATTGAAAAATATTTTCTGGATAAACAAACCTTATTAAACAAAACAAAATAAAACCTAATTTTGAAAAATTCAAATGGTATTACAATAGATTAATTAGAAGTTGCAAACAATGCAGAAATTCTAACTTATTACTTATAAGATTCCATGACAGCACAGATACCATCAGCAACACTAGCAACACGAAAGTTAGTAAAGCCAGCAGCCTTAGTCAAGGCCGCAAATTCTCTTGCAGTTCTCTCTTTACCACCAGGTTGGGTTAACATAAGATTGTCAGTTCTTGAAACATACTGTGAAGCTTTGCTTGTCTCTGGCTCTTCTGGTAATAATGCATTCAAAATTATGAGTTTCCCATTTTCTGGCAATACTTCATAAATGTTCTTCAACACTCTCACCACATTGTCATCACTCCAATTATGACAGGTCTCCTGTGCAAAAGTAACATCAATGTCTAATTATATTTTCTTTCCAAAGTCTTCCCTACCACTATCTTTATCTTCCCTATCGCTATCTTTTGGGTCCAACCATAGAGGTTTGCAAACGGGGTGGTTCGGTTCTGAACCAAATCGAACCACAAAAACTGAAAATCAAAAATGCATTTTATTTGAAACCGAACCAAACCGAAATAATTTTGAAAATCAAACCAAACTAGTTACTTCGATTAGTAGGCTTCAATTTGGATTTACTCCGAAAATAAATGTTTTGGAATAATGGATTCATAGATCAAAAACCAAAATTATGAAAAATTTTAAACCAAAGTCAAAACCGAAAACTAAATAATCGAACCAAAAACAATTTGGTACGGTTCGTTTTTGTTTTTCCGAAAGTCTGCTCACCCAAGGGGCAGAGCTTAATGGAGGCTTTAGGGCCCGCAAATTTTTTTTTAAAAAATTATTTGTAAAAACTTACACTTTGCTCCTTAAAAATATAGAAAATTCATATTTAGTCCGCTAAAAGTTTAAAAATATGTTTTTGACTCTCCAAAATAATTATCCTATCCACCCTGAGTCTAACCAATAAACAGATTCTAAACACATATCAATGTAACGAAAGTATTTCTAATAACATATTTGAAAAAAAAAAGTTAAAATACTTTTTAAAAAATTTTTAATTTCAGTTATTTGATCCATAAACGGGGTCACTGACCTAGTCTACGGGTAATTTTCAATTCGAGGAGGATTTCATGTAAGGAAGAATCACGATTAGTATCTTCACCTTTATCATAATTGCATCTCCTTTTGGAACACCTGTGAACATATTTCCACCTACATGCTGGATCCCTGCATTGACAATATTTTTTCTTCACTAGCTATAGTTAAAATAAATAAATTGAACATTATATAAAATGGTGATCATAATTAAGTTTAAAGAAATAATTAATTACCAGCGTAAGGTGGTGCACTTTGGATGACATGAGGAAGATCATAGTTAATGCCTTTAATGGAAGGATACTTAGAGATGATCATATGAAGGGTTCTACCAGTTCCACCGCCAACATCCTCTCTCTATATGCTTTTTTCTCATTTGTGCCAACGGCAGTGTGGTTCTCGGATTATGTACCATAATATCGAACACAAAAACTGAAAATCATAAAATGCATTTTATTTGATTACCGAACCAAGACCGTAAATACACAATTTTGAAAATCAAAACCCACACGCACACATTATGTTCACTATACGATTAGCTAATTGGCATCTCATCATTTGAGAATTGTACTCCTCCATGAAAATACCATCGTTTTTTGGAATAATGGGAATTCATAGCCCGTATCATAAAACCAAATTACTGAAAAATTTTAACAATCCAAAGTTTCAAAATATTCCGAAAAAACTAAATAATCGAACCCTCTAATAAAACAATTTCGTGTACGCTTTCGTTGTTCAGATCTCAATGTTTTTCCGAAAACGTGTCTGTCTCACCCATAGGGCACGAGCTATTTAACTGGGTGCTTTAGGGCCCTCGTCACAATTTTTCTTCATTTAGAAATCTTATTTGTAAAAACTTACACTTTTGATCTCACCTTAAAAATAATCAGATCAATGCATATTATAGTCCGCATAAAGTTTAACAAATTGTTTTTTGACTCTCACAAAATAATTTTCCTATCACCCTGCAGTGTCTTGAAACCCCATAAACAGATTCTAAACACATATCCACTGTGTAAACGAAATAGTTATTCTTAAATAACATATTTTGAAAACAAAAAAGAGTTTCACATACGACATTACTTCCT